AAGAATCGGTGTCGGTGAGCTTCCTTGATGACCGGAGACTCGATTCTTGATGAAGGTGGACTGCGAGGTAGCCTCAGTTAGGTTATTAGGCGTCTTTGACACCCATACTTGGGTCGCCGCAATACTGGGTGCATCGGGTGTAGGTGTCCGTAGCTTCACATCCAGACGAGCAATCACACTTTCCGGGTCGTAAGGAACGAGCCCGGCCCCTCTAAATCCTCCCTAGACGTTTTAAACCGTCATCGTCTGCTGAAAAGCGGCCAAAAACGCGGGAAAGAAGTCCTCCTGCGAAATGTGGGTGGTACCGGCCCGGACTCTCTTCTTAATTTAACCACCGTACGCCCGTTTTAACGGGCTAAAACACCCAACGTCGAGAGGCTGGAGGATATAAGATGAATAAGGCGGTATATAGAGGGTAATAATATCGTGCTCCTTATAATAGAGCTCAAAATCGGTCGAGTAGTGGCTTTCGTGCCCGTCGAGCACTAAGAGACGATATTTACCCGTCGTTCGCGGTTTTGTGTGCTGATCAAAGTGCCGGATCCATTCTAGACCTCTCTCGTTCGTGGTCCAGCTGTTAGGAGACGTGGCGATAACCTAGTCAGGTGGGAGAGAGCTGTTTTGGTACCAGGTGGAGAGATGGTATTTACCCGAAATAATAATAAACGGCGGAACCGTCCAGCCCAGCGCGTTGACACCCTGAATCACTGTCACCCATTCTCGATTGCCAGGCTGGACCAACTTCGCGCCCGAGCGCCTTTCAGCACTTGTCACGACCATGCCTGTCGAGATCATACCCATTAGAAACCCGGTCTCATCAAAATTGTAGATATCCGCGTCCACCACGCCATATTTTGCGACTATATTCTTTACGAGCGCGAACCACGCACGAATCACGTCGGGATCTTCACATTGGGCCCTCTGATAGTCATACTGACGAAAGAAACGCGTCCGGAGCTCTGGTCGTTGCTTAACAAAGTTGGACGCCCATCGCTTTCCGACGGGCGGCGCGTCGCGCTCCGCCAGTAGTCGGTTAGCCATATCTTCCACACCACCGAGTCGGAGAGGGTGCGATCGCGCATCGAGGTCGAGAGTATACTGAATAATCGTGTCCTCTTCGAGGGAGGTCAGGTTTCATGAGTTGGGTATGCTATCGTATCGAGATTGGGTACCCTTGAGTCGCGTACCCAGGGTAGAACGAGGGACCGAGTAGAGTTTAGCTGCCTCTCGAATACTTAGTTTTGGGTTTTTCTTGATAGCTTGTTGGGCAAGGATCAACTGACATTCATTTAAAGACATATTTAGCTTTGGTGGTAGAGTAATATCTATTCAAAGTTGATGGTCGTGATTTTGAGGGAAAGTGGCCAGCTCGCTTATCTGGCCAGCTCGCTTATCATCCACGTTACTCTAAGTTTATATTTTAGGAATACTTTACTTATAATAGTAAAGATCCTTATTATCTCTAGAAGCCTAAGACTATATAAGAGCGTTAATATGCTTAGATTAAGATCGATAACCTTAATAATAAGATCGAGCCTATTAAGCGAGCTAAGTAAGAACTTTAGACAGATATAAGAAGATTAATATTACGCTTAAAAGGTAGAAAGAAGCCTTAATAACGCTTTATAGCTATAATAGATAAGTTAACCTTTTGCAACATATTCCTTTTTTTTATAATCAAATTCATATACTAAAATTACTTAAGATGTGACACTTAATATTAATATTTAAATTTAAAAAATGAAAAATCTTACTTATTATTGCTATAATCTTTTAAAGTTTTCAATTTATTTTCAAGATTTTTTAAAAATACTTTAATAATAAAATTATGTGCTACGGACACATCTATACAGGTTCAAATCCTATATTCACTACTTATTTTCCAAAAATCTTACAAACTTTCATTTATTTTTGTTTACATTAATGTAAAAAATGTAAACAAGAACACGAAATATTTTAAATTAAAATATCTCGAAAAATCAAAAAGATAAGATAATTGATAAGAATAATTACTAGACTAATATATAAAATAAAAATCAAAATATGATATTAACCGAGACGAGAAAGAGGTAGTATTAATTAGTATTAATATTATAAGATTAGTAGTTTCTTAATCTCTATCTCTATAGTACTAATACTATTAATCTATTTATATAGTATATCGTTTAATAGAAGCTTATTTTTTTTATAAACGAGTACCTTAAGATACGACCTAGTACTCTTATTTAAGAAGATAACGCTCCTAGTTATACTTACGCCTTTATTAGATAAGCCTATTCTATAGTAGGCATTAACCGCCTTATTTGGCCTAGTAACTCGCCTAATTTAAGCTCTATTAAGAAAGCCTAGCTATAGATAAAACGATTAACTACCTACTTAGGACCTTCTTCTATAAAAGTACTCCTTTATAAGGCCTAGAACTCTAAGTAGCGTAGGCTATTATAGAAGTAAATATAAAAATAGATAAAGGGCGTCGTACGTAATATCTAGGAGGTTATTCGCCTAGAAGGCGGTAACGAGTATAGAGAAGGCCGAGTATATAAGAGGTCGTATAAAGGGCGTAGAAAGATAGGCGAGTTATATAAACACGTCTAGATATACGATAAGGCGCTTAATAACGACGATTATAACGACGATTTCGAGAATATCAAAAACGTCGATAATAACGATTAGGATGTCATGAGCAGGATGTTGGCCTACTTGCCTGCTACCTGACAGGCGGAAGAAACGAGGCAGGTGTACCGAGACAAAGGCACGTGAATATGAGAGGCTGCGATGTCACGTGACCATTGGAACTGATCTGTCTGCTCTGTTGCTCTGGCAGAGCACCAGGAGCACACAGAGCAGGAGAGAATACTACGAATCTCCTATGTCTATATAGTTGTGGGCTTCACCCACCTTCCATAGTTCTCCTTCCGTAGTCAACTTCGCTCACAAACTAGGTGATACATTTCATCAATAGTTTTCGTTCTGAATACAGACACCCTTGCTCTAGCATACGCATCGAAACATCTTCTTCCGCACGTCAGTGAACCTTGCTCGAACACGTGACTCTTTGAGGAACGATTCGTGACAATCGAGAACCGCATTAAATATATTATATATATCGATATAAACGCTCTTAAGAGCGTTACGAGGATCACGCGCTATCCTAATATCGAGGCGCTTAATAACGATTAGGAGCCTTATTAGGATAGTACTAATAGCGACGATTAATACGGCGAGCGCTTATAAGATAGACGGAGGAAACGCTCTTAGTACTATTTACAGGCAAATAGGTTTCGAACAGCTATCTAAGTATCTCGAGCAATATCGAGAACAGCATCAAATACATCATATATATCGATATAAACGCTCTCGAGAGCGTTGCGAGGATCGTGCGCTATCCTGATACCGAGGCGCTAAACAACGCTACAACCGACGCTAATGTTAAGCGAAATGAGCGCACTATCACTACATTTGGTGCACACCTCCGTACACTGCATGGCCTTATCCTTAGCTCACCATCGGCAGGCCGAAGGCCACAACACCTACATGTACCTAGTAGTTACAGCAGGTGACTAAGGTAGGATGGATGGATTATGTAGGGAGTACTGTAAGCCTTAGGAGCCTCCTAAGCCTCTTAGCCTACCTAGGTATTGCTAATAGGCACCTAAGGAGTATGCCAGGTGTAGCGTAGCTAGCCACAGTCAATATCACAGCCGTTCGTTCAGGATACTCCGGATATAACTTGGTGATGCCGATTACTCCCCTGCTGGAGGAGCACTCAACGCCCGTCGTCCAATGCTGACCAGGTCTTCGTTCATAAGAGGCTCCTTGTCAAACCCATGTGCCACCTGATCAATCATCGCCGCAGAGATCTCGCTGACGGTGACACTGGGAACCGACGCAGTCCATCTCAACACGAAAGCCATAATCGACTTCCTAGTAAAGGTCGCTGCCGTGATCCATCCGGGTTTTGCCACGCACACTTCGAGGTCTCCTCCACTTTCCGCGGCGACTGCAAGTAGTTGGTTCTCTGTCTCGCCCTGCAATTTCGGGAAACTTCGTCAACATAAGCCGTGTGGTTATGATTAATAGGCCCCTTTCTTACCCGCATCAATGAGTATTCCGGCATAAAGGTGGGCGTCTTGGTCTGGTCGCGCTCGGCTGCGATGCCGCTGGTGTAGAGAAACCGGAAGGGCCGATTGACCCCAGCTTCGTGCATTGTCCTTAGACCTGTGACCGTGGATTCCTGGCACACTCGCTTTACTTCATTGAAGTCGATGCGCTTGGCTCTGGCGGGAGTAATGGCAACTGTCCTGCGCTGATATTAGCTCGGCCAGCTTACTGCCAGAGACGACCTCTATGCTATACCAGATGCAGGCATCAGCTCCGGCAAACTCTTTCTTGACACTGTCTGGAAATTCGCCATAGTCCTTGACGATGACATTTCGCAGCTTCGAGACATCTGCGCCGGCTTCTGGCTGCTGCGGCAGCGAGATGGGTGTCCTAGACAATGCGATGACCGTTGTAATGTCTGGCCGTTTCAAGCTTAGTCGGATGACTTCGGTTCCAACAAACCCCGTGGATCCTGCGACAATGAGCTTCATCGTTGGGTGCAAATGGTATAATGTGTTCAATTGATGATCAGAGGTTGAGGTCAAGTTCCAGGTGTCAGCGTCTCAGTATTAATAAGGAGGTGTGGTTTATGGCTCCTAAGGCCCCCAGGCATCTTTAATATAGGAGGGGTTAGCGCATCCGACCTTGCCAACCTCCTAAATACCAGGTCGGTTGGAGGTAGTAGGATGTGTAACAGTGAATAGGGTAGCGTGGCAGTGATGTTGCTTGCTTGGTCCGTCAAATGAAAGATTATATACCTTAGATAAGGTAGGTAGGTGTCCTTTGGTGGAGGCAAGTCGGTGTACAAGGATTAGGGGAGTAATATACTGTAGCTCAAGTAAACACATCTTGGTCCCGGGGCTGGGCTTAGGCTCCTTAGGCATGCCCAGCGCCTAAGCCTAAGGATCTCCTTACCTAAGCCTTAGGTAACCCTAAGCCTCCTAAGCCCCTAAGAAGCCTCCATCCCATGTCCCATGTCCTCGGAGTCACCACGTCATTGCATATCGATCTCCTTCCTGATTGCACTCTACAGGGTACAACACAACGACCGTCGGAACCCTTGCCCGAATACGTGTTTCTGGCAGCGCCATGTTCCGATGGATGGCGGCGAGGCAAATGCAAACAGCAGGGCCGTGAAGGCGTATGGAACTGGACCGTCTTCACGTCAAAGTTGTCCAACTACTAACAACCCCTAGTTGCCGAAGGTGCAGACTGCGGAAGGTGAAATGCTCGGGAATAGTGCCATGCCAGAACTGTGTCAAGCGAGGGCAATCTTGTATCTTTGATGCAGCAGAGAGAAGGCTGGTCATCTCTGAACGGTTGGTCATGGCCGTCCCGCGCCCTCTCTGGCTCTGACCTTGTGAATCCGATCTCCAGGCATCTGCGAGACCTTGAACGTCGTGCCACCACTTCCCATCTCCTGACTCCCAGCAGACCTAGTCGAGGTGTCAGGCACCTAGAGACTGCATCTCCTCAGGCGACAACCGCGCCCGGAGTCCTAGCAACAGTCCAGAATCAAAGCCGCATCACCCGTGACCGAAGAAGGAGTAGTCCAACAACCTCCGATCCGAGACTTGACCAGCCCGCGAGTCCTCATCAACGACCCCCACGACCGAACAAACCAAGCGGCTCAGGCTCAGGCTCGGGCTCAGGCGCAGGCTCGACGCATCGTCGACTTCGTTCCACCTGGGCTTTCAGCGAAGAAGTACGGCAGATACTGGACCCGGGGTTCAGCGAGCTGTCCAACGGTTCGAGAGTCGAGGGAAGAGCCTCATCGTATATGGTTTCTTTGCAGGAGATGCACCAGGACCAGATTCCCTGGGATCCATCGGCTTTCAGTCTACCGCCCAACGACTACATCGCGCACCTTGTTCAGGTGACAGACTACCACATCAACCGCATTGGAAATTGTTCGGTGTTTGACCCGACGGTCTTCCTCGAGAAGCTGGCCAGAACCTCGTCACGGTCGCCGCCCGAGGCTTCGGAGCTGTGGCAAGTCGAGCAACTCTCGGTCATTGCACTGGGCAAGCTTTTACTGGAAAGAGGAGTGACCAGTCTCGGACCCCCAGGTGTTCGGGAATTCCTCCACGGTATCAAAAAGCTCCCACCTGGTATCTTCCTGCACCAAGAACCCATTACCGCGATCGAGACCTTGTGTCTTCTGGCCATCTATGCACAGGCGGTCGACATGCATAGAGTAGCCTATCTCTATGTACGTACAATATCCCACCACGGCCGCAGCCATTCCCTCGCTAACGATGTGGACTTCAGATGGGAGAAGCATCCCGCATTGCTCGTTGCTACGAAATGGACAGAGGCCCAACAGGATGGCATCTTCCGGCCGATCTCGACCCCGCTCGACTGATTCATGCACAGAGGCTGTGGTGGACGGTGTGTATACTGGACCAGAGGTTCGCAGCAGCCATCGGTGCCAGGCCTGACTACATATTGCCTCAAGCACGGAATAGTTCACTGCTTAGTTCGGACGGAACTACGAGCAAAGCCTCAAGCTCGACATTATGGCTCAACCTTTCCCTGGCGAATTTGTTGACCCAGGCTATGACAGGTAACATATGGCACACGGTTTGCAGGACCAATCTAACCGGTGGCCTACACAGTCCATTACACGCATGCAGCGGACGTCGAGGGAGCTACCGGTTTGCCGTTTAGCAATGAAATTGACCCTGTACTCAGAGCCTTACAAAATATAAGTCAGGAGATCCAGCTCGAGCAGCAGCTCTGTCAGGAACGATCCCTTTCGACAATCTCGAGGCCCGCGGCAACTTTGTATCTCTTCTATTGTCATGCAAGTACCAAACGTCCCAAGGAGGAATAAGTCCACTTCTGATCTTGGCCTAGTGTGTCATCCTAGCCACCAAACCTGTCCTTGTCCATCTCCTCAAGATGCTCGTCAAACCGGATAATCTGCTTCTTCCGACAGAAGATCAGGCGTTTACGTTATCAGAGCCTGCGATCGGAATCCTCAATACTTGCGTAAACGCCGCCGGCCTCGGTCTCAACCTTGTCTCCGCGCTTCATGAACAAGCCCTCCTCGGTGCGTGGGTGTCTTTCTGCTGTGCAGACGTCTGACATGGAGAGTCTAACCCGATATAGAGACTTTTCTGCCCCTCGCCCTTGAGGTGACGTTCCTTGCCGCCGTGTCGCTGGTGCTTGCCAACGCTATCATCCCCAACATCGCCGACTCTGTGTTGATCGATACCGCAAAGGTCGTTTTGGAAGACATGGGCCAACGAGGAAATATCCCAGCAGCCTCTCTCAAGGACGAGCTGGATGATGTACGAGAGTTGACATCGAACCTTGCTCGGTCTTTTCTCGTACGAGATAGCAGGAGTTCCGCTCCCGTCCCTCCCAAAGCAGCAATTGCCACCATAATTCGGGACGGACAAGTTCTCAGCGATGCCATTGTGGTCGTGGTGGAAGGAATCACTTCTGCGACAATTCAGTCGGCCCAAGACCGCTTCAATGTGGCCCTAGAGATTCCCGGCGACACTCTGACGAGGGAGCATCAATGGCCGCAACTTAGAGCGCCAGAGTCGCTGGTGCCGATGCAGACACGGACGCCCACGACGCCCCAACTTCACGGCCCGCTGACAAGCCCCAATGCGATGCCACAGGTATATCTGGATGGCATTGATGCTATGCCGAATCCATTTCCTTTTGACACAGAAGATTTACGATGGTTAGATCTGGTCTAAGATGGACCGGAGCCTCATTGGCGAGTGGCTCCAACCTTCTCGGTTCGGTGGTGGGGATCCGAACTTCGGAAGAGGAGCCCCTTAGCCCCTTAGCCTAACATCCTACGTGAGACCTCAGGACCCTCGTCTTGCCCTGTCCACATCCAACATAATCGAGCTTCTTTCACACCACTCACACCCACCCAAAATTCACTGCGCAATGCTCCAGAACAACCTCCTTCAGAACGTGGCTCAAAATCGTCTCTGCACGGTAAAAATCCCTCAGCTCTCGTCGTATGCTCCTGGCACTAATCCACAAAATCAGGCACTTGGAGTCAAAGTTGTCACGGGCAATGAGGTGGTCCTCCTGGCCAGGGCCGCTGGGTACGATTCCGTCTTCATTGATCTCGAGCACTCCATCTTTTCTGTCACCGACGTCAGCCGACTATGTTCGGCGTCGCTGCTGGCGGGAATCACGCCTTTTGTTCGCGTGCCACGCCAGTGTGGGCCTGGCTTTGTGCAAAGGATCCTCGACGGGGGTGCAATGGGGGTCATCTTTCCACATGTTAGCACTGTCGGTAAGTCAGCCGAGACTCGGATGATCTTGTTCTCGATGAGGTGGCATTGACGATGGTTTCGGGACGCGTAGAAGAAGCCCAGCAAATGGTCTTCTGTACCAAGTTCCCTCCTCGAGGGAACCGTTCTCTCACGGCGGCGCTGCCGCAATTTGATTTCCAAAGGATTGCAGCCACACAAGTCATCCAGCAGCTCGACGCAGACGGGTCGACCGTCTTCATCCTAGTGGAAACCCGGAAGTGCCTTGACAACCTAGACGCCATTGCCGCCGTCCCGGGCGTCGATGTCTTGCTGCTCGGCGCAAACGACCTGTCTCTGGAACTGGGCATTCTGGGCGAGTGGGACCATCACCTCTTCGATTCAGCTCTGGGAGCCGTGGCGGCTGCTGCTCAGAGAGCGGGCAAGATCTGGGGCATCGCCGGCCTGTACACCCGGTCCGACATCTGTAAGCGTGCAGTAACCGAGTTGGGAGCCCGGTACCTGTTGGGACACTACGATCTCGGACTGCTCGCCATGGGAATGAACAAGAACATGGAACAACTCAGAGACATGGGTCCTTGAGACAGTATCCACCCACTCACCAGGAACATGGGCCTGAAGCCTGAAGCCCTTCCGCTTCGGCTTCGGCGTTCGGATTCAGGAGCCGGATGTCAACCCAAGACACTCATTATCATGGTATTACCAACCCAATGCTCGCACTCGGAGCCCTGGCCCTTTCATTTTCGTCTTTGTTGACGCAGTTCCACCACATCACAACAATACTGCTGCTGCTGCCCGTTGCTACCCCGACTTGGTTGAATTCGACTACTCTCTACCACTACCCCTTACCACTGGGCTTTGATCCCCGTCGCCTTCTGTTCCTCCACTACGTGTGTTCGAGTGTGGTCTCAGGATTCAAACCCGACAACAAACATGCCGGCTGCATGGGCCAAGGCTGAGGCCTTGCGGGCGAGCTTGAACAACACGGTGCGACCGCTCATCGCCATGGCGGCGCACAATCCGCTAGGTGCCAAGCTGGCGGCAGAGGCTGGGTTCGGCGCCGTTTGGGCCAGCGGGTTCGAGCTGTCAGCCTCGTATGGGCTACCCGACGCCAGCATCCTGTCGATGCAGACGCATCTCGACATGACGCGCGCCATAAGCGAGGCCCAACCGCTGCCCGTTGTCGCCGATCTCGACACCGGCTTCGGCAACGCGGCCAACGTAGCATATGCCATTCCACAATACGTGGCGGCCGGCGCTGCAGCCGTGGTCATCGAAGACAAGGTCTTCCCCAAGACCACCAGTCTTCGCAAGGGCGCCAACAGCACCAACGGAGATGCTCATGTTGCGCCAGCGAAACGGCAGACGTTGGTTTCCATTGCAGAGTTTCAGGGCAAGATCGCGGCGGCCAAGGCAGCGGCCAAGGCCACCGCCGGTTCCGATCCTTCTTCGAATCTCGTCGTCATCGCACGCACCGAGGCCTTGATCGCGGGCTTGGGACAGGACGAGGCCCTGCGACGTGCCCGGGCCTACGTCGAGGCCGGAGCCGACGCCATCCTCGTGCATAGCAAACAAACACGGCCCGACGAGATCGAGACCTTCTGCCGCGCTTGGCCGGCCGGATCGGTTCCGTTGGTCATCATCCCCACCGCCTATCCGCAACTCTCGTTCGCGAGGGCGGCGGCGCTCGACAAGGTCGGCCTCATCATCTGCGGCAATCACGCCGTCCGCTCCGCCGTCGCCTCCTTGCGTCAGACCTTTGCACGCATCTTGGCCGACGGCAGTCTCGAAGGTGTCGAGGCCCAGATTGCCCCCTTGGCCGATGTCTTCGCTTTGCAAGGCGAGGACAAGTTGCGGGACCTTGAACAAAAGTACTTAGTTTAGCCAATGAATAAATGTGTTTGGTTTGTTTCTGCTACTGATGCGATGCTGTTATGCCATTCTTGGTTCCACGTTCTGATTCTAGACAATTTCTACTGAACGATATTGATATCTATCAGCCATTTTGTATTTTGTAGTGCTCCCATGCAGAACACCCAAATCATTGGGACAACAGTGATTCAGGCTTGACGACCTTTTGGCTCGGCTCCCGCAAGGGCAGCGAGCAACGTGTTGACGGCGGCAATGCCACTGTTGACGCGGGTCTCGAACGTCTCTCCACCGATATGGGGGGTCATGATGATGTTTGCATGCTCGAGATATTCGTGATAGACGTCGAGCGTGGGCGGTTCAACATTCGTGGCGTCGAGCCCGACGCCCCAGAACTTGTTGCGTCTCAAGGCGTCCAACAGAGCGGGCTCATCGACGATGCCACCGCGAGCCGGGTTCACCAGGATGGACTGGTCTTTCATCAGGGCCATTTCGCGGGCGCCGATCAAGCCGCGGGTCTCGTGCGTCAACGGCACTTGGATGTTGACCACGTCCGACACGCGGAGGAGGTCGTCGAGCGCGTGCACGCGGGTGTGGCGCAGGCCGCCCCAGCCATTTTCACGGTCATCTTCGGCAACATAGGGGTCGTAGGCCACGAGGGTGGCATCCATGGCGAACAGCCATTTCTTGGCCAGCTCGCGGCCGATGTGGCCCATGCCGATCAAGCCGACCGTCTTCCGGTACAGCGACTTGGAAGGCCACTGGGATCGAAGCAGGCGCTCGCCACCACGCACAGCCCGGTCCATCTCGCACACTCGCCGGCCCAGGCACAGCGCCAGCGTAAAGGCCAGCTCCGCCACCGCCTCGCTGTTGACCCCCGGCGTGTTGTAGATCTGCACGCCGTGCCGCCGGGCCGCTTCGAGGTCGATGTTGTCCACGCCCATGCCTTGCTTGACCACCACTTTCAGCCGCCGCGCTCTGGCAAACTCGGCCTCGCCCAGACGTGTGTCGCGCCGGATCAAGAGTCCGATCGCCTTTTCGGGCCATTCGTCCTTGCCCGGATCCGTGAACAGCACTGCTTCAATGTTGGCTGCGCTCTGCAGCCGAGCAATCGCTTCGCTGTCATAAGGCCCCGTCACGTAGACTGGAATTTTGGACATGGTGGCAGGCTGGCCCGAGTTCAATGACGCCGCGCAGTCGCAAGGCAAGCAAGGCTTGAGTAGTTGCTTTGTAAACCATGAGACTGTGCCATGAGTACATGTAATATATATACAGGAAGACAGGTACTGTGAATCTCCCAATGGATCCAACTTGGCGCCACAGGTTGGCTATCCATGGTTTGCAATCGAGAATCCCCTTCCCCTTCTCCATACTGGGTATACCAGGACGTGTGGTTCGGTATCGGCGGCCCGAGGGAACCGCAAAGACACCGTCAGTCGGCTGAGTTAGCATGAGACCACCAAAGCCATCTCGTGATGTAGTCCCATTGTCGGCCACTCGCTCCTGATCTCGAAGGAGGAGGACGACGATAGATGAATGAAGGGTGAATGGCTCAAGGCTCAGGGGAGAAGATGAGTCGACCGGGTGAGAGGTGAGCACAGGTGAGGACAGCCGAGTCTAAAAGCGGCGGTACTCTGCTCCCCAACACGTATCACGCGTATTGCGTTTGTCGTATTTCGCGGGCGGCGGCAGCTGCGTGACCCGTGACTACTGTCTAATCGACGTCAACCTCCAGGGGTTCGATCGATCTGCTGCGGCCTGCCGCCAAACTCATGAAGAACGAAGAACGAACCCGGCCTCCGTCCTCGATCCTCTTTCTCCCGATCCTCAACTCTGCGACAGCGTGTATCTGGCTTTATTTGAGTATTGCATTCTCCGGTCATTATTCCACCTACTGTTTGTATCACCTACAACTACCACGGCTACGGTCCCGAGCCCACCACCATCCACCACCCACCACCGACAGAACCACGGCCATGGCTTCGGTAACCAGCCTGGACCAAGATATGCGCAAGTTGCGCCTGGATCGGTACACGCCCGGCGCTGTCAAGGAAGTGAGGAATTGGATTGAAAGCATCCTGGGAGAGAGGCTACCTCCCGGCGACTTAATGGATGCGCTCAAAGACGGCGTTGCACTTTGCAAGTATGACCGTCGGAGGCACAGTTGAGGACCTGTGGAAACTGACTCAATGTTTCAGGCTCGCTAACCTGGCCGTCGCTCCAGGTGTCAAGTACAAGCAGTCCAATATGCCATTCGTACAAATGGAAAACATATCCCAGTTCCTTCGCGCTTGCGAGATGCCGCCGTTGAATCTCCCCTCCCACGACCGTTTCCTCACAGTTGACCTTTACGATTCCAAAGACCCTGCGCAAGTCTTGCAATGTATTGCCGCGTTCAGCCGCGCAGCAAATACAGTCAACCCTTCAGTCTTTCCCACCACCTTAGGTGCAAAGAGCAAAGGGTCCGGTATGAGCCCGCAAGGTACTGGTTCTAGCGGGCCAAGATCGCCAGCATATACCACAACCACGACCACAACCAGGCCACGCGGAACAAGCAACACGACTGCAGACAGTCCAGCCATCGCCTTCAATAGCGTCAATAGAGCTACTTACTCGGGCCGAGTCAGTCCGACCAAGACTACTCTCGCGCGAGGAGGGCTTGCAACCGGGGGGAACGTGAGCAGTTGGAGCAATAGGAGTGATGAGGGTACGACAGCGCCGGCCTGGAACATACATCAATACGGATATATGGGAGGTGCAAGCCAAGGAAACCAAGGCGTTGCATTTGGGGCGCGGAGACAAATCACATCTCCCTCACCGAATGTGCCAAGTCTGGCGGAGAAGGAAAAGCGTCTGAAAGAAGAGGCCGAAAGGAAACGACTCGAGGCGGAGGCACGTGAAAGGCAACAACGAGCGCAACGAGCGGCGGAAGAGGAGCAAGCCCGGCTAGACGAGGAGCGCAGATGGGCCGAGGAGACGCGCCGACTGAGAGAGCAGGAAGTGGCAGACCAGCAGGCTGCGGAACGACAGCGTCTGCAAGAAGAGGAACGCGTTCGGCAAGAAGAACAGCGCCGCCAGCAACGCGCCTACGATCGCGATCGCGATCGCGAGCAGGAAGCCGCCAAACAGGCGGACCGAGAATCTCAAATAGTCCAAGAACGCAATCGTCAACGCACAGAGAGTGATACCCGACTACACGGCCAGTTCCTCAGCCAGTACCGGGCGGAACAGGCTCGCTCTAACATCACTTCTCCTCCCGCCACGCCACTCGTGGAGCAGCAGACGGCAGAAAGCCGACGGATTGCGGAACTTGAGCGGCAACTGGAAGAAATTAAAAGTCAACAAAGACAGCCCCAGGCCGAACCTTCCACCCCTCCGCTTCCCAGCAGGCCACAGGCGAGTCAGACGAGCAACGAAGACGACTGGAACCCATCGGAAAGGGCATATTTGAAGCAGGAATGGCAGAAAGCACAGGGCCTCGACAATCGGGTGCCTCCAAAACCGGCACCTCCAGACGCCACTCCGACGGTGGTATCATCTCGCCCCCTTCCCGATCCGGCAGCCTACGGGCCTGGCACAAACCGCACCGATCGATACCTGGCCTCTCATCCAGCGCCGTCCCAACCTCAGGCGGCGTCTCACCGGCCGCAAGACTACTCCACCACCACAGAGGTCGATCTGGAACGCGAGCGACGCATCCAATCGCAAGCACGCACCAATGCGGGAGGTTGGGCCTCCAAGTCTCTTCTGGAACGCGAGATGGAGCGCGAGCGAGAGCGTCAGCGAGAGTGGGAAGAGGGGCAGAGAGCAATCGCGGCGAAAGCACGCGACCGGAACGAAGGGAGCCAGCCAGGGCAGACGTGGGATGTGCATCAATATGGATACATGGGCGGAGATAGTCAAAACAGAGGCGGCCCCGGGCTGGGCGTGGGCGGAGCGAGGAGGCAAATCATCGGCCCGAGACCCCCTCCCTAAATGACGCTCGTGGGCATAAAGAGGCTGTGCTATAACCAAAGGCCACTGAGTTCTGAGGTCGGCGTGTTTTCTGCGACAAGGATGAGTTGTGGGGTGGGAGGTGTACATGGGCAAACTGGGGCCCCGCTATACAGACGGAATGGGCCGTTCAGCGCCATGATTTGATTGCATAAATCCAGGATATTCAAGTTTCCAACGGTTGGGTCCTTGTTCATGCATGCTCCTGGTCATTGTCTGGGTTCAATCCTGTGATCGTGAATCCTGTAGCGCATCGACAACCTTGGTGATCCTTTTGCCACTCTCGACCAACCAAGCCCAGGCGATATCCTGCTCCTCTCCTTTCTGCGCCTTCTTCGACCTTTTGCCGTCTCCCAGCTCGGCGATACGGCCCAGTCGCTTCTGCACACCCTTATTCACAGCGTCGGTCAGGGCGGGCGTCTTCTTCAGGACGCTCAACTGGCCCAAACAGCGAGTCAGCGACTCCAGCAGCAGAGACACGCGGGCATTGGCATCGACGGTGTTCCGCCCAGCCGCAAAGGGCAGGTATTCGATTTCCAGCTTCGACTGGGACAGGAGCACGTGCGAGCGGATGGAGGGGGACGAGTTCTCGAGGATGCGCTGCAGCAGAGATTCGCAGAACAGAGCCAATGTCTGCGGTTCGAAGATCTGGGCCTGGGCCTGGGCCTGAACAGAGCCTGATTGCAGACGATCCGCCAAAGGCGATGCCCATTGCGATGCAGTGCAAGGAAGGACGATCCGTGCAAAGACCGGGAGCGGCAGCGGCTTGGTGAACTCGACAAAGAGGGTGAAGAGGTCTTCGAGGTCGGGGAACGTGGTGGGCGATGTCGATGTCAAGGTCGGATGCGACGAGACATGGATCAGTAGGCGCATCAACCGCAATCGAAGGTCCAGCGACGTTGGGTCGGCCAGCTTGGTCGCCAACGAGGCCGCGGCCACGTCTTCGCCGGTTTCATGGTCACTCCGCAGACTGCCCGCGCTGCTTTGTGGCGTAAGTCGTCGTGACGATGGAGTGCGTGTGCGTGTGCGTGGCCGTTTCCACGGCCGGCCGTTCGGCGCTGCACCGACGCTGGCGCTGGCGCCGGTGACATCGAAGTCGTCGGAGAAGTCGGATTCATCGTGTGCCATGTAGTCGCCGTAGATATCCTGGTCGATGTTGACGTCGACTTCCCGCTTCTTGATCTGTCCGTTCTCGTCCTCCGGCTCCTCCAGCTCGTGGGGAAAGATGGCACGGAACTCGCGGGTGGAACGCGTGCTTCCGTCGGCAAAGATGGCTCGCACGATCCGTCTCGCTCTTGCGTGCCCGCCTGCCGCCAGTTCAATATACTGCCAGATCAAGCTCTCCTCGGGCGTGGTGCGGACGCGCCAGTCCGTCTCCAGCACGTCGACCATAAACTCCAGGAGGAGGCTGTAATAGTTCCACCTTGCGGTGTGGGTGCCAGTCAGACACGCGCAATTGAATGACCAGCCCACAACGTGCCAGAAATCCTCGGCCCGGACCCATAGGGCCTGCGAACCGGCAAACGGTGTGTTGAGGTCGTGCTCAGACGAGAAATGGTCGTCGGCGCCGAAGTCTCCGTCCTCATACTCCAGACGGTTGCCACTATGGCGAGAAGATCGAAAATCATACTTCCGAAAACTGAATGCTGTCGCAAAGTCGGCGTTCACCGGACCAACCGTGGCGTGAACCAAGCGCAGCAGCCGGCGTGCAGCATTTGCTTGATCCCATTTTTCGCGTGAAGTGGTCCGCGTGGTGAATATAGGGTGGACAGCGAGCGTGACTGCGAGAGCGAGGTGAGATGGTGGCGGTATCATGACTGGTGCCTGGCGGTTGATGGAGGAGACGCCGTTCCCGGTGATGGATAAAAGGAAGTTGAACGCCTGCGCAAACAGACTCTCTTCATAGTAGGTTTGGACGTGCTGTGCCAATTCAAACGGAAGATTCATCGGCGGCCGGTAGTCTGACGCTTTGTTCGAGCCCAGGTCCTGCCTCGAGAAGGATTGTGATGGGGGAGGCGAGGATAAGGGAGAAGAAGCGGGCGGCAATGGCAATGCCAGGCTGGATGCCATGGCAGACAGCAATGGGAGACTTTGCGGTGCAGTGTCGTCGAGGTGGTCAGAATGAGGAATACAGCAACATCACCAGGAGATTTAAGGAAGAGACCAGCTTGTTCTAGGATGCATATTCTAGTATCGAGGGTTGGCAATAGTCTCGTCGAGACGGTGAAGGTGAAGTTGAAGTCCGACGTCGCAGAACGCGCCAGGGTTAAAATAAAAATAAGCTTAAATGCAGGTGCCGTGAGGGCCGTCAACTTTATATAAGCTTCTTTTCCAGCAACCGCAACTACTAACTCTATAATTGATTACAGTGAATGATGTCAAGGGTGAAATAAGGTACCTTATATAGCATGCTCTCCTTCTCCTCTCCAACAGTCCGAATTACTATTAGAGGTTCTGGTGAGGACCAATCCGAGACAGCGTCCTCGGCCAAAGGTAGGAAGCAGCCCCCATCCCCACGGATTGTCATGCTGCCAATCTCGTACTCAACCCCTGCTTTGCCTGCTCACACATGTCCGGGACGTTGACATTGGAAATAATATCACTGCGCGTCTTGATCTCCTGTTCGATCTTTGCAAAGTCCCTCCCAATCCCAGGTGCCCGCCACTCATAGCAGTCGCCAATCCACCTGCTCGACTGGACCAGCCACTGGCCGCGTTCCTTGCGCTGATCGTTGAACGTTGCGAAGACGGCTTCGATGTCTTGCTTGCTCTGGACGCGCTCATCGGCGAGGAGTTCCGCCAACACGGCACTGTCTTCGATGCAGAATCCAGCGCCGGCGCCATGGTGAGGCGATGTGGCATGTGCTGCATCGCCGGAGATGCAGACGCGGCCTTTAGAGAAGGTCGGGACGGGGTGGTCACCAGTGTCGAAAATCGCCCACTTGCGGAAAATCATTCTCGTCAGTCGCCCGCCATCCAGGGTTGGGCCGGGTGAAGACTTACAACAGACAAATCCGGGCTGGTCAGCTGCAACAATTTGGTCACATCGGGCCCATACCCGGCGAAGTCGCGCAGCGCGTCTTCCCTTTTCACCTGCTTGGTGAGTCGATTGAAATCCGGCCAGTCGTCGGAAGTGGTGCGAAACGCGACGATGTTGAGCGTCTTGCCATGGTTGACGGGGAAGGTCAAGAGGTGGCCGTCAGGGCCCATCTGGATACATTTAGTAAGATGCCCGCTCATCAAGAGATTTCCGTCGAAGGCCTCTCACATGCATGCAAGAATTCAGTGCCTTCTCCTCACCAATGGCTTCAATTGCCTGTTCCATGGGCACCAGACCTCGGTATGCGTATTTGTGGGTGTAGGCTGGACGAGCCGATGGATGGTCAGATCCGACGATGACCTGGCGGACACGAGACTTGATCCCATCACACCCGACCACTGCATCGGCCTCGGCTGTTGTCCCGTCCTCGAAGCTCATGACCAGCCGACCATTGGGACCTTCCTTGACATGCTCGAACCGCTTGCCGAACCTGGCTATCTCCTTCGGCACGAGCTTGACGATTTCGTCCAAAAACCGCGCTCGATGCACGCCATTCTGGCCCACATCGGTGGAGATGGTGAAGGCACTGGTGGGAGCGTCTGCCAGGGCGTCGAGGAAGTCGAACCACACATTCTGCTTCGACGGCCACACGTTTCTCGTGCAAACCTTTTCGAAGGCCTCGTAGACGCCTTGATGACAGATCTTCATGGCCTGGATGGCGTTGCCACTGAATGAAACGCCGGCTCCGATCTCGCCAAACTGCGAAGCCTGCTCGTAGACCGTGACGGGAACCCGCCGGTAGTATAGGGCGATTGCCAGTGTAAGGCCGGCAATTCCGCCGCCGATAATGGCGACTTCAAAAGGCTTGTCCAGGACCATGGCTCTACACCTCGATAGAGCCTTCGAATTGATTCTCAACCAGGGAAGGTCGTTTGAGGCTCAGACACTTCCCCTGTCTTTGACTCTGCACAGCTTCCCAAGGGACTGGGGAGAGAGATGGCGAAATCTATATCCTGGCCGTCGGGGAGACTTGGTTGTTACTGCATCAGAACCTAGCCAGGGCAGCGTAGTCGTCTGCTCACTAGGGTGAACGGTTGGTATTTAATGGCAGTTCAAATTACAGTTCTTTTCGGGAAGCCTTCTTGCTGTACTCGATAGACGTTCCCCGTCGTAGAACTTCTCATGGCGGCGTTGCTGGTGACCCTGTTATATATCCCCAGGGGTCCCATCCGAGCCGGTCACGATGCCGACACCCCCCGATGCTGACGCACCCACACCCACACACATTACCCTCTCCAATATCCGCAATTACTGAGATCTCTCTTACAGGAGTCCCCGGACGACCAGTTGGGTTGGGCGACGTCCGGGGCCGGGAAGTTATCGCACATTAGATTAGTGGACATGTTGGCCGCGTTGAGAAATCCAATAAGGTACTCAGGCCAGACTAAGATGGTATGTGTACATGTGTACACGAGATGAATGGCATCAACTGTGGTAGGAAGATCCCAGCTAATAGAGCGAATCAGCAACTGCACAGAAGCTTTACTCGTCTTTGTCAGTTCAGTGTTAATTGTAAGAAACCATGTGTACGACGCTGGTGAGTTTCAAAAAAAAAATACAACGACCCAGATAGAGGTGCAAAAAGCAAAAAGACGTGGCGGCACCCGGAATCGAACCGGGATCGGATCGGAGCTGGAAACACTTTGATAGGTCCCGAGAGACTGAATCAGTGTCAACCACAACGATACATGCTGACCATTACTGAAATCTGTTAGATAGAGGCTCTGTGGGAAATGAATGCAGGTTGGAAAACTCACCACCATGCCACCGCCTGGAATGCGCAGAAAAATGGGTGGGATAAAATGATAACGAGCAAATTTTGAGTAGTGCGGGGTTAGTCTGCGGGGCTGAGGCTCATCACATGAGCGCTCTCCGCGGACTCTGGAGGCAACTAGTAGGACAGAGTGCAGTAATAGTCGGTTCGATATCGGCCAAATGACTCTTACCTGGCCAGGTGGTCACTGGTCAGTATTACGATGCCCTGCCGTGCAGGGGTGATCAGGTTCAAGTTGTGCAGCACCACTGCTAATCGTCGCTCGTGCAGTAGTAGCACGCCCGATTGTTTCACCCTACGGTAGACCCATGTCACAACAGTACTCACCTGGTCATTCCATCTCAGAGGTTGAGGCAATGGAGAGGCGCCCCAAAAGGTAGAGACAGTTCTGAGGGTTGCTATTCACGTGGACTTGCTAAAGCCAGAATTCAGATTCGTTGGTTTGGACATCATGGTCCCGGCCAGATTCGGGACGACAAACACGTAGACAAACATGTAAGCAAACAAAGGCCGCTGGGACTGACGAGGGAAAGAGATGGTGGGATTCCGATCAGGTCACTGTGCATTTTGAGACCATCAACAGCAATTAGATATCATGCCCGAATGCAGATATTGGTATTGTATCCAAAGTACTCCGTATTGCGTTGGTGCTGGCACTGGCAGTGCTTTGCTCGCGTGAACCTGTCAGCGAGTTTGACACTTTGCTGGCACCCGTTTTAACCATGTTATACCCGCATGATGCGCCTGCCTGGACACTACTTCCTAACTCTCGCGCACGAAAGCCAACTGTCACACTGTGAGTCCTTCACCCTATGCTCCCCTATTCCAACCATACGAGAAAGCAAAGAGCTCACCCCAAAGCACACCTAAAACCCTCATCCATGATTGTTCGTAATCGTGTCAGTTCATTAACGCATGTGGACAAAAGCGACGACTCGGTTTCACCTTCCAGCTTCCAGCTGCCTAGGTGTGGCCAGTTGTAGGTCGGGATTCAGACCGGGTGCATCCGGTAGGTGAGCCGTTTCACTGTACCTACTAGGAGGCACGGCCTGAAGAATTCTCGACCACCAGCCAGTCCGTCCACGTCGGTCCGCGGAGAGACCTTCCTCGACGGTGGTCGTAGAGCTGGCCATTCTTTGTCGTTGTCGCCGTCGTTCGCGTTCTGCTTGACCCGGTCTATCCGTCCGTACCACAACGGGGAATCCATGTCGGTCGCGGTCATGATAGACAATGCTCATGAATCGTCCGGGAATAATCATGGCTGGTCGTCTGCCACCTCGGCCAGTTCCGATGGAGAAGGCGGTGGGCGGTGGTTGCACATCAACATGGGCACCATTTCTGGCCAAGCCGTCGACATTTGCACTCTCCGGCCGAGGCTTTGGGACGTAATAGTCAGCTTTACAAAGAGGGCAGCATGCCCGCCGCGAAGTCAACCAAGGATCAACACATGAGGCGTGAAAGGCATGACCACAATGTAAACCACGGATGTCGTCGTCATCTTCGATGGTATCAATGCAGATCGCGCAAGCGTCGCCAGCCTCCGGCAACTGTTCAGGAGGAACAGCGGTCTGGATCGGTTCCTCTTCCTCCTCATCCTCATCGTTCGTGCTGACTTTTTGGATGGGAGTGGAGGGAGCCATCGTCGATTGACTAGACTTAGGTCGTGACAGCGTACCAGGCCGAGCATCCGCGTCCCGTTCGTCTCCCACAATCTCCGGGGTTCCATGCTCGGGTTGGATGGATTTCTCGTCAATGGTCGTCGTGGTTTGCTCATGAGACAATTCTCTAGAGTCGCTATTGTCGCCGCCGTCCTTCGAGTCCCGAGGCCGATTGCGAATACTAGCAGGTCTTGAGGCGTTGTTGATCCCTCCCGCGGTCGGCAGCCCTTCGTCGGCTCGATTGGAGCGCCAGGTTTTGTATTTGATCAAGGGGAATTTTTCATTGACTTCATCCATCGTCATCAACTTCTTTTCGCGCCTGCGACGATGCTGTCGAGGCATAGCGCCAAGGTCGACTCCCTCAGGATCTTCCCCATTCATGCGCAGGCGATTGCGTTGGTTATACCTGAAGCAATATTTCACGCCGACGATGATCCTGACAAAAGAGAGCCGATTAGACATGACGGGAGACTAGCACGCCCGATCAAGGAGGCTCACCATAGATTGGTAAAGACAACGCCGAAGCCAAGAGCGACGAAGAAGAGCAGTGGCGAACTAGGTCCACTGCCTCCGCCTGAAGGATTGCCCGTAGGGCTGGAAGTGGGAGACACTGTGGGCGATGAGGTGGACGAAGCCATCTTGCGCGAGATGTGACCGGCGTAGATGTCAGCGTCGAGTCGATATATAGTCGGCAGTCTATGCTGGTGGCAGCATTGAAATCGACGTGTACAGGAGCGACAGAGCCGTCAAGGTCGGGTCTTATTCCAGACGATGAGGACACAGGCAGAATAAGAAGAGAAGGATCGAAGGGGGGATGAAGAGAGTGAGATTAGGCTGGCACAGATGGAAGGTGGCGTTGCGCCTCGAGTCACGGTGAGCGCAGATGTTTCAAGTGACTGACACCCTTCAATGCAGGAGGCGGCGTAGAGATTGGAGGGAGAGCGAAAGTGTTGCAGGCAGACTCGCTTGCGCCCGAGGAGCGGTGTGAGGCCAAGACTCGTCAAGTTCTTAGGAATGAGGAGGTGAGAGATGCAAGGAGGAGGAGGCGAAGGAGGCGAAGGACCGATGAAGCTGGGATGAGTTGAAGGGACGGGATGGAATGGCACGGGCACCTAACAGGATTGAGTTGAGTCGACCAGGGCAGTCCCGGTGCGCAGGGAGGGGAGAGAGGATGATTATTGAGCAAGGACCGGCGTTGGCCTGGGAAGAGGCTGGTTTGCACTGCACTGGCAGCGGGAGCGCAGCTGGAGCGCAGCTGGTTGGCAGACCCTAGTGGCCGCGCTCCGAAGAACAGGTGACAGGCACGGCCGACAGACGGGTGAGTTGCAAGCACCTAGCAAGGGTTCTAGGGGGTCTAAAAAATGCTTGACTTTCTCTCCAAGTGTCAGCTAGTGCCTAGAACGGGCCATGCTAGCGATGCTAACCCCTAGCGTCCGTAGTAGGCGGCCGCTGTGCGGATGGAAAGACACTGACGGCGAGGACATACAGATAATGTAGTACATAAGGTACGGATACTTGCTTCTCGATTAATTAATTGAGATGGACTTGGTCTTCACAGCTCCCCAGTCTGTATCTACAGTACAGAGTACGAGTACGGACTACTACCTCAGGTACAGAGTAGATGGCTGACTGAGGTACCCATACCCCCGTACGGAGGATGTCGTGTTTGATCTCTGTCCCCGCGCGCGTCCTCCTCGGCTTCAAACGCCAAAAACTCTATGCATACACTTCCGCTGTTCGGATACGTTCCTGGGCATGTGTGCACTCCACTGTCTCAGGTTGACATCAGATGCACTCCTTACTGACACAGCATATCAGGCACCTACCAGGCTTCTACAGAAAAGCACCAACTCACGGCTCGCGGCCCCACTGCGTCTTACTACTGTCGCTTAGTCGCATCGCACCTGCGAGACCCCAGCAGACACGGCACACTCTGCTTTCAGTCGCATCGACCGAGTACCTATGATCTCACCGAAAGCCGTCGCAAGCCATGCTCCACCATCTACGAGTGCTGTCCTGGTCATGATGGATCCATCCCATCTAATAGGTACGCTATACTCCGTACACCAGCCGGATGTGCCGAAAACTTTCTCTGGCACCATGATCTGCAGAGTATAAGACAAGATCTCAAGAGCCAGCCAAAGCTGAACACATGCTGAACATGGTCAAGGTGTATCAGATCTTCAATCAAGACGTGGTTGGTTTTCACGCAGCCAATTGACTAGTCTAAGGTGCCCGACTATTGCGACAGGTAGTCGTTGTTGAGAGATATTTTAACAGCTCGCGCCAGTCTCTAACGAGGTTGTCTCGCCCCCCTGGTCTCTGGTCAGATCCTCGCGCCTAAGCCGATGGCTAAGTACAACCGCGATCACTAAGAGACCGGAGGCTTTGGTGCAAAGAACGTAACCCCTCAGCAAGAAGAGACATGCAAAAGAAAAGTCAAAGGCCCTAAAATGTCGGTCCGAAAAGAATCGAGACATTGTAAACCATTGTTCCACGATAAGCGGTCTTACAGCTCGAGAAACCCCAATTTTGTTTGCAAGTCTGTCTGATGGACAGGAGGGCAAACGCCCTAGCAAACATAGTAAGCATGTACGCCAGACTATCAGATACGTTGAGAGTGTTTTTCTGGGCAATTTCCTCAGCAACAACCAGATCACGACTGCCGTGTCTCGCCTCCAGCGCCGTGCAAATCTTGGGACAAGAAAAAATCCAGAGCCCCCTGTCGAGCAAATCCCATAAACTCGTTTTAATCGTGATACATGAAAAACAAAATGAAATCAATGGCGAGGTCGTGCGCCTTGTCGTCCTGATGGACTTCCCTGGGGCCTGGGAGTAGGCTCTTGCTCCGGGTCGATGGTCTTGCTCGGTACAGGCGTAATGTCCGCGTCCATTTCAATATCTGCCACACTCGTTCCTGGCTCGCGGGGAAAGATAACAGGAGGTGTGATGTGGCCTCGACTAGCAGGGCGTTCAAAGTCCGGCCCTTGGTGCGAATGTTGTGAAGATATCCGCTGCATCGTTTTGCGTGGTTGGATTGCTGTCAAACTAGCAGGGGACGCAGGCTCCTCTGGGATCCTCAGATTTTCCATTTGCTCCTCGAGAACCTCCAAGGATTTTCGAAGGTTATCTGGCTCCGCTGTCCGTTCATCGTGCATCGAAATTACGCTGCCGCGACTGTTGGTACGCAGCATTTCAGTACCCAGTTTCGAACTTGGGCGAGCACTCTTCCCAGTAGGCGACCGAGCCCGGACCTGGACGTCACCGAGTTCTTCGTCTTCGTCGTCTCCTTCCTCGGCTGCGCCGGTGGCATTTCGCATGCTCTTTTCCAAATGCTCGCGCTTCAACTTGACGGCCTCGGAAGACTTCTGCCGCCGTGGGGTGCGGAGACCGTACCCGCTAGGCTCCTCTACGCAGGCGCTGGGAGGGGCCGACTCGATCTGTACCAGATGAGGAAATCCACTTCGAACATAGGGGGGTTGACTGAGGACAATATCATCAGAGATGCCCAGTCCCCCTTTGGCCCATTCGTCGGTAGCTGCCCGGGACACAATCACCGGGATATCATCCCCCTTTAAAGACTCCAAGTCACTGAAAAACCCGCCACTACCGATTGAATCTTCGCGACTGGAGGCCTTGTAAGAGGAATCCGGTAATGTTGGCGGCAAGCTCGACGCAACAGAGCTCGGACTATCCTGACTGTGCACGGGGTCGAAACGGCTACTGACGGGCGGAATAGTCAGCGGTGCAGCCAGTTTCAAATCTTTCGGAGGTGGCTTCCAAGCACAGTATTTGCAGAGCATTTCGGTCAACTTCTGCATTGTCGGTGGCTTCTGCATTAAGGTGTCGAAGTGGTGGCTCTCCGGCAAATCCTTGAGATAACCGGTGATGCATACAATGGGCGTATGCGTGTTGGCACTCTTGGTGTCTCGAATCATCCGCGCAACGTCTACGCCGGAAATGAGCGGCAGCTTGAACTCCATGAAGATGACATCGAATTCGATTTGGCTGACAGCCAACCGGAGCGCATCAGGCCCGTTGCTCGCCGTTACTGTACGACATCGGAGCTTCTCAAACAACCTCTCCATAACCATGCGAGAGATAGGATGGTCCTCACAGATCAGCACGTCCAATGGGCGATACATTGGACCATCGAAGAAGTTTATCTGCGATAATCTCCTCGAGCTCTGTCTTCGACGTTGAACTTTGAGCAATGCCTTGGCATGGGCTGACTCGTTATCAGACGATGAAGGTGAAATATCCCGTACAAGGAGCTGACTCCTTCGTTTATGATGACCTGGGATAAATCCTTCTCGAGGAGTCTGACCGTCACTCTCTTGCGACCCGACGGTTTGCGAACGCGTCCGGCCGTGAATGCTTGTCTGTCTTTGAGGCACGGCCATTGCCTTCGCCGGGGAAGCTCCAGGCATTCGTATAGGCTTGCTGGGAGAAGAGGAAAGCGGGGCTCCTTGCTTGATAGTGTCATAGGGAATATCAAAGAAGCTCCCAGGTACGAGCGAACTGCTCCCTTGTGACGAGCCAGAAGTCTTTCTTCTCTCGTGATGCTGGGCGGTGGAGAATTGTACCAACAAGGGCGAGGAAGGCTGAGAGGGTCTGCTGGGTGAAGAGTTGGATGTCCCCAAGCTTGACGGAGATCCTGGTCTGTGCCCCTTGCTGATTGATAACGCGCGCTTCACAGGCATGGGCATCATTGGACTTCCTTCAACTGACGGCCCAGGGGAACCAACAGCCGGGCTGTTAGCGGCCGAGACGGCTTGAGAGTGCGAATACCCCCGCGCTTGGGCTTGCATCGCTTCTTTCCTCATCTTCTCAACAATGTCCTTGTTGGCCTTCTCCAGAACTGGGAGGTTCTTGAACGTGAAATTCCCAAAATCGTCAACAAGGACAGGCTCACTCAACCTGCGGCTTCGTGAGTCACGCACGACATGAGGAGGAATGTGCAAAGGCATCAATCCTCGTTTGCTAGAGCCTCCCTGTGTCTTGGCGCGGAATAAAGCATCGTGTGGACGATTTGGATATTCTGTACCGTTTGGAGTAGTTCCGGACGGCGAAACCTGGTCCTCAAGCTCCTCAGGAAAAGACGACAATGTGGCTCCGCGTGAATCAAAATACTCGGTGTCTTCAGGGTGCTCGGGAGCTGGGATGAACTGGGCCTCATCTTCGAGTAACGTCCCCCAGTTGATGTCAGCGAACCATGAATGAGCTTGGATTTCTCGACCGCCGCTTGGGTACTTTTCTTCAACATTGGCTCCAAGTCTTTCCCTCGGATCCAGCTGGAGCAATTTGCCGATCAAATCTTTCGCCTCAGGGCTGACTTCCACCTCATCATCTTGGGGCCAGGCAATCCTTCTGTGGAGGATGTTGTCAAATACCTTCTCGGTTGATTCCGCGTTAAAGGGCGGATACCCATAAAGAAATTCAAACATTATGCATCCCAGAGACCACCAATCGCACATCTCATCTTGACCGTTACCATTGATGGTTTCGGGAGCCAGATAGTCAGGTGTGCCAACGAAGCGCCGATCTGTCGCCTCAGGATCAAATAAGGGCGGAAGCACCTGAGAAGAGGCAAGAGGAGGGGGACCTTGTGAGATGTTGCTCATCGATTGTGATAACGGAAAGAGATCCGGTGACTCGCTGCCTTGGCTGTGGGACTCTTCTTCAACAGGGTTCCCTCGGGGTGGCGCATGGACTGTAGTATCGGCTGACTCTTGAATTTCGAGTTTTTTGAAGAGAAGATTCAGCTCATAGCTTGAGCCGCTGTCGCTGCGATCTCCGGGACTTCTCCAGTAAAGTTCACGGTTCAAGGAGCTGTCACGATTCAAACTGAAATAAGAGGGCTGATCAAGACCACCAGTCAAAGCGGGTGTCATGAGAGGAGTCGGCGCAGGCGAATTGGGACCTTGATAGTCGAAAGAAGCAGATCTCGACGTCGGGCCGGAACCCGTAGCTGAACCAGACTGCGTGAATGGGCCTTGTTTCAGCAAATCAGGTGGGCGCTCATCCGGCTGCTTGAGAGCACGCTTTTGTCGACCAATGAGACCCATGCGAGAAAGACCGAAGTCAGTGAGCTTGAGATGACCCTTGGAATCGATCAGAAGATTATCCGGCTTTAGATCACGATGGACGATGCCTCGACTGTGCAAGTGCTCCACTCCGAGAACGACTTCAGCAATGTATTTCTTTGCCCAATCCTCGCTCAGGCCCCCGAGGATTTTCACGAGCGAAGCACAATCGCCTCCGTTCAGATATTCCATCACCAAGTAGAGATAGTCTTTGCTTGAGAAAGTCCAGTACAACTTGGCAACGAAATCGCTTTCTCCTTGCCACATCATGATTGCACGTTCGGCTTTCACATTGGTCACTTGGTTTTTGGCCACCATATCAGATTTCCGGAGCACCTTGATTGCAAAATATTCCCCTGTGATCTTCTTCTTGGCGAGGTAAACACTCCCAAACGCCCCTCTGCTGATGGGCTTGATGACTTCGAAGTCTTTGATAGAGGGAGGCTGCGCCCGCTGTTGCGGATGGTTGATGGAGTTGAGCCTAGGAGAGGACGGAGTCTTGTCAGACGAGTGCATTGAGGAATGCCTCCGATGCACAATGTGACCATTCGCAGGAGGCATGAACTCGCCAGCAGTCAGCAGTGGTGACACAACAGGCGACTGGGCCAGTTCGCCGCTGGGGATCCTCGACTTTGTCATGCGAAGTGGCGAAGGTGGAGGAGGTGGGTATCTTCCAGGGGATTGCTGGCGATGCGGAGAAGCCGAGTTGAGACCATGAATATGCATACTTCTTCTTTTCCTGTCGCGTGAGGTCGCGGTTCGACCATGATCTGAGGCGGACATCGGAGACTCGGCACGCCAGTTGTGGGACAACACTGAGGAAGGCAAGCTGCTATCGCTGTCATTGGCGTCTTCAACATAGACAGGTCGTCTGTTAGATATAGGTTGCGGCTGAGAGACTAGATTGCTCTTGTGTGACTTGGGAGTGGGACACTCCACCGGACTGTTTGAACCCGTTGAGACAGCCTGCGACGAGGAGCGCCTCTGATCTCTTATAGTGATGTGTGCTATCTCACGAGGATTTCGGAGAACAGAGGCCATAGCCTTCAGCCCCACATACGAGGCGGCACGCGTATCCTGGGAGTCGACAGCCTGCGAAGTGAATTCATCGTTTTGTTCCTGATTCTCGACATTTTCTCCCATTGCAGCCTCATCCTCAAACTCGCTCTCACTGGACGACAGAGCCTCCCCTGCCGCAGCTCTCTCCGCCTTGATCAGAGCTTCATTGATGCACGCGTCAACTTCAGCCATGTATTCCTGACGGATGCGTTCCGAGTATTCCAAGATATACTGGTGCCGGTGCACAGCTTCCACCTTTGCCCGTGCCATCTTCTCCGTGTCAGCGCTAAGCGCAGCTAAGCCAGGCTCGGTTTCCAAGCTACTCGGGGGTTGCCACTGTTTGACCTGTGATATCCTCGACTCCGAGGGTGGCGATTGGGATCTGAAATCATCTTCGGAATTATTCTTGCTGTCCTTAAATGAGGGGACATTTATCTCGAGGGCCGTATCACAAAGGTCAAGAATAAGCTCGACAATGCGAACGAGTGGTCGCCGAACCACAAACGATCGAGCCCGAGCATGGCCCAACCCTGCAGCGGATGGACTTCTGGACCTCACCGGACTAGCAGCATGAGATACCGAGGCTGAGGAAACACCAGATGAGGGCGTTGGCGAAGGCCCGATGGGCAACCCCTTGTACTCTGAAACCGAACCAGAAGCAGGGGCGATCTCGGTGCCAGAAGATCTTCCCTGACGAGCTTCAAAAGCATCCAAAACCTTAACAATTGCATGCCGTTGTTCTGCGAGGTTCTCCTGGATCATCTGGACATCCATCTCTGCTTTATGCTCTTGCACACATAGATCTGAATGTTTCTCGAACCACCAAGGCACTATAGAACGCTCGCAGACTCGACAGAGGACTGGCAAGGGAGGGGGGTGATTCTCAGGGTCGTTGGCACCAGCCTCCGCGAGCTCGGTGAGGTATTTGGCGAGGATTTCTGCGCCTACCCCAAGCGTTTCAACCAAGGCTTGTGGAAGAGCAATCTCGATACGGATTGGTTTGGTGGCAGGCTGTAACATCCACATAGTGTGTGACTCTCCGCCAGAGGCTCGGTCATACACCATAATTCCCTGACCTTCCAGCTCAAGTGTGGCTTTTCCGGCCTCGTCAGTGTCGACATTGTCATCCCTTGGGGCTTCGCCGTCCTCGGTCGGGAGCATCGGTGCCATATCCGAAGAGGTGCCAATCCTGACAGCAAACTTGACTATTTGGCTTTTGGAGTCATTACGCTGCAGAGCCTCTATCGCCGAGTCAAACACCTCGGTATCGCCACTGATGAACTCGGAAATATTGTGTCCTCGGACAGCGTCCAACTCGGTGCCAACCACGTCTGTCCAAGACGGGCTGACCCACCGGACTCGGCCATCAAGCCCGAGATCGAGAATGATATTGCGTGTCTGTTCGGCCGCCTCTTTCAGCTCTTGATTGCCTTCTTGGATGTCCTGGCTAAACGATCTCTCCATGGCGTGGCGGGTGATCTGGTTCCCGAAACCCGCGTCGCCCTTGATAGCGGTGATAGCAGGTGGCTGCATAGATTTTTGTGTAGAGCCATCATGTGCCATTACTCCTGCTTCTGCCAGGGAAGTGGTAGGGTGTATGCGAGTCGCGGGCGAAGCGAGTGATCAAGAAGGACTGTGTCTGCGTTCTCGAGAGTTTTGACCCGCCCTGGGAGTCCCAGTCTCCCGGCTAGCTTGACATCTCCATGCAGAATGAACGGGGGTACTCTGGCTGGTCGAGACGGAGAACTGAGGAGAAAAGGTAGATCGGCGAGAGGTCTGTTGTCGGGGGGTTGTAGAGGGAGAAGTCTAGGGTAAAACAACCATGAGAAGGGCAGTGTTTCGACTGAATGATGGCGTGGGACGTTGTTGTTCTCTTTCGTGGAACGAACAAAGGGCGGGCAGACTACATGAGGCCCTCAGTAGCTGGGAGAGGGTGAGGTAAAACGGTTAAGGACGGCCGACTGTGCGCAGTTTGAAAGAGGAGGTATGTATAGCGGATACGCAGTCAGTGGATGTAAAGACCCTGGAGAGAAGCAGCCGCTGTCAGTGAGTGAGCAATTCGTGAGCGAGCGTGAGCGTGAGCGGATGAGCGAGCATCGACGCAGGGAGAAACAGCCAGTGGTATGAGCGTCACTGTGTAACTCCGTTACAGCAGCAGGCTAGGCGCTGATAGGTCACGGAGGACACTGCGTCTGGTCTGGCGCAGGTGGCGGGGCATTTCCCACCCAGAACCCTTCTTGACCTCGCTTTCAAAGCAAAAAAAAACTAATTGGGACACCACCAGACACCCTGCCACCACTGCTAAACGGGTGCTCCCCTTATCCCTGATCGATTGTATGTACGATACTCCGTCTACATCCACCCACTCACTGTTACCTAGGTATAGAGGAATTATGTACAGATACACAGCAGCACTAGGCCTCCTCAGCCATACGGGTACCACTTCCCCCTACCAATAGCGCCCTTATCCTGTCAGCGGCCCCTCCTCTGGCCTCTAGGGAAAGATCCCACGACACCCCCGTGAACAGACCTCCCTCTACGCGTGCCACTATCTTGTCTTAGGGGCCCTAGGACGTCTCTTGCCACGCGAACCCTCGCCTTAAACGCCAACACGAACACGAACACGGCTTTACGGGTCATTCTATTTATCATCCCTGACACCAAGCCTGACTTTCCTTCCGACTTCCAGGCCCTGCGCCCAACCTATCTCGCCTTTCGTCGCCCTCGTCGGCACTTAACTCTACATACTAGCCAAAAGCCTGCTACTAATCCGCCAAAACCGCACACTCCTCCACCTGGCATATCCCGCATTCCGGCAATGAGGCAAGCCCATACATACCCTGGCTGCAGAAAGAGGTGGGGGTCCATTGCGTCTTCGTTGACATGCCATCCTATGTACTACCTCAGACTCGAGAAGACGTGAATGACCTTTTTTCCCGCAAGATCTTGTTGACTGACCAGATCCTGGGCTGTTGTGTGACGCAGCCATGCCCAGGCGCCGTGGCCATATGATATACCGTGCGCCAGAAATCGGCACGCCAGCTCGCCAGACATTCATGAAACAAACCTATCGAGGGTGCCACGGCCAATAGGGTTTCCTGATCCCCTCGCTGGCTGTCGTGATATCCCAACGGCCACATCATGGGATTGACCGCACTGTCCATCTGGCAGCCAGGGATTTTGGCTTTGCGTCCTCCCTTGGGGCGAGGAGGGGTTCATGTAACTCTGCCCTGTCTCTTAGGTGTACTCGTACGGGTTGTCTTGATTTGCACCCAGGCCAGACAGCACAAAAATGACCCCCGTTTCTATTGTTATCACCTCTTTTAGGCCCTTGGTTTTATTGCTGCCGCGTAGAGTTCTTGGTCGTACGGGCCACAAAACTCTCGAAGATCCCAGGCCCGGCCTCACGAATAATGCCTCTTATTCTCAGCTGACCGGCCCGCTTCGCCTGAAAGAGAGTGGATGTCAAACTCAAGTCAATGGGCGGGATAGTCCCATCAGCGAGACGACTTCTATATATACTCTAGAATTAATTATAAAGTGAACGATTGGGTATCTGTCCTAGGCCGTAGAGCACTTGACCTAATTAGTTTTCAATTAATAGTTATCAGACCATATTACTTGCCCCTTTGTATGTACGTAGCTGCACCTACTCTGCTATGCATCTGAGCATCTGAGTGGCAATGTCCTGCCACGAACCGTCCTTCTTATGCCATGGACACATATCCAGGGCTAGGGCTACACAAAGCACATCCACCCACCCATACCTTAGGTATATAAGAGAAGCGCATGGTCTTATAATATGCCTGCCGGGTAGCTCCATGCAATTTAGTATCTAATGCACGGATACAGTATCGAGCCATAACGTCCTTGATAAGTATAGATTCTACTCTCTAGTATCCGTACTTTGTACTGGCTCTAGGTGGCTCCGTACCTAAATACCTAGGTAGTGAAATATGCTCGTTGCAGGCTCCTCTTCCCTCAAAAGAGTTTAGGAGCATAGGTCTATATTCGGAACACAATTATTTAGGCTTCACACATCAGCAGTAATGATACGGAGATGTAACATACTAGGTACCTTACCCAGTACATACACTGTCCTGCTGAGCCCGGACTAGGTACAGAGTAGGTACTAGGTACTATACTAGGTACTCCGTACTTTGTACGAGTAACTCCTCCGTACCGCTCGACCAGAAGGCAAAAACAGGCCTCTCGGGACCGTTCCTTCGCCTCTCCGGTGGTGTTTCCCTGGCTATCTCACGGAGGATGCTCACTGCATTTTACTCGCCACTATCGGGGAAGGGATTTCGAAGGGTTGAAAGACCATGCCGCCGTCTATTCCTAGGTCGGACCGATCACCGCTTCGCTGATGCAGAGCCATAGATTGGTAATAGTAGGAAGGGCAATAGCCTCTGGTGATGGGGAAAAAAATATGCATACAACAACCCACGAGGCCTTGCGAAACCTTGCGTCGTAGATGTTTTAAACTGCGTCGTAGAATAGTAAGCAATCTCGAGCCACCTAGCACGACCAACCACAACTGACCATCCGGAGAGGCATATAGCTCCAGCTTAATTCCTCACAGGCGAGAAGCGGTCCTTGCAGCGTGATTGAGACACGTTCCGCCGATGCCACGTCATCCCCAAACCGCACCTTTGCAGCCCGGGTTGCTAGTTTGTCGGAAGGGTCCTAGTGGTGCATTGATTCATCCCAGCACAGGGTCCCTAGCTTCCGTGTAGAAGGCTTGCGAATGGGACGGTCGGTTTGGTTGCCAGTGCAAAGTATCCCACATCGATCCTCCAAAGCATCCGCAGGGTGTCTCCTTGGTCCTTTTTCTGGCCTGACCCTATTGTGTCTTCTTCTGACCCTGTGCCCGGGGCGTCTGTTCCTCGTCCAGTTTGTACCACTTGACGGCGCGGGCAAATCCTTCGTCAATGGGCACTATGGGTTTGTACCCCGTCCGGCGCCTCAGCTTGTCGCAGGAATAGTAGCGGTTGATGCAGGTATATTTCACTGTCTGCCGGTTGAGCTTGCCTTTTCGGCCCGTGAGCCAGTTGAACGTCTCGGCCGCGGCGCCCACTGCGTAGGCGAGGCCAGTGGGCAGCACCCATATCTTGTCGATGTTTATGTCCCGGCCATACCGACTATAGAGGTACCGTGACGAGTCCCAGAAATATGCAGGCTGATCGTTGGTCACGTTGAATGCCTCGCCGGCAACCCGTTCATGGTCAAGCTCAACCGCCTTGCCGGACTGGCGGCGCGCGTGGGTGGCGAGCAGAGCATCCGTGGCGCATAGAAGTCCATAAACGACATTGTGCACGTAGGTGTTGTCAAAGAGGTTGTCGCCCGTCCCGAGCTGAATGTGTAGCTGCCACGCCGGTGCGACGCTTGCAGTTCGTAGTATTCCCCCGCTGAACCCTCCTCTGTCGCCTTCGCCGACGATTCCAGCCGGCCGAATGGCACAGGTCAACATGTGGCCGTATTCTGGCTTGTCGTTGGCCTCGAGGGCCAGCTTTTCTGCGTGGACTTTTGTTTCTGAATAGTATTCACGGGGGTTTGGGCATACATAGGGATATCGCTCGTCGGCATTGATGAGGTCTGAATCGCCGTCGTGCACCACACTCGAGCTGCTTGTGTGCACAAATACCTTACAGTGTCCACCCCAATCGCCGAGTTTCGCGCCAGCAACTTCTAACAAAGTCCGTGTTCCATCAATGTTCACCTTCCGCAAGATGGCTGCGGGAGCCTCCCATGAAGGCGAGGCCGTGTTGATGACTACATCGGGCTTCACTTGGCGAAAGACTTCGAGGAGGGCATCCGGGTTCGTGATGTCGGCTTCATGATACGTGCAGCCGGAGAAGAGGTTCTGCGTGCAGCGGAGGTCGAGGGCATGAACTTGAGTGCCGGAGGAGGAGATGGGAGGATATCGTGAACGCAGGCTAGGAAACTGAAATATGGTGATATTAGAGGAGGATGGACTGCGCAGCTCGTCGCTGTGTGGTGTTTGATGCTGGCCATTGACAGTGCCGTTGCTGCTGCTGGCTTTTCCTGATTGCCGCTGCGACTCGTCCTGGGCCTCTGCTGGGAAGTTGAGCAGCTGCTCAACCACGCGCGACCCAAGGAACCCGCAACCTCCAACAACGAGGACTGTGCCGTAAGACTTGGGAGAGGCTCGATTCCCTGCCATTTTAGGAACACTCGACGAGGGGTGAGGAAGGATTGTCGACTGGTTCAACAATTTTGATAGTATTCCTTATTCCGTACGGTGTACGCCGTGGCTGGAAAAAGTGGAACTCGCCCCGGAAGACGCTGATTCCTCGTGGCGTGCTGGATGCCAGATGGAAAGAATTTAAATTAATTACAGAGAGACCAGGCTGTGAAACACCTGCCGATATTATCTCACCCCCATATTCAGTGCAGTGGCACAATAGAAGTCAATCGTCATAATAGATCACTGTGCCGATTCGCAGGATTGAGTAGGTACTCCCTACAGTGGTCAAAGTCTACCAGGAAGCATCTTGCCACTCCGGCAACTGTTGGGTACCGGACGGTACCTAATCATTTACCTGATCCTTGAATGGCAGGCTTAGATCTCCGTGTCCGGTCTGTTGGTTGGGCCCGAGGATCGTGATGCTACTACCAGTACCCGTTGTCTCCTGAAGTCCCGAAAACAGCAAGAATCCACACCGCCGACTGTGAAGCGCGTCATCTCCTGACTCCGTGCTGAACTCGATCCATATGATTATGCCATCTCACGTCTCCAACTCCGTCCGCATAGAATTGTTGCATCTTCTTCACGCTCAACCGACTAGGAAGGCTCTTCAGTCGTTCGCTGAAATGATCTCCTGAGTTGCCGATAATATCTCTTTTTGTCACTGTCCGAACCCCAGAGCAGTTTCGTAGCCTCCGGGTGAACAATTGTGCGTGGATCGTAAGGAGGCGACTCCTCTTCCAATGCTTCGGCAATACTCTCGATGTGGTTTCGCAATTCATCCGGCTTTCTGGGAAAATAGCACAAAACACCGTCTTTTGACACTCGGTGGTGGTAGATTGGTGATTCGACTTTGACCCGGGGCTGTTCATCAGGGAAGCGAGGGCTAATGCTCACTCTGATCTTGAAGATTCCACCATCCAGGCGAGTCATTGGTTGGCCGTAATAGGTCATCAGCCACACGAAGGGGTTGTTGTCCTCCAGCTCAACCGAGACATTGTTGCACTTTTTCTGCTTGAAATAGTCTCCCAATTGTTCGGATTGCCGTAGAATGAAAGCCGCCTTTGACGATTCCCGCTCGTTCAAGGCTGAGCCTTCGGCTGCCCAGGCGTTGGTTTCATCACGAAGCACCTCTTTGATGCGAACCAGACGCTTTCCAAGATCGCCGTAGCGGAATTTCCCATCCATGGTATTGCCACCTCCCTCGAAAGGCATCTTGGTAAAATCCGAACCGTCTTTATGCTTGGGGCTATATTCGAGCACAGTTGTCATGTAGTGTTCATAGTACCACAGAAACCTTCGCTTGAATAGGTCTTTGAATGGCTCGAATTTGAGCTTCAGAGTGCGCGACTCATTTTCTTCTTCATTCTCTTCGTCCTCGTCCCCAGATCCGGATTTCGTGGAGTCTTTGTGAAGGGCCACTGAACCGTCAGGCTGAATACCCAGGGCTTCCTCGAGTTTCTGGATCACAGCGATGCGAAGAGTTTCATGTCGGATCTAACGCCAGTCAGCACTCTACCTCAGCAGTATCCACAGTCAGGAAAGCAGACCTTTGCACAGTACAGGTCGTTCATTTTCTTGTCCTCGGTGCCCTTTGCGTTCTCATACCCTGGCTCATTCTCGTATGGGCTGTTTGACATCAGACTCTGTATGGACCACAGTATCGACTCGAGGCCCTGTGCAGACGACCACTCTTCACCTGGTCTCTCTCCGTGCCACGTTCCCAGAATGGATAGGCAGACCTTGCCACCTGCGTATATGTTTGGATTGAACCGTGTCCTGCCTCCATTTGTGGTTCTGGCTTCGACTTTGGGCGGCTTGCTTGGGTATTCTGCGCCAAAGACGATCGAGAACTCGAAAAACCCATACTCATAAGGTGTGCCGTGAGGACCGATGATCAGAGCTTTGACATGGCGGACGTCTTGTTCCTGACAACCGACGGCGATGGCTGGGGAGGGATTGTCAATAAGTGTCAAAGTAGAGAGAAATCAAGTTCATCGCACTAACACAGATCACTGCCTCGTTGGATTTGAGAGAGTTCCTGTAGTCTTGTCAGCGACTTCTTTTCCGGGCGTGAACAAACACTCACTCTTGATATTCTCAAGATGGTCTGGTTCGACATGCTGCAGGCTGGACGGTGTGAGCTTGTGCATCAGAGGGAAGAGAGAGGACAACGACAGGGATGAAGTCTGGGTCTAGCAGGAGTGTGATATGAAGAGACATGGTCTGGGGGAAGCATGCGAAGGTTCCGTCATGCAGCCAGTGATGAGGCTGTGTTTCACAGGCTCGGGTCAGGTAGGTAGTGAAGGTGCCTGCAGCGGGGACGCGGTACTATGCACCATGTGGCAGTAGGAGTGACGGTCAGTGTCGGTTGGACGGACACGTGCTGCTACCTGGATGAGGGAGGACCTGCCAGTACGAGTAGACAGAAGAGACCGGGGGGAGGGCGTAAGGGCGGTGCAGTGTGGTGCAGTGCAGCGCAGGTTTGGACCTGGAGCGGCAGGCCTGAGGCCAACACAGCAGCCTGGAACTAGAGTCGATCTAATGCCCAGTGACAGCTGGAAGCACGCGAACCATCAGCATCAGCAAGGCTGAAAGGCCAGTTTACGCAGATCTGGTACTCCATACGCTAGGTACCGAGAGTGTGAGTGGTGAGGGCGATAATACGCAGCAGGGCGTAGGAGGCTTGCACTGGACAGCTGAAGCGACCAGCTGCGGGAGGTGAGATGCGATGAGTCTGATGACGCATCTGACAAGATGAGGGGGAAAAGAAAACAATCGTCTGACAGAACAAAGACACCCTGGCTGTCAGTGCATTGCAGTGCCAGGATCTGGTCAGACACCGCCATTTCTTATGATAGAGGGCGCAGTTGAATGGGCCTAATAAGGCCTGGCTGGGCTCTGGAGCTCTGGAGCTCTCCACACTGCACTGCAGACTGCAGTCAGAATCTCCTGCCCCCATCTTCTCCAGTGTTGTTGACGGTGTTCACCGAGGAATGGGATGTCACCCAAGTGGCATCTGAAGTTATCGTCTACTAGTATGTTGGTATCAATATATCTCGATCTAATTCATGCCCACAGAGCTTACCTCCCACTCTCACATCCTTTGGCGTTCATCTTCTATTGTGTCTCAGGTTGCGCTCATGCTCTTCTCCTCACCGGCAATGCGGCGTTCTGTATCTATCAGCCGGCCAAGACTATTGCCAGGCGTTTCTTCATTTGTCGCAAGTAATATACAAGATGACACTCCTGCCTGAAGAGTTTAGACGCCGATTTCCCCAGGTCATGGGGCCGCTGTCAATCATGACTAGTCACCAGCTTTCCCAAGTAACGCAGTCATACTCAGAACAACGACGGAGACCGAGACGCGTCCCCATCTCGATTTGCCGGCTTCGTGGTGCTCGTACTCCAGTCGCTGTTGTGTCGCATTCCCTGCATCAAACCACCAACGTCTCGGCGACCTTTGCGGGGTAGAAGCCCGTCAACATGGGGCTTGTCATGATGATGCGCTTGATCTAGCAATGCCTGGACCAGCGCTTGGGCATCAGCATCGATCCCGGCTAGATCCCCGGAGACATTGGGCGGAGGCCCAGGAATATCGGGAACATCCACGCGGTCGGAACAAACACTCGACGACGACGTCCTTGTTACCAAGAAGTCTGAATCCTGCCCATGATTGAGCAGGGAGATGTTTTTTTCAGTCAACGCCATCGCAAAGCGATTAGCGTCCTCTTGGACTTCCTCGGGGTAGCCACTCGATCCTTTAGGGGTTGAGGTGTCGAGGGAATAGCTGTCACCTGAAGTAATATGACTTTGAGCGCGATCATCCCTTGTAGCAGACAACAATTTGGCATCGCGCAGATCTCTCGCTTGATCTTCTGCGTGCAACCTCCTCGAGGCCCGGTTTGCCTCTGTTTCAGCTCCTGGAATCTCCATCTCGCGGATTTTTCGAGATTTGCTTGATCGGCGGGCAATCCCTGCACCCGCCGCACTGGCTATCCCTTCTGCGTAGGTCGGAGCATCAAGATCCCTTTTATCCTGGTCAACGTTAATGCCAGGAAAGATTCCGGTAAGAACAACGTCATGCTCGGTACAGCTCGATGATTGATCAGTGCAAGCTCGGGTGAAGGGCGATTGGGAGCGGTCTGCATTTGCTTCTGGCGGTCTGCGTCCCTGGAAGATCCATTTCATGATGGTTTGCTCAAGCAACGGTCTCTTGACCGGCTTCGCCATATAGTCGTCCATTCCTGCCTTTTCGCATTTTTCTCGATCACCGTGGATCGCAGATGCTGTCATCGCCACAATTGGGATCCTGGCGATGGTTGTGATGTTCGTAAACGGAGCATGGTATCTCAGCATATGAGTGGCGCGGTAACCGTCAAGGACGGGCATCTGAACATCCATAAGAATCAACGATGGAATCGGATACACTTTGGAATGTTCAGGAGTCAGATCTGGAGAGGTTGCTTTCAAAAGATATTCCAGCGCTTCTTTCCCGTTCCAGACAGCGTTAACGGAAAATCCGAGGGCTTTGATGAATTTGACAGCAATTTGTTGGTTCACAGGATTATCTTCTACGACGAGGATGTGAAATTGTTCCCGCGGAAGGTCCGAAGCTGGTGCTTCTGTACCTGACTCGGGTGGGATAGCTGACGAGCGTTGGGCCGCTGTGATGGGAACATTGGGGCTCCTGATGTGCGTGGCGAGGTTTTGAGATTTTCGATTTTCCTCCTTTGACGAAGTACTCAGGGAGATAGACAATTCAGCCCGCAACCTTTCCGGCACCATTCCCATATCAAGAAGAGTCGGAGAAGAATTACCTCGGTACTCTCGCTTTTTGAATGGAATGGAAAAAGTGGCCTGGGTTCCTGTATCCAGTTTTGATTCGAGCCTGATGGTCCCATGCATCAGGTCAACAAGATTCTTGCAGATTGTCAAACCGAGGCCTGTGCCTCCGAAACGTCTTGCAGTGCTTGAGTCTGCTTGGCTGAAGGGCCGGAAAAGCCTCTTCTTGACTTCCTCTTCGATACCAATCCCACTATCCTCGATGCAGAATTCGACAGTAGTTGTATCGTCGGCCTCGTTGATGATGCATGCACTCAATCTGACATATCCATCTGACGTGAACTTGATGCTGTTTGTCAAGAGGTTGGTAAGGATCTGTCGAATGCGGCCTGGATCTCCTAGCAGAACGAGATCTTGCGACGTTCCAAGTCGAATATCGCTGCCGAAATCCAGGTCTTTTCTCTTGGCTGCGAACGAGAGCATTTTGACCACGTCCTGCAGTACAATATTGAGGCTAAATTGGACTTCCTCGATATCTAGCCGGCCAGATTCAATCTTGGAGAAGTCGAGAATATCGTTGATGACGGTGAGCAATGAATTCGCTGAGCTCTGGATATTTTGAGCGAATTCACTCTGCTCCTCATTCAGCGCCGTATCCATCAGCAAGTCTGACATGCCCAGGACACCTGCAATGGGTGTTCGGATCTCATGGGACATGTTGGCCAGGAAATTGCTCTTCATTTTACTGGCTTCTTTGGCTGCGCGCTCGTTTGCCAATAACTGGATATTCTCCTGTTCTTTCTGCCGTATTTGAGTAACCTCCGTGCCAATTCCGATGACACCGCTAATATAGTGTTCATCTTCGACACCATTTGACTTTCGCTTATCTTTCAAGGGCACCATTTTAGAACGGAGCCACCGCGAATCGACTTCGTTTTCGCACACTTCTAGATCGGAAGTTCCATCGAGAGTGCGTTTGACGGCGGCCCTGAAACCGTCAATGCACTCCGGGCTCAGGTAATTTGCCAGTAAGTCGTAAATGGAACTTCCAACTGCGTGCTCTTTGAGCGGGTCCTCGGCGAGGAAGGTGCCCTCGAAGAACGTAACTTTCTCTTGCCGATCGATGATCCATAAGGTCATCTGAGAATGCTTCAAAAGGTCCATCAGGTGTTTTCGATCTCTTTGCCCGGCCAACTTCGCGTCGACAATATCTTGGATGTCTGTACAACTCCCAAACCACTTCAAGATTCTTCCGGTCTTGTTGTCCCGTAATGGCAAGGCGCGTCCAAGCATCCACCTCCATTCACCATCATATCTCTTACAGCGATACTGGGCTTTGTATTCTTCCCCAGTCGCCAGAGAGTGCGTCCATCTGCGCAAGGCTTCTGGCATGTCCTCCTCATGGAAAGGCAATTTCCACCCAAGCCCTAGAGACTCGGCAGGTGTAAGACCGGTGTAGTCATACCAACGCTTCGAAAAGTATTCGTGGTAGCCCTCCGGAGTCGTCGTCCAGCACAATTGGGGCATCATGTCGCACATCAGGCGAAAGTGCTCTTCCTTTTCAGCGACTTGAAGCGCAATCCTGTTGGTATACGAAGTGACATCCTTGAAAGCAATCATTGCAGCCAGAAACTCGCCCGACCTTTGGTCAAACAGGGGGTGACCGCTGACCTCAAAGGTGGTTTGCTTGCCCGTCAGCTCATTTACCAGGCCGATTTGCCAAGCGGTGAAGGCTTTCTGTGTGCGGCATAACGCGCTAATTGGATTCTCGTTCTCCTTAAGTTCGCGAGAGAAGTCAGGCAACCACGGGCGGAACCTAGACATGAAATCGTAACAGTCTTCAGATGTGGGATCCGCGTCAACAGCCAACAGCCGTCGAGCCGCCAGGTTAGGATAGACGACACTTTCATCCCTCCACATTGCAACGAGGGGAATATCGATGGCACTCAGCATTGCATTCTTCATTTTGATCACCTTGTCGAAATCGGCCACGGTCGATGAAGGGGTGCACGACCCCGGAGCGCTTGTTGGGAGAAACATTGCTCCGGTTGCATTCTCCGCAGGCCATGTCCCTTGTGAATTGGCATTTGAGGTGCCCGGAGTATGCGACTGGGACGAGCGGGATGACATGGTGGAATTTGAGGATGGGTTGCGATGTGCTGCTGGTGCCTGGCTATGTTTCTTGTGCGAGGATGGTGGTGGCAGGCTAGTAAAGGTCAAGGTGAAGAAGTGCTGTCCATCCAGTCTCCAGACACTGATGATCATTCGGCATGTTGCACGAATACGCCCACCTTGAGGCTTGTTCCGTCTTTGAGTCTGAGAGCGATGTTGAGGATGGCTACTGCGGGAGGAGATGGCGACATCGACTGCCGTATCGGGGCATTTCTGTGTTCTGTTTTGCTGTAATGGCGATAGACCTCTGGCAAAGTCTGTTGAGCTAGTAGAAGCCGTCTTCCCACTTTGTCTGACGGACTGCAAGCCATCCGCTAGGTTATCGAGGAACTTATCCCAGTCTACCCAGATGGATTGGCCATCGGAAACCAGATCAAGGCCAATCTGCGACAGCGCTTGCCCCTTGAGCACATCTGTCGCAGTCCTGTCAGTGTCATCCTGACCAGCTCCCAGTAATCTTCCAACGGCCGAGTTGGCAAGCAACACGGTTTTCCGGGAGGAGAGAACAAGTAGAGGCGTGGGGAGGGTCGAGAGGGCGGCCAGGGCAATGTCGGTGGCTACCGAGACGCGAGAGAGGTCGCTGTGCAGTGGATCACTGAGTGCATCGCCAGCATTGTAGCGGGCATCTGCAGCACGATCATCGGAAGATGGTGAAGCGGAGGAGGCTTGAACATCTTCTGCGACCATGGCAGACAGGATGACCGGAGCGCAAGCAGGTCGCAAGCGACCACTACAGCGTGAATGCCGGATGAGGTGGGAAGCCCACGTCCACTGATGCAAAGGTAGGCAACAGTGCTTTCCGCTCGGGAGGCGATCACATCGATGGAGAGTCACAGGTCGATCCGAGGCTTGTAATAAAATGAATGTTCATGGCTGGGTAGCGATGGAGCGATCTAGGAAGTGGTGGCACGCAGCCTGGGATGTAGGCAGACTCGGAAGAATAAGCGGAGGAGAGAGAATGAGAACGAGAATGAGAGCCAGAACGCCTGTGGTACACCAGGCGTCGGTTGGAGGAAGGCACTGCATACTTTCTCTCCCGTTGTTTGGGGTTGGTAGACAGACGGCCCGGGAATCTAGTGGGATGAGCCTGAGCCCACTTCCCACCAAGTGCAGCCAGCAAGCCTGAGACGTGCCGTTCTAGAGTACCTCCATGTACCTAAGGTACCATAGTACCGACTTTGCGGCAACACTTGTCTTTTCACCATCTCGCAGCAGCCCGCGTGGATCTTTTCTCCCTCGAGCTGTCTATCTGTCTATCACTCGTCATCTCAGGCTCAGGCTCAGGCCATTCACGCATCAGCCCCCAAACCAGCGATGGGGGCTTGGGACTACTCCGTACCCAATGTACTCGTACCGCACTGGCACACAAGTGGAAGTGGCGCTCTCTACCCTTACGCCACGCCCGGTGACGGTGACGGCAGACGCTCAGCCCACAGCTCGCTTGTCTACAATGCCATGCCGTGATGGTGCAGAAGCCCACATCACCATCTGTCTAGGTTGCAATTCTGACAAACCACCATCGAACGATCGCCTACCAAACACGCTACCGCACCGCCTATCCCCTCCAGCCCTCCAGCCGCGGAGACCAAATTCCACCCAATCGCGCGTATCGCCCAGACCGTCGCCGGTTTGGAAACCAGCTGCAAGTTTGTGCGTGGCCTGAAAAACTATAAAATTGTGCGTGCTGCAGCTACAAGAGACTAGAAAAGGACGTGAAGTCCAGTCAACATATGAGAAAGGCTGTCTATGTGTACCTCGGAATGGCAATGGCCATCAAATTTCTGACGCGCACCGCCCAAACTCTCTGTTGCTCCAGTGGGCCATTCATTCTCCCTAGACTCTCACAACCTAGATGCCGAATGGCTCTAATGGGTTCCACGAATCCACCCCCGAAGGTCTAGATGCTTCGGCCATTACTATCAACTGCCTGGTGACTACCTGACCGGTGTATGCTATTGGAACCGGATAACCATGTCCCGTTTGCAGTAGCAGCTAGCTGCTGGCTGGATCGAGTGTCGGGCTAGTAGGTAGAATGCGTTGATATCTAACTCCCAATTGTTGGTTCGATTAACTGACCCTCTAACGCGGGCAGGTTCTCCCTATTACTAGCCTATAATTAAACCAATTTCCAGAGTGGCGTGGCAATCTTGTCTCCAGAGTCGGTCTCCGAGATACCTAAGTGATATACCGGCACTCTGTCCTCCGTATAGGATGTCGTATGTGTCAGTATGTGATACAGCGCCCCCAACAATGCAGCTAAAAGAACCTGTACGCAACAAATACGCCCTGGAATCTCTACTTTTCCTGCGCCTGAAATGGCTCGTTCAAAAGAAAGGTTGCATCAGGACTGGATCGGCACTTGGTTCTTCTCCACTTCCAGGCCTTCTTCGGCCCTGACGTGCTTGTCCTGCTTCTCAACCACTAGGCCTTGCTCGGTCTCGTGAGCGACGTTCAGGTCGTATGCCTTGATGAAAAGACTGGCTACGAGACAAACACCGGCGAGCGCCGTCAAAAAGATGTACGTGGTACGCAGACTGTCGGTGTATGCGACGCGCAGCTCGTGCTTTCCCTGGCCAGCGGGGGTGTTCTTGATGATCTCGACGAGGGCAGCAGCGTCCTTGGCGAGGTCGGTCGCTCGTGCAGCAAAGGCCGGGTATTTCTTCAAGTTGCTTGCCATTTGGTTCTGGAAGATGACGCCACCCACGGCGATGCCGAGTGTCTGGCCGAAGCTGCGGAAGAAGACAAACAAGGCCACTGCAAAGGCCATGTCCTTGTTGGTGCTGGCGGCTTGCAGCTGGAATTGCAGCGCAGGAAACAGAATTCCCAGCCCAATGCCCACAACCAGGTCAATGAAAATCCATTGCGGGATAGTGGTATCGACTTTGAGCAACACGAGGAGGCCCGCTCCAAGCACTGTGATTGTCCACCCCAACCAGATGGTCCAGCGATACGCAGCAGTCTTGGCGATCATGAAGCCGGTCACAATAGCCATGGGCGCGACAGTAAATGTGGCAGGGAACAAGGCCACGCCGGATATGACGGGTGAGTACCCTTGGACCGCTTCAAAGTACAGAGGTTGGTAGTACAGCAGGCACCAGAGGATGATACCATGGAGGGTAGTGCTGAAGTAGGCAATGTTGGCTGTGCGGTTGGCAAAGACAGACAGCCTCAGCATGGGCTCTGGGGCGAGATACTTCTCGTAGAAGCAGAAGCCGACCAAACCCGCCACGCCGATCAGCAGAGGCACCAGTGTGCGCCACGACGACCACGAGTACATGACGCCGCCCCATGTCAAGGGGATCAGGAAGCTGGTCATGCTGCCGATGAACATGACCGTGCCGAACCAGTCGACGCGCTTAAGCTTCGTGGCAATGCTCTGCGGTATCAGGTTCAAACGGAGAAATAGAGGAACCATGACTGCTCCGACCCCGATAAAGGGCAGGTTCAGCCAGAAGATCCAGCGCCATTGAACATCTGCGAATGCACCGCCGATTATGGGGCCTGATACGCTGCCAATACTCCACATCCCTGAGATGATGCCGGTCCATTGGCCTCGCCAGCGAAGAGGCACTAAATCTGTGACAACGATCTCGGTCATGGTGATGATACCTAGGTAGGCCTCGTTTAGAAACGGCATTTGTCTCATCGTAGGCGGTGGATTTGGACTGGAATGGACTTACCGCCACCGCCAATGCCCTGGATCGTGCGTCCGACGAGCAGGAGGTTGAAGTGCTTCGCCATGCCAGCCATCATGACCCCAACAAAGAAGAATGCAATAGAGGCCATGATCACGGGCATCCGGCCGAAAATATGACTCAAGGAAGCAAAATTCGGCTGCAAGACCGTCGACGCCAGCATGAATGACGTGCCCACCCAGAAAGCCTCGATAGCTGATCCGTGAAGCTTTTTGGCCACAATGGGCAACGCTACGCTGATTGATGTGCCGTCCAAGGCGACCATGAGGGTAAGGACGGCAAGGGTAGCGAATGCCATAAGGAATTTTCTGGAGACAACAAATTGGACGTCATCTGACCCGTCGACTGGCTTAGCTGAGGAAACGGAGGCGGATGATGAAGTTGTCTGAGACTGTGGTTGCTGGGCGGCTGTTTCTGGCCTGTGTTCATCAGCCGGTATTGGAGTGGCCTCCTCAAGAGACGGCATGATGAGAGGTAAGCTATAACAAAGATGAGGCCAAAGAGGCAAAATCCGGAAATTGGGAGGATGAAATGGTTAGGGGATAGGTTGTAGCTTGAAGGACATGGAAATAGGTATAATCAAGACAAGGGCCGGTGGTAGATGTCTTTGATGAACGCTTTTGTACGTTTCCACAGATAGCACGAAGCATGATCTCATTTCGCCATGGCATCAGGAAGAGCAGGATTCGAATCTCGTGGAGTGGTAGTATTCGTATTGGGACGAGGCTGACATATCCTCCGGATTGGCTGACGGGGCAATATTGCTCCGACTTGGGTGCCTGGAAACCGTAATCGTATACGGCCGACACGGCAGCAGGTTCTGTCACTAGCAGTGCTCGGATGAAATCGACTCCTAGAGTCGCGCGCAGTCCCACTGTTCAACGGAGCCAGAAGGCTGGTCGTGCTTTCTTTTCGTGAACTGTTGCTGCCTGTTCCAAAGTGTAGCGAGAGGAACGGGGGAATCATTAATCACTCCGCCCGAGGGGAGGCAGAGGTTGATACGAGTAGCCCATCCTCATTGTTGCCTGGGGAAAGATCCACAAGCATTGCAGATTCGGAGTGGATAGGACACGCTCCTAATCGATGCGTGCGCAAGTCAATGTATCTGGATGGTCAAGTCTCGAGGTCTGGCATTCACCTTCTCGACCGGTGATGGCGATATGTCGCTGTTCACTGAACTACCTACCTAAATCGGGACCAGTCTGCACAAAGTCAAGACTCAGATATAGCCCAATCGACCACATGATCGAAGACTATGGGAGATATGTGCGATGGGGGGTTCGAGCGTCCTCGAGGTACCAGGTCGCGATGGGTAATCAGGAGGCCTGAAGGTTCAAGGGAGAAAACCGATCATCGGGGTCTAGAAGAGCCCCATTCGATCGAGTATTCAGGGGCACCACATTCCAAGGCACTTGTGTACTTGCACCTATGTACACTGGAACTGGAGCTGTATGCACTCCGTGCTTCAGACAACAGACAGAATAATGAGACAGTTGACAGTTGGCGCTAGATTCGACCTCTGAAAGGTTGAAGGTCGGAGGAAGGTTAGACCGGTCACGGGACGTGGCGCATGCGGGGCCCATACTATTTCGTGCCGCTACCATCAATCAGCTTTGAAATTCCCAACTCTGGCCTCTGCCCTCTGGACTTTGGCGTCGACGATACGGACGTTGGGCCAGAATGTCTCCGTTGTGACTATATCCGTACCCAACTCGGGAATCAAGTTCCTCCGGACCGGCCCTGACGACCCTTCCTCAGCTTTCAGTCATGCAGCGAGTGCCTACGATTGTCCGTCTGATGTCAATAACCTAGCGAGTATTTCACACTGGTGAAGCTGCAAAATCATCCCCCAAAGCCCATCATGCCGCTCGAGACACGCCGCCGCCTTGCTTTCTCGGCTCGCCCAGACTGAGCAGGTGCGGTTTTAGTGGTGTTCGTCACACCCTGCTTCGTCCGTTGGTGTGGCCCAATGTCGCTATGTACGTTGGACTGTTGCTTCTTGCCGTTCTCCTTTCGTCTCCTGTCTTGCGATTCGCCGTCGTGGGCTCCTCCCGATTGAGAGATGATGATAGGCTGTTGGGTGGGGTCATCAGCTTCAGTCCTGAAGCACATTGTTGCCGGAAAAGAACTGTTGGCTGTACAACTTTGCGGTGAGGATGAGAGTTGATGGAATAGTCACCGCTCCACACGGTCTGCAGAGTGCCAGCAATCGAAGAGCAACAAGATAGCGCAAAAGATATCTTTCCGCGATTAAAAAAGGAGTCGGTATCTCTTTTATGGGCTTGACGCAGACGAGTGATTCACTCGCAGCCACGATCGTCACCACCTTCAAAATGAAGCTTGAACCCCTCGTTTGGCGATGATAAAATAGCCAGCCGGTCACATCAGGCCTATTGGAAGAGGGTAGGCACCTAGTGAGGACAAGGCAGGGAATGCAGTGGTCAAAGACGAAGACAACCAATCCCGCTTCAGTTCAGCTTGTCTTCTGACCAGACCCCTTTCCGAAACAGTTCCTGGCTAAAACCTTCCACTGTAGCTTCTATTTTATACGGAGGTCTTGCTGACCTACCTTCAACCTACTCCGACAGAGTCACTTGATCGTCCGCTTTGGTGTCAGTGGAAATGTTGGTCGTGTTCTCGACATTGAGGCCGTATATCTGATACATACATGTACCTAGGAATATCAGTCAGTGGGGGAGAATGAACGCCTGAGGCCGCCAAGTTGGCTGCAGCACTATTCCCGAAGGAGTATTCTGAACTTCTCTTTGCGGCATTTGATGCTCCGGCCTTGGGTCTTGGCGACATGACCACCGCTACTAGTCGTAGTGCGGAGTACTACTCCGTACATGTCCAACAGATTCAGTTCAGTACATGGTATTAGGGCTGGAATAGATATCATTGTTTGCGTGAAGGGAATTCGGCCTCTCTCGACTGGAAGGTTCCTCGATCAGACAAGGCTACAATGATTCATTGGTCTCGACGGAGTTGAAGTGAACAGTACACCCAACCGGTTCTAAAGACTCCCTTCGCACATGGCGAAGACCGCCTCGAGTCTGGAGGCACTGGCTAGCGTAAGGCCATGATCATGTGGTGAGGATGCGCGTGGCCCTTCACGCAATGGCCGTATGCCCGTCTAGCCCATAAATGCTTCTTGCAATATGCAATACTAATAGATTAGTCGTCGTCTTCATCTCCGCCCAGCCCTGCATTCTTCTTCATCATTGCCACATCATCTTTCAGGTCTTGGATCTTCCTCGCCAATTTCTTTTTGAGAATCGCATTCTGCGTCTGCTTCAGTACTTCCGTCTGCTCTGCAATCTTTTGTTGCAAATCTTGGATCCTGTCCTTGACCTGCTGCAGGTTTTCATCGCCCTCTGCCTCAGCGTCGTCAAGATCTTCATCTTCATCACCTCCGTCGTCCTCCTCATCCTCGTCAGAAGACGCTTCCGCGGCAGAAGCAGGGGTGTGCGCCACGGTGACAGAAGGCGAGGCTGAGGTGCTAGTGACCACGACTGAGGAGTCGCCTAGTTCGGGAATGTGCAATGTGTTGCGGGCCTGCGACGCCGACTCGGTGGTCGGGCCATCGTCGTCGCCTGCGAACATCCTCTCGAACTCATCAACCTCATCCTGGCCAATGTCTTCCACGGGGGTTTCGGCGAATACGGGCGGTTCGAGGATAGCGCCATGTTGGCCGTTGCTCAGGTCGAAATACCCTTGTACGTCGTCATCATCCTCGCCTTCTGCATCTTCGTCTTCTCCATCTAGTCCAGAGCTGTATCGTTCTTCGTCGAGGCGGGGATCGTGGTCGAGGAGCTGATATCTGGTCGAAATCGCGGCCTTGTCCGCTTCGAGAAGAGCATTTACCCTTCGCTCTATGGCTTCGATGTCGTCTACCCGGGCACGTTTGGTTCTGGCAAAGCGGCGCTTCCGCACCCATTTCATGGGTGCCGTGATTCCGTGGGCATACTGGTAGTTTTTCGGATCGACATCTTCTGGGAGAGGATAGTTTCTCGCTTCTTCATCTGTATTGCAACGTCCCAAAACTAGCAGCATTTGGCCAACGTCGATGCTCTTGATCCAGCCTTTCTTGTCCCAGGACTTCATACCTTCCAGGATGCAGGGAAGATCGACCAGTGTGGTGGCATACTGGTTCCCTCTAATAATCATGATCCCCCTTCGGCCAGAAGTGTCTAGCATTCTCATCCTGACGTCCGGACCCCCTTTTGCACGCGGCAGGCCAACTGTTCCATCCTCGATCGCTTTTCGCAGATAGTCGCAATCCGGCCCCGGCTGCATACGTAGGATAAAGCCTTCGTGAATGACAGGATCTTGCTCTCGCTCTTCAAGTTCCGAGTCGTAACCCACCCCAAGCGGCCGTTTGGGTATTTTGCCCTTGGATCTGATCTTAAGCGTCGGGGCTTGCGCAGACTTCGAGGTTTGCTTTTGCGAGCTGGGGTCTGTCTTTAGGGTAATCTTACGAATGACGGGAGGCTTCGGAGCTGGTCGTGCAATCTCATCTTCTGTGTCGTTGGTGTTGTGGGCTCGCTTTCGCTTCTTCGCAGAAGATGCTGGCGTGACCGTAACAGTGTCCTCCTCCTTATTAGGTACTTTCTGGGAAGCTGGGACGGGAGTGCCTCCAAACTTGAGCTTGATGGACGGGGTTCGCGTCGCGCTGGTCGGGATTGGCGTCTGCGCAGGCTGGTTTCCTCCCACTTGTGGTATGACCGGCTTGCTGAGTTTGAGTTTGAGCGAAGGTCGCTGGGGTGGTGGTAATGCCTGCTTCTCTGGAGTGTCGGACATTTTGTCGGATACGGAGGGAGAACGGGAGATTTTCACATCATCAGAGTCGCTGGGTGTTTCATTCTCCTCGTTGGAAGTTGCGGACGGCGAGGAACTGATGTGAAGGACGTCGGGTTCGGATAGGAGGGTAACCGTTCTGGAGGGAGATCTGCCTCTGCCTGCTGCGGCGGTTGCTCCGCGTATTTGACGTCTGGCGGAGGTGGAGGAGGCACTGTCCGGTTTGAGGATGGATGTGCCGCGTCGTGGGCGATGGTGGGCGGGTGTGTGGCGTTTGGAGCTGCCAGCAGAAGTGCCAGTGGTAGCAGCAGTCACAGTCTTGGTGTTTGACTTCACTTTCAAGTTGACCTTCGCTCGCCTGTGTCCCTTGCCCAGCGACGGGTGGTTGCCATTGGTGGAGGCCAGGGTATGAGGATCGGGCGGCGGTAGGGATCCGTCGGGGGAGCGCTCAGGCTCAGACTTAGGCTCAGACTTAGGCTCAGGCCCATGATCAATATTAGCGGTGGCGGTGCCATCCACCTCGCTGTCCGAGTTCGCCAGATTCCCACCATCTTGCCCATTCATCACGTCCTTGTCGCTTTGCCCCATCACCCTGCTCGTAGTCGGCGTGCAACGTGCAGGCTTTTCCGGTAGATTTAATGCGCGCAGTCTTCCAGCGGATATTTTGAGCGTGACACACGAGGGCAGTGCTGTCATATTGAACCCTTGCGCCTGTGGTGCAGAAGCCTGCTTCCTTTTTCGCCCGGCCATCGAGCCTGCTCTGGGATGGAATAAACTGTGGGCAACCTTCCTTCCAGGCTCTTTCCGCTATGTTCTTCTCTCCAACACCGAGAACAGCCTTCAGAGTCCCGTTGTAGGCGCAGTGCCGAAAGCAGTGAGAATGACTTCAGACGACCTTCACACCGCGCTGTTACGGCCAGCAGTCATCCAAATCTTGAGAGCAGCCGGGTTTGGATATGCACGCCCGGCCGTGATCGACAGCCTGGCCGATCTGGCTGCGCGATATATGATTATGCTAGCTTCTTCAACGGCACAGAACGCCTTCACCCTTCACAATACCCCGGTGCCAACAATCCAGGATGTGCGTCTCGCTTTAAGCCAGTCCGGAGCGCTGACCCCGCAAATGAGCACCGCGGAGGAAGGTCTGAGGGACGCAGTGGAGGTGGAGGGCGTGATGGTTCCGTATGAGGACTTACGAGGCGTTGAAGGATTCGTAAACTGGGCTCAAGGACCGGTTAACAAGGAGATTAGGAGGGTCGCGGGCTTCGGCGACGATGTCAACGTGGAGGAGATTGCAACAGGGCTCGATGACCAAGAGGATTATTTGAGCGGTCAGTATTGTTTGAGGCTCAAGTGACGGGTACTGTGGCTGACTCGCGCGCAGCCTTGAAGACGAAACACAGCAAAACAGGCGAAGAGTCTCGGTATCAAGGCACAGTACTTGGGAAAGAATCCGAAGTCCAATCCGTCACGATTGTAGGCGGACCGGCCACCTCGATTGCAGAATGGACGCAAAAGTCGCTCTCTGCGTCGGCGAAGAACAACGCATGGCCCCCAGAAGCCATGTCGCCTGCGACATCGGGCATCAGCAGCGCCCCCTTGACTCCTCTAGAATCTGAATGAGGCCGGGAGCTCAAAATTCATTGTCAAATCTATTCAAACGCCGAATAATCCAAAGAAACCGCCGGGGTGCGGCAGAATACATCATCGGTTGTTCCATCTTCCAGACAGTGACAACACGCCATCTGAGAAGGACACACGACGAATTACTAGTGACCGCGAAGATAGGCTGCGCCGGTCCGCAGGGCCATGGTGACAACAGCTTCACCAATTATGATGCATTCAATCCCGACGACAAGACAGCTACTAGGTTCCAAACACCCTCTCCACAACAATTGCAGCTTCTCAACTCTATCCTGGCACTCCTGAGAGAGTAGGACGCCGACCACTAGGTCATCCTCGATCCTTGTTACTTCGAAGTGCATTCAACGAGACGAATACTAGAGAGTTTGGACAAGACCACAAACGAGCAGAGTCCGATTGATGGAATGCAAGTCTTCCCGGTCGAAAGACCCTTAAGAAGCAGTCAGCTTGAAAAGCCCAACAGAGTCCACATTAGTTCATCCTGTAACCTAGGCACCTATCTCTCTAGTCTGAACACCAAGCAAACCAGCACAGTTCTACTCATACAGCCAAGAAAAGTTACGACGTCCCCAAAAGGTCTCAGAAGAAATCGGCCAAATGACCTCGCACCTACGTGGGCGCAAGAAAGTCAGCCACCGTTCAGGCGCAGTGCAAAAGTAGAAGGGACACATGATCAGGGGAATGTCACTTACCCAGCCGAGTGGCCCGCCCTTGACGACACCCTCTTCCACATTCTCATCGAGGCCCTGTAGATGTACTTTGTGCCTACTTGCACTGTCTCCATCGTGGGTGGGGGAAGGTCTGCCATGAGCCATGTCTTTCCTCACGGACCGGGCTTGAGCTTGCTTAAGTGGCACAAGGGACTGGCCCAAGGGACCGCCAGCACTTGAGAAGCTGCCATTTGGAGCCGAAACAAACGAGGTGGTCAACGTACTCCCACCGCTTCCACCAACCGTCCCAATTACGGCTGCAGTTGACAACCACGGCGCCGCTGTGCTCGGGCAGCTTGCAACTGTTGCATTGATCAAGCAGATGGTCGAAGCATTAGGATTGAGGCTGGGAGACGCAACCGAATTTGACAGCGTGGGGGAGCCCTCTAGGGTCTGAGAGCTGATGGATGTGTTTGCGGGCAGCGTAGTTGGAGTGACCAAGTTGTCAGATTCGGATGTGCTGAGATTGAAGCCCAAACTGGACACCGAGGAGGACGTGGCCACCGTTGATTCGGGGCTCGTATTGGTATTATTGGCAGTCACTGTCTGGGAACTGGACGTCTGGTCTACAGAGGAAGAGCTGTTGTTATCGCGCGTAAAAGACGGAGCGGTCAAGCTCCAGTCACCCCAGAGCAGGTTGCTGTGGGATGTGTTCCCCGTGCAAGGGGCACTGGAGGTGGTGTTGCTCCAGTAAGGCGTCGTTATCGTCGCGGTTTCAGCCAAGGTGCCATTCAGGGATGTCATTGTTGAGTTCTCTGCCAACGTCGTGAACAAGCCTACAGACACCCCAGATGTTGCTTCCGTTGTCGGCGGCGGTGAAACCGACACGTTCGCCGCCGATGAGTTGTCCCCAGAGATGGTAGATGCAGGTTCAGAAACTGACGAATTCACCAACGTCGAGGTTGGGTTCGTTGGCGAACCAGTCTGGGTTCCCAGTATATCTGTTGAGTTGTTGGCAACCACAATCGTCATGGTAATAAGGCCGTTCTCCTGGGACGAAGCTGTTGCTGAACTGGTTGTGCTGGTGTATTCAGTCACATTCCCCACGGCTCTTGAAGACGTCTGCACACCTCCAACGTTGACCGTAGCTGTTAAGGTAATCTCCTCGGGTGACGGTGTGAGGTCAATTGTGATGGTTGCTACAAGCTCACTTAGGTCTTGTGACGCCGTTCCAGGGGGGGAAGCATCACTCTGTGGAGGGTAAGATGATGCGTTGGTCCAACGCGGGCCCCAGCCGCCCGTCCCCGAGCCTGTCGGTATGTATGTTGCGTTACCGAAGGAACAACTAGAGCCTAGGCTGTTCCGGCATGGGGAAACGAAGGGCTGTGAAGACCCGATCGTACGGGTGTGATTGTAAAGCGTAGTGGCAGTGGCATTGCTGGTCAGAGAGGTCAGTACCACGTCACTGGAGGATTCCGTTGACGTTGTCGGGTTGGACTGTATGCTGCTGACTTCAGACCCATGATCCGTTGAAGTCGCAGAACTGAACCCCGTGGAATCCGTGGAATCATTTCCAGACAGTGAGGTCCCAGATGCAGTTACAGTCTCACTGATTGTTGATATCGCTGACTGGACTAGAGGGGAGAACGCCGTCCAAGTCATATGCGGGCCAACATCAAATGATTGACTGGGAGTATTTGCAGAGGCATTCGCGGTAGACTGAGTCCAAGACGCGTTGGAAATATCGGAAGAAGCGGTGGCTTCGGCAGTTGGCCCATTCGTTCCAGTCGGGAAACACGGGAAACCACCATAGCCACCACAAGGCTGAGGAATTGGATAGCCTGTTGATGGTCCGGCTGTGAGTAGTCCTGAACCTGCCGAGCCATGGATCTCGGGGTCATAGGGCGATTGTGTCAATGAGCCATTGCTATATGGCCAGAACAACGAATGGGTTTCGTTGTCACAGCGGCGAATGATCCTATCATGTGCAACTGAGGAAGCATCAGTGGTCGGATAAGAATCTCGAGGAAGAACATAATACACACCTGGTGGTTGAACTGCGTAGCTCAGCACAAGGCGAGCAAAGCTTGCTACGATGATGATTGAATAGCCGTACATGATGGCACACCTCCCAGAAGACCTGCTCAAAGATGATGACTGTCTAGTGACAACTCCAGGCGACTTCGGGGCCCAAGGATTATATACTGCCATGCAATGGACCTCAAGGGCAACTTCATCATCCAGGCCACGGCTAACACTGTTCTTTCTGCGGCATCCCCTGAGCAAACTGGACATCGGTGCTGCTGGCCGCATCAATCGTGAAGAGACAGCAGTCCGCAATTTCGCGTGGGAGTCCTTGTCCGAGGGTGGAGCGGGTGGATTTCAAAAAGCCAGGCATGGGAGCTGTCATATTCAAACTGCCTACCTGCTTCATCAGGTAGTCGCCGTGAGTAGCTGCATATGCCATAGCCGTGATCCCGGGGAAGCAATGGCTGCACTTGGCCGAGAGCGTCCCGGTCGGAAATGAGACGATAAGAGATTCAAGCTGAGAAGATGAGCACCCATAGAGGGCGCTGCTTAGACAATGTTTATAGGATAGGTCTGCAGCTCATTATGAAACCCTTCAAGCGAATGGTCTTTACTACCGTTCTTTTCTTTGACCGCAGTTCCGTCCAAGAATAGGTAAGGTGGCCCACTGTACGTCAGCATAGACGATAGTATATGGGCACGGAGGAGTCGCATCGGTCCCTGGCATCGGATCGAAGCCGTCGGATGGCTGGCCACTCCCATGTCGCACAAATCAGTCAACGGGCGACAGAGACAGAGCAGGTATGGTTCCTCTTGCCATCTTGTCATCTTGTCATCCGTCCATGTTCGAACAGAAAGAAGGGCTGAGAGAAAGACCACAGTGAAACAGATCGTAGAGAGAATACGGGCTTTAACATGTTGACAGCCATATGGGCCAGTATCTGGATTCTGAACCTCCAACCCTGAGGTATGCCACATGTAGGCAGCGGATAGACGTGTCGAGTGTGCAAGCTGCGGTGTTGCGAGGGTGTCACGAGTGTAGCCGTCCGCCGTGCAGTTGACAGATCCGAGCTTCGTGCTCCATGATGAGCTACTGAGCTGAAACGCAGTCAATTGACAGAAAATGGAACATGTCGTCTATCACTACGGGAAGAGCCGAGGACATCTAGTAGCAGCAAAAGATATTGGAATTCGAACAGGAAAGTTGGCCGAGTCTAGCCCGCACTAAACCGTAAATGATCACATGACCACACCTGCTACGGGCGAGCACCAGGCACCTATAGGCATTCGTATTCATACGCAGTAAACTGCGGCTCGCCGACCACCATGGCATTCCCATCATGCAACTCCTCTGCACCTCGATGGCTCGCATCTATAGTAGGAGAATCTTCTGGTCTTTACATGCGTTTCTAAATGACCCCGAGCCTCTGGGTCCAGCCGTGTTGATCTCTGCTGCGCTGTGCCAGAGCGGCCGCTGCAACGCGATATCTACTAGAAGGCACATGTATAGGAGAGGGCAATCATTCTTGAAAACAATGGCCCACCTGAACACCACCATTAACGCCACTGAACCTCTTCCCCGCGTTCACCATCACAGCCTTTCATCCTACATCTGGCCCCAAGTGGCTACCTAAGTGAGAGGAATAGGTATAGGTCCCGCCAGGGTCGCCTTGGTGAGATCGTCAACATTTGTTGCCGTGTTTTGGTTGGTTAGGGCTGCGAATGCAACACCAAACATCCCCGGCTGAACATCAGCATGCAGCTCCCCATTGCCATTTATTGTCACCGGAGTGTATGCCGGGAGATTGTCTTGGTTGACCCACGCAATCCAGAGTGGTTGCACATTCCAGCCTGCAGGTAACATCTTCTCCTGGCCAATCTTGAAAATCAATTTCCCCGGAGCATTCGGCGTAGCGAACGAAGGGGAACCATAACCGACAATGCCCAAGTCAGGGAAGATTGGCAAGGACGTGATTGAAGGCGGGAGGTTCGAGCATGAGCCCCCAACTGTGAAGTCCAATGCCAGATTGTAGGCCCACGCGCCGCTGATCCGAGTTTCAAAGGTTGTAGGATTGGGAATCTCGTGTGCTGTCATTCGGAAGAAGGCGTCGTGTCGAGATTCGACCGGGAGGATAGATCCGACGATAGGCTCCAAACCTGGGTCGGTGTCCGCCAGGACACGCTGTAGGCCGATCAAAGCACCAATGCCAACGGTCGTGATGATATTGCCGAGGGCAAGGAAGCTCTTCTCATCCGTAACAGGAAAGCTGTACTTGCATGGAGCAACGTCTCGGACGCCATTCGCTTTTAGCAAGTCGACGATCGCCGCCACATGCACCTCCTCCTGCGCAGCAATGTGTGAGACCACTTCAAGATTGCTTACGCCGTTCGTTTGGCCACCGGTTCCCCACCATGTATAATTCATCAACCCCTCCTGGAAGAAAGCAGACTCCAGATTCTCCAGAAAGTTGGCCACTTGAAAGTTGTCCAGGCCAGTTTGAGACACTTTGGGCTCGCCGGGGGCATTGGGAAGGCCGCCGCCGGCTTGATCAGCAATATTGGGAGGAAGTGCTGCTCCTGTGACGAGGGCAGGAGCGGCAAAAACGCTGCCAGCAAAGAGTGAAAGCATGACGGGAAGGAAAATGCGCGCCATTGCTACCGAAGTATAGAAAGTCAACCGCTTGAAGGAGTGCGCAAAGACTTGAACTAACGGGGCAATAGGTGCACATATGTTATACAATCGCTGAGCGTCAGCTGGGGGCGGATGTTCTGGGGCGCAGTCTGCTGGGACCGTATGTATGTAAGCACTACCACAGCCTTACCTTGTCTAGCGAAAACCTGGCCCCATGCCTAGCTAGGATTGAAGAACTCGAACACACATTGATACCTCGCAGTATAAGTGGAAGCATTCTTCTTCCTACTATGACCGCTATGGTGGTATGTCTTCAACAGTCTCGTACAGATCGAGATATACGGTGAGCGCCATCCAATTTCTGAGCTTGAGACCGCAGCATCCGTAAGCGGGTTCGGTCAAGGCAGGGCCCTTATACTGACAGGAGTTGCTCAGTGGCGCAGAAGCGAGACGAAGTACAGAGTAAGTCTGCGCCGGACCGGAAAATTGAGCAGGAGATAAGCTTCAATAGCATAAGCACTTTAGATCCCAAAGCTTCGGAAGGAAGGGCACCAAGGGGAGGGCGTCAAGTCTGTCAGCAAGTCCAAAATTAGATAACCGCGACAGGGGAAGGCTGAAGGCCGAGGGACCATAATATATGAAAACCAGGCAAACTGAGGAAACATCTCAAATGCGCCAAACTCACGTCACGTGCTTAACTCGGCTCATAGCAAATGGATTATGTCAGACACGGCCATGGTTTTCTCCATGACGCGCTCGATCGTCCACTCCTAAATTTATCCTCAACGCGAATCTCGGAAGCCCTAAATTCGCAGAACTGTGGCACCAGCCTCATCATTGAACTGGACTCGCTGCCGGTTCAGACGAGATGGGCTCTTTCACCGTCTGCTCGCACTGCTTGCGAGCTCTTCGGAGGAGCATCCGGCAAGAGGCAAGTTTCCTCATATGCGCTCACACAGCTCGGAAAGGTAGCTAACCTCATTGTGAGCAGGCCAACCAATCGACCATCGCATCAGCTTCTAGACCACGACAGGTTCGTTTCACGACTTCTGCAAAATCACTACAAGCGGCCCCGCCATCTACCAAAGAGCGGCCTTCAGAAGCTTCCTTTCCACCAACTACAGCTTTCACCGTAACCTCGAATATCACAGCCACGCCACCCACTGATCTCAAATCTGCCCCATCACCATCAACGACGTCAAAAACACCCCCAAACCCAGACCTTGCTCATGGCGTGTCTGTCGCAGAAATGCAGCGCAAGATCCAGTCCTCGCTGCAGCGTCCTGACCTGGCCAGCCGCCTGGCGCAGGGACTGCGCAAGACCGCCAAATCCACCACGCAAACCTACATCACATACGGCCAGACAGATGTCTTATTCAAATCTTGCGCGAGGCAGGCTGACTACTTCATCCCAGAGGACCAGCGCATGCACGTCGTGACGGGCACCGGTCCCCCCAAGGCCGCCGACGGTGCGGACTTGGGCCAGGCTGTGGCCGAAACATGGTGGTTCAACACGGTCAATCTCCCGCCAACATTCTCCACCTGGTCAGCGGTGACGTTTCTGCACATGTACATCATGACGGTGCGACTGCGGGCGCTGCAGACTCCGGCCGCATTTCAAAGCTACCACCGATACCTCATTGAGAATTTTTCTCAAGCTGCGGAAGACAAGATGGCGACTGAGCACAACATGTACGCCCGCGGCATTCGGAACCGATACCTCAAAGACCTGTTTTTGCAATGGCGAGGTAACATCATTGCGTACGACGAAGGTCTGGCCAAGGGAGATGCTGTGCTCGGGGCAGCCGTATGGAGGAATTTGTTTCGCGGACAAGAGGACGTGGACTGGGAGAAGGTTGCGCTCGTAGTGAGCTTTATGCGCCAGGTTATCAGTAAGCTTGGAGATCTGCGCGTTACCGACATGATGAACGAAATGGACGGCCCCAAGGGCCTCTGGGCGTTGAGCCAGAGAGAGGCCGAGGTGATGCTGGAAAGGGGCAGCAAAGGTCTGACCGAACCGTTCACGGAATGACGCGGTTTCGCGCTCGCACGAGACATGTCAAGTCAAAAGTTGCACGGATCCCGTCCAAGCCATGGCTTTCGAATTGTATTACTATGATTTGTCACTAACGGGTATAGAGTGGTTGAGAGGGGGGCAGAGTCATAATTCAGGGTTGGCGATGCTGTCTCTCAACGGGATCCTATGGTTTAGGTGTACAAGCTGGACCGTTGGGAACAATTTCAGGAAGTTCTGGTTTCGATCGTATGAGACCAGTTTACAGAAGATGCTATGGTAGCAGGATAAATTCCCATGTAAAAGAGTGTCCACCATGGCAAGGCCAACGCTAGCCCAACAGTCTTTATCAAGTGATTATCACGGCTTGCACAATCCTGCTATGCTCCCTAGCAAAGACTGCTTTGAGGTTCAGCACACCTCACATGATCCAACGGCCAGGTGCTCATTTCATTCTGGAGACAAGGATGCAGTCTTGATTCTAGAAGATGTGACAGTCAGCAGACTTCCCGCCGGCAAAGAGGGGGTACTACCTGAGAATAAGAAGACGGTCGATTAGCCATATTGACCAGGATCGACTTGTCAACCCTCCGCCGGAGGGGGGAGACGACACCAACACAATCCCATCAAGATGTAGGTCTTGTAGCCCTTCGGGCAGGAACTGAGCCCGGTACAAAGCAGAGCCTCAGGCAAGGATGAGGTTTCGACCGGTGGTGCCGACGCTTCCATCGCCTGTAGGCTAGAGGGGATGACTTCGTTGTCTTCGGCGGGATTTGGCAACGCATTACGTGGCTGATGCCGGAACCCTTTCGAGCTGGTGGCCACACATGGCAGTAATGGGTTGCTCGGCGGGTCAGTGTCATCATTGCTGAGAGTGGCCGTTGGAGGTGTATCATGTGGATACACAGTTGCGGGGATCTTGACCGCTCCTAGGCCAGTGTCATCCGACGCCTGGATGTCGGCGTACGGCTGCTCGTCAGACACACTATTAGTGTCGGGGTCGGTGTGGGCGTCAAATGCCGGTCCTCCATGGTAGTGAGCGGTACTGTATAGGGACCAGTGGAAGAGATCATCGTCATCATCGCCAGAGTTGTCAATGAGTATCGTCTCGTCGATGACACGAATGTATTCGACACGGGGCAGGGCGGTGACAAGTAGTCTGCAGCCCAGCACCGCGGCCACAGACAAAATGGTGAAAGCCTTGCCAGTGTGCATGGTTGACTGAAGCTGGAGGGAACGGCGTCGATGGTAAGGTCGAAGAAAGAAGGAGCAAGCTTGTCCGGGCAGCTGAATATGAAGGCCTCAGATGCTTCACTGCTTGGAGGTCGTGCAAAGATTTCTTGAAATCAAGCACCTCAGACATCAGACGTTGACAGCTCTGTACACCCTTCCAATTGGAACAGATTCCACGGCGAGCAGGTGCCTTCTTGTCAGGGATTCCAACCAGAAGCAGCCAAGTCAGAATACTCAAATTGCCTGACTGCAGCCCACCATCTTCCATGCCGACACCAACTGATCCCCATGACAGGATATTATTCTCGAAAGGAGCACAAGGAGGAGGCTCCCAGCTAGAGGTGAGTAACCCTCCATGCAGAGTAGAACAATGTCTTTGCAATGGCGATCTGGTGTGACGTGGATCACACCACGCTCCCTCGCGAGGATGACCACAGACGCACGCCTCTTGTCGGGGAGAGGAGCTGCAAGTAGCCTGTCGGTGTCGACACGCTCTGCTGGCCACTCGAAAGCCGCCCCTTCTCTGGCATGTCCGAACACATGTCGGGGGAATAGGACGTATCCAAGAAGATTCCGGACAATACCTACAAAAAGAAAGCTCTTGCATCTAGATACTTCGGTCCACTCCCGTCAGAGAAGATCGGCCCACATGTGGCAAGCAGGGCGTGCACGAAGCAGGACCTCTTATGCATTGTTCTTCTTTCTGCGTTGCTGTGAGGATCTGGCCTTCCATGCCTCACTTGGTTTCCGAGCCTAGAAATCTCTGGCTGGAGAAAAGGTTCTCATTGCAATCTTGCCCGACCGAGCGACTGCCTCTTGCCGATCGGGCAGCGGCTGATGCGAGGTGTCGAATGTACCTGGTCTGATGTAGTCCGCGACAGGTCGCCCGTCCCTTGGGTTGTGACGTGTGTGAAAGGCCGGGACGAGACAGTATGCGATGGGCCGTGGAGAAGTCCTTATGAGCAGGTGCGTAGAGATCGTGACAAGCTCATGAGGCCGGTTGACAGGGAGCAAACAAAGCAGATGGTACTCTGTACAGATACACGTCCGATGAAAGCACCAGCGAGCACAATGATCCGCCGCATATAACACCGACTAGAGGGCTCAGCTCTCGCTACGGCGGGTGAAGCGGCTAAACACGCCGTTCATCCCGCATGCTGCATGTTGACAACATGGCTCGACGCACCCTTGCAGAGTTCTCGGAACATCGACTTCACCAATCCTCCTTCCTCTCACTGCTAGGTCGCGAAAGAAGTTCCTGATAAGCAAGCATTGGCCGGTGTCTTCCTCATTCTACTCTCATGCTCTGCCACTCATGATACCTCTCAACGTCTCCAGACACGAACCTTTTGTCCTTTCCCGAAATCCTCCCCTGGTGAAAGCTGAACGACCGTCAACATGCTGCTCCCCCAGATAATCTCCCACCTCCTTGCTCTTTTCGCCATCATCGCATGCGCCTTTGCCGCACAAGACTTCTATAAAATCCTCGGGGTGGACAGGTCTTGCTCGGAACGCGACTTAAAGAAAGCCTATCGCACTCTGTCCAAGAAGTACCACCCTGACAAGACCACTGGTGACGAAAAGAAGTTTCTCGAAGTGGCTGAAGCCTATGAAGCTTTGTCCGATCCAACAACGCGAAAGGTCTATGACCAATACGGGCATGATGGGCTGGAAAACCATAAGCGAGGAGGTAGCGGTGGTGGGCATGCCCATGACCCTTTCGACTTGTTCTCGAGGTTCTTCGGTGGCACAGGACACTTTGGTGGCGGAGGTGGAGGTGGGGTGAGGCGTGGTCCCGACCTGGAGGTCAGACTGCATGTGCCACTACGAGACCTTTATAACGGCAAGGATACGGAATTCACCATTGAAAAGCAACAAATCTGCGAAGAATGTGAAGGCTCGGGTTCTGCTGACGGGCAAGTTGAGACTTGCAACAAATGCGGTGGGCGGGGTATGGTCATCCAGAAGCATATGCTGGCCCCTGGCATATTTCAACAAGTCCAAATGCCATGCGATCAGTGCGGTGGGCAAGGCAAATCCATCAAGCACAAATGCAAGGTTTGCGGAGGAACTAAAGTCGTGAGAGGACCGACAACCTTGACCGCTAGTATCGAGAGGGGCATGCCCAAGGGCCACCGCTTGGTCTTTGAGAGCGAAGCCGATGAGCACCCTGATCATGTGGCGGGCAACTTGTACGTGCACATCATGGAGTCTGAACCACAGCTCGGCGGCGACGACGGTTTGCGATCAGATGGGACATTTTTCCGCCGCAAGGATGACGACTTGTATTGGAGGGAAGTACTTAGTCTTCGGGAGGCCTGGATGGGTGAGTGGACGCGCAATCTGACCCATCTTGACGGCCATGTGGTTCAATTGTCCCGCAAGCGCGGAGAAGTCGTGCAACCTGGTCAAGTGGACACGATCAAGGGCGAGGGCATGCCGGTCTATCACCAAGGACACGTGCACGAACATGACCACGATGCGCCGGAATTTGGGAATCTGTACGTCGAATATAAAGTCATCCTTCCCGACCAGATGGAGAGCGGCTTGGAAAAGGACTTTTGGGCCGTGTGGGAGAAATGGCGCAAGAAGAAAGGAGTCGATCTGCTCAAGGATAGTGGCAGGCCACCTCCAGCTGTACCAATAAAGGATGAGTTGTAGTTATACACTTTGGGGGCCAGATCGTGCACACGAACGGACGGGGCCCGGTGCAATAGAGGCCACATTCAACTGAAACGAGTATGTCGGGTTGGTTTCCGTGAGTTACTGCTGGCTGGGCTTGTTCGAGAGCGACGCATTCGCACTGCGTCGATGGTCACTCTCAGCCTCGTGGCTTACGTAATCTCGTCTACCCCCTTTTTCGCAATCTTGTCCTGTAAGAGATGGAAGTTATCAGTCTTCAGCATCTGAGCAACTGTCCAGACTTAGTCTTTTACCTACTGTTGATATGTGTCTAGTGGCTACTTTTTTGCTACACCGACGCTATTTCCATCTATCTGGTCGAGGCTCTTCACGGCCGTGTCGATCCTCGAGGTTGTCGCACTTCAGGCACGCACCATCCATTTCGGACAATATGAACCGCCAATACCCCTGCAACACCTTGTGGAAGACCATCAAGACCATGGTTTGGTATCGTCGGTACAACCTTTAGTCCTGGGCTGGCATGCTTGGTGTCATTGACATGTGACGGCCACTGCAATAACCACATATCGCTTGTCCTGGGAGGAAATTCATCTCCGACCAGAAAAGATAACAGGTCAATTGAAATATTTACTCGGAAGATATCTATGTATGTTGTCGGCAGCCACGGTTCTATTGGTAGTCTATGACAGAAATCCTGCAGGAGAGAAGAGAAGAATGGTTGATACAAGATACCCTTGAAACCAAGGCCGCGTTGGAAGGCTGACGATCCTAGAGCCAGCTTGCAGCTCCCCAGAGGCCTAAGCCCCCTTTCCACACGATTTGGATTGGTCCACCACTGAGAGAATGAATGCCCGGCCCAGATGAGGTATGTCCGTTCGAAAACCAAGCCCATTCCCGAACTGAACCTTCGACTTACCCAGCTAAATACTATTGCGTGGCCGGCACGCTGAATGGATGTCCTGATGGGTGTTATGTGGGATAAAGATTCAATTCCATTCCCCATTCCAAGCCATGCACCGTCAGCCTAGCCTTCAGGGCTACCGCACTCGCTGGCTTGCAGCCCAGATTCGTCACCACTCGGAGGCAGTGGCCGCCGCGCTGTTCACCAGGCGAAGAAGGGTTTCATCTTCGAGACGACTCTGGGGAGTCAGCCCCGCCTGATGACCCTTGTTGTTCGTCGCGCGGAGGAGCTCTCTTGGCCCTATACGACTTGTAGCCATCATAGAGCGGGTGGCCTCTGGAATAAGCCATGTCTTTCATCGAGACCTGAGAATCGCGTCGCTCCCGGTGAGCCTGTTTGTTGTCCCGGGTCACGTAACTTCGCTCCGCTTCGTTCTCGTCGCGCCGGCTGGCCGGATTCGACACCAACGACCGCTCCGTCTCGAGGTACTTGCGCAACTCTGGAGAGTCTCCCCGGCGCGGATAGTACTCGTGGTATCTGTCCTGCACGTTCTCGGTCCTGTACTTGTCGAACGGGACATCTTCGTAGTCTGGCTCGAGGTCGCGCCGTCTGTCTCGCTCTTCTTCCTTTTTGTCTCTTCGCTCCTTCAGTCGTTCTTCTCGCTCCCTCTGTCGTTCTTCAGGGTCATATTCGCGTTCGGTTAGATCGTAATCAGGTTCAGGTCTACGTGACATGTTTGGATGTCTTCTATTGCTCCTCGAGCAAAGGTCTTTGGGATGTATTGTCGGGCTCGCAAGTGGTGCTACCGATACCGAAGCCTTTCTTTCGCGTCAAAGTCTATGCATCAGGGATCTGTAATAGATGTTCTATGCCTTTTGATCTCACCTGCTGTATGTAGAAGTTTGTACTGTGTACAGGATTGGTATGGAGCCTATAGAAAAGCAGGTCTAAATAGTTCCTTCTATAGTCCTGTCCTGTGGCCTCTCCGTTTGTAGCCCTGTCATGAGCTTGCGGCTTGTTTCTCCCCCGTTGTGTCATTCTGGTAGGTAAACGAGCCTTGGTATGAGTCGGTCGTGTCTTTGGACTCATCTGTGGTGATGCCTCATATTTGATTGACGCATACTAAGCTAGCATTCTTGACTATGGTGGAGAGTGTGAGTGCTAGAAACCAAAGATTCAGAGTGAGTGGTTCAAAATAGGGCTTCTCATGCCATTTCCATCTATGTACACAGTTTGTATTTACAGCATGAGCAGTCTATATTCAGGACTCGGGAAAAAGCACTGCTGGCCGGCAATCGAGTTCAGAACGGTTCTGAACTGGAGGTATATAAGTGAAATATCCTCTTTCCTTCTTCTACGGTGACAGACCTTAACGGCTTAGCAGCGTCGATGCAACGAGATGACCTACTAACTCCTAGGGTTTACAATACAATCAATTTCTCTACAGACGCGGTGCCCATGTTGCAGAGAAATGGAGCGTACATATGTCACTTTAAGCCTGAATACAATGCCATCCTGGTGAGTGAGCTTCTTGAGATTGATTGAAGCTCTACTTAATGATTCATGCTACAACGGCCCACGTCTCAAAATCCTGCGGCTACATCCTCCCTCGGGCACACATTCAGGCCAGGTGTGAACTGGAAATGGGACCCATGTATGTATGTTGTCCTCTGCAAACCAGCCCGGGAGATGACTGTTATCTATATCGATCAAAGACTCCCCAGCCTGTAAGCCTCTACTGGCACTCTGAGACTCTCATTTGCAAGGAAGCACGCCACATAGTGGCGCCAACACTCTGCATCTGGCTCATTTCTTCTTGGACCAAGTCGAGTCGCCGTGCTTCTGGTCTGTCGCCTTGTAAGCAAAATCGCGCTCGGCCACTTTGTTCGCCTGTCTGTCCTTGGCCGCTGCATGGATGGACTGCGACGTCTCCATCCGCCGATCGTGTTCGATTTGGTCTAGGACATATTTTACCTGTTCCTGCATTCGGTCGGGGTGTCCGGGATGTCGAGGGTCCAGCCCATGGAAAGTCATGGCGCTGATATGTTTGGGAGGAAGGGGGACAATTCTGAGGATCTGGTTCTGGTCTCTCAGTGTGGTGTTCGAGAAACTTTGTTAGATGTCAGTTCCAGTCTGGTGGTGCTAATAGTAACAGAGGACAAAAGGTCTGACCAATTGGCACAGCTTTTATACAAGTCCTTGAGATGAGAGCCTGGGCCTAGGTTCTGGTGAAGGGTGACATGGAGATGGAGCCGTGTTTGTTCAGTGATTGAAATTCATTCCTCAGTCGAATCACGTTGCTCCCGGTCCTATCACCCTGATGGAAATTATATCCTAGTAATATGACTGAGCCGGGGCTCGTAAATTGACAAATCTAGTCTGTGAGAAGCGGATTTGAGAGACAAACAGCCGAGATACGCATGAGCCTGTCACGCCAGGGTGACCGACGAGTATGGTGTAAGCTCTGCTTGCTCACAGACGTTTGACAAAACGGACTGAGATGTCAGGTAGTGGCAGCAGGCATCCTGCTATACTCACTCAGAACTCGAACTCGTCGTATCGATATTGTCCATTTGAGAGGAGGCCAGGCTCGGGATAGCTCTACCTCAGGGGCGTACCTCCTCAATACAATGGAATGCTCAAGTGGTAGAACATCGACGGCTACCCCTTGCTAAGCCTAGACACGTTTATTGCGGAATTCAAATGGGAAAGAAAACTCATCAAGAACGTACCATCCAATTTAGTCCTAGCTAGTTGTTACTCAGAAAAGAAGCCATATCGTTGTAATGTTTCCCCCATAAAAAGTGTAGCCCCATCACCACTGATGACACTGGATGAGCACCAGACATACAGGACAGTATATACCTACAGGTTTGACCCTAGGTGCAGCGAGTTTCTCCATCTATCGACTAGAGCCAGGCCCAGGCTCCTCCATGGGATACTTCCTAATGGTATGTCTCACACTCGACACTGTGACCGAATGGTCCCTGCCCAGCTCGGGAGACTTCCAATGTTTAGCATTTGACTTCCCATATGCAAAGTCGCGCGGCTGAATATGATTGTCTGGGAGGACCTTGTTGAAGTTATTATGATTCTCTCTGGAGACTTCGTTCCTCCTTGGAAGATCGGCGTGCCATCTATAGTCACCATCATCGCGAGTGTTGGAGCGGGTTATCTGAGCGTTGCCGTGGTCATTGAAGGAAGCGCTTTTGTGAGGGTAGACATCTGTGCCCAGGTGTTTTGACATGGTTGCTTTGGTACTGTGAGTCTTGTGCAGCTGTTTGTATAGTTTGGACTTGTCAGGAAGATTGGACCGCTCGTCGTCGCGGCCGTCGCCTCTGTAGTTAGCACCAGACATGCTGGCAAAAGACTTTAGTGTCAGTGGTTTTCAGAAGAATCTGTAGGAGGTATTCGTTCTTGAATCTTTTCGGCTTGACCTTGCTCGCTGAGAGATGAGTTGTGCAGCATCCTAGATGATCGTCAAGTTGTTGTTTTTATACTGTAATCGTAGGATGATAGAGCCTCACTGAGGTCCAGGGTGTGACACAGGAGGCGGTGACATTGAAATCACCATTTCGACCGGCACAGTGAACCTCTGTCACCAGTCCAACCATTATTTCCACGTCAGGCTATTTATTCGCACGCCTGCGTGGCACAGGCTTGAGGGAATAGAGACCAGGTGATGACGGATACATTAGATGATAAGAAGCCCAGATGTCCGTTTGGATGGAAATGGGTTCTCGCTGTGTTGGTCTGGCAATCAGCCGGGCTGTGAGGAAATGTAGCCAATCCGTCTCTTCGGACATTGATGTCGAAGGATATTACAGTGGCTCCCAGTCAGTCTCTTGACCTGTTCTCCTCCCTTACTGGGCAGTTGTTCGAAATGCCTGTATAGTATATGATTGAGAGCTAATCAGTCAGAATGCTGATCGATCTAAGCCAGGTGAGATTTAACCGTGACAGGGTTGGGATCCCGCCAATGGGGATGTGAAGCATAGTAATTAACCACTGGTCTGTCCAATGTTTGGATCGCGCTGCCGATTTGAGACTTGATGTACAACGTCAAGGCTTGCAAATCGTCCATCATGGAGTAGGCTTTCGTCCCTCGAGAAAAAACTAGCCGTTGGTAGTACTCACAACAGACCACTACTGCCATGGAACAATATCAGCCTAGGCGAGTGAACCGGTCTGAAGAAATGTCTCTTCCGCATTCACAATTACATCTCAGCGGTGGCCTGGGTGTAGTCCCTTTGACTGCGAGGCCGCCAGAGTCTTAGAGCATGTGTATGAAAGAGTGAAGAGACTAGACCCTCTCCATAACAGTTCGAGAAAAAGAGCAGACTGAGAGATCAGAGAGGGGAAACTGTTTGATAAGCGGCAGGGGTTGCTAATCATGAGAAGCTCTATCGTCTATCGAGAGAATTCGATGGGGTCAGGAGTGCCCGCCGAGACCGTTGAAGAATCTCCCAGATGTCAGGTGAGCCATGGACGGAGGCATACGCAGTGATCAGGGATCCGGGAATCGCGTATCTTGCATAAAGGGCGGGGGCACGGATGAGATCAAACAGTGACGGGACAGCTGCCCCAAAATGGAAGGTCTGGCGGCAAAATGGAAATTTATCGTATCGCAGGTCCAGGTCAATTAGACGAAATCAAAAGGTGGGACTGTTGGTGGCCGCCAGTATCAGTGCAGGCCAGTGGTGCCGGTGCGATTAGCAATCTGCAAATATAACCTTCGCTCTCCTTGCCCGACTATCGACCATGTATCATGGCTCTATCTGACGCGCGAGACTATGTGCTTGCCGTCGAGAGCAACCAGCACGAGGCTGCCGAAATCGCGAGGTCGACCGCTCAGAGTAAGTCCGCAGCTCCGTCGCAACGCCCGCCTGTGCGCTGACCTGACCGGAAAGAACTTGAGAGTCGACAGGTCACGCTGATCGAGGTCGTCCAATCCCTGGGCGAGTACATCAACAATGGCGACGACAAGATCCGAGCCAGGGCCGTGTCCTACCTAGTCTCCGTCATCTCCTCGTTGCCCCCGAAATACCTCTCACGCCAACAGATCCAGGTTTTGTGCCACTTCCTGTGCGATCGTATCGAAGATGGGGGCGCAATCGATGGCCTGTCGAAGCTACAAAGCTTGGACAGATTTACCAATGAGATGGCACAAACAGTTGTGAGAGCGTGAGTGTGGACTACGGCGCAAACAGCTGTCCAGAATCTAGCCGCCACAAGGTTGTCTGGCAGCAAGCCATTTCCTTGTCGTGACTGACAAAGAGCAGGATCTTTGAACACTTTGCGGATTTGCAGACGCGCAATCAGGCCGGCAGGTACCGTGTCCTCCAAATGCTGAACGAGCTCCTGGACCGCCATCGCAAAGGTATCTATCTGCCGTAGCGCACATGCAGCCCATGAAAAAGACTGACGAATTGCAGCCTTGAGGGATATGGGTGACGAATCTCTGGTCGGGATCACAGAACTGGTTTCCGGTGAAAAGGATCCCCGCAACCTGATGCTCATCTTCTCCATGTTGAGGGTTCTCATGGTCGAGTGGGACATTACGATGCATGTGGAAATGATGTTCGACGCGGTTTACGCATACTTTCCCATCACTTTTCGACCACCCCCGAACGATCCTTATGGGATCACCGCACAAGATCTGAAGGACAGGTTGCGCGATTGTCTGGCCGCAACCCCGTTGTTCGCCCCACATACCTTCCCAAATATGCTGGATCGCCTCGACTCGACCTCGAATACGGTCAAGAAAGACGTTCTACAGACCCTCGCCGCCTGTGCTGACAACTATGACCCGGCCACGATCAGCCAGTACTCCATCACTCTGTGGGACGCCGTCAAGTTCGAAGTTTTACAAGCTCAAGAATCAGAATTGGCTGAAGAAGCACTCCGTGTGCTCAGAAGCATCGCCGAATGCCTATCGACCCACGCATACAGCTCGGCAAATTCAGCTCTTCTTCAGTATCTGAAACCGATCAACAAAGAATGCCTGGAACATCTGCAAGAGCCGGCAGCACGTCAGGCGAAAGCATCAGGAAATATTCTCACAGCTGTTTCCTCAGCTTCAATACAAGCATTCGAGATCATCATGAAGGCGATCGGCCCGGCACTGATCACGATGTATCAATCTGGCCAGGGTTTGGTGCAGCAGAGAGCCGTCCTCGAAGTTTCCAACCAGCTGTTTGAGGCATCCATTGACGTGTATGGATCATGGACAGCGCTGAGTCCAAAGAACCCGCAAGGTCGGGAAAACTTGATGGGTGAGTTCAAGGATCAAGTTGTCGCTATCTACAGCCAGGCCCTGATGGGCACCGTCAAAGAGGAGGTCTCGTTCCGATTGACCGCCGCAAACGGCCTACTCTTGCTCTCGAAGATCAGAGGCATGCTCTCCGAGAACGAAATCGGCCTTTTTGTCCAGTACTTTGACGACATCGTCCTGAAAGAAGAATCATACGGTCGTGACGAACTTAAAAAGAGAGCTATGGCCGCATTGGCAGGGATCTCTCACTTTAAACCCGGCCTCATCTCGGATATTACATTTCCAGCCTTCATGGCTCGTTTGCCAGATGCAGAAGAAGCCCAACCAGAAATATACCAACCTGTACTTGAAGGACTGGCCGAGATCAGCGTCGAGAAGGACTTGCAGGCAACATTAATGCGGCGCCTTTTGAACAAGGTGGAGTTTCTATTCAAGTCAAGTCAAGGGACATCATTCCCTTATACATGTTCCATCTTAGGCACGATCCTATATGTGCTGAATCGTGCTGCAGCTGCTTCACAATCACCATTGGATGCATATTATGACCGAGTTGTCATTGGCCTCTCCCGGAGAGCAACAGAAACTCGCGGTGGCCCTCTCACCAACGAGACCGTTCTCGATATACTAGGTCGAATCATGAACCTGATCGTTCGGCACTCTCCGGTCGATAAAGTTCAAATGGCCGCAGAGAACATTTACCTGCTCTTCAGAAACAACCAGTTGGTCGGAGACTTGCCCACGCTTTCGACCCTGTTGGAACCACCCACCCTTACTATCTTGTCGACCTGGCTCCTGGCGGCCCTCCCCCGGAGTATACACTCGGTTGATCTGGACAAGGCTCAAATACCTCGGACTATCGATGAATTGATATTATTCGCTTCCAAGACTTCCAGCCTTGCCATCACACAGAGCTGTCTTTCACAGATATCTCTTTACACCAATAAGCATACAAAACCAGCCGACTTGAGCTATGTTGACAATCTCCTCTCTCAGAGACTACTGGGGCTCAGAGACGAGCCTATGGGCGACACTGAGTCCATTGACTTCGGCATCCGACTTGCCTTCGCCTTGACCAAAGCACTCATTCTTCGACTCTCTCCCAAAACGAACCAGTACCTCACTAGTCTGGTAGACCTCCTCGACGAAAATCAGCATCCTCGAGAGGTCTCCCGGAAGGCAGCAATGGGTTTTGCTACCATCCTCTCTCCAGACGATGTCCTCTCCAAGAAGAACGCTGCCGAGATCAGGCTTCTCGCTCCCCAGCGCGTATTCCAAATACTGACGCCACTCATCTCCGAGAGGTTCAAGGCTTCTCAGTCGCCAAGCGAGAAGGAGAATTATCTCATAGCACTCAGTGGCATCCTGGCTAGTGTGCCGTCCGATATCGTGATGCCGGAACTGCCCACACTGTTGCCTCTTCTCCTCCAGTCTTTGGATATCACGGATCAGACGGTAAAGGTTGCTACTCTGGAGACATTGGCTGTGGTAATATCAAACAATCCTTCTGCACTAGAAGAAAGTGGACATATCCCTGCCCTTGTTAAGAGACTCATCAAGGTGGCAACGGTCCCAAAATATAAATCTCCCAAGGACGCCAGCGGAGCGGGAATTGTCCCCCCAACGAACCTTCCAACAGCCCGCCGGCTTGCTGCACGTTGCCTTGCTTTGTTGCCCAAGTACGTAGGTTCCGCTGGCTCAAGGGCGAATCCTCTTCTAGGTCTGAAGCGGGAGGTGTTGCATGGTCTTACTTACGTATTGGATGATCACAAGCGAGACGTAAGAAAGGAAGCTGTCGATGCACGAGCAGCCTGGCTGAGAGGAGTTGATGACATCGACGACGACGACGACGTCTAGAGATTAGCATGTGGCCATCATCACTATCTTTGTTCCGTAAGGAGGAATTGATGGGGGAATAGAAAGAGTGGAGTCTGTTCATAAGGATATATAAACTCTCTCAGCGGACAAAAACTTGCCGTCAGCATGATAGATACAAATACCCCATGTTCATTGCTTATGGAGTACGGCAGTGGTATTTGAAGAGCACCAAAAGCACAGAAAAGTGAAAGCCTTGCTTATGTAATGCCAGGCTCGGCCTTGGCAAAGACTGCGGAGAAGGAACTTGAAGGCTGGCTTTGCAACTTTTCAACCTCCTGGGCGACAGAACCGTGCAACGATCCCTGTACTTACCCCGGACATGTGTGCAGGGTGCCATATTTAGGTTCTTCTTCATGACCTGGTAACCCTCTCCCCCTGCTGCCGAATACTTTTTCCCCAGCATTGTCCTGGTTTCGATGTCGCCTCGATCGAACCAGCTCTTACGCCGCCTTTGAATTACTGCCAGGTGAATTCTTGAACCAGTCCCCCAAAGGGTCGTCTCAACATGTCTGAACAGCAGTCCAGCGAACCTCGTATCAAGTCTCACAAAAGAAATACCGCTCACCGACGACGTCGCGATGACGAAGATTTTGATGAGCGCTGGGGGGATGAAGAGATACCAGAGGATGAGGAGCAGGCTGGCGACCCGGAATTTGAGGAATCTTCTTGCAAGAGAGTGAAACTATCCGATGGTTCTGTTTCGCAGCGGTCGAGCAACCCCACGCGGGCGCCGGAAACAGCAGACGAGAAGGCCCAAAGGGAAAGAGCCGAGGATGTGAGGGAAAGGGATGAGTTTGCCAAGAGGCTGGCAAAACGAGACGAGGAGCGAGCAAAGAAGATTGTGGAAGACAGAACCTCGGGCAAAGGCAGCGCCACAGCGCAGCGGAGGGCATTAGCAGACGATGCCACGGCCAGAGAGGCAGTCATGCCGGATCTGCGACTCCGTTCAAGACAAGACTACCTGAAGAAGAGAGAAGCAGAGAGGTTGGCCCTCTTGCGGAAACAGGTTGCCGAAGAACAGGCCGAGCTTAGAGACAATCCCGACCTGACAAGGCGGGAGAAGGAGGAGTTTGCACGCAACCAAGAAATCCTCCGAATTGCTGAAGAGCGACTGAGTATCGACGACCACCTCGACGGCTACGCTCTTCCGGAGGACTACATTACGGAGAAAGGCAAAATAGACAAGCGGAAGAAGGAGCAAGCTCTCTATCAGCGTTATGTTGACAGGGATGAAAGCGGCCGAGAACGTTACGTGACGGAGAACGAGGAATGGGAAAAAGAGCAGACCAAGCGAGCGGAGGCGCAGATCAAGAGAGCCGAGTTTGTCGATGAAGGTGACTACGGCTATGTCTTCGACGAGAGCCAACAAATGAAATTTGTCATGGCCGAAACCGTTGGTGGAGATATAGGCAAAGGGATGACGAAAGAACAAAGAGATCTAGTTCAGAGGCTGAGTGCTGCAGAAGCCAAAGCCAAAAGCATCGACGAAACGAGAAAGAGCCTACCAGTCTACCAGTTCCGCGATCAAATCATCCAAGCGGTCAAAGACCATCAAGTCCTGATCATTGTCGGTGAAACTGGCAGCGGAAAAACCACGCAACTCCCGCAGTATCTCCATGAAGCTGGTTTCACGAAAGATGGAATGAAAATCGGCTGCACCCAACCCCGACGAGTGGCGGCCATGTCTGTTGCTGCAAGAGTGGCGGAGGAAATGGGCAAGCGGTTGGGAAACGAAGTTGGTTATGCAATCCGGTTCGAAGACAACACCAGTGAAAAGACCGTTCTGAAATACATGACCGACGGTATGCTATTGAGAGAGCTTCTGACCGATCCGGAACTGTCGCAATATTCGGCACTTATGATTGATGAAGCACACGAACGGACTGTGAGTACAGATATCGCCTGTGGCTTGCTGAAAGACATTGCAAAAGCAAGGCCGGATCTGAAACTGCTGATATCCTCAGCCACGATGGATGCCCGGAAGTTTCAGAAATACTTTGACGATGCTCCCATTTTCAACATTCCCGGCAGAAGGTACCCGGTGGACATTCATTACACGGCGCAGCCTGAGGCCAACTACCTCGCGGCCGCTATCACCACTGTTTTCCAAATTCACATCACACAGGGCGCAGGAGATATTCTAGTGTTTCTTACAGGTCAGGAGGAGATTGAGGCGATGGAAGCGAATCTGCAGGAAACAGCACGGAAGCTCGGGAACAAAATCCGAGAAATGATTATTTGCCCCATCTATGCCAACCTGCCGACAGATCTACAAGCAAAGATATTCGAACCTACTCCACCTGGGGCAAGGAAGGTGGTCTTGGCGACCAATATCGCGGAGACGTCGTTAACAATTGACGGTATTGTCTATGTGATTGACCCAGGATTCGTGAAGGAGAACCAATACAATCCGCGAACCGGCATGGAGTCGTTGGTGGTGGTCCCCTGCAGTCGCGCCTCAGCCGGTCAACGTGCCGGTCGAGCCGGCCGTGTTGGGCCTGGCAAATGCTTCCGACTGTACACTGCGCAGGCCTACAAGAACGAGCTTGAGGAGAATACCACGCCAGAAATTCAACGGACTAATCTGACGGGGGTGATTCTCCTGCTCAAAAGTCTCGGTATCAATGACCTTCTCGACTTTGATTTCATGGATCCGCCTCCGACCGACACTATCGTTAGAGCGATTGAACTGCTCTACGCACTGGGGGCGTTCAATAATGCCGGTGAACTGACCAAGATTGGTCGTCAAATGGCGGAGTTCCCAACCGATCCTATGCTAGCTCGGTCCATCCTCGCTTCTGACAAGTATGGCTGTGTTGATGAGCTGCTCTCAATCATTGCAATGTTGGGTGAAGCCTCTGCATTGTTCTTCCGACCCAAGGACAAGAAGATCCATGCCGATAGCGCCAGGGCTCGGTTCACCAACAAAGACGGCGGTGATCATCTCACCCTGCTCAATGTCTTCCAGGAGTGGGTGGATTCAGACTACAGCTATGTCTGGGCGAAAGAGAACTTCTTACAGCAACGAAGCCTGACGCGAGCACGAGATGTACGGGATCAGCTGGCAAGACTGTGCGACCGGGTGGAAGTGGACGCTAGCAAAACCTGCGGAGGATCGTCGAACATCGAACCCATCCAGAAGGCGATCACGGCCGGCTTTTTCCCACATTCAGCGAGGCTTCAGCGAGACGGTCAGAGTTACCGGACGGTGAAGAATGGACAAACCGTTTATATCCATCCTTCGGGCGTGCTCATTGAGAACCGACCCAAGTGGCTCCTATACCATGAACTGGTCCTGACCAGCAAAGAATATATGAGAAGCTGCATGCCATTGAAGCCGGAATGGTTGATGGAGGCGGCTCCTCATTATTACAAGAAGAAGGACTTGGACTCTCTGGGGGTAGAAAGAAAACTCCCGAAAGGTGAGGGCAAGGCTCAGAGTAAGATATAACACGAATGGACATCTGGGCCTCTGTACACGGTGGATGGATGGGCTCCAAACACCTTTTCTGATTTTGTTTTCTATTCCTCCAGGCCACTTGCGTAGAAGGACTCCATGATCGCTTTCTCTCTCCCATGACTGCAGACCCGCTCCATTAACATGAACTGCGGTGGTAAGGTACATACCACAGCACTGCCCTGCCGTGTACGGAGTAAGGCTGCGGTTGCCCCTGCCAAGCCCCATCACGTGCAGTCACGTGCCATTTCCGCATCCGGTACTCCCAGGACCCCATATCAAAGATTTTTTACCTGGGTCGTTTTTCCCAAAAGTTTCGTTCGGGCCCGTCATGATTGTGCCGTGGTGACTCGATACCCATCAGCCAACATGTCCAAAGACGCACACCCCTGTAAAGTCGTTTTGGCCGGCAATATAGCCAAAGGGCTCCTCAGCGAGGTGCAGGCGGGCCTCAGCACCCTGGGTCGCAAACCACATCTGCTCGGGATACTTGCCAACAGCGACCCGGCCGCCAAAGTGTATGCAGACTGGACGGAGAAGACGTGCAAAGAGAAGTAAGTCCATGTACGCAGTGGTTGGTCGTTTGCCGGGTATAGCACTCTTGCCGGGGGTCAGATCCAGATTCAACACCCTCTCCTGCTCGGAAGTTGGCGTTCTCTTTTTGCTCCTTATTTTTCGTGCATGCGTGCCCTAACATGTGTGGCCTCTGCGAAGTGGCTTCCAGTATTCGCTGAAGGACGTGGGCAAAGACGATGTCGAAGAGACGATCATGGCGGCCAACAACGACGCGGCGGTGGATGGCATCATTGTCTACTACCCGATCTTCCACAACCGACAAGACCAGTACCTGCAGCAGATTGTGGACGTGTCCAAGGATGTGGAGGGCCTGAGCCACCAGTACATCTTCAACATGTACCAGAACATCCGGTTCCTGGACTCGGCGCAGGGGCAGGAGCAGGAGCACGCCAGGAAGTCTATCTTGCCGTGTACGCCTCTGGCGGTGATCAAGATCCTCGAGTACCTGCACATCTACAACACGATTCTCCCGTACGGCAACCGGCTCTTCGGCCGCACCATCTGCGTCGTCAACCGGTCGGAAGTGGTGGGCCGCCCGCTGGCCGCGCTGCTGGCCAACGACGGCGCCTGTGTCTACAGCGTCGACATCACCGGCGTGCAGCAGTTCACGCGCGGCGAGGGCATTCGCAAGCGGAAGCACGAGGTCGTCGAGAAGGTCGGCTGGTCCATCGAAAACTGCGCCCCGCTGTGCGACGTCGTCATCACCGGCGTCCCCGGCGACAAATACAAATTCCCCTGTCACCTGTTGAAGGAGGGCGCCGTATGCATCAACTTTGCCAGTGAGAAGGTGAGTGCGGTGCGAGTGCGAGTGTGGGCGAGCCGAGTTAGAGCGCTTTCTTTTGCTTTTGCTTTTGGTCCTTGTCGCGCTCAATCCGCATGTTCCTATATGTGTCCGTGTCTACGTCTACAGGCAGTCAGTGCTAACCATTGGCCTGTCCTTTTCCAGAACTTTGGGCCCGAAGTCAAGCAGAAGGCCTCCATCTATGTGCCAGCGATCGGCAAAGTCACCATCGTCGTCCTCCTTCGCAATCTGCTGCGCATCGTACAGAACCGACAAGCACAGATCGCCCAAGCGACTTCCAGATCCTCCGACACGGCGATTCCCCAACCCGCCGCGAACGGCACAACATCATAGCATCGCTGCACCGACGACCTAGAGAGGCCTGGAGCTTAGCTGCATGGTTGCTGGCGAATTGCAGCGACCCCGGGCAGCCTCGCGGCCACAGCGAAGTGCAATACGGCGGAATCAAGCCAACATTTTCGACATGAATGGGTAGTGATAGTCCGACGTGCGATGGAACATCGCACAGATTGAAATAGCCTGTTCAATTTGCTGTGCGACGCTGCGCAGGTGCATTGCATGCTGGTTGCCGTTGCCGTTGCCGCTCTCGTTCTCGCCATTCGTGCTTCAAAGTCCAAAATCCAAAATCGAGGCCGGGCGAGGCGAGGCCGGACGCACGGCGCTGGAGCTTGAGTATGAGCAGGAATCACGAAATGTCCAAAACGAGAGTATGAGATGGCTGGCTGGATTCGCCCCTTTCATGCAGCCATGAAAGGCGAGCGCGAGCATTGAGAGTCACCTCAACCAACATTCCGGGTACGACGGGGATTGCATTGAACGGTGGTTGCGAGCAAAAGCACTCACGGTAGAGTTCATGCACTAGACAGATCATCCCGCTTGCGCGTCAGGGAGACACCGGCCCTCTGTATAGCATCCAGCAGGTCTGAGTAGTAGTCTCTCCCAGTACAATCTCACAACGCGGAGTGATCTAGTTACAAAAAACTATACCATCAGCACTGTACATGCATGCTCTGTTCGATCTATGGCTTCTCTAGAATCCCATGACATGCCCCGCGGAGTGGACAAACAGATCCCCACCAACGAGTGCAGTTGACATTGCTCGCCAAATCTTTCGTTTGCCTGCCGAATATACAGCGCCCTCTCGGGACTCAACATAGATATAATTACCTCCCTTTCTTTTCCTCAGCTGCTCGCCTTGCACTTCAGTCGCCCACGCCGATACCTGTAGCTGTACCTCTCCCGTGCAGTATGTCCAGCCGGCGTGACTCTTATGCTGTCGCCGGTACCTCCTTTGGATATATGTGCATGCATCTTCTCTCCATCCCAACCCGGCCTCCTACGCAAAGGACGAACGGCAGCCGGTTCAGTTCGACAAATGGCCCCTCCATCATGCCAACTGCGCTCGTCGGATCGAAATCCAATCCAGGGAGGCGGGTTTCTTTACAACTTGGCCTTCTCGGCGACCTCACCGATCTTCAACTTAGGAGCGTATTTCTTGAGGACAGATTCGTTGTGGTACTATATTCAATGGGCGCAGCATGTCAGCCTGGGCCCCTGTATCTCCCCTCCCGTGCCGGGCGGTCCAATCAACCGTGTACAACCCGTAGAGACCTACCTTCCAGAACTGCTTGCTGGCGTCCTTGCCGGCGACTCGTTTCAAGATCTTGGCTCCACCCGGGTGCTCGTCGACAAAGTTGGTCACATCGTAAACGGACCCGTCGACAATGATGTACAAGCCATCGCCGGCGTTGGCGGTGTGCTTGGCCACTTCGGCCGTGGTGAAGGTCTTGGACATTGTGTGGGAATAAGCTCAGACGTCGAGTCGAGGAAAGTAGGGTCGGGTGGAGGATCAAGGGAAACGGCTCGGTGTGGCCAAACGAACAGGGATTCTAGGCGGCTATGGCTCTTCCGCGACGCAATGCAATGCGGAATAGTGTATTTCAACGTCGGCACTTCGACCTCTGTTGCGAAGCGGATGGGCGGGGGATTGTGGGTGGATGAAGGGATGAAGTCTATGAGGAGATCTATCGAGTGTAGTAGTGGCGGATTGGCCGACGGAGGATGGGTCTTCGGGTGCCTGGGAGAGGAAGGAAATGGACGGAGCAACAATGCTGGGAAATGGAATATAATAAGGAAATGCAAGATGGATCGGATCAGAGCAGCGCAGCGCAGTCAGTCAGGAACTTGAAGTCAGTCAGTTGTGAGATTCCTCAGGAAATGCCGAGGTCCAATACACAACTGCATATCGACATTGTCATACTGTAACATTGGTATTACTTAGGTACCAGGTACCTAGTAGGAGGTAGTAGTAGTATGGAGTACGGAGTACGGAGTACATCACTACCTGGTACCTAGCATACTCCGTATTACAGTATTACGCCTTATTGCACCCGGACCGTCCCCGTGTCGCCATCCTCCTGGTCAGCCAACTTGAAGCAGGTCTGATTGGACCGCTGCCCACTTTCTGACATGTCTCCCGATCGACGTTCCTGGGCATATTCCCACGACGTCCTTAATACGGAGTGGTCTTGTAAGGAAACATGGTGCCGTCTTCCTGGACGTGGGAGCTTGGTCCACAGAGCACAGCATTGTGTACGCATGTATGCCGTAACACTCCCAGATCTCGGCGGGGTGTGTATCTGTTTCTCTATATTTACTTGTGCGCAGAGTGAGAAGTCTGTCACACTCTCTTCCAATATAAATCGCCGGTATCGTCTTCACCCCCTTGAGACCAGGCCAATTGGTATTAAACACATATGTACCCCGTTCCGTGCTCCAAGTAACAGTGCCAAGTGGTCACCCGAACCCTTCCGTTGCGCCGTTTAGTGGCCATGGTCGCTTGCTTGTGTGGACGAGGACAAGGGCACATCTCCCATCAATTGGCGACCACCTCGTCGTGTACAAACCCTTCCCCAAGATAGATCGTCTCGCCGCCACCGTACCATAACGTGCCCTTGCGGAAGTCGAGGCCCTTCTCTTCACCTACCACCCACTCGCCGCCGGGCTTGATCAGCTGCCCTTCTTCGGGCCAGTATTCCACCTCCAGCCATTTGTTGATCAATTCGAGCTCATTAATCCAGTGCCTGCGCTTCTTTATGTCTAGAGTAGCACTCTCGTCCAAGGGGTCTCCGCCAAACACGTTGGGCGAGTTGAATCTCGCAATGGTCAGGTGGGCCGAAGGGACCACGTATCTGGAGCCGACCCGGATTCCAGCTTCTGTGAGAGCGGCATAGCTGTCTCGTCTGAGATGGTGGTAAGTGTACTCATCATCTTTTGCGGCGCGCCAGTGCGAAGGCGACTCTCCAGCGGCCGGCACAAAGCTCAGCGCCAGCGCGGCAGAGTCATAACTCAACACTGGCTTGATAAGCCTGGCGCGGTGCGACATGGTGTAGTCGGCAATGTCCTTATGATGCGCTTTGACAGTATCGACGAGCTCTGCGATCTCACTTTCCGTCTTGGAATGAGCCACCTCCATGACTGTTATGTGCAGGTTATCCGGTGGCATCACCCACAGATCTAGATTGTGAGCCACCACGGTCACCCAAGGCGCGTCGACGAACACATACCTGGGGCGGCATCAAGAAGCTTTGACTGGATGACTTTGATCAGGTTCTTGACCTTCTGAGGCGGCCTCCCCCAGAAGACAAGGCAGTGGCGTGGGTCTGTGAACGATTCGTCCTTCTGCGGCCCGTCCAACTTGACCAAGTACTCGTCCAGGATCCAGCCTTTGAAATCCGCGGACAGGATCTTCTCTCGTTGTTGGGCATTTCTGGTTTCTCGGTGGGCGGAGTATCGTTCTTGGATCAGTTTCTGGCATGACAATTAGATAGGACGAGAGGAAGCTGAGATGGCAAGGCAGACAGGGTCACCATGGCAAGCATCAATCAATCCATCGTAAGGATTGGCTGTCTGCGGAACGGAGGTTCCGGACAGGTCTTCGAACCCAACTTGGGCCATCTTAACCCTGCTTTTCTTTTCAACAATTTCCACCTCCTGCCCTACCTGCACAGACCCTCAAACCGAATGAAATGCTCTGGAAGATGGAACTCTGATGTCTGGATGATAGAAGCTTGGACACATTGCGGCAGGAAGCTCTGCGATACGTCGGCTGAAAGAAATTCCGATCCGAAAGTATTACATAAGAAATCCTCGGCAATATTTCCAGATCCGAACACACGCATTTTTCTTACAATGTGCGTCTTGGCATTTCGCTGCGGGCTCAAGGCCACTGTCGCAGTCGACTTCGAGATCTAGTCATCGCCCTCCCTTCGACGACCACACCGCCGCTCTCAAAGGAACGCTACCGTCAATCCGTCAAAATGGTGAGTCAACAGTGCTTCAGCGTCTATTGTGCTTGGAATTGGCGGAACCGCCATAGGAGAAAGGAGGAGGGATATTTCTAGACAAGAGATGGATGCGACGAGATTCGAGCTCGAATCTTTCACAACAAGCATTGAAGATTCGCAGGAATTCTTGGTCTAAGTACCGTTTGGGCAACGTGCGGGTGTGAGGGAGAGTACAGGAGACAACGCAAAGAGGAGGCTTGAATCGATGATTGACTTTGGACATCTCGAGTTCTCCCGGCTAATCTATCTTTTCTCTCCAGGTTAACGTTCCCAAGACCCGCCGCACCTACTGCAAGGGCAAGACCTGCAAGAAGCACACTCAACACAAGGTCACCCAGTACAAGGCCGGAAAAGTATTTGCCCCTCCCATCCGAACGAACGGGAGAAGAGTCGGCTAACACTCGAACCAAGGCCTCTCTGTTCGCCCAGGGAAAGCGTCGATACGACCGCAAGCAATCCGGTTACGGTGGTCAAACGAAGCCCGTGTTCCACAAGAAGGCTAAGACAACCAAGAAGGTCGTGCTGAGATTGGAATGCACCGTGTGCAAGACGAAGGCACAACTGTCGTTGAAGCGATGCAAGCATTTCGAGCTGGGGTATGGCAATCCGTTTGGCCCAAAAAACTCGACCCAGAGACTGACTGCAATTCTAGTGGTGACAAGAAGACGAAGGGTGCAGCTCTTGTGTTCTAAATGTAGCCTTGCATTTCTGCGTGGGATGGCGGATGCAGTGAGTGCATGGGAGACAAAATGCGGACGGAACATGGCTATCATGATGATATTCACCCACTCAAGGTGATGGAAGGGTCCAGATACCAATGACATTCAATCTGCATTGACCTTGCACGCCAATGCCAATAAACCGCCTCAAACCGTTCTGCGTACTGCATTCTGCGACCAGTGCTTTCAAAAACACATTATGTTCGTCGCGCGGTTTTGACGAGAAAGAATGACAGTGCCTACGCAGCAAGAGCAGCAGCCAGCGGTTGTATTGCCCACCGGAACAGGCTGGCTCTCGTCACAGTGCACAGACGCATATTCCACTCTTTCAGAAGCCCATCTGACCCCGTCTGGAATTGAATTGAGCTGAACTGATGGGAAAGGCAGCCTCACGTTTCGTCGTGGCCCATTGTCGACAACAGGTGACAGGTTTGAACTCCAGAATGCTGCGGAAGTCACCTCGCCTCCTAAGAACAGCACCCGTACTGCGCCTTTTCCGTGTCACATGGACCCCATACACACCAACTGCAAATGTCTCGGCGGTGCATTGCTGGCATATCCCGCAGGCTACTAACAGTCCAAAATACAAGGATGTCCCAGGTCGAACCTTCTTTCCGTTCCATCCCAGCACCGCCCCGAACAAGCCACTGATGTCTGATTCCATGCCTCCTATCACGACGTATTCGTGTTCTGTGCTTCTGTTCTGTGCTTCCGTCGACTGTCGCTCCCACTAAGAAGACAGGGGGCTCGGACCTCTCAGCGCCATAACCCAGCGTGAGGCCACCAGTTCACGTCTTGATTGCTCATGCCTATGACAAACCGTATACGTGTGCTGCTAACTGCCATGCTCTACCAGGACCTGGGACGGCGCACTCCCCCGGATTAAAAGAGTACAGTACCATACCACCTTCCCCCGCATCGACCATCCCGCAAGATCACCTGAACATCACATACTACTGCATCCCCCGTGCCCCGTGCCCCGAGATCGAGCACTCGACTACATCCCACGGGAACTCCGTCGACCACGCTGTTTTGAAGGTTTTCTTGGCGAGAAGATACCTGCTTCCTTGGGCAGAGATCCCTTAACCCGACACCTGCCCCGTTTCCCATCCCTACGACTTAGTACTCCCACTCCTGACGCTGCCATCGTATACCCATAGCCCCACCTACCGATAGTACTACTATTTACTCCTAGTCGGGCAGTATGAGTCCATCGCTCTTCAGCAACGAACACTCGCGCGGCCCGCTCTACCGGTACTGGAAAGAGCAAGGCGAGGAAGAGAAGTCGCTGCGAGACCAACGGATCCAAGAAGCCAGACTGCGCAGCAAGGGCATCCTGCCCATTAACCCGACCTTTGGGCCCTCCAGCAACGACCAGTACACGAGTCGCGCGACCAGCGGTCCTCCTGCTTACCGGCCCGACGAGACGACCGAGACGTCCACTGGCAGTACTACAGATGACGCACCTAGAAGCCGGGGTCGAGGACCTCCATCCGACCCGGACGCAGAGCCACGACCGCAATCACATCCACGCACAGAGCCACTGCCGTCGTATGACACAGCCACAGCCACCGGCTCGGCGGCGGCGGCGGCTGGACCCCGAGAGCAGCAATCCTCATCTCCGAGCACGCATCTGTATCCGTCCGCGGAAGAGGAGAAGGCGCGGCTGCGAGATCTCGAAGACCAGAAGCGGCAGATGGCCGACGATGCCGCCATCGCGCAGACCCTGAGCGGCGACCAAGACGTCGAGGTCGATGCCGATGCCCAGATACGCTCCCTGAGCGACGAGCCTGTGCAGGACCGCGGCAAGGGAGGGCAGCCTGAGCGGAGAAAGAGCGCCGCCGGCAAAATCGGCAGATGGCTGGCCGACGCTGCCAGCGGCTACACCAAGAAACAAGAACGGTGGTGATTGAATGATGGATTGCTTTTGCCTTTCAAAGGCCTTGTGCCAGCAGCTTCCTTTCTTCCTATACGGAGTACCATGTATTGTACGAGTATAGTCTGCCTGTAATCTCAATTTGCGTGCGTCGTGGCAGAACAGGCACAGGGGCACCTAGTCATTCACTCAATCGTCTGTGGGTATCAATAGGCACTTCGTCACCACCCTGGCTTCGTTATCAAACGAATATGTTCTCAATGGCAGTGGCATGCACTCTTCACTATGGGCTCGCTCGGCTCCGTGTCCAACATGGTCATTATTCATTTTCTGCGTGATCGAGAACCAGAGAAGGAGATATCTGTCATAGCATCATTCATTCATGTTCGTCCGTCTTTCTTGCTTTGTCGATCCTCTCAGAATTGCCGCTGTATCCATCAAATCCAACTCATCGTCATCGTCATCATCGTCACGTTGAAATGACTTGTGTGAAAAGCAGCTAACAGGCCAACCCCCAACCCAAAGCCTCCGAACCCTTCTTACATCAAACCCAATGAAAGTCGTTTCATAACTGCCGTGTCGATTTGGATGCCTGTCGTTGGTCCCCCTTGAAATCCAGCTATGCTTCATCTACTCCTCTTCTTTCTACCTTCTGGTCCAAATAACCCATCCAAAAAGTTCCCAAACAACTTTCCCGTGGTTCCTTTCCCGGCAAGAATCTCGTCCAACCGATCGGCAAGAGGATCGCTCCCAGGTTCTGGTTTTCGGCGTCCTTGTTCATCAAACCTTGGTGGTAGCTCTACTGTGGCATCGGAGTCAGAGGGGCTTGTGACACGGTCGAGGGGAGGTGCCCGCGGTGTGATGCGCGAAGAAGTAGTCTCATGAGGCTGACGTCGCCGATGGTTTCTTCGCTTATCTTGGCCTCCGCTGGTGGAATCAAGATCAGCCACCCGAGAAGATTGTCCTCGGCGTCCTCGGCGGGTCTCTACGGGTGTCGAGTCCGTATCATCTTCGGATTCATAGCCTCGGGAATTAGGATACCTGTGACGGCGGTGGTGACGTTCAGGACTCGAAATCTCGGATTCCGTGGCTACAGTATCGGACTCGGCTGATATCTCAGGCTTATCGGCAAATTGTACACTCTTGCGGCGAGATGACGGAGGAGGTTGAGATTGCGAGCGTGGCGGAGAAACGGCTCTTGCCGCAGAAGGAACAGATCGTCCCATGGGAACAGAATTTGACTCAGGAGGTGGATGGGGTGCTAGGCCCGAAGTCGAAGCTGGGTGAGCATTGAGAAGCGGTGGCGGCGGAGGGGCGGCAGTCGCAGTTAGACCTGAAAGGAGCGTGTCAGCAAACTCCGTTCATACCTCTTTCAAGAGCAAACGGGCCAAAGAGGTACATGACTATGACGTACCATCGACATGGTTCTGGTCATTGGAAGTGGCAGGTATAGAAGAATAGCCAAATGTAGAACTCGGTTCATCACTCACATTTTCAGGCCCACGTGGTGGATAAGGGTTGGCACCGGAACCATATGCGTCGTAAGGATTGGTGGTTGGCGGAGGACCGCCTGCGGGTGGAGGGGGAGGATAAGGCTGCGTGGGATAAGATGTCCCAGCGGCGGGCCCGGCTGTCGGTGGTGGCTGCTGTGGAGGGTATTGCTGTGGTACAGACCCAGGAGGCGGGGGGAACTGGCTTGTTTGCGGATAGAAGCCTTGCTGAGCAGCATACGGGTCGTTCACGGGCGGTGGCGGCGTCGGAGGGTACGGTTGCGAAGGGTGGTAGTTGTCCTCGTAGGGATCACCAGCATATCCCTCTTCCTCACGGCCTGGATCATGTCAGCTTGAACATCTGCAGCGACCTCCACCAGATACTTACGCCTCCTTGCTTTCCGTTCCCGCTTCTCCTGTTTACGCTTTTCATACTCGGTCGCAGCAATGGCTCCGGCTCCAGCCGCTGCGGCCATCTTTGCCGCGTCGTGGGATGATCGTCTGCGCCCGTGTTTGCTTCGCTCAGAGGACGAGCTATGACTGCGGGAAGACCGTCTTCCCCCACGCTCACGGCTCACACTGCGACTCCGGCTCCGTGCTCCTCGCTGAGCAGTATAGGGGTCGCGGGGGACGACTGCATCAGAGGCACCGTAGTAGCCTTCTGCTGGCGGAGGTCGACCATAATAATCGGGACCAAAGTTGTTGCCATACATCGGGCCAGTGCCGTACTCAATCAGACCCGGATCAGCAAGGGCTGCATCTCTGGGACCATCATAGTATCCGTCAGACCGGGCTCTGCTTCTTGATCTGGAGCGGGCACGACGCCCCTCCGTGGAGATCTTTTCAGCCTCTTTCTTGGCCTTGTTCTTCTCGTATAAACCGGCGAGGGCAGCACTACCCAACCCAGCAGCAACAACGGGAAGGGCTTGTCTGATGCGGCTGCGGGAACGTTCTTTGCCATCCCTCGCTCTGGACTTACTCCTAGCCCTTTCAATCAGACCTGCAACGACAGCACCGGCGGCGCCCGCCTCAGCGATTCTTTTATTGCGATGCTTGGGGTTTCGAGCATCGTCCGACGGAGCTGACGGGTCGTTCTCAAGACTGGAGACAGATTGTGTACGGTGCCGAGAACGGCTGCGCCGAGGCTCCTCCTTGTCTTTGTTCATCCGCTTCGAGGCAATTGCGGCGGCGGCGGCGAGGGCGGCGGCCCCAAGGCCGACAGCGCCAAGGGTTTTCAATTTCGACGGTGACTCTGACCGAGATCGGCTACGCCTGCGAGAGCGTGACCGTGGAGAATAGCGATCCCGGGAGTCACGGGAGTGGTGTCGACTCTTGCTTCGGTGGCGCGATCTTGCACGCTGGATGCCCTCGGCAGCAAGCGCTCCCAAAGCCCCCGCGCCAATGTCTCGTCCCACACGACCGATGCCGTGGGACGTCTCGCGGCCTTCCTTCTTCCGATGGTTTCGGAGAAGTTCGGCAGCACCCACGCCGGCGACGACGCCTGCAGCAAGGCCTTTGCGCCGCTCAGGACTGGGGCTCTCGTCGCGCGTCTCTTTGCGGACATAAACCATGCTGTCGTCGCTGCTATAATCACGACCTCTCTGACTCACGGAATCGTGGGGACTGACAGAGCGGCGTCTGCTTCGCCGCTCGTAGTAATCATCGTCATCATCACGACGGTCATCGAGCCGCTCGCGAACCTTTTTCTCATAAAAGAAGTCTTCTTCGCCGCGAGCGGGTGGTTCTCGACGGACAACGCTGCGCTCCTCTTCGACGTCGGACTTGCGCACTATTTGATAGTCGTCGTCTCGAACTCTTTCGCGGATAATGATAGGCTCTTGGCGGATAACAATGGTGGTCGGCGGCGCGGGCGGAGGAGTAAAATACTCAGATGTGCGGCTGTAACGCTGGAGGTCGCGATCGTCGAAAGGACGAGTCGGAGACACGATTTCAAAGTCGTCTCGATAGCGAGTCTCGGTAATCCGCGCATCACGGCCTCGGTCGTCATATCTTGCAATTGACAAATCGTCCCGACGAGGCTCATCGCGATCAGTGGTCCGTCTGATTACCAGCTCTCTCTCTGCAGCGGGTTCACCACGCCAAGTGTCGTAGCCGTAGTCTCGGCGTGGCTCGTCGTCCCGCTCACGCCGGACGATCAACTCGCGCTCCGAGTAACGGGGATCTTCTCGACGGGGAGGTTCATCTACTTCACGTTCACGACGGACAATGCGAGTCTCTTCTACTCGCTCCCCCGCACGGTCGGGGACGAACCGACGGTCCCGACCGACAGGGGAGCGGGTGTCCTCTTCCTTGACCACGTAGCGCTTTACCGTTGTGTAACCGCCATCTCGGCGCGCAGACGAGACCGATGTTCGCGAGTCGTCGAAACGCCCGCCATAGACAGACATGCTGGCCGCAAGTTGAGGGCCGGAGCCGAGCTGAGGGCAGGAACAGGCCTAAGCGGCGGAAGGACTAGAGGGTTCGGGACGGAGGGTCGTGCGGGCTTGGCTGGCGGGACGGGACAAAATGGATTGCTGATGGCGGTTAGTTGTGAACACAAGTTTGATGATGAGAAATGGCAGATCACTGGATATGGAGAGAGAGAGAGATAAGTGATGGTTTTGGAGGAGGGAAGGGGAACGAGACTGATAGAAATAATGAGGCGGGGTGGCAGGAGAATGGTGAGCTGGCCACACCGCAACAGGTGACCCGGATTGGGGCTGAGAGTCAGATGCTGCAGGCTAGGCTGCGAGTGGGCAGAAAGGGACGAGGCGAGCGAGTCGTAGCACCACCTGGATACATGTACTCGGTACGGGATAAGGAATGGAACATACCTCTCTGCCAGCAGCTAAGGGATCCGGGATCAGTTGGGCGCAGCGATCGCAGGAAAGTTGGGTGGCGGAGTGAGAGGGAAAGACAAGAGAGCGACAGAGGGCGAGGCAGACGGAGACGGAGACGGAGCGGCGTGGAAGAAGAAGAAGAAGAAGAAGGACAACCGAACAACCTGGCTGCGAGGTAGGTGACCTGCCAGGGAACAAACAAGAGTGCTGTAGGGAGTAGGGCCTGATTTGTGCAAGAAATGGCTCTGACTGAGACTCAACTCAGCTTCTTCCTGTCAGTGTCCAGTTTCCAGCCCTCCAGCCCTCCAGCCCACTTTTCAAATGACGTATCTCCAGTGAGTACGGAGGACTTGGTAACGTACCTCCCGCCTAGGTGCCTCCTACCTAGGTAGGTGAGGTAGGCAACTAGGTGCCTAAGGTAAGGTACATAAGGCCCAACCAACACTACCTAACTGACCGCTGCCCCTCTTCCTCCGAAATTGGCCGCCGTCTGACAAGCCCCCATACCTGAGATGGCCCTTCCAGTTCTTACTGTTAGGTGCCTGTAGGATGGATACAGAAGTATATGTCTTGTCAGACAAATATACCACCTACTATGGGCATTCTTCACCTAAACACCATGCAAGCCGTAGCAGGGATGCCTCTTCCCCCCCTGCAGCACTGCCCAACACATCTGCTGTGATTCCCAATCTCCAGCAAGTGTGCATGGTCATGGTCATGCCCCTGCAATAGCATCAAGTGCCAACAGCGTTATCCTGCCCCAATCCGGCCTGATGCCGTTCCGCAGTGATACAGTCTAGTAGGAGAAACCGGTGACGGTGACGGAAAAGCACCAGACCGGCCATTGAGCTCATTCTTTTGGTATTCTTGCGATGGCTCCATCGCTCTCCCTAAAGCCGGCGGCTCGGAAGCCTTAGCCACTAAATATACGAAGGCGCTCTTCGAAAACAAATGCAGCTGACGGCTGCGCGACTGGATGGATCTCGACCTTCCTAGACTCAAACTTCGAGTTCCGCCTTCTCCCTTTCCATTCTTTTCCCTTCCGTTAAGAGTGCCCCGTTCTGGTGGGCATATATAACCAAGTATATTCGCAATCCCAACGCGCTTTCCTTTTCGAGGTCCTTGGGTATCTAGTCGTTAATGCCCCCTGTGTGAGGTAGGCTTTGTTGAATTCACAAACGAAATTCGTCCACGTCATAATCTGAGCCTTTCTCTCATTCTTTTTCTTTGTTTCTGGCCGTCCCAGCATATGTCAGGTTTGGTCACCGGATTCACCGTCGTTTGGCAATACCTGAACTCGGCCGCCAATCTTCGCAGATCTTATTTTGGAGCTCAGAGGCAGCTGGTACTTGATCACCCCTCGTGCAATCAAATCAAACGGGTGTTGTAAGCCTCTCTCCCATCGAGCGGACCCTCCCTCCTCAGTTTTGTTACCAGGTTTCGCCAGCCGAATCTCCCCAACAGAGGAACTCAAGGTGCGTCGGAGAGGGGAGGCGTCGAATACCAATGGAGAGTCGAATTCAAAGATTCTTCCCAGCAACATCTTCGGAGTCCCAGATTCAGGGTCATCAATCGGATCAGTACCCTCATCTACTCCGTCCGCAGCGTGCCAGGGAAGCCAGGCCGACCCAGAGATACTGCGACTTCGCCGAGAAGCCCACCGAAGAGCGCCTGTCTCGTGGTCCCGGTGTGCCACCATCCCGACGTAAGGGCTTTCCGCAAATAGATTGACATCCAGGTCATTGACGGTAATGGCGAAAAGGTTCGTGTTGACCGCCTGGACATGCAGATCCAGCATCAGTTCTTGCTCGGACGCAAGAACGTTCTGGATGTGTTTGATAGACACATCTGTCAAGGGTCGGCTGAGCACCATCACCAAGGCCGTGATGCCACAACATACAATGACAACAACAACCCCCAGAAAAATGCAGCCCCCATACCGCCCGAAGTAGCCCCGGTCATAGTCATCATCAAAGTCCATCTGCCGCAATGTCACACTGTGGGGCCGACGACTATGCCGGGCACGATTGATGCGCACCGAGCCGATAAGGGGAGCTCGTTCATCGTCGGCGGCATCATCGTAGGCGTCAAATGCTTCTCCTTTCCGCGGACTCCCCGGCAACCGACCGTTGGACAACCTGGGGCTGTTTGGCCTCGAGAAGCGGGACAAATTGTTGGTCGACGTACGTGGAGAACTCGACTTGCTACCTTGAGTGAATGGCGAGTCTGCATCAAAAAGGGACGTATGATGGGGCCGTCCATGTCTGCTGATATGATGATGGCGAGGCGTCGTACTTGTATTGCGTTGGTTCGCCCGTCCTTCCGGACCGGTCTCTCCATCCAGATGATTGTTGTGGGCGTTATTGGAAAACTTCATGCTCTTCTTGCCAGCTATAGCATGACTACCACTTCGAACGCCGTGCTTACTACGAACACCGTGCTGATCTTGACTCGCTAGGGAGGTTGCACTTGGAGTTCGAGAATGATGGCGACTGGGTCGGTTGTCTGGTGGGTTAGACTCATACACAAATGTCTCGTCCGAATCGGAAGAATCAGCCTCATCGACGGCACTTGCAACCCTGGCCTCAAACAAGTCTGCTTTGGACGTGACAGTCCCTGCATGTAACGACGGCGCCTTACGAGCTGACCTCTTCTTCTCCTTTTTAGGGCGGATCGTCTCATTGCTTGGTTTTGTTCTCACACTTCCATTTCCGTCCCTGCCAGAGACACCCCGGTCCGGGCCTAATAGTTGAGGTATCGAGGTGACAGTCTCGGTTTCCACCGTCATGGTCCTAGGAGGGTCGGTGGCCAGTTTGTTTTTGGCACTAGCAAGACTGGTGAAGGATCGCTTTGCCAGCTCAGAGGCGGGACGTGAGCCACTTGGAGCCCTCGATCTGCGCCCGCTTTCTACCTTGTTTGCAGGTGCTTTTGAGCTGCCATCGCCGCCACTTGTTTCGCTCTCCTTGTTCGTAGGAGGCCCAGGTCGGGGCTCTGCCGGTTGGTCAAGGCTATGCGCATCGATCTTTTGGTCCGATGGAGATGTAGCGACGGGGCCGATAGACGGAGTCGAAGGAACACTGCTTTCAGCGACAGTCTCCAGAGCGCTTCCGCCGGCACTTGGGCCTCGACCTGACGCTCGTAGTGTCGACGGCGGAACTGTTGAATCTTGACCGTCAGGAACGTGTAGGGCAGTGGCTTGCTCGGGATTGGGAAGAGTAGCCAATCTTTTCAACGATGTGTTTGGCTGCATTTGCTCGGGGTCACTTCTTTTGGTAGCCTGTGATCTTCCTCCCACTTTTGAAGGAGGAGGAGATTTCAACCGAGGTGAGGTAGGCCAGGACGGCGAATTTTGGCCCGATCTCAATTGCCTGTTGTCGGAAGATCGAACACCGTCGACCACACCATCGTTACTCGAAGACTGTAATATTGGTCTCTGTGCGGAGAGTGCTCGCTGAACTGCTGCCGCCGACGGCACAGTAGTATGCTGCCCAGTAGTACTTCGCGTCGGGCTGAACTCCTGGCTATTCTTGCGAGACCGCGAGAGTTGTGGGATGGCAGAAACGCTGCGAGAGATCCGGACAGGAGAGACCTCTTGAGAGGAGGTTTGGGATGAACCAGGAAGGCCTGCTCCGGCCGCAGGAACCTTGTCTGGCAGTTGTCCCGACATGGCTTGACCGGGTGTAATGCTTCTCTACTTCTTGTACCTCCTCCGACACCGAGTAGTCCGAATGACGCTAATCGACCCGTGGACCTCGCAGGATCATCGCGGCATGTTGCATCGGCACGGATAAGTCAGGATCTAATGTGGTTCTGCACGTAAAGGTAGACAGGGTGAGAGCGTCCTGTCGAAGAAAGCAGCTGTTGTGGCGCAGGGGTGGACGGGAGGGATTGATTGGTGGCTATACGGATGCAGATCGAAACATAGAGACCGGTGGCAAGTCGTAGGAGGTGGAAATCGAGCAGTGCATCAGAATCGGGTCGGGAAAGCGGTATTGAAATAGATGAAAGCCCAGCCAGGGCAATGGGACGGTGGGATTGTTGTGAGCAGGATGTTGGCGGTGGTGTTAGTGGTCGTGGTAGCAGGATGCTTATGGGCGCAGGATGGATCGTAGTAGTAATGATAGAAGGGCTTGGACTTGAGGATCCCCTGATAAACTAATGGACAAATGGCACAGGGCACGGGGAAACATCCATGCAGAGCGTCATCCATATTGTTTTCGCCTCTGCGTAGTGGCTTGCTCTGTGCGACTGGCACCACTGCCTGCTGGCTGCGCTGTGGCACCCGTACTCACCCCCTGCCCTTACGCCGCTAACTAGCCACATCCATAGCATCCCCTTCAAACGGTCAACGTGGCATTTTGCTAGCCATTCCTAATGCTTCCTAACTGCCCGCGCTGCTCCTCCACCATCCGCTTTCCTGGACTTGTCTTTTCTGCCTCTTGGTCCAACCACAACCCTCAATCCTCGACGCTCAGCCACCCAACACAAAATCACTGGTCCGGCCCCGGGGACCCTCCTCCCGGTACCTGTCCCTGGCTCCCATTCTGCGAGGTCACGGGTGCATAAATTCCCGCAGGGCTAGATCGACTGCTCTTTGTGACCATTCACCCGAACCTGGGCAACCCCAAGTCGTAACGCGGATAAGCCCAACCCGAACCCAGGAGAACGAAGAGCCGACCCTTACGATGGCGTCCAGAAGCGGTCTGTCGTATGAACAAAGAGCGGTACAGCACCCTAATCCGCTGGTGAAAAAGCTCTTCGCCATTGCCGAGAAGAAAAAGACCAACATCGTCCTGTCAGCAGACTTGACAACCACGAACGAACTCCTTGACATTGCTGATCGTAAGTTGACCCTTCCAGACGCGATTTTTCACGAGTATACCTTTGAAGCTAGCTTCAGTACTGGCCGGGGAAAATCTAACTTCTCTACTCCCACGAAGGTCTCGGGCCACACATCGCCGTCCTGAAGACTCATATCGACATAGTTTCAGACTTCGGCCCCAGCACCATCGAGGGACTGACTGAATTAGCCCAGCGTCACGACTTTCTCTTATTCGAGGATCGAAAGTTCATTGATATTGGAAACACTGTCCAAAAGCAATACAAAGGGGGTGCTTTACGGATCCACGACTGGGCTCACATTGTCAATGCCAGCATCCTCGCCGGAGAGGGCATTATTCAGGCTCTGGACCAGACCATCCGCGATGGTGGTGTGTCGGAGCGAGGCATTTTAATTCTGGCCGAAATGACCTCGAAGGGATCGCTGGCTGTAGGCGAGTACACGCAAGCATCAGTCGAGATCGCACAAAAGTTCCCTCAAAGTGTGCTCGGCTTTGTGTCAACCAAGGAACTATCGAGCCACTCCCGTGTCGCCAGCCCGGATGAAGATTTTGTAGTCTTCACAACTGGTGTCAATCTCTCCAGCAAAGGAGATGCCCTCGGTCAACAATATCAGACCCCCACGACGGCGATTGAGGGAGGCTCTGATTTTCTTATTGCCGGAAGGGGTATTTATGCTGCAGCCGAGCCAGTGACAGCGGTGAAAGAATATCAGCAGGCCGGGTGGGACGCATACCAGCGACGGATAACATCGGCCAGTAAATAAGGCCTCTTATCCACCAAGAATAGTCGGCTTCATCAGTGAGGGATCACTAAAGCCGGTATTTAATATTGCATCCACAACTCATTCGGAGTGACGTGGGTCCATGGCTTCAGGCTGCCAGGGTGTCCAGCTTGTTGGCTGAGCAAGCTCTGCAATAGGGATATTGCTACGAACAACCATGGTGTCTCAACGCTGCTCACCCTCTCCAGGTCAGACGATCGTGAGCGATTTTGTACAGCGTACGGAGTAGTTTTCAGCTCGAATGCAAGGCTACCACGCCAGCGACCGCTGTGGCGCCCCGGTTGTGCGCCCTCGGAAAAGATAAGATGGAGATGGCGCCCCCCCAGCAGTGTCTATCTATGGTATGTCTCAATGGGGTCGACGAGTCCGAAAACCAGGGGTCTGCTACATGAGGTGGGAGAAGCACCGGGTGGCCAGTGCTCCCGGGATAATGATAATGGATGTGACGGGCGTCGTTTAGCAGGTCAATACTACCCAAAGTGAGTTCATCGACGTAACACAGTCCCAGAAATTACATTACTTGAATGGTCGAAGGACAATTTCGCGTAGCGACTCCAATGACCAGGGACAGTGATTAACAATGCAAGATTTTGATGAGGGCCATGAACAAATTTGGGAGAAATTCAATATTAGAATTACCCAGCACGCCTATAGGCTACGACGCCTAAACAGGGCCCTCCGACCACGACTCCTATACCGCCCAAATACCAAAATGCTCTCTGGCTTTAGCGGGGAAACGGGACTTTCCAGGTGGCCCGGGGGCCGGCGTCATCACTGTTCACACAGTCCAGGCAGCAGGTGGGCAGGAATCGCAACGCCGGCCGGAAGCTAGCGGCCAGTCTGGCTTAGTGGCCAGTTAAAGGGTGTTAGGGCGTCGCTAGACTGTCACTTGTTTACATGCCGGACTTGGCACCACCTTCACAGGGACCACAGACGCGTTCACGGAGATACACTACTGACAGCAGCAGGAGGAGCGAGTCTCGTTGTGGATGAATATCCTCCAAGAGCGTGTCGTGGCCTCTCGATCTCTCGCCTTGGGCAAACCGTCGAAACTTGCAATCCAGACAACCCGATCTCTTCCTCCATCCTGTCATCCTATTCGCGCCTCCCCTTCGATGCTTGCGCGCCTCCCATCGCAACGCAACCTCTCCCACCCTCCTCTCGCCACTGTCGACCGAACAACACATCGAACCCTCGTCATCCTCCCCGCCGCACGGCACGCGATTCACGCACCCAACTGAGTCTGACCACCTGCTACCCGACCTGCCGATCAGTGGCTTTCCTCATCGACCACATCCTCACATACAACCTCCATTCCCTCCATCATTCCCTCCCTCGATCTAACAGTTGTCCGCCTCTCTATTGCCCTGAACACCCGCCGCTCAGCGCCTCTTTCGAATTCTCCCGGCCTGTCTCACTAGCTTGACTCACCGCCGTGGCGGACTCTTGCGAACACAACGCCATCTGACATCACCCAGCGGAGAGTAATATTGCTCGACCATCAGTGCCGTCGTCAACCAAGAGGCACCTACGGTTCCCGCTGCCTCCCGCCAGCAGCTCGACCCTTCTTCGTTCTTGCCCTCCATCCTACGAGTATAGGCTGCAGAGCGCCTGGTGTATTCATATGGAACTGTGATTGATGTTTACATCGACTGGCTGGCATCAACGGTCTCCAGAAGAAGACGGCCGTGTCTCACCGAGAACCAGATACATGGCCAATAGCTGGGGCGAAGGTCTGAGTGGTGTGTTGGTTTGAATCAAAGCACTCCAAAGCCCCAGCCATGATGGCAACATACTCTCCTCATCGTGAGGATGGGGAAGCCGTCCATCTACATTCGCCCAAAGGAATCCCACATTTCGATCCTCAGTCCGCCATCCGGGAAATACGGCGATCATTATCACGCTCGCCTTCAAAGGGTTCAGAACTTCGCCAGTATCCATTTCGATCACCGAGCTCCGGCAATCTTCCCTTCTCACCCTCCCCACTCTCGCCTTCGAGAAAGTCCACCTCTGAAAGCCTCCTCCACATTTCCAATATGGTGTCTCCTCATTCGAATCGGGGACCACAAGGACCACGATTCCAACGTCCTATTCTGCGACGCACTGCGCAGCCCCACGGCATAACCCGCATCCGAACTTCACCCAAAAGCCCGTCAAAACGAGTTCTGGCCGACTCAAGCGACAGTGGGAACTCGTCACCGATGCCCCTGCGAAAGAGGAGCTCAGGCGAGGCGGAGCGTGAAGTCGCCCTCAAAGCCTTGACTACAGGAGACAGCAAGGAGAATGACAGGTCTCCAGAAGGCAAGTTCGGCAGGAAGGCGGCGCAGACTCGACAGGAGAAGAGACGAAGTGGTGGAGCATTGATCACAGCCGTTGCTCCTCTCAGTCCTATGAAGAGATGTGATGGTCCAGCAATGGACGGCGCGCCGGGTCTGGAGAGTCCCTCGGCAAAGAGGCGGAGTCTACATGGCCCTGGGCTCGACTTCAGCATATTCGAATCTGACAGCTTGGATGGCGGGATGTTTAACGACAAACGTTCTCAAGATGACAGCGACTGGTTTGCCAGCACCACGCCTTTACCATCGTCTCGGTTTTCCACAATCCCTAAGCGGTCATCGTCTCTGCGGAAATCGACACTTCAACAACGACAGCTCGAACGTCCGAGCAACTTGAAATTCAATCAGATCATGGATTGGGACCAGTCGTGGGTAGAGGCAACACCCGTTACAAGCTCAAAGAAGGGTTTACGTCTGTCTTTGGACAACCATCTTCAACCTTTGCCACGAGACAGTCCTTTTTCAAGCCAGGGAAGCCTACTTAGTGCCTCCATCCATCCTATCGGTTCCAGTCAGAACAGCTTCTCACAGCAGCAGCCTCGACATCCGCTGTCGCGGACGCTAACTCAGTCATCGTCGCAACCTAGCGAACAGGACGATTCACCTACCCATGAACCGGCCCATCGACCAAATAGACCTCGATCCCATGACTTCTCCAAATCTTTGCCCATCGGCGCCTCAAGACCAGTGCCCTCGCCCGAACAGAATGAACAGTCCTCTCAAGGTTCGTTTGCAACTCCGGGGAACTACAAGGCCGCCAAACCTTTACCTGCTGCCTTCATGTCGACCGGCCTGATTTCAAAGAAGAACCGCAATGTCGAAGACCCCAATGCTGGCTTACCAAAAGCCCACATGCCGGATACTCCCTGCAAGAAACAACCGATGATTTTCCCGACTGACTCCAATGCTGTAGCCAACCGAGCGCATCGACAATCTTTTGGCGCGGCTGTAACTCCACTTGAGGCGCACCATGGCCCTTCCAAGATCTCAGCATTTCCCTTTGCGAAAAGCGTGGGGATCTTTGGTACTCGTTCCAGTAAGCACAACTTGCTCAGGGAAGGAAGCTTTGCGCCTATCGGAGGTGAAGACAAGATATCTTCTCGCTCTCCCCTGAGCCGCGCCAATAGTCAGTCGACCGAGTCTGACTACCCACCAACTCCGACCAAGCATATCACAGATTCAACAAGTCGCGGCTCTGTCTCTCCATCGCCAAACACCTCTAGACTCGCTGTGAACCAAGGTCCCCCCAGTTCGGCCTACGGCACTGGAGTAGCAAGCAGTAAGTTGTCTCCTATTTTGGCATCGCCAGGACGCGTCGACGGGGACAGTGACAGTGTGATGGAGGATTCTCCGTCCGCCAGCCTGAGACCAAAGTCGACGCCGAACGCCGTTTCAATCCAGGGTTCCTCGTTCACTCAGGGCCGCCTTTCCAAAAACCTTGGGTTTCCTACGCCGCTATCGAGGAAGACTCTTTCTGTTCAGATTCTACAATCACCTGCGTTGGAACGTGCTAAGATGTCATCCATTTCTCCAGTTAGCCCCAGATTAGATAGATTCGACCGAGCGTCACCTCATACCCCTCTCGAGAGCTTTTTCCCTCCAGACCCAAGCGGTCTCTCTATTTCTGGCCGTGCTGAACGTCCGGCGACTCGACACGAACACGGACCAGCATCGATAATCCCTGCCACGCCGACTGCACCGCGGGAGTATTTTTCGAACTTCTCCAACCGCCCCAGCTTGAACCTTGCCTCGGCGGAGGCGTCGAACGTTGACAGCAGCCTGACGTCCAGATTCGAGAAGGTCGACCTCATCGGCTCAGGAGAATTCTCGCAGGTGTATCGCGTGTCTCAACCGCCTGAGGTATCACCCTACCACAAGATCTACTCCGTCTCAACAAGCCGCCCGTCATCCAGAGGATCTATGCCCGAGAAGGTGTGGGCGGTCAAGAGATCTCGATATCCTTACACCGGAGCGAGGGATCGCCAGAGAAAGATTCATGAGGTGGATGTCCTGAAAGCTTTGGGTCATTCAGACCATATTGTGACGTTTGTGGATAGTTGGGAAGAGCAGGGTCATTTGTACATCCAAACAGAATTCTGTGAGGAAGGTACACTGGATGTGTTCCTCGCCCAGGTGGGCCTGAAAGCTCGACTTGACGATTTTCGCATCTGGAAGATCCTGCTCGAACTCACTATGGTATGTGACCTTTGCCCATTCTAGGAAAGACGGCCGCTGACATTCATTAGGGCTTGAAGCACATTCATGATTCTGGCTTTATTCATCTGGATCTCAAGCCGGCAAATGTACTTATCACCTTTGAGGGGGTTCTCAAGATTGCGGATTTCGGCATGGCAACCCGCTGGCCGGCCAAGGCTGGAATCGAAGGCGAAGGTGATCGCGAATATATCGGGCCCGAAGTGCTGATGGGCCGATACGACAAGCCAGCAGATATCTTTGCCTTGGGCCTGATCATGCTAGAAACGGCCGGAAACGTCGAGCTCCCTGACAATGGTGTATCTTGGCAGAAACTGCGGAACGGAGACATGAGCGATGTTCCAAGCTTGACGTGGAGTTCGGGGACCAGTAGCATTCTGCGAGATTCATCTGGGAATCCGATAGCGATGGAGCTACCTTTCGACCCCGACCAAGAGTACTATCAACAAGATGTCGAGGTTGTTGAGAGCGAGCAGGACGATGCGATGGCGGCTCCGGATGACCGCAAACCTCTACATCATCCCCGAAGCGGCGAATTGGTCACTCCGCCTCAATTCATGGTCGACCCATCACACGAACAAGCGCTCGACCGAGTGGTGCGGTGGATGATATCTCCCAATCCCAATGATCGTCCTCTGGCGAGCGACGTGCTCAGCACCGAAGGTGTCCGATGGGCAGAAGCCAGACGGCGGGCGGGAGCGACCGTGTTTGAAGGCAATTGGGGACCTGCAGACGAGGTTCTTGCCGAGGACGCCGAAATGATTGATGTTTGAATCATCTAGGCCGGTGGTTCTAACGCCTGGATAGGAAGCATGGAGAACTGTTTTGGATATCTCATCCAGACAGGCGCGGCGATAGCATTTGATGGGATAAGGACTGGGTTTTCCCGACATGTGCGAAGAGTTATGATGGAAACGGCCTGCACCTATTGATTCACAGAACATTGTTATGGTTTTGACTGCGTTATGGGTGGAAAAGGTAGTCGAACTTTTTTGGGCACGGTTTGTTTGATCATGTGAGCATTAGGTTGTCGACAACATTAGTTATCATGTCGACCACAATCCCTTTCTTTCGAACCGAGATGGACCGGGCAGCGGAAAGGCAAAGAGAGAGACAAGACGGATCTGAATCGGCACGACATGTTGTTTCTTTTTCTGGCCCAGGGGGAATGAAGCAGGGGCAAGGACTGCAAAGCGGTCGGGAATATTCAAAAGGCATCGATTGGAAGCATAACGCCAGTGTCTGGCGTCGAGAGAGCGCGAGAAGATTTCCTTCTGAGAGGATAGGATAGAGTAGACCATGCAAACACCAGATCAACGAATGAAGCTGCCGAGTGAATCAAACACTGCTTTCAAGATCGAGAAGATCAGGAATGGAAGAGGCGAAGATTCCGCCGAGTCCCCAGTCCCCTTATGCTGCCTTGGCTGGGAGTGGGACTTGGTACATATCTACAGTTCTCCTAGTCCGTAATTTATATTCAAGAAACGAGATGCCAACTACCTAATAATTGAAGCTGGCAACAACAGCAATAGAGTGCCGCGCGTACGTACGTCTGAGACAGCAACCAGCTCCAAGGTGCGAGAAGTCCTGATCAATAAAGAGGCTCTATTCGATGGATGCACGCAGAGATTATCTGGACATAGCATACACACAATATATAACATGCTAACAATGAGTCGCGATGGGGATAGGGACCGTATGCTACATAATTTAGAGATCAGATGCGTGGTATTAGGCCAGTCTGGAGTCTAGTGGCTATGTATGTGTAGTATATTTATTTGTATTTCTATCCAAATCCAAATATACAAATATATTGATGTTATTAATATTTATGTTGCTATTATCACTGTACCCTGGGTACGGAGTACATGTAGGGACTCTCACGACACCACTACCATATATGTGTATACGTGTATACTAGATACTAGGCACCAGACGCAGACGCACACGCACACGCAGACGGCGAGGCAGGACGGAGGAGATGGCTTCATATGCCGAGAATAGAATGAATGCTGTTCCTTTCTGTGGTCAGATGTTCAATGCTTGCGAGGCAGGCCTTCATGTTCTCGCGCTCACTACGGAGCCCTGGCACTGTGTACGGGGTACGGATACATAATGGAGATTATTGTTTACACGTCGAATCCGTCATGTAAACACTGGGGTGACCTAGTTTTCGACTCTCGTTGTCAAGCATGGGTCACAGAGCCGCGGGGCGTTTCGGTTACTTGAGGACCGAGGATTCAAATTCAAATTCAAGTCTGATCTCGCCCGTTTCCAGGTATTGTATTCTAATGAGACTGCAAAGTGGAAGCCATCCCATCCCAGCCCACGCAATCCCACGCCATGCTAAATAGGTATGATAAGAAATTCATGTCGGTGAATGAGCAGTGTGCCTGGATCGATGTCCCTTATGCATAGGGACCACTGCTGAGGCATAGTTGTTGCCGTGCCCAGAATTCTTCAAGGTACTGCAGATGGCGTACCAAGGTAATGCCAACCCATGAGTCTTAGGCCGTGGACTCAACCGCTTGCTCGTGTCTCTCCTTCTCATGCGGGTCGATCGCGTCTTGACCTGGATTGACCTCCTCGTAGTTGAAGTACTTGACGAACGAGTAGTAGCCGGCGGCGAGTAGCGAGCCCATGATAGGGCCGAACCAGTAGATGTAGTGGTAGCCGGGGAAATAGGGTGTGGCGACGGCCGGGCCAAAACTCCGTGCTGGGTTGAGGGATGCCCCGGTCCAACGGACACCTGGTACGGCAAACAGTTAGTCACGCATCCTGGGGAAGGGAAATGTTTGGGTCCGGAGACGAGATGAATAGGGTTGGATGAGGTTGAGGCGAGGATGAGAACATGGACAGAAAACCATGGAACATTCACGTTACTCACCAGCCAGCATACCGACGAACAAGGCTAGCCCAATTCCCACGGGCGCCATGAACGTGGCGTAGTGCTTCTCCGCGGCCAGCATCAGGACGGTGAAGACCAGCAGCGAAGTCAGGAACATCTCAATGAAGACGCCCTGCGCCGGTGTCGTGCCGCCACTCAACGCCGTACCAACGACCAACGGGCCGGGGAACATGCATCGAACCAGGGCTGCGGCAACGATGCCACCGAGCAGCTGGGCGGGTAGGAGGAGCAGGCCACGCAGCCAGGGGACGTTGCCGGTAATGACCATGGCGAGGGTAATCTGGTCGAAGGTGGTCAGTCAGTATTGCGTCCTCATACTTCTGATCCTCAAGTCTCGACTTGCTTCTTGTCGAGTGAATGATAACCTACCGCTGGATTGAACAGACCACCGGATATTCTATAGAAGGCCCACACGTTGACCAGGAGGGAGAATCCGAAGCTCAGGGAGGTGAGCATGACTTCGCTGGAGGTGTTGGCGACGCCGCCGGTTGCATTGGCGGTTTGGGCGCCGGCAAAGGCGAACCACAGAAACAACGTGGTGCCGACGAACTCGCCGCACATGGCGATGCCGTGCAGACGGGCGGCGCGCCATTTCGAGTTACGCTCGCGGTCGGCCTCGACGCCGGCAAAAGGGCGGTTACGCACCCGGTTACGCTGGGCGGATTCTGAGTTACGCATGTTGCTCTGCAGCTGATGGCAGTCGATGTGGTTCTAACCTGGTACTCGAGGGTGTTGAGGGTACGGAGAAAGGCCTGCGGTGCGGTGCGGTGCGATGTGTACTATTGAATCTGTACTCCGTATACGTGAGGAAGAAGGGGGGAATTGCAATGATTGCAAACCTTTTGTATTGTATCCGTAGATGGCAGCGACGGGGGACGGGGACGGGAAGTCGGTCGCCCTGGACAGTGATGTCAAAGGCGGCGCTGAAAGGCAAGGGTTGTTGGTGACAGGGGGCAATGCGTGGAACACCACAGGCCACAGGCCACAGGCTTGGGAGGCCCGGGGATGACGGTGACGGCGATGGTGACGGGCATGCTCAGCCTGACAGATTGCAGATTGTTGGTCTGCTCAACCGGGACCGTTCCTTGGACGAGTCGAGTCGGGGGCGGATGGTCGGGGGTTGTCCACCTGGCGATCCATGGGCGGCCTTTGAGAGGTGTGTGTTGAAGCCTTCCATAGCCACTCAACAAGGAACTGCAAGGAACACCAAGGTTGACAGCGGCACGACAGCACAGCTCATTGTCATTGCGGTGATGCGTGATGTGTGATGTGTGATGTCGACGTGCCTGCGCAGGCATGCCAGTGGGACATGGACCTCGCTTCCGGGCCTCTCATCTCAGCGAATTCGTAATTCAAGTTGGACGCACTGCAGTGGGCACCTCGAGTCGGGCTTGGCGAACCGACCTGGCCGCCACACCACGTGCAGCACGTGCCACAGTGCCACAGTGCCACACGCACAGCCACCTCCCCTCTTGTCGAGAAATTGGTTATTGTGATTGTTATGCTTCTTGTTATTCTTCTTGTTCCTGTTCTTGTTCCTGTTCTTGTCATTGTCATTGTCGTCCAACTGGCAGAATATACGTGACTTTCCTTGTCAACCTGGGCGTGGTGTATGCACATAATATACTCGGTATATACTTGTAGAGGAGCTTATGCTGCCGTCGATGCTTGTATATTCGGCCAACGAAGCCTCTCTAAACCAATCTCAAAGCCAGATTTATCCTCGGTGGTTGCTGAAACTAGGAGGTGCTCTTGGGGTATCTCAAATCCAACGCTGATCATGAAGAAAGTCCAGTCACAGTCACACTCCTTGCCTGACCCAAAAACACAAGACCCATCCGTATCACTCACTCGTTCCTCTCTACCCATCGCCCTCCGACGCGGCGTCAAAGTAGCTCTGATCGATCTTCAGAATCCACTCCATTTTCTGGCTCTCACTTCTTGCCGCGAAAAGAAACGTGTTTTGTTCCCCATACACCGCGAACACGTGTGTCAATCCGTGCAGCTCTGAGCTGCCTGTCCTCCTGTGGCCTCGTCCGGCACCTCCCGAATCGCCGCTCGAGATCGAGCTGCCGGTGCCGGTGCCGAGCAAGCGTTTAAAGTCCGGGTCGTGGTCAATCCGCGCATGGGTCAGATTGATCGCATTGATACTCTCGCCGTCCGGAACAGAGTGAATGTGCAGGTATGGCGGCCGGAGCTCCACAAACCGGCGTTTCCATTGCATGCTGTGGCTGTGCGTCGCATCATGATCCTCTGAAGGCATGAGGAGATAACCCGACTTCAGAGAGATTGGGTTCTTGGACGTGTTGGTCACGGTGGCCAGATAGCGAGTCCGGCGACCTGGAGCGGCTTCGATGGGCGGTGTCGTCGGTGATCTGGCCTCCTCGGACGATGTTGATGCGGCTTCTGGGGCCGGAGTACCGTCGTCAAAGATGGGATTGGACAGGTCAGGACTTGGCTTCTTCCATATCGCCAGGAATTTTCGCAGGAGATGTTCCTCCCTCGCGTCCCAATGCGGGTGCGCCGGGGTCCGAGATCGAGACTTGCCCGCGCTCAACTGCCGCAACCCGAGCGAGGCTTTGGCAGATTCGATATCCTGGAGCTGTCGTCCCTTCCGGCGGGCGAGCAAGTAGTCTTTGACGAGTGAAATGCCCCGAGGCTTCCAATTACCCAGGAGCTCCTCACCGTTGATGTACTTCTTGGACGTGTCGAGTCGCCAGAGGTCGGCCGCCCTTTTGGCGCTGATAGGTCGCACCACGATCGAAAAGAGGTCATCCGTCGAGTAGGTGATCCTGGTGTGGCTCCAGAATGTTTTGAACATCGGCTGAGGACGCACGTAGGACCTAGGGAGGATTTGGAGCTGCTGGTCCATCGAGAACGTCATGGGCTGTTCGAGGCGACTGGAGACGACGTCCCATCGAAGCGCAATCTGGATGCGGCACTGCTCGTGGGTGGCTCGATCAAGCAGTAGGGATTTGTGAAGCGAGCTGTCCCATTGCCCGATTATGGTGATGTTCGACGTGCCATCGGCATTGTCCTTGATCATGGGTTCCTGTGTCTGTTTGACTGGGATATCAGGGGTAATGGATCCAATGTCGGCAATTCGACCCGAAGAATCTATCAGATGGACTTCTCCCACACGAAACGCCTTGATGTCATCCCACGGGAGACCCTCTGTCAGGCTATGGGTTAGTGTGACCAATACCCTCCGTTGAAGTCCTTGATGCAGCTGGAACGCTCCCCGGTCATCGGCGCTGTTCTGCAGGACTTCGACCGGCAGGTATTGGCCATTTTCAGCCAGCTCCAGTATCTGAACTTTCGCAAAAACGTCATGGTGTTCTTCCACATTGTACTCCGTCTCGGCCAAGCGATGGCTTCCTTGCTGCTGTGGCGGCTGCTCGTTCATCTCACGAAGCTCATCCCAACTGACCAGTTTGTCCAAATGAGTCGAGCTGACTTGAGCAAGAATGGCAAGTCTCAGGGTGGCCGATCTTTCCCCCGACCGGGCCACGCTCAGGTTGTGAATGCTTTCGAAACGTACTGGGCCGTCACCAAAGCCATGCATGGGCTGAGTAGTCGCCACGCTCTCGTCCGAAGTCCCCAGGACCATCATTTGCGCGTGGACCTGTGTGCCTTCGTGCTCCGCAAATCCCACCAGATCCCTCACAATAATGTTGAACTTGACGGTTGACGGAGGAGACTCTGCCAGCGAAGGCTCCAATGACATCCTGACCTTTCCAACAATTTGCCTGGTCGAAGGCGAGCAGATTTCGACCACCAAATCTTGCACTCTGGTTTCAAAGACCGCCGTGAGAGGAATGTTGCCGTCCCCGACCAAGGAAAAGACGGGCTCATCCGAATCACGGAAGGGGTTGTCCATGCGAAAGTGTTGCAGATACTCTGGTTGGTCTTTATACTGGTGCATTTGTCGCATCTTGGCCACTCTTGACCGCAGCTTTTCCAATGACCAGAAATGGACGCAGCTATGTTGACTGTCGATGATCCTGGCCGCAAGGCAGGGCTTTCGAGCATCTGCTAGAGCATCATCGTCATCGCCGGAAATGTCGGACAGGATGAGATCGTAAGACGAGCCGCGTTCCTGTCCAACATCCAGAATCACAAACTGAAAGTTGATGTCCTGGTCCAGGAGCCTGCTCATGACCTGCGCTTCCTTGAGCAGACCGGCACTTTGAAGCACAGATTCTGCCAGCACGATATAGTTTTTCTGTTGCCACTTTTCCACAACGTTCCGTGCAACAGCGATCTCAGAAGCATCGAGGGGTAAGAAACCCGACGAAGTCCGTGAAGTTTCCCGCGTTCTTACCTCAAGATCCATCTTCTTGATCTGGGCTTCATAAGCTTCCTTCTGTTTCTGAAGCTGCTCTTGGAATTCTTGCTTCGCACGCTCGAGTTCCTGCTGCATTCGAGTGGCGTGGGCTTCTTGCCCACCGTCCTTGGCCGAACGGTCACTAAGTTCACCCGAGCTCGTCGCCGTCGACAATTCTTGCTTTTTAATGGCTTGGCTAAACCGACCCGGTGTCAGTGTTGCGTCCACATCTTCCTGGGAACCACCTTGCGTGGATGGCGTTCCAGGTAACGTGAGCGCGGTGTCAAGAGAGAAGTTGCCAATGGTGCCATTGGACATGTATTTGTCCCTCACAAGGAATGAGCTCAAATCGTCAGAATCGTCATCATGCTCGTATAACTTGTGCTCGGGACGTCCTCGACGCTCTTCCCGTGCCCGCTGGATGTTCTCAAAGAGATTGTCGAGCTCCTCATCTGTCAACTGCATGATCTTGGGATCGGACCCAAGGAGGGCGCCGGCAGCTTCGCGCCGAGCGAAAGACCAATCAGAATCTCTGTTACTCAGTCCTGGAGATTGGGCTCTGCTCGAGTCATCGAGTTCCGACCCAGCGGCACTCCAGGATCTTTCATGGCCCGGGCGTAGAGGAGTTGGGGAGTTCAACTGGCTCGCCGTGACAGAATGCCTCAGCAGGCTCCTTTCGGCGCGTTCAGCTTTGGCCTCCAATGGGTTGTTAAACCTGAAAATATGGAAGTCTCCCAAAATAATACGATTCCCACTCTTGAGTCTTTTGGGCTTATCAACACGCACGCCGTTGACCATGACCCCGGCTCCCTCATTGGGGATAATGGTGACCACATTATCAACGTTTTCCAACGTGCAATGATGATCCAGGATCTTGGAGCCGTTCAACCTGATCTCGGATGCCTCCGACGAGTCCGCATTTCCCACCGTGGTCACACCTGGCTTGAGATTATAAACCAAACATTCCGCAAGCAGCGGGTCGTCGCTGAGATTGACAAGATGAGGCATCTTCTTCGGAGTGCTCATTCCCACGTTACCTTTCTCGATACTAATGCCCAACTCTTCGAGCGCAGCCTCTCTTTCCTTATGGATCTGTTCGGTTGTTTGCAACTTCTCCTCCCATGTCTGATTGAGATCTTTGTAGAGTTTTTCGCTCTGACTCAGTTGATCCATGATTTCGGCCTTGCTGACACGTTTCACGGATCCATCACTCTGAACGATGGAAACCAACTGTTTATCGAGCGGAGTGTCTGGCGGATATATTTCTTCGCCCCCCAACGAAGCAGCTCCGCCGAGTTGGCTCCTGAGCTTCGCAAGTTCTTCTTTGAGTTCACGGATCATCCGGGCGTTGGGATCTTCGTTGACCACGGCATGATTCTTGATTCTCTTGGCCGAGTCCGCGTATCTGAGAGTGCTCAAGCTTTCTTCAAAATTGATGTCTGCCGGCGAGATTGCGGCAATCATGGCGGTCATGCTGTTACCGCCAAGAGAATCTTTCAGAAGCCAGGTGAGGACGGAGTCTCGGTACGGGACCTTCAATCCTTTCTTCCCCGATGAGAGATCAGCCAATGCTGCAATGACTCGCCCAAGAGTGGAAAGTGATCGGTTGATCTCTGCGCCCTCTTTGAGACGGGCACCTGTTGCTCCTGTGGATGTTGCGCGCTCGGAACCTGCCAGATCAACCAGACTGATCTTAGCAACTTTCTCGGTATCCATTGACGTCTCCACGTCATGTCGCTTTTGGGTCAATGTCAAGGTGAAGACTGCATGTGATCGGCTGGATGTCTCGTTCATATTCGTTGCTGCTACCGTTCGGGCTTTGTTTCCTTCGTCCATGAGGTTTTCAATCTCGTGAAAAGAGCGGACGGCCAGTTTGGCCAGATCCTCCACGTAGGGCCCTGTGGAAGGGTGTTCCCTAACTCGGAGGTTGCCTTTGGTGGTCGGGTTCAACAGGTCACGAACGCGCTCGTTGTAAATCTCGAGGTAGGAAACTTCAACCGTGCAAGTGAGGTTCGGATCGGATTGCAAGCCATTGATTCTCTCGAACATTTCTCGACATATCCTCGGGATGACCCCGGCATCCTCGCCATACCCCATCATACTATACGACTTCCCGGATCCCGTCTGGCCGTAAGCGAAAATGCAGTTGTTGTAGCCTTGAAACGCATTGTCCAGCAACGGAACGCCTAAGTCGCTAAAGAGGTTCTCTTGGCCAGCATAGTTGGAGTCTGCTTTGTTGAACGACCAGTATGACTTGTCAAACTTGAATGTCCTCTGATGCTCGGCGCCCCCTTTGCCTCCTTTCCGCAGTCGGTCCTCGGCTTCCGGCGGAGGATGTAGGATTGTCTGGTCATCGCGCATCTGAACTATACATTTTGAATGGCGGTCGATTTCGCGATTGTTGAAGGGTCGCACTCGGACGACGACCTTGATATTCCCCCCTCCACCTCCTCCATTTGCTGCACCACCCCCTGTGGGCGCCATGGTTGCGATGAGGTTATACCAGGTCAAAGAAGGACACTCCGGACACCATCATCGACATCCGTGGTCGAGAGAAAGGTTGACGGTGAGACGTTCGGCGAGGTATGCAGATATTCGGGGGAGGGAGGTTGGGTAAAGGTCTGTCAAAGACGTCTTCTCCGCCACTCAGTCGTAGTCGCCAAAGTCCAAACGGTGAGCCTGAACTGTATGAACGAGCGATGTGAAGCGAGTGCTTCCTGAACATCACGGCCGCTGTGTTTGGCGGACACGGTAACACCACATCAGGAAAGATTGCCGATGTTAAGTGCAAGCGGCTCTTCGGCAATAATACCTTTGTCAGACCAGGCAGTTGCAGCCTGCGCCTCCAGTTAACCTGTCAGGTCAATACATACCCAGCTACATATTATGCTGTCAGACAGGTCGGTCTCTGTGCCAACTCTTATCCTCCTCCACTGTGCGTCATCACGTCAACAAACCATCAGTCTGAGGGCTTTACGAGACCTCAGATCACCCGGTATCAGAACATTCTACAGGCACGGCGGCCGTCTGCTGCGCAACTAGCCGCCACCAACCTACGTGGTGCTCTCCTGAGCGAGATCCCGGCTCCGCTGGATCCAAAACTATGGTCCCTTCATGTGACAGTTTCAATCCAAGCTTCCTCAGACTGCAACACGATTCATCAATATACCATGGCCACTTCATATCACACTCGCAATGGCCGTACAAGCAAAAGAGGCGCTTTTGTAGACGGGATCTGGCACTGCGACTGTCAACCACGTCTCCCTGCCGATAAGTTGCAGACCAAGAATGGAGGAAAGAATCACGGCAGGTGGTGTGGGTGGATTGATTCCTGGATTCGCTTGTTGTACTAACTTGGGCGCTTCCTAGTCTATACATGCCAGAAACCACAGCACAAACGCTGCAACTTCTTCCTCTGGAACGACGATGCCAAAATCCGTGAAGAAGGCGCCGTCTTGAATAACTCTCGTTCAGAGCCACTTGCTCAACCGCACACTCCCCGAAAGACCGCATCTAATGCGCTTCCCCCGACACCGGACACAAGGCCCAAGTCGACCACTCCATTCCTGCCGCGAGATACTACTCCATCGAAAGCGCACCACGATGAGAGCTTTGATTGGTCCTCCAGCAATGATGAAGAGCTGCTTCAGGCCGAACAAACTGTCTTATCACATAAGCCCCTTTTCGAAACTCCAAAGAAGGCGCCTCGAACGAATCTGCTGACATCTCCGGGGAAAAGGACCTTTGAGCAGACAGTGGGACAGAAAGCCACGGGTGAAGAGACCTGGCCGTTGAGCGACGATGTTTTCACCACCCCGACAACATCACACAGGTCAGGCGGATCAGGCTTGCTCTCACCCACCAATACTCCTGCTCGGGGACCCTCACAGCTCTTCCTCCCCGAATCGGAACCGTCGACGCTTGCCTCTGAGGTGCTGACTTTACTGGCCGGTTCCCACATCAGCTCTAAGGTTGAGAAGGAGCTGGTGGATCTTCTCAACAGACATGACTTGCGCACACAAGGCATCATCAAAGGCCGAGATATTTCTCGGCTGGCTGTCCAATCAAAAGAGCAGAAGATAATCGAGCTTCAAGCTCGGATTTCTACCCTCGAAGCCGAAAAAGAGACAAACCGCAGAGTCATTACTTACCTAAAACAAGACATCGCAACTTCCCCACGAAAGGGTAGACCCAAGGGATCTACTCCTGCCCGTCACTCCGACGTGTGAATATTGGCGTACACCGAAAAGCATTGACCCATGCCGCCGAATGGCAGAGATCGGAACCGAGGCCACTCATAGGAAAGCGGCTCGGGCCAGTTAAATTTGCTTTCCACGTACAGATCTGCATTAAAGTCGTCGCTGCCAGAGTCGCGTGGCGAGAGCTAGCAAAGCAGATCATGGCCAGCAATCTGAATGATCACCTACTTCGACATGACCAGGCACCGCGTAAAGTGACGGCATGGAAACCTGAGGGATGTTTGGAATTGGTACCGTCTTTAAAGCAGAACATGTTGCCAGTTTATGCTGGCTAATCGATTCAGAGATACCCATGCCTACAGTGAGGAGGCTCACGGTTCCGTCTCTCCAGGGGTCTGGTACGGAGTGTCTGTATACTCAGTATTACAGTATTCGCACCGTGGGCAGCAGAATCGGACCGGAATTCTCCTTACATTCACACTCACACTCACAAGCCGCCGCCGGTTCTTGAGTACAGGTACAGCAGTGGGCCTCACTATTACTGTCCAAGACATGCTGGATTCAAGATTGGGGGCGCTAGGCACGGGCACTGACCAAACCGTACGGCCGCACACTCTGTACGGAGTACATGCCTACCTACCTACGTAGCTACCTAGCTACTGGGCAGAAAGGAAGCTCACAATATCAGACTATACGGAGTACTGTTGACCGGGACCTCGTCAGGAGGTACTGTATGTCCTCCGTCTAGAGTGGGCAATCAATGTAATTGACAATGCGGTCCCGGCGACTGTCTGACCTACCTACAGAGTACCTAGGCGACTACTACATACCTATATACGTACATTATTACGGAGTACATACATAATAGCTGTATATAGACACTCCGTCCAGGCTGTCACCATCCGTTCGCTCTGCAAATCCTAGCCGGTAGGCAGTAGGGAGTAGACGGGATCAAAACTAGACTCATGGGTCGGTCGTGTACTTTCCCCCTTTGCACGTACGTAGGTATCAAGCGCGCATACACACTTATACACATACAGCATCTGCAGGTGCTTAGTAGTCGGGCCTCACCTCTAGGTACCTACACATAGGAATGCGCCCTGAATGGCAAATAATAACACAGAGTACTCCGTAAGGGTGGGCGACTTAGAGCCAAACGAGTAGTGGCTACAGACGATGTGATATGGTGGTACGAGTACCTACGATCGCTCCCTCGGCCATGGATCCCCCCATTTCTCTAGAGTCTACTCCGTACTCCGTACACCGTTCCGGGCCGAGAGCACTACCGCAGACAACCCTCCCATGGTTGGCTGGCAATGGCTGCAGTGTCCGGTCCGTGCTGGCCTCACCTCGCCGGCCCGAGGACCATCACATCGCATCGCCCACATTGCGTTACCAGTCCCAGCGTGAACACCTCCCACAAGCGATGTCGTTCTATGAGGGCGATTGACCGAACCATACCACACCCAAACCTGCGCAGGCTGCCACACATACGAAAGCTTGGATCGCTAAGCTGCTCACCAGCTCGTTTGAAGCGTCACCCCCTCCTCGTGATGTACTCGGACCCAAAGTCCAGTTCCAAGCTGCCGAAAAATGCCCGTTCCTTTTCTGCTGTGCCCACATCTGCGTGTGCTCGCTATTGCCGGTCCATTGTGTTGTGCATCAGTGTGAGTGGCATGCTACTGGTAAAATCTAGGTACAGCTCTGCTGATGCGCCATCTTGGTCCTGTTGCTGGGAGTCAACGCTGGTATCCGATCCGAGAGAAACCCATCCTGATCGTGCACCGACTTATGAAACTCCTCGTCATATTACCAGATCGCGTAGTAAGAGAAGTCATGTAGTTGTTCAAATAATGGGACCGTATGTTTGAGAAGGACGGCATAAATTTAAGGATGCAAGCCGCTTCTGCAGCAGAGATGGCAGGTCGCGCTCTCTATAGCGTTATATATTCATAATTCATTTTCGACGACCATCCATTGCGAGTATAACGTGGTCTAGTGGCAATCATAAAATCACGCACTTGCTGCTTCGCTTCTTACTATGTTCGCGATAGATTCGTTGGTGATCTGTATCGTAATTGTTCCGCAGGCCGGGAGAAGATGCGTAGTTGGTCGCTTTGCGATCGATCTGTTTCACGGGGAATTGTCGTTGTCTTCTCAGTTGCCGAACAACATCATAGAATGCCTTTTCCACGTTGATGCAGTTCTTGGCAGATGCCTCGACGAATTCACACCCCAACTCTCTCGCCAGTGCCTGGCCCTCTTGAGAGGACACCTCGCGTTCATGGTGCTTATCACTTTTGTTGCCGACCAGCATGACTGGCACAGGGCCGGCGTACATGGCCGATCCAGCCATCTGTGCGGGAAGATAATTCGCTCCGGTGGGCGAGTTGGGATGTCCCGATTCTTTGACCCGCTGTACTTGCGCATGAAACTTTTGTATCCTGGTGAACGAGTTTCTCGAAGTAATGCTGTACACCAGGATGAAGCCTTCGCCGTCTCGAATCCACTGATCGCGAAGAGCGGTGTATTCTTCCTGGCCGGCAGTATCTAAGACTTCCAGCATGCACGCCTGTTGGTCTATCATGACCTGTTTGCGATAAGAGTCCTCGATAGTAGGATCGTAGCTCTCCACGAAATGGTTGAGACATAACTGCTCGAGTCAGCGAAACAGGCAGGAAACGGGGTCCAAGGCAGACACACCTGTATGGTAAGGGCTGTTTTCCCAACACCGCCATCTCCCAGCACCACGAGTTTATATAAGGTCATTTTACCCGCCATGATGTGTGCCAGTCCTCGATGCCAAGGTTGGGTGGTGGATTGAATCTAAGTCCTGCTGTGAAAGTACCACGAAGATGGTCTTAGCACATGGAAAGGCCTTGATGCATTCGACCTGACGGGTAGGAGCAGCTGCGTCGAACAACCAAGCACTGAACACTTTGTGGATTGAAGGCGCGTGGGGTGAGATTCTAGACCGGGAAAGAACCACAGTTGCGTCGCGGCGTTGGAGGGGCTGTACAGGCGTCTGACTAGTGGCTGTGTGTTTTTCTCTTTCTTAACCCTGCTTTCGAATGAGGCTGAACTCAGGCGGGGGCATCTGCTGCCCAAGTAGGGTATCCCTCGGTTTCGTTCGTTGGCGACTGTAGTCCTTGCCGGATATATGGGGAAGAGGCGGAGTGGTTGAGAGGTTCGAGGGGTCGAATTCTGATCGTTTGAATATCTTGGGGGGTTGTATCTGCGCCCGTTGCAGGAATGCGGAGGCAAAGCGCTCCGAACTGAACAGGGGACGAGCGGCGTGAAGAAGTACTGTAGGAATGGAAGAGGAGGTTCTCAGACGAATAGTCGTTCAACGAGGAGGGCGCTGCGAGAGGATCTACTGGTTGGATGGACGCTGGGGTAGAGTTGCTGATCTGCCTGCGCCTCGGAACTGGCCTTGGAGAGGGCGGAGGAACGACAGACAGCGGGCGGAACCGCGTTGGATGAGGTCCGAATGACGATGACGGTGAATTGGCTGGCAAGGGCAGATTCGCAACCGGACAACTGATGAAGCGTTGCAAAGAAGAAACAGCGTTCTTGTTCGGACGATGATGAAGTGGTCTGTGCCCTTCTCTGCGGTTGCTCTCTGGCACTGCAGTGCGAGTGGATACAAGATGGATACAAGAGAGATTCGGTGAACGGTGGCTCTCACAATAATAATGGATATACAGATCCAGAGGAGGTGGACCACTCTGAGTAGTTGGACTAGTAGAGAGCACGGATACTCTGGAGTCTGTATATTATTATTGTTGATCGAGACTGTTGATAGACAACCAAGGGGAAGGTCGATTGCGTTTTTCTGACCCTGTGCTAAGGCTTCCTCCCTCCTGGCCCTCAGGCTTGGATGATGCTTGCACACCTAAAGGCAATTAACGGGCAGAGTATCCGTACAGTACCTGGAGCTTGGAAAAGTCAAGGGACTAGGTGCGTCTAGCGCAGTGACTGTGCCAACCCAGGGGCTCTAAGGCCCCTAAGCCACAGGGCAGGGCAGGGAACGAGGTAGTTGTGCTACTACTAGTAGTAGTAGCTGGTTCAAGTTAGACACCTAGGTAGGTACCTTAGGTACCCATCTATCATACCGACGGACCACAGTCGAGTCGACCACGTCCTGTGAGTATGTGTAGGTGGTAGGCACCTATAGGATCACATATGATCTAGCCAGGAAAGCAGGTCGCAGTCGGGTTGCGTGCACCCCCGTCGAGCTTGGGGAATCTATCGTATCGCTTGTATGCCAGGATGTAGTGTAACGTGGGCAGAAAGAACCATGTCGCTCGCAGTTGCAGTTGCAGTTGCGGGCACTGGCAACTGTCACCGCCCCTGCCCCTCTCCCTCCGAGTTCTACCTTATCCGTACATGCTAACTTCTGAGCACCAAACAACCAAGGTTGGCACCACGGAGCATTGACCGGAAAACTGACCACTCCCAGGCCTTACCAAAGCAAGCCCTTGTCCAAGCCCCCAAGCCCACAGCGCCCACTCGCCTGGAATGGGTCCTAACGGTGGCATGGATTCGTGGGTCTCGTCGTCCAGCACAATAGTGGTGGTGGTGGTGGTGGTGGTGGTGGGTGGTAGTAGTATGTTAGCACATGCCGGGTCAACAGCCAACCCCATGTCAAAACCCTCGGTCTACGGTTCCCTCGTTGCTCACTCTGTTACCGTTGCAAAAGACGCACCCAGGAGTGTAAGAACACAGTGTGCAGTAAGTAGTCGTTGACGAACAAGTCTGAGGCCTGCTCCTGAAAGGCCCGAGCCCTGAGCCCTCGACTCGATGTGGTGCTTCAGTACTCCGTACTCCGGACTAGTCGTAGGCAATGGTTAGTTCTCCAACCGCCAAGCGTTCTTCCCACTTGCCGAGCGACTACCTGCCGGTGGTTAGTGCTGAGCACGCCTATGCTGCGACCGTCTCCCGTCTCTCAGCCCAGAGGATGGATACCGCCTGTAGTTGACCCAACACCGGTGAATATTATGTACAGAGTACGAAGGACATACAGTACGGAGTACGGATACATACCTAGGGACTGCGATATCGTTGACACCTACAGGACAACACCGCTAGGCAGAATACTCCGTACGCAACAAAGTACTCCGCACCTCCAAGTTGTCCATAAGTCCTCCAGGCCACGCCCGCTTCCCCATACCTTTTGAGAAGGTGCCGGAGGCAACTGCCAGCTGGTAAAAAGGAAGAGAAATAGTGACTTCCATGGAAATCATGCCTTTGCTGGCAGCTCGAGGCGAACGAAAGATCCGCGCAGGAGTGGACGCGACTACTCACCTGCACGGGATGATCTATGTAGTATGTACCCGTTCCTCCTTGCGTAGGTTCCCACCGGCACTCCATTCCTTCATTTTCAACTCGCCCATCCAATGGCCTGGGCATCCCTCGTATAGGATAGACACTCCGTACTCCGCCCACCGCCTCGGTTCGATCCTTGGCCTCGTCCTGCAGGATGGCGGCGCCACATGGCGATAACGCGGGAAAAGACAAGCACAAGAATGCAATGGACTAATCGGCGTGAGCGGAACATGAAACAGATTCATACCGCCAGCGTGTGTCTTCCGACAGGGCCACGTCGGGGAATGCAGAGTATAGGCTGGCTACACGGACCGTCTACCACCTCGATGGCTTGGAAGTTGACATCCGTAAACAGGTATGCGTTCAGCAGCTATGGTTCCTTGATCCGGCCGCAGATCGACGAGCTGGAAAGAAGGCCCACACGAGGCTTCGAGCGGGTGACCGAGCACTGCAAGTTCCCACGCGGCCACGGGGGTCTTGATGCAGGGTTACAGTACGTTCCAGGATTGTGCAGCCTGACAAGGCCCTCTCCCCCTCGCCTGATAAGATACAGATACTGGGACGATAAGCTCGTGGTTTTCTTTGACAAATCTGAACCAGGGTCGCGCCGCAGGCATGGACAGCTATCAGAAGCATGTTTGCTTTGATCTGCGCCGCGGTGAAGGCGGGAGGCTATCTGAAGAGACCAATTGTACGTCATTCTATCTTCATATCTTATTAAAGAGTGAAGATTGGGTCGCCCGGCCTACACACTCGAGTTGACAAAAGCCTCAGCAGTAGACGCCGAGCCTATGGTACTTTGGGTGCACATTCGTCATCGGGCAGTGCCTGGCATTCAATGGCTCACAATATCGCACAGAGCATGCCCACGGACGAAAGCATCTTCCGTGCTATGCATGTATTCATTTATTTGCCTGGTGAAATTGGCCACGGCCTCTTGCCTTGCATGGGCCAATTTGAAGCTCGCGAGTAGTTGGACGAGCAGAAGGAAATATCAACTCTCTCAGACAAGAAGAGGCTTCTACAGATATTCCAACAGCAGGCGACTCGCAGCTTACTGGTGGTCGAGGGTTGACTTGCTTGGACTCAGTAGTATGCCAGAGGAGTCCAACTTGTACAACCGCAAGGCTGAGGTGACTATATTCTATATTCATTAACAGAGGTGGATCAGTCTAAGTCTGGACAACGTCAAACATGCACCCAACATGCACTTGAAGATCTGTCCTACAACACATCAAGTTGATGGTGGTTATGACACCACCACTAGCTATCGGTCAGGCCAATTGTGGCACAGATATCCGCATATAACGGTGGCTCCTCGTCATTTTGCTCCTAGCTTTTATTTCCATTCTGAAGAGGCATATGTTTGGCATGTAGGCTCTTCTCTGGAAACTTCCACGCCTGGGAGAAGAAGGTATGGCTGTTCTTATTAACGACATCACAGAGCATCATACTTACCTCCGAACGGAGTACACCGTCTTCCAGTAATACTTCTGTGCTTCTGTGCTTCTGTGCTTCTGTGCTTCTGTGCTTCTGTGCTTCTGTGCTTCTGTGCTTCTGTGCTTCCAATAATAGGTTCGTACTTAAGGTACAATGGCGTCATGGCCGGTGGTGGTACGAATCGCCGCAACCCACCATGCAAAGCTGACCGTCAGCTTGTGTTACGAGAACACGGCTGAGCAACGACGAGCGAGTGTGTGACTACCTAAGTAACTTCGCCGTCAGATTCAAAGTCCTTCTCCTCTGAGTATTCAAGTGTCATCCCAGTTTCGACGACTCGCGACATCTCTTTCGGTCTTGTCTCCCACGAAGTCGCTCCGTGCATCGACCGCGGTCGCCACTGTGCTCCCCTCAGTCCAAAGATATACCTTTCTTCCACGCCGCTGGGCCTTCACCTTTTGTCTCCACGGGATAGTAGTATCATCCCTTCAGCCCCTACAGTTGAATCATGGCAGACACAGTAAGTTTTTGCCGTTGGCGATCCAGGCACCGTATTGACCCCCCACCAGCGTCCGATCCATAAACATGAAGACGATGACGGCCACTTTCGACGGAAAGACAGCGTCTTCCGTAATTGGATCTCGAAAGAACCTGGTGCGAGATTTGCTCCTGAACCCCATCGGTACGCCATCTATGCAAACCTGGGATGTCCGTGGGTAGGAACGTTCCTAAACTCCCTCTGCCAGCCCTCGAGTTGACGCTTAATGCCTGCAGGCCCACCGTGCCATCCTTGTCCGCGCCCTCAAGTCCCTCGACCCCTTCATTCAACTCATTCTGACCGATGTCGACCTGACCGAGAAGGGCTGGCTGTTCACAGGCCGTAACGGTTCTCCGCCCCATGACCCACTGTATGGCTTTACGGCTTTGAAGCAGCTCTACCTCAAAGCCGATCCGGAGTACACCGGCCGGTACACGGTCCCAGTACTCTGGGACAAGAAGACGGAAACGATCGTGAACAACGAATCCGCTGAGATCATACGCATGCTGTATGACTCGTTTGACGAGTTTCTGGAGCCAGACCTACGTGAACTTAACAAACCCGGTGGTGGCTTCTACCCACCTCATCTCCGCAAGGAAATCGATTCCCTGAACGATTGGGTCTACAACACAGTCAACAACGGCGTGTACAAGTGCGGGCTGGCAACCTCCCAGGAAGCCTATGACTCCAACATCTACCCGCTGTTCAAGTCCCTGGACAGGCTGGAAGCACACCTTGCCGACCCGGCCCACCAGCCCTACCTGTTTGGCGAACAGATTACCGAAGCGGATATCAGGCTATACACCACGCTTGCTCGCTTCGACGTCGCCTACCACGGCATATTCCAGTGCAATCTGAAGACGATTCGGCATGATTACCCTCGTTTGTCGAGATGGCTGCGAAACCTCTATTGGGACGAATCCGAGCGGACGAACGGGGGTGTCTTTAAGAAGCTTACCTTCTTCGAAATTTACAAATATGCCTATTTACACACCAAAGTGCGCCAGCTTAACGGTGGTAACACTGGTGGCATACCCCTCGTCATTGCTAGGGGACCTTTGCCGGATATTGAACCACTCACCGATGAGGAGGAGCACGAGCTCATCAACGGCGCCACCAGGAGGTTCACCGGCCTTAAAATTGACTCCAATGCTACGCCTGTGAGTCCCAGCAGCCACAATCCTTTTTCCGCCCAGGGTGAAAAAGGCGGAATGGGTGTCATTTTCGGTGCAGACATCGACTCCCCTGCGGACGAGTTGGCAAGCAAACCCACGACGACCACGACAACAGTCGGCTCGCCCTCAACCACCCAAGGTGATGAAGATGACGCCAGCTTGGGGTTCGACGAGAACGGCGAGTTCCATTCCAACCGCGTCATCAAGCGCCGCACCACACATAGCGATGAGAATGCCAAGTGGTACAAGGAGGCAAAGAAGGCCGAGAAGAAAATGGGTGCCCCGGCTGTGCATCTAGCCTTGTAGCTTCGCCGCTGTGAGATGCGCAAGAAAGTGACGCTCTGATATGCCAGGGCTGGGAGGACATGTGCTTACTGAGAGCGAACAAAGGGGGCGAGGGAGTCGTCTTTGGTTCAGACCAAATCATACAAGTCAGGGGCCCGATTCCAAAACAAAAACTGTTGTCGATTTACGAATCTCATACGGATGCTCCAAAAGTCCTACGGTGGTGATCTTTTATGGAGGTTTCTGCCTGAACGCTCTCGCAGCTAACGTGTTCTTCTTTACTTCGCGTAAATGGCCAAGGTTCTGTCATCTCCTCACTGTAGCCCAAATCTTTTGGCAACCTCGAGAAAACCACCGACGTCGTCGTTTAGGTCTATCCATAAATCAACCCAGCTACTAGCCCTTGCCTTGGCAACATCATCCTTTGACCATGCCTCCTCTTTGGGTCTCTCAATATAAATCGTCTGATAACCACAGCCGTGGGCGGCCTTTAAGTCTCCTAAATGAGCAGCTACTAGAGCACATTCTTTGGGCTGCAACCCCAGTTTCTTCGCCGCGCCAAGATAGACACTCGGATGGGGCTTGTAGGCGCCAAAGTCCTCGGCAGATATGATGTGTGTGTATGGAAGGGAGCCATGTCTTGCCAGGTCCGAGAGAAGACTCGTGTTCCCGTTGCTGAGGGTAGCAGTCTGAAACTTTCGGTTCAAAAGTCCCAGGCCCGAAGCAGAGTCGGGCCAGGGGTCTAGAAAGTGCCATATCATACTTATCTTCTGGACTTCTTCCTCAGTCCACAACCCGTCAAGCCCATGGTCTATAAGGATCTTGTGGAGTGCTTCGACATGGTGCTGGTCCACCGTTTTGAACTTGCCCTTGTCCCTGGCCGAAGGGTCGTAGGTTCGGGTGAAATGATGGTAAGACTCCCGCCACAGTTGGGCTACGGCTGGCCAGGAGATATCCGAAGCTGCGGTCCGGACCGTGCTGGGAATGGAGCGGATGGAGGAATTGAGGGCTTCGGACGCAGAGGCCGAGAGGTGATCAGTCACAGTGCTGCGCCAGTCGACAACTGTCCCGAAGACATCGGTTAGGAGAGCCTTTGGCGGGTTGTCTGTCGACATTTCTCGTAGCCTGTTGAGAAGGGAGTTGGGAGGAGTTATTGGCTCGGGTTAATGCTGCACCAGAGTATTTGCAGAAAGAGGGCAACGAGAAGGAAATGAATGGAGCTATGTAGCCATGTTGCCTCATGAGCAGACCATCCACGGCGGCTGTACGTGACCGTGCCCAGACTGCGTTGGTACGTATCATTATTGCGTGATGACGTCTCTTCCGCGACCCGGTTCCGGTTACCTAAGTTTGCCAGTGAAGGGACCGAGGCAGGCAGGCACCGTGGGATAAGGGACATCTCGGTAAGGGACCAAGTTGACAGCTCGGGATCATCCCGCCTGGGGTTTGGGGCACTCTGGACTTGGAGCTTGCCAGGCTGCCCATGGTTGACTCCAGACTCTTGGGATCGACAACTTGAGCAGCACATCAGACATTGATAATGGCCTGCTTCGTCAAAACCCACGACATCGCTGCGGGTAGTCTAGATTACCAGACCTCTGATGCATTCTATGGCCCCAAGTGAGCAAGAATCAAGAAGCGGCCGACGTGAGACAACCATGGCCCTTTCTAGCACATCTACCGATGGAACTCTGTGCATTCGAGCTGTCAAGCCTATATACTAATTACGGAGACCGACTGGCACACTGATGCACGCCACAAAGCCACACGACAAGATATGTAACGGTGAAGGCGAAAAGTGTGGTTTGAGACCTCAACGGACGTGATGAACCAGGCCGCACATGCAGATGACAGTTGTTGATAGACGGTCGGGCCGGGGAACCGTTACAGTGATACAGGCCTAAATTGTGATGGGATTTTTGACAGGCGAATGCAATCAAAGCAGAGCTGGGCAGGACTAAACAGAGGACAGGCTTTTCCTGTGAGACGTACGGATAGTGGTACGGATAAGTGGAAGCTGACGGGGGATTTCTAGTGTACTCCAGGCTGCACCTATTCCGTAGGCAGACTTAGACTGTCCAGTGTCTATGCAAGCACAAGTCGACGACTTTCTTACCGAAGCCGTAGATTATCGTGATAAGCATCTCTATTCGCGTTGGACTAGCATCACCTATAATTTACCTAAGTACTAGATGCGATACTACGGTTCTGCAAGCGAGAGTGCAAGCAGGCATTGACATGATGATCAAGAAGAGTGGGAACCGTTCATGCTCGAAGGCGAAGAACCGAAGGTCTAAGGAGTCTTTCGGTCGAGGCGCAGAACAGGGACACTGGACACTGGACAGGGGGTGCCCGTGGTTGTCACTTCACACTTCACGGTTGATGCATGTGCCCGAAAGACCAGAGCCTCACATGTGCTCCGTACTCGTCCTGTTCTGGGCGTTGAAAGAGAAACCATACTCCCAGGTCGCCTCATCTTTTCATCTGGACGTGAATGGCTCCTAAGGTGATCAGCTTTCCACGTGAGTTTGACGGTCGATATGATGATGATGATTGAAGGGATCAGATCGAAAACATGATAGACAGGGCGTGGAGCACTGTAAAAAGCTGGAAATTTGACGGTATCCTTTGGCCCTCTCAGCACGAGCCTAAGCACTCAAAGGGAAAAGGCGGATGCCTCGGGCCCTGAGAAATCCTCCGGCGGCGGGGACCGTGAAACACGCTTGTGCCTGTGATGGATCCCCGAGGTTCTGCTTTAGCGTGTCGTATGGGGACCGCTAGAGAGGCCAAAGGCCAACCCAGGGACCTATCCAGGGACCTCCAGCAGGTGTGTCACAGGCGCAGTGGCCGTGGTGGCCGTAGCTGTTGTAGGTACGCGAGTGGTATGGAGTACCTAATGGTAGGCACCCTAGGACCTAAGGACCAAGGCCAGTAAGCAATCTGTCACTGGGAGCTGCCCGAACGGCCGGCCCGTTTCCGAACCTGGAGCAGCTTCGACCCCCCGGACAGTGGACACCCTTTACCTGCGGAAGCCCAATGATTGCTGATCGCTGATCGATGCTGCCTTGGTCGAGCTGAAGCTGCGGACTCAGTACTGCCCGCTTCTCACACCTGAATTGAAGTTGGGGTCTTCCCTGCGCTCACCTCGTTCTTTCTCTCATCCTGCGCCTTTTGACGTCGTGTTCAGTCGGAGTGGCTTCTCTTGCGATATTTTCTTGCACGCCCAAGAACTGGATCAAAGACAGCTCAGCTTCAACACCACCAGGTGTTGGTGCCTCAAAAGTTGATATGCCTCTCCGCAGCTTCGACGCCACCAAAGCCCGCCCATCTTCCTAGTCCTACCGGATCTCTGGGATGTCGCTGGTCGGGCCCGCCTTCGCTTCTTCTCTTCCAGACGACGGACGAGCTTTTCACACCACTGGCCTAGATTGTCTCTCTCTCTGCCTCACTCCCTCCACTCCACTCTTGCAATGCCTGGCCACCAAGCCTTCCTCGTTTACCCTCTGTCATGCCCCTGAACAATGAAAGTCCCCCGGCCCATGTGCCCTGCAATCCAATCATTCCCCTGGCCATGCATGTGCCTGCGCCAGCTCCACGGCCCCGCCTCAGACGCGACCAAGACAGGAAAGAAAAGAGACGAGCGTCACTCAAGCCGGACAGGCCTGGAGGAGGCCTCCCCCAAGTGAAGTTTAGCATTGTCGCTCTCGTATTGATGGTCTCTCGCTGCCATCAATCCTCAGATGTAGTACGCATCTAGAGACTAGATGAGGGATATCGTTCCAAAATTGACAAGGTTCTCCTGTCTCTCTGTCACCCCTCGTGAATAGCCTCGACTGTGCGCGCGACGTATGACATGAACCCTCATATCCTGTCTATTGTCTCGTCAGTCTGCATCCTGCATTAAACGCTGTACGTCGACAATCTTGGGCGCCAGTTAAGCCAACATTTACAAGCAGATGTTGAACTCCAGAATCTTGGATTAGATGGTTGTCACAGTTCAAAGCATGCACCCTTCTTCACAGCATGGCCCCGATTGCTTCTGAATAGGCGTATCGAACAGTCGACCGGTTCTCGATTCAAGCAAGAGATCCGACATCTCAACGCCAAAGCAGTCATTGGAGTATGCCCTACCAGGACCCAGGACTGGTTTGAGCCCTCGTGGCACAACAGTGATCGTTTGAAATGGAGTCTGAAGCGGGCTACTCCCTGCCTTCACCAACAGATACTCCTTACCGCTCCCCGTCCAGCTCGGAATCCCCCCGATCCCGGCACTCAAAGGACATGTCGACATCATCCACGCCGCCGCCCCTGCCTGACGAGCGAGCCCACAAACGACGAAGCAACGAATCTATTGATCCTGCTCTCGACGAAAACATATCCCCCCTCGACCCGAGAAGATTTACTCCCACCCTCCATGCCTCGTTAGTCTCGGAAATTCTATCTTTGCGGCGGGATCTGGAGAGCCGGACAAATGACATCGAAAAGTTGGAAATCAGCCTGCATACGGCCCAAACTCAAAATGAGGTCCTCAACAACACTCTGTTGCAGTCCAACAAGGAGACCAGGTCAGTCAAGCGACAGATGCAACTGCTTGAAGGCGGAACCCTGTCGGCTCTCAACGAATTGGCCAAGGAGCGCGATGACGCCTTGGGCGATGTTTCCGACCTTCGCCGGCGTCTTGAACAAAGTCAGAGTCGAAGCAGATATCAGGAAGAAGCCACCGAAAGAACTCAGGCGATGTGGGAAAAAGATAAAGAAGCATGGCTTGCGGAGAGGCGACGTTTAGAGACCAAGGTCCATATTGCCGAAGGTCGCCTCAAAGTCGTGCTGAGCGAAGTTGCAAATGCCCAGAATCAGGCGCCTCCAGGCTCCCCGACAGAACGCACATGTCACAGCCGCAATAGTATATTGGAAAGTCCCAGCAAAGGCTCAATACTAACTCGACGAGGTCGAAGGCACAGCGCCGCCTCAGTCAACAGTGACACCCACGGAGGTCGGGTTTCGGTACTGAGTTTCCACAACGGCATCTCGGTAAACCTAGCGGACGAGCTCGCCTTCGATGAGCTGGAGGAGGACGTGGCCCATGCTCATGACGCTGAAGATGGACGCATCTCCCCAGATGCCCTGCCAGAAGAACAAATCCGGCCCGCCTCAAGTCTATCCCTCAAAGCCCGGAAGGTTTTGGGGCTGTCCATGGACTTCGAAGACTTTGAACGCAACGATAGCCCTGAGCGTGATCGGCCCGCCCTCTTAAGGATGGATGGAGTCCGCCACAGGACGAGTGTGCAATATGTAGATACAGCCATCCAATTTTCGCCACCTCCGTCTCCATGGCCCACAGCCGATATGCGGTCGAAGTTGAACGCGTCGCGACCTGCAGATGTTCAGCTCGGCTATGTCAAGCAACCCAACGTTACCCTAGGTCCTGCTAGTCCCCCTGAGAATGGCGACATTCATTGGGGACGGCAGCGACCTGTTATGGTCTCATCCGCCTGTCAAACCATCGAGGCTCTTCCAAGTCCACCTTTGACACCCGAAAAGGGCAATATTGCGCTAGCTACAATCCCCGAAAATGTCTTGGAAAGGATCGAAAGCACCACCGTCGGCACTCAGACAGAACCGACCGGCCTTGGACTCGACAACTATGGCCACAAACACACGGAAAGTGAAGAAACGGTGGACCTCAAGATTCCCCTGATTGCAATCATACCTCCGGGATCGAGACCTGCCACACCTGAAACAAATGTCGTGCTACCACCCAGAACCAAGAGCGCAGGTACCCAGGTCAGCAATCAGTCCCTTGGCATCTATCGATCAACTTCCATGCAGACAGAAGAGATTCGAGTCGACAAAAGAGCCATTGTCCCACCCTCCGAAATGCCACCACCTCCGTTGTCGACTCACTTCAGGCCACCAATCTCGTCTCGGGCCATGCCTCCCCCAATTCCCCGAACGAGAGTGTCCCCTGCGACATCCATGTTCGCTTCCAGACGTACGATGGCTGGGCCGTCAAAAGCGCCCCCCCTGAACGATAATGGTCCTTTGGCACGGGACTTTGCTTCAAATGCGCCACGTCCGGTCAGATCGAGCAGTATGTTTGCTGGATTTGACGATGACAATGAGAACCGTGATGACCTTTTCGGCCAAGACACTTTGCAGGACGACGACATTTTTAGTCGCCCAACGGCCAAATTTGTGCTCAAATCCGGTAAACTGGTGGCCCAAGACTCCGCTTTGGAGGATATCGGCGAAAGCGTGGCAGTCACCGCCGGCGAGGCGGCGGCCCTCGAGAATCTTCGACTATCCGAAGACAGCTTACCCCCTGATCTGAAAGCCATCCTGTTCCAGTCTCGAACGAGTCCACGTCGAAGTACGCAACGACAGAACACGAGCATGAAGTTGAAGAGAGTCCCGTCCTCTAGAGCGAACAACATGCGAAGAGCTGCCCTCATATCGAGCGGAACTGCCGCGCATCAGTCTTCTCATTCCCAATCTACAACCGGTTCTTTTGACAGCAACAACCCCCCTCCTTTCCCCGTGCCTTTGCGATACAGCTCGGCGAGGGTTGGCAAGTCGGTCAGTGAAGGTGGAAGAAGTTCACCTGGCAGTAGCAATGCATCACCCACCAAACGACCAAAGAATAGATTTGCCAAACCCATGTTGCGAAAGGCCAGGTCGGGCCCAGCGATCTCCCCTCACTCTCAGGCGCGTAGAGCCCGCAGTCGGTCTCCTCCTCTGGACCCGCGAGTGTCAATCGTTCCAGAAATGCCTAGTTTCCAGATGCCGACAACGACGGCTTCCCCGTTTGTAATGCAAACTTCCGACACCCCCCGTGAAGCAAGTGCACCTCGTCCATCCATTGCCACCGGGCCGGGTCGGATGGGAACACACACCAAGACGAACTCTGATGCGGTTTCTATGCAGCAGACTTCTGTGGTTGATTCGATTGCGCAGACCATGGTCGGTGAATGGATGTACAAATATGTGAGAAGGCGAAAGTCATTCGGAGTTAGCGACAAGACGGAGTTCGATACAAACAAGAGTGTGGAAGAACTGTCTCAGAATGTGACAAATAATGGTGTGCGCCACAAGCGATGGGTCTGGCTTGCCCCCTATGAACGTGCTGTCATGTGGAGCAGCAAACAACCAATTTCTGGTACAGCGTTGATGGGCAAAAGCGGTCGGAAACGTAAGTCAAGCTGGATGTGTCGAATTTTACATACTAATTCCTGACCAGTGACCATCAAATCGGTCCTTGATGTCAAAGATGACAATCCTATGCCAAAAGGAGCCATCTCGGGTCGCCACTTCAATAGGTCTATTTTGATCTTGACCCCCCAACGAGCTCTGAAATTTACGGCCACGTCCCAGGACCGCCATTATGTTTGGCTGACAGCTCTGTCGTTTCTCTCGCATTCACCTCTCAGTATGAATGAGCTGACAGCCATCCCACCCCCGCCTCCCATGCCCGAACATGAAGCGTCAAACCTACCTGCCCCGTCTCTTGCAGGTTCACTTCGACGACGACCGATTCGCGATTCCATTCGCGTCGCGAAAAATGCTGTCAAATCCGGTACCAGCCACAGGTCATTCACGACGGACGGATCACTGCCAGTACAAGACTCCAGGCCTCCGACTCGAGGTTATTATGATCCGACACATGACCCTGCACTACCACCCACGATTCCGCGCCATTCGCGAAAACGAAGTAATACAGCACCACGAGCACCCCCGAGTTCTTTCAGAAGCTTTTCAACGAAGGATGCCACTCCCAACATACCGGGGCCAGGGTCTACCTATTCACAGAGTGTGCATTCTACCGCTGTCTATTCGTCTGACCGAGGGTTGTACACTCCTAGCCTGGGTATGCAGAGTATAGTAAGCAGTCGACGAGGTAGCGAGGCTAGTGCTTCAGGGCGTCCTCCTATCCCCTCAAATTTCATGGAGAGCACTCAGACCGCAACCATGCGGATGGACGCTTTTATCGACAATAAACCGTCAACATCCTCAAGCCGACCTTCGTTTCATGCCTTGCGATCAGGGCAGTCGAAGAAGAAAGACATGGGGTATTGGGGTTTCGAACAAGGAAGAGACAGCATCAGCCCCGTGGATTCATTGCTTCACAGCGAAATGATGGCTGCAAGTTCCTCTACACGAGGCAGCGTTGAGTCGAGAGATCCGTGGCGAGGATTCTGAAGCAACCTCGACTGATTTTTGTTGGTCCTAAACACCATCCATCTGAAAGCGAGATCTTTTATCGTAATGTGAACGCCAAGGGGCGGAAAACCTTGTACAACAGTTGGATGACAGGACAGAAGTTGGGTATGGGTGGACGACTGGAAGAAGACTGCAGTCCTGCCTCACCCCAAATTAGCCTCCGCCGGAGGGAGCGGACAGCTGGACAGTGGTTAAGACGGGAATGAAAGGCGCAAGCCTATGGAAATGTTTACAGGATGGCCCAAGAGCCAAAGGGATTGCGGCCGTTGTGTCTTTTGTTAGTTTACTTCTGTCTCATACCCCCATTAGCTTCGATTGTTTGGTCTGAAGGCGTTCAAGCGAGTGACCGATCATGTATGGCCTCCTTGGCTTCAAAAGTAATGTCCAGAAGAATGCAGGGGCCACGGATTGGATGAGTGGTACATCTACACTGTATTCTCATCCAACGACTATACTATGTCCATCAATATCCTGGAGCAGAAGAAGCCGAACGACTTCTGTCATTCAATGGTGGAACAGACACGGTCAATAATTAGGTACAACAGGACCAGAGATCTGTGCAATCAAAGGTTGTAATGTGCCCTTCCAACCTTGGCTGGACAAGGCTGTGGTATTAAGGACCACGATTAGCTAAGCAAAATACTGCCAAGCGCAGCGCTCCCGTAGCATCTGGTCAGGCCAGTGACTGCGAGATCAGACATCTCCAACTTACGACGTTCTTTCAGCACCTGTTGGCGACTGTACATTAACACCTTTGTTACACATCCGCGGCTTCTCTACCTTCTGGCCTCTACTACCAGACACATCTCCCACGCTTAGAATATCCACAATCCTTATTATCTGACAAGATGTTGATCAAGTAAGATGGTGTCCTGCCCCGCGATCCGAGACGGATTGATTCACTGACACCGGAACCTCCCAGAGTGCGGACGTTGACTGGAAAGGAAATCGAGCTCGACATCGAAGCGGATTACAAGGTGCGAAATGGATCTGCTACATCCTCCGAGCCCTAGCACACCTACACTCACGAGCCTCGTCTACCACCATACCCCGCAAGCGCTGGTCCTAGATCGGTTCTGCACGACGACCTCGCCCTCAACCTACCCGTGCGGCCGTGCCGTGTTCCGCTATGTCCCTTCCTTCCCTGCCGCAGCCGAGGACGCAAGGTTCATCGGACACATGTACTAATCATAGTCTTTCATTACTCAGGTGTCGAGAATCAAGGAGCGTGTCGAGGAAAAGGAAGGCATTCCGCCCGTCCAGCAGCGGCTGATCTACGGCGGCAAACAAATGTGCGATCGATCCCTTGTGCTTTTTCTTCCTGCGCCCTTTTCACCTACTCTTATGACTTTCTGCCCCGCTTTCCGTCGCCGATCCGGTCTTTCTCTCAGAAGGTCAAACGGATCGACTGGACTGCGAGTGGGTTGGACCCCTGGAGGCGGATCAGAAGAGCTTACGATGATGCACCTTACAGGGCCGACGAAAAGACGGCGGCAGACTATGGTCTCGAAGGCGGAAATACGTTACACTTGGTGCTCGCCTTGAGAGGAGGACGGTGACAGAACAACGCATACGAGACAGGAATGGGAGGTGCCGATGAAACTAACGACCCGTGATTAAGGCGCCCATGAGATCAAGTGAGGCACAGAGAGACACGATCCGTCATCCACGCGAGGATTGCGACGTCCAGAACGACAATAGTTCTACGAAAGGCATGAAACTGCAGTCAATGGGCACTACAAGCATTTCTTGTACAGGCGTAGTATGCCTTTTTTTGCAATGAAATGAGTTCCCTGGAATAGGGGATGATGGCTGTTGTGAGGACATGGTCGATGCATAGATGGACGTTTGCAGGCGGACAATCAAGGGTGGGGTGGCAGCTATTGAAATGCAAACAAGAAGATTACACAGTCAAGCAGAGAAGCAAGCATGTTCATCTAACAAATCCAGTTCACTCCAATAGTTAGACGCCCTCCAATCTGGTCCTATCAATGTCCTTTCAAATGTGACGCGGTCTAAGATATTCCCGGCCTCTTTGCCATCTTCCTGGGAGTCGACATGAAAGGTGAGGGTGGAAGTTTTCGCTGCAGCCGCTGTGGTTGAGGATTGAGTCTCATGGGACTCCCTGACCTTGGTCTGTCATCCTCGTTAACTTTGAGCAGCTTTCGCGGCGGTTCGACGTCGTGTTCGTCGGGAGTTTCTAAGAAGTCGAGAGTCAAGCGAGCCTGGATCTGCGGATCTGACCGTGTGGCAGGTACAGGTGGATTTCTGGCCGTCGATCCCGGAAGTGACGCTGTGGGATTCGATGCTGCCCTTCCGCTCTTCAGTGCACGCAGTCTGGCTTCGCGATCCCTTGTCAGATCGTACGAGGCGTCGAGTTCTGCTGGTCCCGGTTTGGGAGCATGCAAAGGCGGCCTTGAAGTCCGGATTGGGCCGGGGTTTCGAATAAGTGCAGGAGACACCGGAGTGGCCGCTTTCTGCTTCAAGTCGTCCACGAATTGCTGGGGAGGCCTCGTAACGGTTGTGGCTCGTTTCGGCAGCTCATGCATCGGTCTGTTCATTCTCGAGGCCTTTGCATCGCGAGCTTCTTTCTTGATCTTCTCCAGCATCGTCATCTTGTGGGCTCCCTTGCTCCCTGTCCTCCCGCTGATGTAGTTGTAGTTGATCCGAGCCCTCTTTGAGGCGGGAAGATTGACCCTCGACGCAATCTGGGTCACATTCTGCTCCTTCTCGTTCTTGATGCTGGCCAAGGCGACTTTCAACATGGCTTCGTCGGCAATGGCGGCCAGGCGTGCATCTTCCTTCAGTTTGCAGTAGACCTTGTACCAGTTCTTAGGGTCTTTGGGCTCATGGGGTTTCAGATGCCAGTCAGCGATGTCGCGTTTGATGAAAGTCATCCAGAGCTCGGCATCTTTGCCTATGATCTGTGGTGAGGCCCGTTCGATTTGATGCTGAGCGAGAAAGATGGTTCATCAGTCTTGGAAAAACCACGGGAGGGAAGCACCCACCAATTTCTCGGGGCTCTCGATCTTCAGCAGCACTGGTCGGACGAGTTCGTAGTCCAGGTCTCCAATGTCTGTAATGCGGCCACTGCATCGGATGCATGCCCGGCGGGCCATGTTGAAGAGAGTGTCGGCCGGCATGTTCACCACCTCGGTAGGCTAGATAGCACGACAGAAGGGCGAGTTGCGCCGGAGCAAAGCAGGTTGTAAGATAGCCCAGGTCATGAAGTGGTGGAGTGAGACTCGAGGCGGACAGTATTCCGGGGAAGTGTCTTGGTTTAAACAAAGGTGAAGTCCTCCTACATATGTAAGCCCCTCATGAGCTGTGGAGCCTTGGGCGCAGGGCGCTTGCTAGGGCAGCTGCGGACGGCGGTGATCGATCGCCAACCTCCGCGAGGAATGAAACTTATATGTATGACTTACTTTGTCTCCGTCCCTACGACCGGCGACAATGACGAGCGACGTTGCATGCAGCACCTCCTAGAACCCGTCTTATAGTTGACTCTTACTGTATCCTGTATCCTGGATCCTGGACGATTGATTGCATTTGCTATACCATCTGCAGCAACAATGGCAAAGTTTACCGTATTAGATCAAGCCGAAGAAGGTGAGACCTGGTCAAATCAATCATTCAAGCAAGACTATTCAACTAACTGTCCTTGTCCACAGACAAACTCCACGCCACTCGGCTGTTGGGCATTGAAGAGCGTCCTTTCAAACGTTTAACTAAGCGACTCGTTGCACCGACGACGCCGATCAATGCGTTCCTTTCACGGCCCAGTTCATCGGATGAGACTACCGCAGCCACGGATCCGGCAGAGCAACATAAACAGTTTCTCAAGGATATCCACCGGTTTCGTGAAGATGTGATTCTGGATTTCGCCGCATTCGAGAGCAGCATTGCGCGCATACAATTCCTCCGCAGCGCAAACGAGCGAGAGCGAGAGCGGTATGCCGCTGAAAAGCTCAAAATCGAAGCCACAGCCGAGGAGGTGCGAGAGAACACCACTAATCTCCGCGTCCAATTGGACGAGGCACAGAAAACGCTGGCGATCCGTAAAACCTACGATGTGTTGGCGGACAAGATCACCCAGAATCCGGCGCTGAAGCCGCGTGATGAACAGCATGTCAATATTGAGAAACTGAAAGCAGAGATTGAAGAGCTGGAGCGCGAGGCACAGGAACACAAACAGGCCTGGCTTGAGCGCCGTGAGCAGCTGGCCAAAGTTGTGCACGAGGGACTGAAGCTGCGGAGGTTGATGCGCGACGAGAAGGAGCCGGAGCGAGACGACGAGACTGAACAGACGCAAGAAGCCGGTGAGCACGAACACGAGCACGAGCACGATGATGACAACATGCTGGGTGTGGGTTATAGCAGAGATGGCATCTCAAACGCTGGCACTCCGCGGCCAATTGACGACGCGTCAACTCCGTTGGCCACCGTACGTGGAAGTGGTGCATTGACGCCCAGGTCGACGTTACCAGAGGGCAGAGGCACGCCACCTCAGCACGAGAGGGATGAGGATGTCGACATGGACGGCGGTGCCGATGTGGATGCGGGCCCAGGCGCGGGAAATGAAGATGGACATGCAGCGGCGAATACCGCGGCCGAGAAGATTGGGGACGGCATGGACACGAGTTAAGGGAGGGTCTAGAGCACAGTGGTAAATCGAAGGATTCAAACCCAGCACGGGTCTTTTGAAGTGAGCAGAGGTGCCCGGACACGAATGTTTTCTGATCATGTCGATGGAGAGGACAGGGACGATAACCTTCTTTTGGTCAGCCGAGAAGGAGACCAGTTGTAGTAAAGATCGATGTCGGCCCAGGCGAGTTCAACGGCATTAGATCAACGTAGCGCCTGATCATCACCGACTGATATGGTGGGAGCGAGCTCGGATTCCACCTGGTGGGAGATACATGGCTCCAGCTAGAGTTTTTTCTGGATATGGAGTACAGGAAGCATAGGTCGGCCAGTGAGGCTCCCAGGCCTCGCCATGCACGAGTCGAGGCGAGATATCAACGCCACTGCAGTCCAGCCAGCGCATTGCAAGCCATTGCCATGCCGACCCGATCCGAGACATTCTGATATGCCTTCTCGGTGGCTAAGTCATTCCGCCGTTTGCACCTCCGAGCCGGGGTCTAAAGTGGACGCATCAAGCGATCCGACAGTCATGAGGTCTGCTGTCCTGCCACCGGATCGTCCTTCTGCGCCTCCTTGGCCGATTTCAAGACCTCAACGGCCTTACTGCGTTCCTCGTCATTCGTGGCGGTGTCCTGTAGGCAAACGAAACGAGGTGGCCCATATTAGCGGGAGTCCGTCCATCTGATCGGTCCAGGAGTTGTTGTGTGGATGCTGCAAGGTGTAGAAACGAGAATGGACATGAATCCAGCCAGCCAGCAAGACAGACAGGCGGGAAGGGAGGGGGGATGGGCATTTGAGACACGACGCGGCAAGACGTACCAGGACACTCTCCAGTTTCTCTCGCGCGCTGGTGATGCGCTCCCTGATCGTAGGGATAATGGCTTTTGTCTCTTCGAGCGCTCGTTTCTACAGACGCCAACAACGACAAATGGTTAATTAGGTACTTCGCCGCCCAGCCGGTCTGAGGGCGATTCCGCTAGGGGGTGGTAGAGAAAGAACAGGTAAAGACTAGCAAAGCAAAGCAAAGGACAGCACAGCACAGCAAAACGTACCTCCTGCTTCAACTGGAATTCTCGGTTGCCGTCCTCGTCGTCAGCTCCACCTCCAGCGCCCTCCTTTTCCAACTTGGCGATGCGCACCTCCTGCTGCACCTGCTCTTTGTAGTACGACGCTTCTTCCTTCAGCAGTCGCTGGAGCGAGGAGGTGGCGATCTGGATTTGGGAGGGAGCCATTTTGAGATTGGGATTGGGATTGGGATTGTCGGTTGATAGGAGGGACTGCCAGTGAGTCGAGCGCGTAGAGGGAGGGATTCAGTACTTGTGATTTACTACACGCAGTATAGTATAATAATACCAGGCACCTAGCCTAAGTCAGAATTCTTCGCGCACCCCACCCTAGAATAGGTGGGAAATACACGATATTCAGCTACCACTCAGGATGTATAGTCAAATCTATATATAATACCTAATAGGCTAGTACTACTTACCCTATAAATTTTATCTATAAAATAAAATATTATAGCTATAGTATATATTTATTAAGAAATATCGAAAAGAAGAGAGGATAATCGTGTCTTTTTACTTTAAATGACTATTATCTGCTAGTAAGCCCTCGTCATTTAAATTAAAAAGACGAGATATTACCGTCTTCTTTCCGACGTTTCTCGATAAATTTATACTATAAATTAGTAGTTTATACTATAGATAGAATCTAGAGAGTAAGTAGTACTAGCCTACTAGGTAATATATATAGATTTCGCTATATATTCTAAGTGGTGGCTAAATATCGTGTATTTCTCATATAAATCCAGGTGGGGTGCGCAACGAATTCTGACGCCTACTAGGTGCCAGGTAGGTAGTAGTAGTACGCCGTACTGATACTAGTGTGCCTAATGTGCCTAATGTGCCAATTCCACTGCAGTGACGTCGTCCTCCTCACTGCGACCACCACGACTGTGCTGCTTTTCTAACGACTCACGCTCGCGCTCACTACCTCTACACTTATCCTTATATTAGACCCGACTAGAATTCTGAGTTAGCGGCGCGCCCGACCGTTCTCTTCTAGACGTCTTTCTAATTTACGACTCTCGTCTCGTCTCTTCCCTCCACTAAGGCAAGCAACTTTGTCTCGCCTCGAAACTTATCTAGCCAAAGTACTATCCAAGAGTCTTTTCCATCCGTGCCCTATTCCCACCAAGCAGTGTTGTTTATACGCAAATCGAAATAGTTCAGCCCTGTAGCACACTTACTCCGCCGACAACATACGATCATCCTTCCGCAGCATGATGCAAAGAACCCCGAAACGAATCGTCCTTCGTTTCCACGAGAAATATGAACGTGAACCAGGAACAATCATAGAAAAATTCTTTGAGACAGTCAAGATTGATCCTGCAGACGACTACTTTCCACATCTATGCCCTCCAGATGACTCCACAAAGATGCATGTTGTCATCGATCTCTATTGCAAATCATCCCCCTCTGTAAACCTTGATCAAGTCTCGCACGAGGTTTATAGGGTCAAAAAGACGGATGACTTGTGAGTTGTGCCGAATTGATGGGAGCCTGCTTTACTAATCCAAAGTTAGCACATATCAGAAACTCGCCCCCAATGCCTGTAACGAAGCTCGCTTTCGCTGTTCAATTCTGAACTGGGGTACGACTGACCGAGCCTAGTCATCCGATGAATCGGATGGAGTTCGCCTGGCACACTTCGGGCATTCCCCGTTAAGGTTGCGATCTTGAGCGTCAAGAGACATGGGTATATCTCTCATCTGTCCGCTAGGAGGTACACAAGGTGTTCGGCGCGGTCGTGCTTGCGCCCTTTCACATAAGACGTATTCTGCACGAATCATATGTCGAGGTCTTCGCCTGCAACTTCGAAATGTCTTCACTCTTGTTTCACAACCACGAATCATCATATTCAAGATCATTCGATGGGTTTGACTGTAAACATGTAACCTTGCTTGGAAGACCAAATCCAAGACGGACTGGATGATCATATACCGCCTTTATATATACAGAATTTGGACCATTGTGATTACCTTCACTGCTGTGACACTGCAGCCCACTGCGCGGTGCTTTGTGATTTGAGTCTTAGTCCCACGAACCGGGCGTCGTTGATGCGTTGTTCTCGTGTTGCTGCCTTGTCCTCGTGTTGCTGCCTTGTCCTCGAGTAGTGCCTTGTCCTCGTGTTGCTGCCTGACAGAGAGATACAGTGGCATACAGTAGAACAGACCAATAGAACTATAGATTATTGCCCTCGTCCATACTGTAGAATTTGTATATTCGTTCACATGTATCAATCATATTACAAACTAGCCGAAAGCACCCTCTTCGTACAGGCTCATGGGTGAGACCGTCGTGATATTCGACGTACGTGGTCGTCGTGGATGGCGAATCTGATGGGATGACTCGTGACTTTCCCCAGAACGAGGACCAGAACGAGGCCTGTTACTTCAATGCTCGGTGTCCGAGTAAGGGAAAAGATGGAAAAGATCTCATACCCAAGTCACAGTGCTAAGATTACACGATATTACAGTATGGGACCGGCAATTAGGCAGGTTCCGACGGTCGGAATCCTTACCCCTATCAAAGTCCTGCATCGTGCTACAGCTGTAAATATACTCTGTAAACGTAAATAATCGGTAAGGTTGTCATCACTGATGAGTAAGAGCGGCATAATAATCGACAACCAATCCATGCATGTGTCAAACAAACCCAATCTGGACATACAGTTATATAATCATCCAGCCCACCCCCTCGTGTCCGTGAATGCCTATGTCGAGTTCATGATTTAGACTTATCCTGTGCACCACCTAAGGCTGCACCTACAACTACACTTGTCACTCCGGGTTGCTGAAAAAACCAAGGGAAGAATTCAAACAATCCTCGGTATGCGCGCAATCACAGTCTCCTCCTGGGGCTCGGCACCAACATTCACCACCTCCCATCCCCAACCAGTATCGTCCGACCCGGACTCAGTAACGGTCAAGGTTCTCGCAGCCGGGCTGCACCAGCTCGTGCGCGGCCAAGTGGTCGGGACACACTACAGCACGAAGAAGGCGGCGCTGCCGTACGTGCCTGGAGCGGATGGTGTGGGCACGCTCCCGGACGGACAGACGGTGTACTTCAGCAGCATTGCCTCCGGGGGCGCCTTCGCCGAATATGTCAGCGTGCCGGCGAGTGCCGTAACCGCAGCACCCACGGGCGTGGATCCAGTGCAGATCGCGGGGCTGGTAAACCCGGGCATGTCGTCGTGGATGGCGCTGGCAGCCCGCGTCGACCGGGAGCGGCTGCCGCAGGCCTTCACTGTGGTCATCGTCGGCGTCACCGCGCTGTCGGGCAAAGTGGCCGTTCACTTCATGCGACAGCTCGGTGCGGGCAAGGTGATAGGCGTCGCGCGTAACGCCGCCGAAATGGCAGCTCTCAACCTCGACCAGAGCATTGTCCTGGCCGAGACCAAGATCGCCGATACCGACTTCTCGACCCTAGGTGACGTCGACCTGATCCTCGACTACCTATACGGCCCGCCCGCGCTGGCACTGCTCACCGCGCTCGACTCCAAAGTGCCCACGCAGTATGTCCAGGTCGGGTCCGTTGCGGGGCCAGACATCGCTCTGCCCGCAGCGCTGCTGCGGTCTAAGGACCTCACCTTGGGAGGCACAGGGCCCGGGTCCTGGTCCATGGCCCAGTTCAACAAGGAATTGCCAGCATTGTTAGCCGCAGTGGCTAAGCTGCCACCACAGGACATCAAGGTGCGCAAGTTGGAGGATGTTGATGTCGCCTGGGCAGCCAAAAGGGAGAGGACCGTCTTCGTGCCTTGAGTTGGATTCGGCTGAGCATACCTACTGAGTAAGGGCCTGACCAGCAGGCGCCGAGGTGAACAGTGAATGGTTGGTGCCAAGGGTGTAGGAAGTAATAGTCACACGACCTAAATGGGATGCTCCAGGTGAGCCAAAGAACGATGAGAATGGAAGATGAATGGGGAGATGGCCGGATTATACCTGTATCGAGCCTCTCCTGACAATCCTATATACCGACCTCGATCTCCACCCAAATACACCTGACAGTGGTTGTCTCCAGTAATCCCAGCTCGCTCTCCGTGCGGAAACTCACGTCCTGCAAGTTCGTATGCACATCAATTTCGTCTGGCTGTAGCGTCCTTGTTCTCGTTCTCATTCTCGTCCCTGACGAATGCGCTCCTAGCGGGCGGTCACTCCAAGAGCTGCCTTCGCCGGTGGGAGAGTCGGACTCCCGCCAGCCGAGATTCCATTTCCCGGTTTCCCCGGTCGGATCGTGGTCTGGGCCAGGCAACACGAATGTTCTCTTTAGCCAGGACTTTTTAGATGGGGGTGCTGGGCGCGATGCTGTGTCTTGCGGCTGGACTGGGGGTGACGGAGGGTTTGACTGGTCATCTTCAGGACGTACGTCCTTGGGTATAGTTGAAGAGCCGCACAGCTCCCATCGCAGCACTACATCCACTTCCTGCACCACGGCGTACTGCGTCCAGAAGGAAGAACGGTTCTCGTCCCCAGTAAGAGGAATGACCGACGCGGTCGTCTCATTCGGCAGTGCTGGCGCCACAATGTTCTGCTCAGTGACTGGACCGCTGGCTCGGAGGACATCTGACGGGACGATGGCGATAGCAAGCCGGTTGCATGCATTCGAGAGGTGGAGGGTGAAGCAAGGAATGATCGAGTTTGTGACCAGATTGAGGATCCGTCGGCTGCGTTCCCGTCGTATTATGGAGGGGGCCGACGTTGACTTCTCGCGTGACGGAACCTCAGGCCGATGGCCGGAAGTCGCCATGGATTCTTCATAGGTTGGAATGGGCTCTGATGAGCTCCAGGGATCTTCTGTTGACTTGGACATTGGTCTTTGCTTTCTCTTGCTCTGTGCTATGCACAGGTGTTGAGCAGGCTGTTAGTCGCAGATGGAGGGGCTCAGGCCTCACGCCCGGGATCAAGAGAAGGGAGAAGCCGACAAGAGTAGGAAGTAGGGGGGGAACTGGTTCAGCACTGGCTCATGGGTGCGATTAAAAGCCTCAACTTCAGGCTGGTGGGCTTAGGGAATCGTCAGTCTGCGAAACCGGTGAGAGGAAGACTAGGTCAAGCAAGGCGGGATGTCCAAGCGGAGATCGGGACGATGGTTGGCCGGTTCCCTCTTGCTGTGCAGTAGTGGTGCACTGTGTACGGATATAGTGTATCACTGTACAGCCGAACATGGCACCAGGTCCGATGAGAAGGTGGAGAGACACTGGAGGAGGCAGGGTGGTGAGCCCGAGATCAAACCAAGGGCGCGGCTGGGGGCCTGTGAAGTCTCGCTCCTCTTTTTCGCTTGGCCTGAGCCTAAGGAGCCCCTCGCAAGGCTGATTCCATGGGACGCCGCTTTTACACTCGGCCCTAGGTGCTGCGCCCACTGCCCACTGCTACAGAGTATGAATCCGCCTGCACAACTCTACGCTCCACGATGGGAAGGCTGATGCTGTCTATCGATGGATCTTCTTTCTGATGGTTCACTTACTAGTTACTTGTACCTGTACAGCCTCGCCGTGGAATCCATCGCATCTGTGGCTGTGGTTGTTTGAACTGCCTCACGCCATCACCATCCATCGTCATATCTCATATCCATCTCCATCTCCATCTCCATCTCCATCTCCATCTCCATCGACTGCGCAAGGCGAACAACGCACCCCCCGAGCCAAGAGAGGTTGCCTTATTTCAACCAACTAGCAACCACTGGAACGTGCAGATCGTCGTATTCGGGTTTCCACCCCTCGTCGCCCTCGTCGCCCTCGTCGACCCCATGACCTCGTTTATTGAGTTCCACAGTGCTTGGCTTCTAGAAGACAGTCTGCATGATGGCCGTCGGCCGATCTTCTTCGGGCTCCTCCGCGCTCTCCATGGTTGAGTCTAGTCAAGAGAAAAATAGTACTACTGCCGAGGGTTACAGCTTCAGTCTTTAGAGTACAATTTCTAAGCATGCTAGCTGGTATACGCCTACGCCTGGTGCTGTACCCGCTACTCTGTTAGTCCGGTTTGCACGAGCCGTCACACCAAGGCATGCATCCATTGTCGGCAACACGGTCACAGCCAGGGCGGAATCCCACCCCCTTTGTGGTTCGCAGCTGTGCACGGGACAAGTTTGCTGTGTACGGCGCGGGTCGACAGGTCCTCAGCTGAAGAGTATATCTTTCCTGTACCTCCCTCTCGAACGCTCGTGTGTTTTCCCCTCCGCTCATATCGACCCAGCAGTCCTGTTTATCTGCTCACCATTTTCGATCCCTTGCCCAACCACCTTGTCCAGAGAGCTACTCATCACCTTGGGGTAACCCTAAACCGTTGCCCGCAGTTAGAACACGAGGTTCAACGGTGAAGACAAAGACTACCTAGTTCTTCTTCACTGCAAGGGAGTAGGTGAAGGCTTTGGTCTTCGAGATTTACAAATAGGTCGCGCGAACCCTCTTCCTCTTAGCTTGCACCATCGTCAAACGTTTCTACTGCCGCTATGTGGTTCCATATCTCCAACGCCAACGAGTACCTCGTCATCACCGGCGCCGGTGTCGACGATGTCCGGATCGTCAAGAAGGCGTTCATCTACCCATGGCAACGGGTGGCTCGCATCTCGGTTTCACCCTTCGACTTCTCTCTGAACCTGCAAGCCATGACGATCGAGAAACTCCAGTTCGCTCTGCCGGCCGTCTTCACCATCGGCCCGGACAACGAGCCGGAGGCTCTGAAGAAATACGCCCTCCTGCTGAGCGGTAATCCGGACGGATCGTCTTCATCAGCCAAGAGACCTGGGTTGGCCATCACACCAACCGCGCGAAGCCACGTCCAGGACATTGTCAAGGGTATCATTGAGGGTGAGACGCGCGTCATTGTCTCGAGCATGACTATGGAGGAGATCTTCAAAGAGCGCCAGATGTTCAAGGAGAAGGTGAGTCGGCCCAAGATGCCGAAATTCCGACCTCCCCTTGCCAACAAACTGTTGGGCTACCAACCTACTACTCTCATCACATGCTAACGAGCATACTTTATAGGTGATAGGAAATGTGCAAAAGGAACTGGACCAATTCGGGTTAAGGATCTACAACGCCAACGTCAAAGAACTACAAGACACGCCCGGTTCAGAGTATTTTGCGTTTCTGTCACGTAAGGCCCATGAAGGGGCATCGAATCAAGCTCGGATCGACGTGGCCGAGGCACGCATGCGAGGCGAGATCGGCGAGGCGGCCAAGAAAGGGCACACTAAGCAAGAGATTTCCAAGATCGAGGCGGAGACGGCGGTGCTGGAGACGAAGCGCAAAGCGGACAAGGCGCAGGCGGATGCAGAGCTCACCAATCGGCAGACGGAGCTGAACATGGGCATCCAGATGGCGCAGATCAAGGCGAGGCGGGCGGCCGAGGCACGCGACGCCGAGCTGCAGAAGGAGGTCGAGACCAAGAAGGCGGCGACGGAGCTGGAGCGGCTGCGGGCTAAGGACCTGGTGCGCGCGCAAATCTCGAAGGAGACGGCGCAGCAGGAGGCCGACGCCCACTTCTACCGCGAGTCCAAGGGCGCCGACGTCCGCGCTTACGCCGAGAAGCAGGACGCCGAGGCCCAGCTGTTCAAGCAGCAGCGCCAGATCCAGGCCGCGGTCGAGCGCCAGATCAAGGAGGCCGACGCCATGTTCCATGCCAAAATGCGAGAGGCCGAAGCCACCCAGGCCCAGGCCCAGGCGTACAAGGCCCTCGCCGAGGCCTTTGGCGGACCTCAGGGTCTGCTCACCTTCATGATGCTCAAGGAGAACACCTACGAGAAGCTGGCACTGGCCAACGCGAAGGCCGTCCAGGGTCTGCAGCCCAAGATCACTGTCTGGAACACCGACTCCGCCGGCGCCGGGTCCGGCTCCGACGCCGGCATCGCCCCCATCAAGAACATCCTGCAGTCCCTGCCACCCTTGCTCACCACCATCCAGGAGCAGACCGGCATCGCCCCGCCCAGCTGGTTGCTGCAGATGCCCAAGGACGACTCCCGCGCCGCCAATGCCAATGCCAATGCCAATACCAATGGCTCGCTCGCCGCCGACGAGAAGAAGATGCTCTCTGCCGCTGCCGCCAAGTGAAACCCTCCACACCCGCTTCTGTGCGCTCATGCTGCTGCATAGTACCTCAGTCGCTTCTGGTCCGGCCCGGTCGGAGCCTGTCCCACCCAGATCGGAGCCGTGAGACCTCCGAACACCATCCCGCGTTTTCCGTCCAATCAATTATTGTGGGCTTCCTTTCTTTTCCTTTGTGTGCTGGGTCTATCAATTGCCGTTGGCTGGAGTGGTGTCGAGTTGACTTTGCGTTTTGCCATGTACTCTAATGTCACGTAACTCTTGTACATATCTCGTCTATCGAAGCGGACTTTCCGCCTCGACCTCAACAGCTTTTATTCGGCCCGATTGGGGATCCTACATTGACCTGTTTGTTTTACTTGCTTTCCTCGCCATGGTCGTTGGGCTTGTCGCCGTGCGCCTTTGAGTCCCCAGAGGACGCGGCAATATCTACTCAGGGACCTACACGAAGATTTGAAGACGGTCTCCTGTAGCAATCTGGACATCGCAGCAACAGCAGGGGAGGAGTATCATTTCTGGTGCATGCAAATCATTCAACATTCGTTGGAGCTGGACCTAGGCGCGGCATGTTTACCCTTTCATCTCACCACGAGGAATCATCATAAGTGCCACACCCCATCCGCCGACCAGGTCCATATTTCATTGTCAGAACAAACCGGCCGAACTTCTCCGCCCTTCAGCCAAGGTGCAGTGCCAAAGGCTGCACCCGAGCACTGTGGGGGTTGTGCCATACAGTTGCCCTCCTAATCTCCTTTGCAGGCTTTGAAATGGTTTCAAGCCCCTTGATCTCATGTAGAGATGAAAGCCGTCCAAAATCCCAAAAAGACCATAGGCCCTTGTCCAATGATATACCACCGTAATCTTTCATATCGTAACATCATAGCATCCTCAACCCGCCAACAGGGTCGGATACACTTTACTGCCAATTTTGAGGGTCGATTTTTCGTCGCCGCCCAAGGCATGTGTCCTTTAAACCTAACTTTTTCAATTGCCTCTAGTTTTGATTTTGCTAGGCCACGTTTTTTTATCGTCAGCGCCGCAGCCAATCAAACTTTTTCCGGGTATCAACTCCAGTTTGTGGTTCAACCTGCACGCTTCGATCGTATAGCTCACTGCGAGGATCGGCAGAGTCCTGTCATGCATGGTTAGAAGAAAGACGCCGACGTGGGATCGGGGGGTTTGTACCTCGGGTTCGTCCACAATCTTGGTCTCCAAGACTAGTTTGACCGTCTCCTCAGTGCGAGAAGTTCGTTGCGGAAAGGTATAATGCTCCTGCAGACTTTTCTGGAGACCCACGATCACCTCTCCCATAATCTCAAACTTTTTCCAGTTAACGTTCGTGCCGATGAATGTGGGGTTTGCCGAAGCGGCCATGGTGAGGTCCTGCCGCACCAGCGGTAGGAAAGGAATCCGTTCACGGCCCGAATTGTCCCAAGCCATTCGATACGCAGCGTGCGATTTCGGGAGTCCCATCAGAATGGTCAAGCGCAGGAATTGCTTCTGGACGTCAGGAGATATCAGCTCGTGTGTAGCAGCAAGACGTGCGACCTCATGGCCAGTGATTCCCGCCACTATTGCACCTAGAGAGTTGTAATTATTCAGCTGCCGCACCTTCCATGCCAGCGCCATAAATTTTTCTAAAGCCCTGGCCCGATGCTTCGGCTTATCTCGCAGTAATATCATACCGGAAACAAACAATGCCAAATGGTTGAAATGCCTGACCATGGCACTGATATTGTCGCCAGCATGAGACTTGCTCTTCTCTTTGGTGGAAAGCCACGCGTGCCGAACAAAATCCCGTGGCCTGATTGCAGAAAACATGGTCCAGTCAATGCGGGTGATTTCGTGAGCAAGCTCTTCAACAGGAGTTTCCATGAATTGATGCCACTGGAACTTGCTCAGACGGATTTCTGGGGTTACTTTGTATTTTTCGGCTCGTGCTTTTGCATTGCGCAGTTGCAAGTGATTCGTGTATGATTGGCTGGACGTGTTACTCGATTTTGGAAGACCCGACGACGACGACGACGACGAAGGAGCATTCGGGCCACGTGCAGTAGAATCGGCGTCTTCCCCGCTGTCGCTAGCGTCTCGTCGGGGCTTCTGGTCGAGTTTCGTACCTCTTTCGTTGCTCAACGACGGAAGGGAGGTCGTAGAGGACGACGGCTTCTTACTGCGTTTCCCATCCGAGGTGCTTCCGGCCTCCGTATATGCCCAGTCCGCATCTTCATCTGGAACAATCGTGTCCAGATTATTGCTGATTTCTCGGGCGGCAGGGGCAAACACTTTACTCTTCTCAATGCTCTGCACGAAAGGGACGGCAACGTTCCGAGCCGGTCCAAGAGCAAAATCCCCAGGATAGTTAGCGGTCCATTGAGCTAACACTGATAGGTACCGCAGCATTTCAGCTACCTTGCTGAAATGAACCATCTTGCTCTGCTCGACCTTCATGAATTGATCGATGATGGCCACAAGCAGTTGTCGAGGCGTCGCAAATGCACGGTACAGACACAGGAACGAGGGGACAAATTTGGAGTCGGTCTTATTAGCGGGCAATGCCAGCAACTTTTCCACAAGCTCCGTGAACGGTACGCCAGACTCTTGCTTGTTGTAATCGAGTGTCAACTTCGTTGCCGAGTCGGTCAAAGTTGGCGCCATACTGTCAACCTCCGTGCGTGGAGAGAGCTCGTTCGGATCTTCATCCATGTTGAGAAAGGTTTGATAGGCTCGATTGTTGGGGGTTCCAGATGAAGCGGGACGAAGCATGGACTTCACATAGTAAGAGTCGGGGGTTTCGGGGACCGGCATCGTGAAGGGATCCGCAAGAGGCACCGGTTGGTTAGTGAAATCGCCTGATGAGACAGGCGTATGGGGTCCTGCAGGTCGACGTTGGTGTCTGGAAGCTGCCGAAGTGTCCAGGCGAAGTTTCGTCTTTCGACCGGGGGAAACTACATCTTCCACAGGCGACGCCTCGCTTTCTTCGTCGGCTGACTCAATGATAGCTGGACGGGCCGAAAGGTTCAGCAAAAGCTCCTTGGATTTGGAACTCTGTAAGCGGTTATTCGATCGGCTACGGCTTCTATTTTTCCTCGGTGACGGATCCCTGGAAACGGCACGCTGGCTACCCAGAGACCGGCTGGAGGCATGTGATGATCCGCTCGTTCGAACGGATGCTGCGAGAGGGGTTAGTCAAGTAAGGCTAGAAGACTGGAGACGGAGGAAGGAACGATCATGAGAAAGGACCTCGACCTCGTGATGGTTCACGTGAGCCCACCATGCGGGTATCAAGCCACAGGGCCTAGGTATTGATGGAATCGGGCAGGGTTTCACTCACCCCGAGGAGAGGTACTGACTCTGTCCAGCATGGCCAACAGACAAAGTTGGGCACCCTCAGGAGACTTGACAGATACCTCGGCTATAGCGACGTTCGCTAGACTGCGGCGAATCTGCTCGTGAAACTTGGAACTGATCTGACGAGACTCCTGCTTTACGTCGCACTTGGAAGCAAGCAGCATACAAGACAGTCCACTGTTGGCCATGGAAGCTGGGGAAGTACGGTCAGTTGCATGCCGATATGGACGATCGAGGCTCGGCCCAGGGTCCGGCCGGAAGGCACTTACTCAACGCTGTAGGGACATCAGCGACGCTTTCCCTGTCCGAGACGTCATAGAGACAAAAGACTCCGTCAAGCTCTGGAAACGGGGACCCGTTGACGTAGGGGGGCCATTCTATCCTTCGTCCGCTACTGAAATCAATGTCGTCGAGCGACAGCTCGATAAAGTGTACACGATATGATTGGTCTTTGACAGCGACCTGGGTTACAGACGAAGAGCCCTGTCCCTGGGCGACGGTTCTGATAAAGGAGGTCTTGCCACAACCCCGAGCGCCCACGACCAAAATATTGATGGGTGGCTTGAGGTCAGAGTGACTGGTCTGGAAGAGGAACGGGAATTAATAAGGATCCAGCCGAAGACGATTGTTACCGCTAAAAAAGATGACGACGATGGGACCCGGGAAAGATTGCGGCACAGAGGGGAGATAAACATACCATGTTGGCTGGCTTTGCCCCCGAGGAGTAGTCCGTGGCAGAGGGTCGACCGGAGTGCCGGGTCGTGGTCCTTCTTTCGGGCGAGGTTCGAGTTGCATCACGAGACCCGGTTTTGGAGCTGCGGTAAGTGGCATCTAATGGTCTGGAAGCGACTGACGGGCGTCGGGGATGTTGCTCTCTCCGTCGGTTATCAACCGAGGGAGCTGAGTTATGCCTCTCGCGGGTCCGAGGCGGCGATACAGCAGCCTTGGGGTCGAGCGAGCGATACCTGGCGTTTCGGCTATCCATGACTATGGGTGTCGAGGGTAGACTAATCCGAGAGAACACCAGGTCTCATAGCGAATGATTGACGGCGTCTAGGTCGATCCTCTGGGAGATTGAAGGCTGCAAATGGAAGGTGACCAGAGGGTTGAATGGAGGTGGAGGGCAGTCATGGGTGTTTGGGACATCAAGACACCAAGTGAATGGGTCTCTGAGACAGACGGAGGACGGCTTGTGGACTCGAAGCTACAGTACCTGACCTCATGCCCGATAGGAGAAGTCCTCTCTCTTTTCGATGCGGGCCGGACTCGGAGCCTTTGTCGAGGTTAGGGGTTGGAAGGCCTAACACCAGATCCAGTAGCCCAGGGAAGTGAACGGAGTATGAAGCAGAATGGGGAGTGTCGATCGAGGACGAAAGAAGGGGTTTATCTGGCCCTGTTGCAGGGAGGTCCTGTAGAGAGGTCGTCAAGTTAGGGTTGGGGTGGCTTAGTGTTGGTCTGGTAGAGGTGGAGGCCGAGTCTCTCCGTGGCCAGAATTGTATTGTCCCGAGCGCAGGCTGCCCCTTAGGCTCTTCTGGTGGTTGGGGTTGGGTTGATCAGGCTCGAGCCACTCGTCACAAGGTCAAAAGAACTGTCTAGACAGTGGAGGGAGGCGAAATCTGAAGAGAGCGCGGACGGGCAGGCCATGACGAGACATTTTTTCATTTTTCTGGGGATGGTAGCAGTATCTGCATCTGCAGTCTGTAGTTAGCAGTGTGACAGTGGATTTGAGCGGGTGGGTTGCGAAATGCAAGCGTCTTAGCCCCCATGTGAACGACCAGGTGCGTCTATGCAGGTGTCAGGAACCATTCCAACAGACGGATGGTGGTGATGGATGCCGGGTCGTGGGCTGCTGGGATGCGGTGGATGTTGGGAACGGGCGAACCAGTGAGAGAAAGACGCAGAAGGAGAACTGGCCGCCGGGCTGTGGACTTCCGGCAGCAGACAGGTGCACTATGTAGGCACGCTACCAGGCACCAATGCAGCCGGTCGGGGCTGCAATTGGTGGGTTCTCGGGGGGTCAATGGCCTACTGCAGGTGCCTGACAGCCCAATACTCTCCCGCCCGCAGCCACGGCGTCTTGGAGGGTTGAGTCCGCATAGTAACATACTAGCTATGCCGACAACGACGTTAGGACGGCCGGCGAGCATGGCACAATCGACAGCGAGCTGTCATAAGGTAGCGAGGTAGCAGGTGGTAGATCAGGGTGGTATGTCGTCACATTCCGGATACCAGGATAGTACCTAGGATACTGCTCGCACCTCCACGTACCTTACGGAGTACGGAGTACTTCGTAATAGCTTGTGGCTGCTCTGTTGACGCTTTCCTACCTAGCCTAGGTACCTATGTACTCCGTCCTACGAACTACTATCGGGCGCCCATTGGGGGCGGCCGGGTGTAAATTGCCTGGGAATTCAACATCACCACCCCGAACCCCCTCCATGGCAATACTCCGTCCAGCACCATTGCCAGCACCCTGGACCTTGTGGAAGATGCGGTACGGAGTAAATGTGACCGGGATCTCCAACCGGGCTAGTGACTGGCCATGTTTCGATTAGTGGGAACAAATCTCCTGCAGCCTCGCTTTGCCCCTTTCTCTGCTTCCCAGGGTTGGGTTTATTAGGTAGATACTGACGATAGATTTCAGTAAATTATCCCAGGTGAAATTCCAGGTGAAATATTGTTTAATTTTAGTCTGCTTTTATTACCTTTATCCCCGTCCCTATTCTCTCTAAGACTCTGTACCTCGGTGACTTAGTGTCTTATTAGTGGATTTACTGTGGGATAGTGCTGTAGGAATAAAACTATATTACAGCCTCAGCACGTAAAGAACGGTCTATGTCATTTACGAGGTGTTTGTTACCGTGAACAGTAGATTTCAGTGTGGCGTCCAGGACTGCCATCCATGCCCATGCACATATGCGACCGTTATAAGTGCATCACTCGTGGTCCAACACCCCTCGTAACACACGAGACTGTTGTTGGCAACAATCACGGAAATGAGATCTCAAGCCGCACACCTCCCCTCTATGCATGTTAGACATGGTTCCTTGCAGCTGCCCAACATCCCAGCCGTGCCCCTGCTGGGACATTCCTCTCCTGCCGCCTCTGTGGCTGCGCCTTGATGAGCTGGACGAAAGTTTAACTCGGCGCCAACATGTGAAGATCTGCCTGTATATACTATACAGACGGATGTCGCCTCGCCTGTGGCCTCCCTTGCTTGTTGTATCGCAAGATTGTGGCGTCGGCCGCGCCATTTGACTGCGACGCGTCATTGTCAACCTGCATCCTCGTACACTGTAATCTCAATTTGGACGCGGCAGTCACCTGTTGACATTCAATCTTCATCCAGCTGGGCAGTGCTTGCCGTTCTAAAATCCATCTCATGAACTCATTTGTGCACGCCTTCGACAGAAAACAGATGGACGAACATCAGCTTCGGACCACTGAATGGGCGATCGCCCATGAGAGCAGATCGAGTGTCTTCTCCACCCTCTCTTCTCCCTCGTCTTCTTCACGCCATACTAATGGCGACCTGGATCTGGATTCGCTTTTCAGGCGTCTAGATACGTATACCGCAGAAATGGAAGAGATTGAAGCCCGTCTGAGACGAGCCAGGGGTATTTCACCAGATCCCGCCCAGTTCAGTGCCCTCCGATCCTCCTCTTTGGAACATGGCCGCCCCCTTGAAACAGAGAAAGCAAGTGTGTTAAATTTGGATTCATCCAACGAGACGAGACCCCTCAGAGAGGATAAGCGGATTGAGGCCACATTTCTTCCCCGGTCCGAAAACACCAATGCCAACGCACCCATGAAGCCGAGCTGGAAATACAGTGGTACGGATTTCCACGTCGTTGAAGCCAGCCAAATAGAGTCACAGCACTCTACGCTTGAGAAGCGACCATCTCTGCGGCCAAAAGAAGAGTTCTTTCTGAACACCGTTCGAAAAAAGGAGCCAAGATACAGTGATCCCACAGACTTTCCAGATCGGGACGGGGCAGAGTTGGCAGTGCCGGATTGCTTGTCCCCTCGCCGCATGGCAACGACTGAACCCAATCGGAGGGTGAAGGACGGCGGCGAGGGGTCTGCCCACACACTTTTTCTGTCTGAACGCAACCTAGCACCACCCCACCCACCATTGTCCCGATCGACTTCGACAGTGGAATCCAGTCTTCCATCCACGCCCCTGTCACTGTGCTCGCCAACAGAGGACCAGATCCGACGACAACCGGAAAGGCCTATCCTACACCAGGGGCTGGAAACGCTGGAGCTGGGATATCAAAGCCAGAAACCATCAGTGTTGAAGTTGCCGACCTGGCAGAACGATGATGAGGACGAGGGTGAGTATGGCGGTAGTGGGAAAGAAGATCACTGGTGGCGACCGGGACAACCAGACTGCAGTCCCACCTTGTTCGGTACGCGCGATCGACGAGCCGTTTCTTCAGCAAAGCCTCGAAGACGGCAAAAGAAAGGCATCCTCAGCATTTTCCAGAGGAGGTCTTCCGTGGAAAGGTTGATCGACATGTACTTTGATGATTAAAGGAAAATGACAGTCGCTGCGAGGAGATGGGATCGTCGTCGGTGTAGATGGACACGGCCCAAAAATCCTCTTGTTCCATGCCTGCTTGCTTGCGATCACTTCATCAGGAACGCGGTGCTATAGATCTGATCAATGACCATTACGAGATGCGGGTTTGACGTTGCTCGTTGAAACCCAGATCGGCGACGAGAGCCGCAAATGCCGTCATTCCACTGGCGTCGGCTGACTCCGAGCTCAAGTTGTATTCTAGCATTCGCATAGCTTGGGCAATTCGTTGCTCGAGGGATCTGTGAGTCTTGTGCGCCCCTGGCGTGCGCGTCTGATAGGCTTCCTCCTGTTCAGCCGAGACCGCCGTCTGAAATATCAACTGGAGCTTGGCCCGCAGACTTGGATATTGTTCAAACAGCTTCGGTAGCCTTGGATCGCGCACGAGCAGGTCGGTGAATGGAAGACTTCTAGCCTCTTCCGTGCTGGGGAATATCTCAGTAACTAGGGGAGGCTGAGCGCTCTTCTCTGGGTCCACGTTGCTGCACACAGCCTTGTGTGTTTTGAAGCATTGCAGAGAACAACTGTAGAAAAAAGTCAACGAGGATGTCCCACGCCTCTAAACAGCGGAGTATTCAGACCTGGTGGCCCTACAGGCGGGACAATGGTACTTGAAGGTTGGACTTTGGCAGACGCTGCAGAATTGGCTTGACATCGAGAAACTAGACCGTAAGCAGAGAGCGCGACGGGTAGCTCGTGTTGCTGTCAGAGTGAGTCCGGTCTGATACCTGTAGTGTTGGTGATTGTCTCTGTCCGCAACATTTGAAGAAACACAGGAAATAATCTGTGTAATGACGACGAGTCGCTGACAAATGGGGGCCGAGGTTTTCCACATTGTACCTGAGGACCCCGAACTCGTGCGTCATTTGCGACTCATGCTAAACATTCTTGTCGCTCAACCTTCGCCATCCAACAATTAAGACACTTCCTGTCTTTTGCAACATTCCCCGATATCCTGTTTTGAGCATCCTCCATACTTCTACACCATGCGTGGCTTGGCTCCGTCGCAAGCCCTAAGGGCCCTGTCCCGCTCCTGCCACAGAAAGACACAGGCCCCGAGCCCTGTTTGTCGAGCTGCCACCACCCGCCATGTCCATCAGTCGGTCCGAATTCCCGCATTGACAGCATCACGAGCTGGCCGCAGACCTGTCCTACAGCCTACACCTCTACATTCCACATTTAACAGGTCAAACCGGTCCATCTACATTCAGACCCAGTCGACCCCCAATCCCGACGCGCTGAAGTTCATACCTGACCATCCGGTCCTCCCCAAAGACTTCCCCTCGACGTTTCTCGAATACTCCTCTCCTCGCTCGACGCTGGGTGGGCCCCATCCCTCTCCGCTTGCGGCAAGATTGCTAGATGTGGACGGAGCCAAGTCTGTCTTCTACGGGCCCGACTTCATCACGGTAACCAAGGCGGAAGATGTGAACTGGGCGCACATCAAGCCGGAAGTCTTCAGCATCATTACCGAGGCAATCACTTCTGGGGAGCCGATTGTGAACACGGTGGATCAAGCTACAGCTAGCGATGGCCAGGAAGGGGGAGGACAAGACAGTCTGGCGGCTAATGATGACGACGACGAAGTCGTGGCCATGATCAAGGAATTGTTGGAAACGCGGATTCGACCAGCCATACAAGAAGACGGGGGTGATATCGAGTTCCGAGGGTTTGAGGACGGGCATGTGTTACTGAAACTTCGTGGTGCGTGCCGAACATGTGACTCGAGTACAGTGACATTGAAGAACGGGATTGAGTCGATGTTGATGCATTACATTGAAGAGGTCAAGGGGGTCACCCAAATTATGGACGAAGAGGAAGAAATTGCTATCCAAGAGTTCGCCAAGTTCGAGGAGAAACTTCGACAACAGAAAGGACCCGATGCGGCGCCAACCACAATGGGCAAGGGAAGCCTGGATTTTGTTGAATAAGGTGCTGGGGCAAATTCCCCGAACGACCGATCTCAACGGCTCTGTGACCCTGGTCATATGTTCATGTGTGGCACGATGGATATGGCAGTGTTGAGACCCAAACTGAAGCTGGCCCTGGAGCCACGCGTCGTTATGACGGCAGGCCAGGTCTCGCCCAGTCTGACGTTTGGAGTCAGCAACAGCGGGGTTTGGCATCTGATATGCATGCAGTGTGCTTTCAGGATTGATCGCTTTGGGAGAGGAGCAATGACGATGGGGGCCGCCAGACGGCGGAGACTAAATCTCAAGTCAGTCAGCAAGCTGCGGAGAAATGCATGGTATGATCTCCACGGACACGGTCAGAAGTACTTGCTTTTGATAGTAGATTCAACAATGTCCCATGAACCTTGCACCGACGGCGCTGGGGCTAGACCGGCGCAGGTGCAAGCTGATGGGATTTAGTTGGACGAATCTGGATGGGGATGATTTCGGTGCCGCAGTGTGTTTCGCACCAACTGAGGACTGAGACGGTACACTGGTAGGATAGCAACGGAAGAGCGCATTTGAACTGGACTAAACCATATGGCACGGAGTTGTACTTTCGAATATTGATGCATTCCCGTCCGATATTGGATGGTACCAGTACCTACCTAGGTAGTAGGTGCCTAGTACCTACAGTAATTCTCTGGGGTTGAACACAGAGTCCCTACTAGTAGAGGTAACCTTGAGGATGGATGCTTCGTTGCTCTAGAGCGACTATCTCCAGCTCAAGAGGCGGGCTGGGCGATCTGGGCCTCTGTCTTGCTGTGTTCAAGGTTATGGCGGTACGGTAACTGGACCCCTGGCTGGTTCATTGCAGTAGTGTTAGTAAGGTGTATTCGTACATACTCCGTAGTGTTCTCATTCCCCGCAATCTTCCACGCCTCCAGGCTGCCTGTTTGCTGCAGGTCATTGTTGAGTTGCAGATCGGATCATCCTCCTCATACCACGCTTCGAGCTGCTGGCCAGCTCCTCTCTTCTGTCACTTGACGGTTTTCGGCCGTCGACTACTGCCTGTGGCCTGGACCCTGTCCCCCGCAATTAGAGAATACGCAGTATACGTACGGTACCCTGCATGCCAACCACTACTCCGTACTGTGTAACATACCTACCTACGTAAGTAGAAGTCTCCGTGGTCGACACTACCCTCCAGCCAATCCAGCAAGTCCTCGTAAAGAGGCTCAGGGTAGGCGTTAACATTCATGGCGGGTTACACGGGGGTCTTTTCTCATCAACTAGATAACTTCTATCTGCGGATATAAGGAGCATATAATATTGAAAATCATCTATCTACCGAAGAGAGGCAGTAGAGTACATATACACATCAATTGCTTAGAGGGATACTGATCCCAGTAGAACGTAGAACCGGAGATTTCCTTATTACCTGGTATCGACGTGGTTGTCGAGCCCTTTCCCCCCTCCTTTAGGACCACCTCCCTGCCACGACTGTTCATCCAGCTCTGCTGAAAGTTATGCCATCCATACTCTGCTGTGCCACAACCACGACACACCGGCCTATTCGGCCCCTCTCTGCGCTGTCCTCTCCTCTTTCCATCGACTCGTATTATGACTTTCTGACTGGCTTTCCTGCCGTGTCTGTTTTGACTTTTTGCGCCTTTCCGGGCACCCTCTGGGCCTGACTTTGCCCGCGGTCAAGGTCCTCCCCTTTACCTGCGGTCACAATTGATAGCATCCCCAGACTGTCTCGTATCTGTCTGTCTGCCCGTACGCCCCAGCCGTCCACACTCAGAGTTGGGGCGAGCCAAATACGAACCGGTTGCCACCCTTGGGTGCCCGATCCACCATCGCCACCACCACCACCACTACGCGCCCACCCCCCGCCACGCCCGGACCACCCCTGCCACTATTACTGCCAATGTCAATCTCGATTTCCCTGCTCACCTAGGGTTAGCCTCCTAAGCCCTTCGACTCCCGTGCCGGGTTCTATGTGGAGGGGAGCAATACGATAGACGGATAGACCTCCAGGGCAGTCCGCCCACCGGGTCGCGTGAGAGCTAAGAGAGAATCAGCAGTAAAACTCTGTCCACAAGAATCCGGGGAAAACGGCCCTCTCGCAGTGTCCTAGACCTGGAGCTGGAAGCTGGAGACCCAGTACGACTCTTAGAACATAATATTCTCCTTCCATTAAACTGCTACTGCTACGTAGTCTTGTTCATCATCCATCGTCCATCCTCGGCTCCCTCCGCCTCTAGATTCTGCCGCCCTCTTCCATCTCCCACTCACTGCACTCCACCTTCTTTTGCCAACCTCTCAGCCCAGGTCAGGCCAGGCACACCACTCCCCCCTCCATTGTTCACCATTCCGGGTCCAGGGTTTTGCCATTTGCCTCTCGCGGCTCCGGGCACTTCGCTTTCATTATCTCTGCCACCGACACTCAGGTATTGTGTTTTGGTCCTCGAATCAATCGACGCATCCGTTGTTTCTGATCTATCTGACCAGCATTCGTCCCCTACCGCCCTCGCCCTCGCCCTCGGCTGACAAGACAGCGAGCACTTACGACTTACCGCCCGGTGGCCACTCCTTGTCTCGCTGCGGGGGAGATCAAAAGTGTTCCTCTTGTCGGTTGCGTCCATCATAGTCGCCATCGTCGTCGATTCCTGTGATTTGCCTCATAGACTTCTCGGAAGCCGTCCGCGGGCGTGGGTTGCCAGTGTGAAGCTCTCCGTGGACTCTGCTACTTTCACCTGGCTCAGGACATGTTAGAGCAAGCAACCTTGGAAGCCTCGTTCTGAAGGTAAGCGCAGCCATTCTAGCCTGCGACGTGGCTCTCTTTTTGCTTGGTCCTTAATCCTGGGGTCGTTGCGCCCGGTTGGAGGGGTTACTGCGGCCGACTGCGGGCGAGTCGCTGGCAGAGGAGTCAGCACCACCGACGCGCCTCTCCACCCACCTCTTGTCTTCGGCGTGCCCCAAATCAGACCTCAAGCTCTACGTCCTTATTCATCCATCCTCATTCCTGCCTCTTCTGGTGTGACCTTGTGCTAATTGCTCCACCGCAGAGACTGTACAAGCATCTGCGCTGACATCGCCGTACCCAGCGATGAGTAACCCCTCGAGCAAGCAGGGCGGCCGGGCCTCTCGCGGACCTATGCCGGCCTTTGGCACTTTCGGCGCACACCAAGCTCCAGCCTCGATCCTGCTCGAGAAGTCGAATCCTGGCCTACGCAGGTCGACACCCGATTCAGAGGCTCTGGCCTCATCCGACGATGAAGTTGAACACCCCAAGGGGATGGCCAGTGGAAATGCTAAAGCTAATCGAAATGCCCGGAGGACGTCCTGGCTGAACGATGTCACCTCGTCCAACATCAACCGAAAGCCTTCCATCACCGGTCCGTACAGTCCATCCACCTCACATCCAGGAACTCCGGGATCCGAGCAAGCTCCCTGGACTAATGTTAATCCTTCCGGTGCCGCGGGATGGTCGAGCCAACAAACTTCCTATCCATGGACGAACATCTGGGGTCAAGATGGCCGCAAAGAACCGCCTGCCAGGCTTCAGGAAGTCTTGCCCACGAACGGCGATGGCGGCATCCCCTTCTCGATTCCGTTACAACCCACCCCCAAAACATACCGCTCTCAGTCATACTCGGTCGGTCAGCTTGATACCACCTCTGCACCCACTGCGCCAAACCCTGTGTCAACATCGGTCGAGGCGACTCGAAACCGACTGGGCGGACAGTACCCGTCCTTGCAGCGACGGACTTCGAGGACCAGTGGGCTTGGCACCATCGAGCCCGGAGGGCTCGGGCGCTTACGAGAGATAGAGGATGATGAAGATGATTTGGAAGGCAATCAGATGTCAGAAGTCATCGCTACGGAGCAGGCGCGCACGATTGAAAGGTTGGAGAAAGAAAACGCGCAGCTCCGTCAAGCCGCCCAGACGCGTGGTAGGGCCCTCTCAGGTGCGTCCGCCGCTCCTCCACCCGCCCCCGGGTTTCGAAACAGTCGCCTTCGCAGCGCCGTTCCTGAAGAGGCCGAAACTGCCATCGACGACAGGGAAGACTTTGCGATTTTGGGAGGCCTCGGCGATCGGGAGAACAGTACTCGTCGTTTGAGTGAGCAGACACTTGGTTATCCCGAAAGGCAGCCTCTCTCGGCCATCGAAAACCGCAGTCTGGAGAGTGTCAGGAAAGCCCAGTGGCAGACATCCCTAGGATTTGGACCCATCCCGGAAGCCCCGCAAAGCCGGCGACACTCTTTTGCTGATGTGCCAACCCGACACGGTTCATTCAGCTCCAACGGTAAGGACATCGACCGAATCCCCTGGCCGGCTCTAGGAACTGATTTGCTAGAACGTGAGGATCAAATGACGGCATATGAGAGTGGTTCCCAAACTTTGTCCCAAGGAGATGATCGTGAGTTGGCCCTAGCCCTGTTGCAACCCAATGAAATCCAGATGAATATCATATACTTACGAAACCGCCGTGCTGCAGCAGCCTACTTCAATACCACAGAATCGACCCGGCGTGCCGCGGACGCCCGAGTCCACCAGTCACACCGTGACCCTCAAAATTACGGACCTCTGGGAATCGGGGCTTTCCTCGAACCTGTCAGCCAACCCTTGTACATCGTCAACTTCAAGTGTTGTCGATCGGACGTCTTCTACATTCAAGAAGGAACCGGGCTCCATGTCAATGTCGGCGACCTCGTCATTGTTGAGGCGGATCGAGGCACTGACCTCGGAACGGTCCAACACACCAATGTCTCGTGGGAAGATGCCCGCCGGTACAAAGAGTACTACGCCGAGGAACATTACAAGTGGTTGATGATGTTCTCGATGCAGAGTCGCAACGGAGGACCCAACGTCGTCAACCCAAACGGAATGTCCGGACGACCGGGGAGTGCTGTCGGTGGCATGGGACCTCAAGGTCATCACGGGCCGCATGACGCTCCTCACTCGGACCTGAAACCAAAGATGATCAAGAGATTGGCTCAGAACCACGAGATCCAGTCGCTGAAGGACAAAGAAGGTAACGAGGCCAAAGCTAAGCGTGTCTGTCAACAGAAGGTCATCGAGCATCGGCTGAACATGGAGATCCTTGACGCCGAGTTTCAAATGTAAGTGAATCGACACAGGTGCTCGTGGACGCCACAACTAACCCCTGGCAGGGACAGCAAAAAGCTCACGTTCTACTACTTTGCCGACAACTACATCAACTTCAACCATCTGGTTACCGACCTTTTCAAGATTTACAAAACTCGAATCTGGATGTCGGCCATCAATCCGGCTTCCTTCCAAACTCCGACTGCTTCCCTCGGTATTACCCCTGTCTACAGTGCTGCTCCTGGAGACGAACGTCAGCGGAGAAGGCCCCAGCCTGTACAACAGCAAGCCCAACAACCCCTCGGCCTTGGGTCCCAACCCGTGACCACCCCCTTCGGGGATTCTTTCGACGCGGATCGGACGTTTAAGAATCAGGCCCAGGGGATGCGCAACTCCTACTACAATCAATTCCAGGACGTTGGGGCCGCTGGGACCGGCCCTCAACAGCTTCAACCTGGCGTGTCACCCTTTTCGCCCAACATGCCAGGTCCCATGGACCCCTTCATGTCTTTCTACAGCCCATCCTATCCGAGCCTCAATCCGGGTGCCCCCAATTTTGCGAGTAACCGTCCTGAATTCCGAGGCCGGGGCCACAATCAGCCGGGTGATCTGAACTGGATGGGACGGTTTCAGGGGTTGTCGCTCGGTTCTTGAATGGGGTTCCTCACCCATCGGCCAAGGTCAGAGGGTTTTCCAAGGCGGCTTTTTATTCGTCGACGATTGCATAATGGACAGACACACAAAATGTAGAGCTGGGTTCAGCGTGGATTCCATTCACACCACGCAGAGACTTTTACTAGATTGTGCCAAAAAGAGGGGGCAAAGAGAAATGAAAGATTTCAGTACCAAACTTGGCTGATGATGTGGATGACCTACTGGCGGACACTCCTTTTTTGACAAGTGGGATTAAGAATTGCAAATGCAGAGGTGTTGGCGGAATTGGAAAAGATCTCGAATCAGATTGTTTATGCAAGAGGAGCGTAATGGAGGATGCAACTGATTGTGGACGGCGTAGAGTTTGAGATGCTCCCAGAGAAACATGCAGAAGTACCTTTGCGGGCTTGACAGTCCTTGTAACATGACGATACTGGAGATATTAAATCCAATGCAAGCTGATGGGTTTCTCGTGACATAGCCACCGAGAGCTCAGAGCCGTTGGCAGGCTTGAGGGTTTCCTTGAGGGTTTCCACGATCTCTTGCACTTCTCCGTTACCTGCAACCGTCCTCAACAACCTCAACCAGCCCAACTACAACCAGCGTCAAGAACTTTTCGCCCAGTCCGTTCGGCTTTGGTCCTCGGGACTGCAGGTACACGCCCAGTTTGGCCCGCAATGCCAGGCAGTACATCGCACCCAAGTATTCCCACCCTCGGCGCCTGTACTCTGTACCCTGCACACTGACCCTACACAGGCAAGCCAATCCCAACCGCGAGCAAATGCGGGTCCAGACTGTTGAGAAAAAGAGTTGATTTCATTCGAGAGCCAGTTGCGCCCTCTGATGAGTCTTCACCAGCCCAGGCCAGCCGAGGGGGTGAAAGTGATGAGGAAGGTCTAATGTGAGCATCTGCCCTAGATGCTACAACTCACCGTCTCATCAGTATGTAGAATCGACCCCGAGCGCATGGGGAAGATTTGCAACAAGTTGAAGGAACCGGATCCGTGGCCAGACCAGTTTGCAGAATCCATGAAAGGCAGACAGGAAAATATTACGAAGAAATTGAAGGAGTTCAGACTCAAGAGGTAAGCTCCGCAGTACCAGCCAGTCCATCACTGCTGACCAGGGTAGCACCTCGGACGAGCAAACGTTTAAGGCAGCCTTCTCTCCTCTCATGAAGACAGCATTAGCAGGCCTTGCAGATGATTCCGCGACCTCTCCTTCGTCCTCCGCAGTCCCCATTCACGTCCCCTTTCTGGGACCCGAAGGACAGCCGTATTGCGACGGCCTTGTCAATCTTATGCGACAATCGGATACTCTGACATTCGCCTACGATCAGCTTTCAGGACGAGGGCCACAGACGTCCCGTCTGCAGGACATCAGGACATCTTTCGAAAAGGACAAGGAGGTGGCAGTGGCCACACTCGAAGCTGGAAAACAGGTAGCAAAGATTGAGATCGAGAGACTTCTCGCGGACAAGTTTCAGGAGGTTCGAACACCGCATGACCTTACGGCAGACGACATGAACAAGGGCCGACTGCTCCTATCAAGGGGCGCAGTCAATAACACGTCCCTCAAACAGCCGTTGGGATGGGGTAATGTGGCTCGAGACACGGAGAGGGCAATGGAGAACCTCTGCTGTGCAGGTCAAGGGAATGGCAGAAACCATTAGGCCATGTCTACCAGTAGTGGATGTACGGAGGACACACGAGATGTGAGGACTACTAATTAGAGTAATTATGTTGATAGGAAGATCTGCTTAAGCGAAAGGTCCGGAGCCAGTAATATGTGATTGGCCGACAGCCACTGTCATGGCAGTGCACCAAAAGTTCATGCCAAGATTCGTCGGCCGCCAAGCCTGCGCACACTTCGACCAGGGAAAATTGTGTGCGGGATGGTCTCAATCAACCCGACCGACACCGACTTCAAAGTTCTCCGGACGCCAACATCAGTTCTTCGTGAGGTGTAACAGTCAAGGTAGTTTACTCCAGTCCGTCTACGATACCGCCGGCTAATTGATCCCAGATGGGTGCCCTCAAATACGTGGAAGAACTTCAGAAGAAGAAGCAATCCGATGTCCTTCGATTCCTGCTCCGAGTCCGCTGCTGGGAGGTGAGCTTCCCTCAAACAAGACAAAGCTGATGGAAAGGAGGAGGACACAAACATGCTCCTCCTTTCATCATCTGTGGCACATGTGGCTGTGTCTTGCTATACACTCGTTGAACTTTGCTGAGAGTGCATCAATATAGCTGCGACAATTGAATGTCATCCACCGCGCTTCTCGCCCTTCTCGACCAGACAAGGCCCGCCGCCTGGGTTACAAGGCCAAGCAGGGCTATGTGATCTACCGCGTCCGTGTCCGACGTGGTGGTCGTAAGCGACCAGTGCCAAAGGGTGCTACTTACGGTGAGCAAATTTGAGCCAGACGGTCTTGCGATGCTAGGAAACTCATACGTTGGTAGGCAAACCCACCAACCAGGGTGTCAACCAGCTCAAATACCAACGATCTCTTCGCGCCACTGCCGAAGAACGAGTCGGTCGCCGCGCCGCCAACCTGCGAGTTCTCAACTCATACTGGATCAACCAAGACTCGACCTACAAGTACTACGAAGTCATCCTGGTCGACCCTCAACACAAGGCCATCCGTCGTGATCCTCGTATCAGCTGGATCGTCAACCCTGTTCACAAGGTAAGCGATGGAAATGCTGCGAGCAACCATGTCCAAACCCGACCCCGAAAATTTCGGCGGCTAACACATGTCACGTCTAGCACCGCGAAGCCCGTGGCCTCACCGCTACAGGCAAGAAGTCTCGTGGCTTGGGCAAGGGCCACGGGTTCAACAAGACCACCGCTGGCAGGAGAAAGACCTGGAAGAGACACAACACCTTGTCGCTCTGGAGATATCGCTGAACCTGACCTTACGGAGACTGCCGTACTGTCATATTTGCCGATGGAACACGCAAGCGGTTATGATTGGCGAGAGTGGATTGAGCCAGCAATGTCTATTATTGCCAGGCTGGAACGAATATCAAAGACATGGCAAGACAGGGTGGGAGGATTGGCGAGCGGTTTCTCGCGTGCAATTCAGATACTCTGATCGGTCAAGATATCGGATGATACCAAACATCAAAATGCAAGCATGCAAAGTTTCTCCTGCATCAAAAGCAGGAATTTCAAGCAAACTCTCCGTATTCCGAGTGACTTCCGTCGCATCTGCCGGTGACAACGGTCTCTTGTAAGCAGGTACTGTTCCAACCACGCTGTCCTGCGCTATACTACAGAATTGCCAGTTGCTTGACCGACTGTCACCCCCGATCGGGACGAGGGTGATGCCGCCCTGTATTTACCGGCTGAGTCGGAGCTAAAAGCGGCGCGGTCTCGTAACCTAAGCCTGTGCAGTCCCCGCGCTACGTCAAATACCTACATAATAAAATAATTTCAGATCGTCTCTCATCGATCCGCTCTTTGTCTTTGTACGGAGCACATCATCATCGAGTCAACCGGTCGCCAGGGGACGGAAGACTCTGCGCTGCCATCGACCATACTCTCTGCTCCCTTCGAGCAATCATTACTTGCACCTGGCAACTAAGCTGCCCACGACTCAAGGCGGTCTTGCATTCCAACACTGACCAAACCGTCTTCTCTGTGAAAAGCCCGGCTCAGTCTCAGTCTCAGCCTCAGTCTCGACCAAGGCTACCCTACCTCGCCTCCTGGTCTCTGATATGTTTACAAGCCTGTCCCCCATCAGCCGATAAACCTCCTTTCCCTTACAGATTTCCCTCGACAAAGCTGCCCTCGACGACCATCATGCCATCCACAACCCTCACAGCAGCCGCGACGGCAAACACAATGAAGTTAACCGGCGCATCGTCCTCGTCTTCGGCCGCCGCCGCCGAAGAGCTCGACATCTATGACGAAATCGAAATCGAGGATATGACCTACGACTCAACCCTGCAGATCTACCACTACCCGTGCCCATGTGGCGACCGGTTCGAGGTCGCGATCGCGGATCTCAGACAAGGCGAGGACATCGCGGTGTGTCCGAGTTGCAGTCTGATGATCAGGGTTATCTTCGAAGTGGAGGATCTGCCGGCCGAAGAGGACGGCGAGTCTAAGCAGGAGAAGGAAAAGGTGTGACAGGCCACTACGCCAAAGGGACGTCTCGGGAGTCACTTTAACAGAGAAAGGTCGTGCAGGAAGACTTCATCAGTCGGATGTACGGGTATCCTTGAACAATGCATGTCCACCAAACGGATCTGTTCATGAGAGCCGCACAGCCACGGATGTTTTCGATACACCAACACAAGGACCACACTCGACGGGGTCCTAGTGGGAGCGAAGATGCCCATGCTATGAAGGCTTTGGCCAGGGCATTGCAACTTTCTGTGATGCAATGGCATGGCTCAAGCTGCATCGAAGGAAGTCATAGCCTTGGTTCAACTAGGCCGTTACCGTAAAATTATTGGCGCGCGGAAAGTATGCAGAGCACGAATATTTGTGGCTATTACTCCTTTGTGAAGAGGGTTGAAATCACACCCTGTTGGTACCATCAGAGTCCTCAGACCATTGCGATATGGTGGACACATTGGCCATCATCATGTTTGGATGCCCACGCCAGGCGGCCACAGACGATGCTGCAGCTGGATGAGGATTAGGGGTTTACACTTGCACTCCATGGGCAGAGGTGTGAGTGGGTCAAGAAAAGAAGACGTTTTCAGCGATGTGCTTGTACTCCATTTCCCAGCCCTCGATGTCGCAGCGGTCGGCGCCCATCTTGCAAATTCGAATCCGGTCAATCTCGATGTCTCGGGCCCAGATGAACTGTTTGTCCGTCTCGGGCGTGGATTTTGAGCCAATTGAGGATATGGTTTGGTGGGAAGCCGATAAGCGGTGAGATCCTGGCTTTGATGAGATGTCAGTTGTTGCGGCGGAGTCAGATGGTTCTGCCGTCGAGATCGAGTTTGACTTCGAGCCTGAGTTGGACGAGGACGAGACAGGGGCTTGAGCGGTTTGTCGGCTGTGTTGCGATCTGACTGCCGGACCTTCATTGAAATACCTCAGGATATCCCGAGCATCGACCGTTCCGGCTTGCCTCCCTCTCCCTCGTCCCTGCCCCTCGAAACTCCTTGGCCGGTCTTTGACGTAGATCATATTCGCGACCGTCGCATGCAACACCAACGCCCTCGTCTCAGTGATCAGCCCTGCTTCCTGGAAGATGCGGCGGATTGCGTCCCCAAACGCCAAGAGACGAGATGTAGCGTCGTGAGGGTGGGCGTAGAAGACCCGGCTACTGCTTGGTTGTGGGAATGTGCCCAGACCAGACAGCGTTATGCGCAGAGGGGTAGGAGAGTGACGAGTGGGGGACGACGGTGGCGGTACTCGGGAATGCAGGCCAGATAGGTCGGACGCAGGTGGCCCTTTGGGACGAGCATCTGCTCGAGTGGGAGGAGGAGGAGTGATCTTTCGAGTCAGCGACTGTGGCGGAGAAGTCAAAGGTCCCTCCACAGTCATGGGCTTGCTTTCGCCTTGGCTAATTCTAGAGTCAGCCTCGACCTCGCCATGGCCGTGCTCGGGTCCGCCTATGCTCTGCGCTCCAATAGCTCCCTTCAATTCTCCCGCCTCGGCTGCACGAAGTAAGTCGACGTAATCAATCTGCTCGAGCAGCCGGATGGCGAGATCCATGTCTTCCCTTTCCGACAGATCCATCGTCCCGAGCGTTAGATGAAAGGTGCCCGGTGGTCGATGTGCGGCAGAAGGAAGTAGCCGGAGAGTTTCGTCGCGTATTCCTTGGTATGTTATTGGTGATGTGCTTGTGGTTGTGCTTGAGGGATGAGAACCGTGCAGGTCCGGGGCCGACGTCGACGTCGACGTGCCTTCCTGGCCCCGTGTTCCCAGGCTGGCATGCTCCAAAGGTGTGGTGACGGATCTGAAATAAGCCAGCGAGTCTGCCAGCTGCGGAACCGAGTCGTCGGTGGCCAGGGGAAAACACAAAAAGTGCGTGGGGCGGCCGCATTTGGCTCTGGCTTTGGTTTTGGTATTCGGCGGCATTCTGACACGTACGATCGAGGTCGAGCTGCCAAACGAGTGCCAATGCAAAACTTGTCTTGTGAGACGTCGAACCGTAGTGCCAGAATTGTGCGTCAGGGTCGGGGTCCAGGTTGCGTAGCGCGGCAAAGAGAGCATTTAGCTGGGGAGTGGTGATTCATTTAGCTCTAGCTGGCTATTACATCGACGAGCCTAAGCCATCAGGCGCGGCTTGAGATACTGTACTTGACACTGAGTGCTCAGGGATCCTGGGAAACGCTGCTCCCAGCTGGACCTGGACCTGGACCTGCTTGTGATCAGCAACGTGAACGGCTCGTAGGAGTCAGGCGTAGAGAGAGGTATCCGTACCGACAACGTTGTTATGTAGAGCGCTGCTAGAGCTTCTAGTAAGGTGTATTCAAATGGCAGCCTGATGGATTTCCGGCAAATGATAGTCATAGGTAGGTACATATATTCAGAGTGATTGATTGGATAAAATAAAGCTTGCCTAAACCTTCAAGACCAACTTCAAATATCCCGTCAGTTATTATATTCCTCCGTCTTCCATACGCCTTTCTCTCCTCTTGTGTACCGTCTGACCTTCTCTTGCTCAGTCAGGCCTTGAAGCGTCTCTCAGCCAAAGTCTTCAACGGACGAGGGAGTATGTCAAGCTTCGGCCGGTAATTCCCACTCCAAGGTTCTGTATGGTCTACGGCCCCCACAGATGGGCGGGATATGTATTATGATCCATCGCTGCGCTGCGTTGCACCTCATACAGGCTTACATCGGTATGAGCAAAATAGAGATACAGATACAGATGAAATTCTTATTTCCTGCCTTGCGAGTTGACAGAGAGGCGAGCTCTGCGCTCAGGAGCTCCCACAGAGTCCGCGATACCTGTAGTCTTTGCTGGAATCGGGTCACGCCAAAGCCCGAACAAGGAGACCACTCATTGTTGCCGCCATTACCTGTCCTTGTGATTCATACATTGCTCAGAGACTCAAGTTCTCAGCGACCAACACCTGGACTTTCATGCCCCATCCATCTCCATCCCCCTCCCCATCCCCGCCCCCAACCCAATTCTTCTTCTTTCCCACCTTGGCCACACGTTTCGCGTACTTTTGCATACGTCGTCTGCCAATGAGGGGGCCATCGTCTTCTCCTGGCGAGTCCGCGGCATCGCTCGACCCCCCTATGGAGCGAGGCACCGATATCGTGAGTTCAACCCCCTTTTTCCGTCCCTTTTTGCCGAGATTGTTGACGAACCGCGCCGTCAGCCACACCTGGGGCTGAGGACCGACCTTGCCGGTCGGGTAGAACTGGCCGATCAGCCACATCAGGGTTCCTGTGTAGTTGCCCCACCAGATCTCCTCGGGGCTGAGAAGATCGGACAATCGCGATTTTAAGATCTCTTCGCGCGGGGGAAGTTCGCCGTCATACCGATTCTCAAGCATCAGGGCGATACGAGCGCGAGAGGAGTGGGACAGGCCATGAGCGGAGGTCAAAACGCCAGTCGTGGTGGTGTAGAGGGCAGCTACCGACGCCGTTTCCTTGCTCAGAGAAGCGTGGTGGAATGACAAGTTCGCCAGTCCTTCTATGACGTGGTGTGTCAAAGATGCCGGGACGGATTGGCCGTGCGAGGGGGAAGGCAAGGCATTGAGAAGCAGGGTTTTGAAGTGTGCTGCTGAGTGCGGCGCGAACGGGGCTGACGCAACGGCGATAGGGTCCAACGCCCGAACTGATGGTGGCAAGTCGCGAAACAGAAGGCCCTCTCGTACGCCGCCCTGGCAGAACCGAGCGACGGAGATGCCGATGGGCAGAGTATTGGCGACGACATTGAGCAAGAACGCGACGGCGGGGACTTGATACCTGCGACGGTCGGAGACGCGGAAGATCTTCTCAGCCGTGCGGGCGACCTCTTTGAGCCTTTCCGTATCTGTGAGGTCATCCTTGTATACCTTGAATCCGTTGATGATGGAGATGGGATAGTGATGGCCATGGTTCTGGGACTGGTTCAGTAGCAGATACCCCCATCCCCGGAACCCTCCGCCGGACAGATAGAGATGACAGCCGCCTTCCTCCTCGGCCCGGTCTTTTAGTTCCTGGGGGATCTCCAAGTCGTCAAAGGCCTTGCGGAAGTTGTCCGCGATCTCCTGTCTGAACTCTTCTTTCGCCCGGTCCGGATCTTTGGCGTTTGCACACTCCTCCAGCCTTTTGGTGATCGCCGCTGCCCCGTAAGGGAACGAGATTGCCACCTTAGGGCTAGTCCGCACCATGCCATTAGTCGAGATGATCCAGGTGATTTGGGCACTGCCTCCGCCGAGGTCCATGACCAGTCCGCGGACCTCAGAAAAGCTGCTGACAATGCCCATGGCGCCAACATGGCCTTCTTCCTCCTTGGACAGCATCTTAACCACCAGACCCGTCTTGGCCCGAATATGATCCCTGAACTCCTTCGAGTTGATCATTGTTCGCGTGGCCTCCGTGGCAACGACTCGAATCCGGTCTTTCTGGACCCCGAACTCCTTACAGACGTGGGTAAAGTGCCGGAACTCCTCGGTGACGTCCCGGATGACATGACGGGGGATCGGGATCTTTTCACCCGTCTCTGGGTCGTATTGGGCCTCGTACAGTGATATACCTACTCGGTCAAAGTATAACGTTGGCAGGATACGCGTGGTCGGAGGCGAGAGATCGGATATAGAGAAGCGGATTCCATTGCTTCGGCAACCAAGGCCCGTTAGACTGATCCGGACGTGGGAAGGCCATAAAGAGACTCAAGAGCGCCGATGCACGCACCTTCCCATATCCACGACGCCGATAAGGTAACCATGTTTAGCAGGACGTTGATGCTTCATGGTGCGAAGCTCGAAGGAGACGGCGCAATCTCTGAGTATGTACGGAGTAAGTGGCTCGCGTCTCCCCACTTGATGAGCTCCAGCGGGATACCGGCCCTGTAGCACTCGGCCCAACGTGGAGGACAGAGGAGATCGGGACAGTGAACAATACTAAAGATATAAACTCAGGAGCAAGTGCCACTACTGAGGTATTGTACTTGGTGAGCACTTGTGTCCATTTTTTACTGTCTACTATCTAGGCACTATTCTGTGATCTGTGCTCTGTGCTCTGTACGGCAGTCGCCAGCCTCGTCACCCTCGTCGCCCCCGCCGTTACCCAAACGTCATCCAGCGGACTTGGCATGGGTCGTCATCAACTCCTCCGTACTCCGTACTACGACTGCAGTGGCACCTGAGTCCTCGATTCGTGAGTGTGTGAGTTTCCAGTTTCCAGTATCCAGTATCCAGTGCCCCATAATATCTCAAGTCTACATCTACAGTACAGAGTACACTGGCGAAGGTGCGAGAAATAGAGCTAGAGCTAGAGCACCACCACAGGACGCCTGCAACAACGCTCAATGGCAGGGTTAGGGTTGGGGTGTATCCTGGAAACCTGGTGGTGAGAAGGAATGCGCATTCGCATCATCATATCCTCTCATTAGAAAAACCATGTGCTATCTATTGGGGGTATCTCTCCGCAAAGCTGATGAAGCTTCACAAGCTCGTCCGTTGAAGGACGTAAGATTCATCTCTCAATCTCATGCTCCGATCTGTCCCATCGAAGAGATTCGAAAAGACTGATGAACTTTTCTTTTCGTGTCTTAACTCCCATGAAACCCCATGTTTTCCTCATCCATGTCGTTGAGCGTGGTCGTTCTTTTCTAACTAGAGAAAAGCATGTCGAGCAACAAATCCCCGAGTTCTATGCGTTGAGCATTAGAAGAGATTCCCCCGAGCAGACAAAATCCAGGACGCCGAGCCCATATGCAGCTTGAAAAGTAAGCGAAGGTTGCTGCTGGAGCACAACAACCTAGTATCTGTAGATGTCGGCCTTGAAAGGACCTTGGATGTCCAGACCCAGGTACTCTGCCTGGACAGGGGTCAACTTGGTCAACTTGGCATTGACATGGTCCAAGTGCAGGAGTGCAACCTGCTCGTCCAAGATCTTGGGCAGAACATAGACTCCGATCTGTTTCTTGCCGCTCTGGCCGAATTCAATGTATTTCTTGCCGAACGCCTCATCTTCGGCTTTGTACAACATGATCTGAGCCAGGACCTGGTTGGAGAAGGAGCAGGACATGACAAACGAGGAGTGGCCGGTGGCACAGCCTAGGTTGACTAGACGGCCTTCGGCAAGGAGGATGATGTTGCGGCCACTGGCCATCGTGTAACGGTCGACTTGGGGCTTGATATTCTGGACGCTCTTTGCGTTCTTCTTCAGCCAGGCCACGTCAATTTCAATGTCAAAGTGACCGATGTTGCAGACGATGGCGTCGTTGCGCATCGCCTCGAAATGGCGGCCGACAATAATGTCTCGGCAACCAGTGGTGGTGACGAAGATCTGACCCAGAGGGGCGGCTTCGTCCAGAGTGACCACTTGGAATCCAGACACAGCGGCCTGGAGGGCGTTGATGGGGTCAATTTCGGTGACGAGAACGCGAGCACCCATGCTGTGAAGCGCCTGAGCACACCCCTTGCCAACGTCGCCGTAGCCAGCCACGACGGCAATCTTGCCAGCAATCATGACGTCGGTAGCGCGCTTGATACCATCCACCAAGGACTCTCTGCAACCGTACAGGTTGTCAAACTTTGACTTTGTGACGCTGTCATTGACATTGACGGCAGGGATCAACAGCTTGGTGTCTTTCAACATGCGGTACAGGTGGTGGACACCGGTTGTGGTCTCTTCGGACACGCCGTAGCAGTCCTTGAGCATCTCGGGGTATTTGTTGTGGACCAGGGCAGTCAAGTCACCGCCGTCATCCAGGATGAGGTTGAGACTCTTGCCAGACGGGAAAGAACGCAGTTGTTGCTCTAGGCACCATTCGTACTCTTCTTCAGTCTCGCCCTTCCACGCAAAGACCGGCGTGCCCCCGGCGGCAATGGCGGCGGCGGCGTGATCTTGGGTGGAGAAGATGTTGCAGCTGGACCAGGTGACTTCGGCGCCCAATGCTTTGAGGGTTTCGATGAGGACGGCGGTTTGGATGGTCATGTGCAGGCAGCCAGCAATTCGGGCACCGGCGAGAGGCTGGTCGGCGGCGTACTTCTGTCGGATGGCCATCAGACCGGGCATTTCGATCTCGGCGAGGTCGATCTCGCGGCGGCCAAAGGCAGCCAGCGAGATGTCGGCGACCTTGAACTTCTGGGCGGGAGCACTCATGATTGCGGTCGTGGTGGAATGGACGGAGAAGGTAAGCGAGGAGGTGATTGTGGTTACTGGTCAAGGATAGAGATTGAGGATTGGGGATGAGAGGACGAGGACGAGAGGATTGGAAAGTGAAGAATGGTGGCCAGTTCATTTTTTTCCCTCCTAAAAAATAATATCCCGCCGGATTCACAGTCCAGCCTCCCAACCCACCAATAGCCATCCAGCCACAGCTGCGTGTCGTGGGGTACGCGCAGAAAAGCGCAGCACGTTACGCATCTATCAACTGCCAGAGGAAGCGATGAGAGATTGGAGAAAGTGATAGGTTCGACGACCTTCGTGCAGTCCATGCCACTCACAGTCCATCATCATTGCTGACGCTTGGTGCGACTGATTAGTTCAAGGACAACACAACCGTTGGCCTCCCGACATCCGAGCTCCTTCTTTCCATCGCCCTGTCTCGCGCAGTCGTAGTCGAGAGAACGACGAGTGTCGACCTTGCACGGTTGTCGGTCTTTGAGTCTTGACGCCTAAGCAAGCCTTCTGGCTGCGGGCTGCGGGCTGCGCGATATTTTGCCCTGATGCGGTAAAGTCGGGGTACAGAGCAACTGTCCTGAGCCTGCTCGTGCCTCGTCTCGCAGCCCGATCGTCCGTTTCTCCACGTCCACCACTCAGCTGACTCCCTATCTGTCCTGAGATGGGCCATACGAGCACATATAGTGGATGAACGCAAACGTATCGAAAAAGAAGAATGGCCATGGCGATATACACACGTTGCCGGCCAAGAGATGATGGCCAGTGGCGCCAGGACACGCTTTAGCAGTGAAGAACGAAATCACTACATGAACAGACCCCGGCTTTCCGGTGACCGAGAGATGTTTGTCTCTGCTCTATTCTTTTTGCGTGCATGATTTCTTTCATGTTGGCCTGGCTTGTCCTCTCTCTACATCCTCATCTCCGCTTTGCAGGTCGGATGGTTGCCCTTTCCTATGCTCCAAGCTCAAAATTGCGTGATTAGATACCCCTTTTACACAATTCTGCCTGAGAAACAACAAGCTCTTGCAGACAAAAACCCAGTCGTTCTTTGGTATCTCTGCGTCAGACTACTCAAGGCAAACGGAATTATCACTGTCTTTCTATCCTCTATCTTGTCCTGCATCTTTCCCTCGCCTAAGATTCTTCACCTAACCCGGTCGTGACCTGGGCCTGGATCCCATTAACCGGAACAAATGACAACGATTCTACCTCCTGCGGGATTGAAGGTGAAGGAGGACTTTGGTGTCAGCCCGCTAGTCGCCGAGAATGTGACGGACTTCAAAGAGTCGCCGGAAGAAGTGCTTCCAATCGAACTTCGCTCTCACTACCTCAATGGTGGCTTCAACCGAGGGACAAACCGCTGGCTCACGGTTTCAGCATATCTGGAGCCGGAGCATCAGCTAGATATCGAGAGTGTCGACACACCCAACCGACTGCTGGCTCTGGCCTTGACCCAACTTCAGCCAGCGACTCCCGAATATGCAAAAGTCAGCTATAATGAGTCCTTGAACTGGCCGAAGATCATGTCGACTTTGAAAACCCTGGCCGCCACTGAGGGGTACAGATGGACACGGCAAAGTTTCTACGTTGTGGAGTTCAGGTCCAGGTTAAAGCAGGACATTGACGTGGACCTCCTGTTCAAGCTCGACAAGGAGTCTCATATCGAGGCTACACAAAGTGGTGGCTTACTAAAGTATTGGTTTGGTGTGCCTGACGCAGAAAGGAGGAATCTTGCAACCTGTGAGTCACTACATCCACCAGCATCAGCCTTCGTTTGATTTGTTTCTGATTGTCCAAAGGCCTCTGGCGAAGTAAGCAGGATGCAATCAACGGCGGTCTTGGACCATGGCACAAGCAAGCTAGGGCAGTGATTGCACAAATGTACGAGCAAATCGACGTTAAAGGCCTCCTCCTCACCGTTGAAGACGACGTCGAAGGCTGGAGCTTCGCCCCTTATCAGTAGAACCGGTCCAGTTGAGAACGTGAATGGCGGCTTCGGGCTGACATGGAGGAAATACTTTGTTTGCCGAGCCGGTTGAGGTTTTGAGAGAGAATTGCGGCATAGACTTCCGAAAAAGTTATCCATTAGCCATCTGCACATTGATCCCTGGCTTAGAAGTAAGCAACACAATCAAAGTCAGCGGTGACCACATGGAATACATCCTCTGAAGGCGTGGAGGATCGAAATATCAGATATCCCAAAAGTCTCTATTGACCGGCGCTATGCCAATTCAGGACTAGCTGTGAAATCGGGAAGCATCTAACCTTCAATGACCGTTTCTTGGAGCTCAAACAGAGCCCCGAGTAGAAACCTGAATCTCCCCTCTCGAGCTCCCGCTTGCGATCAAATTCCCTTCTTCTTTCTTGCCTCTGTCATCTCAATTGGTGCCTTTCAAGATGATGTCCTCCAGGCTCATGCGGCCTGCCTTCGCTGCTGCCCGCCGAACGGCAGCTCCCCAAACTGCTATCCGAACCTACGCCGCAGCTGCAACTGTCGACCCGAAACCTCCTGTGCCGCTATTCGGACTTGATGGAACTTATGCTAATGCTCTGGTATGCTGAAAATAAGCCATTCTGCCCTGGACAACCGCTCCGGCTAGACCCCGCTCTCAAAACATGCATTGGAGCCCTGCAACTCCAGACCCTCCTTGCGCGGGAAGCGCAACGTTTGTTAGAAAAGCACACAGGCTGACTGCTATCATCATTGTCTCTCATAGTACACCGCTGCCGCAAAGACCAACAACCTGGAGCCGACCTCGAAAGCCATCACCAGCCTGACCCAGATCCTGAAGAGCGACCCCAAGCTGCAGGTGATTCTGACCGCCCCGACCCTTTCGGATTCGGACAAGTCCCAGATCGTGGCTGAGCTGGAAAAACACACCGGTGGTGCCGACAAGAGTGGTACGGTCAAGAATTTTTTGTCCACTCTCGCGGAGCATAATCGGCTGGGCCTGCTTGAGGGGGCCTGCGAGAAGTTCGGCACATTGATCGGTGCGTCGAGGGGTGAGCTGGAGGTTGTGGTCACGAGTGCTCAGGTATGCCAACCCTCAGATCCTCTAGCTGGCTACTTTCCATCTCCGTCGAGAACCACGTGGAAACGAAAAATTCATCGAGACAGGAACAAGTTGTATTGACAGAGGGCGGATTCGCTGACGGAAATAGAAACTTGACGAAAAACTGCTCAAACGCCTCGAAACAGCCATCTCCAAGTCCGAATACAGCCAGGGCAAGAAGCTCAAGTTGACGAGCAAAGTGAGCCCGGACATCCTCGGCGGTCTGGTCGTCGAGTTTGGCGAGCGCACAATCGACCTCAGTGTTTCCAGCAAGATTGCCCGGTTGAACAAGCTGCTCACCGACACCGTGTAGATCGTCCCTCACAACCCGGGCTCTCGAAAGACAACCTAGTCGAGTTTATGCTTGTGTCTGTGGACCTCGATTTGGGCTCGGCTCGCGAGTTCGAAACAAGGGAGAGTGGAGAGGGGCTGGCACGTAAGGAAGTATTGCGCTGGGATGAGATGATATGCTTGGTCGACGGTGGCAGGGCAGCGGGCCAGTGCAGTGGTCGTGAGTCGACTTGAGTTGGAACGACACAGTCCGTCTACTCAAGGAGATGAATGGGCGCGGGAGCAAAAGAAGACAATGTATATACCACGTTTTCCCCCGAGTTCGGGCCAATTCGCAGAATGTTCCCAAGTTCAATCTTGCCCGATCTCTACCGTGAGTCCAAAGCTCGCATGTCTCTCTGCCCGAAAGGCTTCGATTCTGTATTTTTCGCCCCGTGGAGCCGCCCTGGACGAGTGTGACAAAAAAGTCTCTCTCACAGGGTGGCTAGAAAGGAGGCCAGGCCAGTTCGGTGTGCACCATAGTTCTATTTTCTATCAATAAACACCATTCTATGCTTTGCTTTCTCTTTGAGGTAATAATGGTTTCCCTCGTCCATTCTTTTACTTGCCGGCAGGGTTCCTAGTAACGAATCCTGACAAGTCCATCTTCTTCAGGGTTAGGTGTACTTCCACTCCTTTCTAGACCCGATCCCGTCTAATGCATAACCTTTCACAGCCTTTCGGTTTCAACCAGGACATGCGGTCGAAAATCAGCCTGGCATCCAAGTTCCCCGTGAAACGAGAGACCATCCTCATCCTCTACCCTAACCACATTCAATCCAACTGGGCTTCAAACTCATCTTCATAGACGGCAGTACTCTCGTCGGTCTTGATTCGACTGAGTTGTTCGCTGACATACTTGTCGTAGTGGCTGTCGGCAATGCTCTTTCTGCGTTCCCGTTCCAGGACGTCTGCTTGACCGAAAGCGTCCGAATCGGAGGTTTGCGAGGGAGCGCGCTCCCTGAAAAAATACGACTTGCCCCCATTGTCGCCAGCGTCGCTGTCAGCCGCGGTAGATTTCTGGTCACCATTGAAGCTTGAGACGAAACTGCTGCGGTTGCCGATCGAGCGGGATGTCGAGGAACGCCGAATGTGCGGGGTCCTGTGCCCATCAGGACCGGGAGTTGCAACATGGGTGTTCTTCCTCGTGAGACCGCGGGTGAGGATGTCGTCGAAGTAGTGCGCCGCCGCGGTAGAAGGGGTCCGAGGTGTCTGAGGGAGACGGCAATTGATGCCCGTATCATGGATCATCTTCGCCATCAGCCCCGTCCAGCCGCACTGATGCGACGCCCCGAGACCCCGACCGGTGTCGCCATCGAAGAACTCGAAGAACCACAAGTAATCTTTCCAATGGGGGTCGAAGTCCAAGGTGTCGTTTCCCGCATTGATGGCACGGCGGCCCTGATGATCACGAACCATGAGGTGTTGCAAGCGATGTTGGATTTCTTCTGCCGCATGACCCAAATGCATGTACTCGCCCGAGCCTGTGGGACATTCGACTTGCAGGCTGGTGCCGTAGAACATGTAGAATCGGAGCAGAGATTCGACCAAGAGAAAATTCACGGCAATCCAGATGGGACCTCTCCAATTTGAGTTCCCGCCAAACAGCCCAGAATCGGAATCTCCGGGAACATAGCTGACCTTGAATTCCTGACCATTGACATCCATGCTGTAGGGGTGTTCTTCGTGGTGTTTGGACAAGCTGCGAATGCCATGCTCGGACAGGAATTCGGTTTCGTCCAGCATTCTCTTCAGGATCTTCTCCAGTCGTTCCTTGCTGACCAAGGACAGGAGGAGGCGCTCGTCTTTTCCTCGCTTGCGCATCGACGCAATATTGCGTTCCGCAACGTCATGCCGGTTTTCAATGAACCAGTCCATTCTCCGCTTAAAGTTTGGGAACCTGTTGATGAGCTCGGGCTCCAAGGTGAGTACGGCATAGAGAGGGATCAGACCGACCAGAGACCGCACGGGCAACTGTTGAGACCAGGGCCCACCCCAGGAAATCGCGTCGTAATAGAAGCCGTCTTCATCGTTCCACAAGCTCTTCTCCGACCCCCCGGCGCGAAAGGTCATGGCATCTGATATCAAGATGAAATGCTCGAAGAACTTAGATGCAATGTCCTCGTATATTCGTCGGTGCTTGGCCAGTTCAAGGGAGATGTTGAGCATGCAGAGACAATAGAAGGCCATCCATCCAGTGCTGTCTGCTTGCTCGAGCACCCCGCCTGTGGGCAATGGCTCGGACCGATTGAACAGGCCGATGTTGTCCAGGCCTAGGAAACCGCCTTCAAAGACATTCTTGCCCTCGTGGTCCTTTCTGTTCACCCACCACGTGAAGTTGAGCAGTAGCTTCTGAAAGACCCTCTCGAGGAAGTCGAGGTCTTGTCGACCGTACATCTTCCGCTCGATCTTGAATGTTCTGAAAACGGACCAGGCGTGGACAGGTGGGTTGACGTCGCCAAAATTCCACTCGTACGCCGGCAGCTGCCCGTTGGGGTGCATGTACCACTCCCTGGTGAACAGATCGAGCTGCTTCTTTGCGAACTCGGGATCGATCATCGCGAGTGGGATGCAGTGAAACGCCGAGTCCCAGGCGGCGAAGAACGGGTATTCCCACGAGTCTGGCATCGACAGAATATCATCCAAGTGCATATGTTTCCAATGGATATTGCGCACGTTCTTGCGGTTGGGTGGCGGCGGAGGCATATTAGGGTCACCGTTCGCCCACTGATCCCAGACGAAGTAGTAATGTTGCTTACACCACAACATGCCAGCAAAGGCTTGTCTCTGAATATTCCTCAGGTCGTCGGTCATGGGGAGAGGGCTGATTCGATAATAGAACTCATCTGCTTCCTGGCGCCTCTGTTCCATAATATCGTCCAGCAGTTCCTCGTTCAGATAACCATCGTATCTGCGGGAGAGACGGAATCTGACCACGGCGCATTCTCCGGGGGGGACGCCGTCACCTTGACCAAAGTCATACCACGCGGCGCATTTAGTTCCTGAGCAGCGAGGATTGATGGCCCCCTTCTCTTCATCCACGATCCATCTGTGGAAGGCATCCTTGACGTAAGGCTGTTTATTCTTGACGCCATAGAGCTTTTCGTGGTTGGTGTCGTTTTCCGTGAACATGAGTTGCGGATGAACGTCGTCGGCATCTGGGCCACAGCCCGGTGAAGGAGACAGTTGGAAGAAACGGGTGCCCAGCTTGTGGTGTTTGGACTGAGCAGTCATGGGCCCGACCATGCGGATGTTGGGTTTCAGCTTGTCAGCTTGGTGACCCCAAGTCCAGGTATTTTTGAACCACAGATGCGGGATGATATGCAAGGGCGCCGCCTCCGGGCCTCGATTGTAGGCGGTCACCCGGAACAACAACTCCTCTGGGTCATCCGTGTCTTTGGCCGTCTCAATAAAGATGTCAAAATAACGATTGTCTTTGAAAGCATCAGAGTCGATGATGTTGAACTCGCGCTCTTCTTTGCCACGCCTGGCATTTTCCTGGATCAATTGTTCATAGGGGAATCGTCTTTGAGGGAGTTTGTAGAGATATTTCATGTAAGCTGCCGGCCCATTAGCAGAGGTTCCAGTGGTCCCAGCATGCAGACTCACAATGAGTAGGTGTATTGTCGAGGTGGAAGTGCGCCTCTTTGATGCTTTCGCCATGATTCCCTTGAGGATTGCTGAGGCCAAAGAGTCGCTCCTTGAGGAAATCGTCTTTCTCATTCCAGAAAGCAAATGCAACGTTCTGGAGGCCATGGCTGTCGGAGACACCAGCAATGCCGTCCTCGCCCCAGCGAAACGCTCTGGACCTCGCTTGGTCGTGGGAGAAATGGCTCCAAGCGTCACCGTTGTCTGAATAGTCCTCTCGGACCGTTGCCCACTGTCGTTCGGACACATAGGGGCCCCATTTCTTCCAGTACTTCTTGCGTTCCCGGTCTTCCTTCAAACGCTTCTCTTCCTCGCAAAGGTACTCGTGGTGGTCGACAACAACCATCTTCAAGGGGCTATAGATACTGCAGGACAGCGGGAAGAGGATATATCGGTCTGCAGGCTAAAACATGTTGGTGCAGAGGCAGCGAAGATGTGGCGGAGACGGACGCAGGAGAACGGCGAACAGCGAACAGGATTCCTTAGCCCTTCAAGACTGTAAAAGCAGGAGCAGCTGTAGCGAGAGTGTACGGAGTACGGAGTATACCTGCGAGGAAAGAGGCAATCAATCTGGCAAATTTGCGTCCGGGATCGTGCCTGAAAGTCAATTCAACTGCTGTGAGGAGCCAGGCTCGGGACAGAAGTTGGTCGCTCAGGACGCTTCGGTCCCTGGCTGCATACGATAGCTGCATTATTGCCTTTCCACATGTTCCACTTGTTCCAGCAGCACAGAAATCGCGTCAGTGGCGTCGAGCGAGATGGGGGCGAGTGGGTGAGGCGGGCGACTGGACGGAGTGCGCAGTGCCAGTGGCTGGCTTAGGGCCTCTAAGGCCTTAGGGACCTAATAAGCCTCCTAAGCCCTTAGCCGTGCCAGCAGGTTCCTGGCATAATCGCCCAAATCCCAGTCCCAATCCCATCCAAGCTCCTCAACAGATTTATCGCCATTCGCTGGCCCCCCCTGCGGCAGCTACGGTATTGGCGAATTGCATGGCCATGGCCATCTACAGAGTACTACTCCGTACTCCGTCCTCCGTACTCTATACGGATACCAACTCTGTACTCCATAGTACTGCATCGAACTTGGCCACGAGCAAGAGTCTCTCATCTTGTAGAATTCTTCCGCAGCTATTTCAAAAGCTACATGTAGCTAGCTAGGTACACATAGCTATAGCTGTCGGTGCACGCTCCACGTGACCGGCACATGTGAGCCTTGTGGGCACTACGACTTTTCCAATCTCCTAGGAGGCAAAGGAAAAGGAGATTGACGAACGAGAAAGGAGAAAAACAAAACGAGATCTGGCGGTCAGCGCCCACTCCTATGCTCCTCCCGTGTGGTTTATTTGAATAATGCCAAAATCTCCTTCATATGTTGCTCACGCACTTCTTGCTTGCTCAGTTGCTTGTGGTTTTGATTCATAGACACGTCCGCAAGCTGCTGTTTTCGCCTCTGGAGCTCCACGATCTTGCCTTCGATGCTGTCCTTGATCTGATATCGTTTCACAAGCACAGGTCTCTTCTGGCCAATTCGGTAGATCCGATCGACGGCTTGCGCTTCCGCCGCCGGGTTCCACATCGGTTCCATGATGAAGGCTCGTGATGCTGCCGTGAGATTCAACCCTTGACCAGCCGCTTTGATGGATGCGAGAAGGATCCTGATGCTGTTGTCCGAGGCAAGAGTATCCAAGGCCTGCCTCCGGTGGTGGAGAGACATGGTGCCGTCGATTCGGACAAAGGAATATCCGTGGTCGCCAAGTGCCTTGCCAATGAGGTCGAGATGGGAAGTGAACTCGGAAAACACCACGCATTTTAACGGTGGCTCTCCAGCAGCCTCCAATGGTTTGCTTTCTTCCGTCATGATGGCAATGTCCTGGAGGAGTGCCCTCGTCTTCGTGTGGGGACCGGTGTACACCTGGGCGAGTTTGCCCTCCTCCTCCCGTGCAATGTCGTCGTCTGGTGCAATACATACTTCCCGTGCGGTGGATCCGCTAAATCCGACGTACTGAGCAGAAATCCGTGCCGAACAGAACGGGCAGACGATCGGCTCCTTGTTCGACAGGCTGTCAAAGGCCGCCCTCTCCGGCTCGAAGCAATCGCCACACACCAGGTCGAAACATGGCAAGATGAAGCACCGCGTCCTCTGCTCGTCATCGTCAGCCTCGGGCATACTGTCGGACCCGATTCTCTTTTCACACTTTCGGCAATTGTCCAACTCGGCCTCGGCCATGAGGTTGAGCGATTCATATGCCGCGCGCCTTGATATGGTGGGAAGAGTGTCTTCTCTATCCACATCGATGGCTTCGTTGGCACTAATGCCCTTGAGTTTCTCCAGATCCTTTTCTTTGAGCAATTCTCGTCCGTGAGCACAGATCAACCTTAATGTCATGATACCGCGAAGTACATGATGCTGAACGCCGCTGTTCTTTTCCCTAGTACGTGCCAGTTCTCGGATCTGTACGTGAGCCACCTGTTTGAAGAAATCGTGGAGCTGCCTTTCCTCGGGCGAGAACTCGAGCTTGACCACAAAATCATCCCTCTTGGGTAAATCGATGCGATCGCGCAGCCGTCGTAAGGTGAACGAGTCAACAAAAACTCGCAGTGCCTTTAGAAAGCCTGGGTCGCCGGCCTGTGCCGGCGCCCTGATGTATTGATTGAACCTCCCAGCGGTGTCATATGGATACAGTCGAAGAAACCTGGTCAGAGACCCCAGATCGTCCAGACGATTTTGAATCGGGGTTCCCGTTAGGCACCACCGACGCTGGGCCTCGAGGCTATAAATTGCCTGAGACTGGATAGCCTTTTGTTCACGAATCGTATGTGCCTCGTCCAGAATGACTCGGAACCACTTGAGCTGGTTCAGGGGGTTCGCCGAGCTCCTGCCGGAGAACTCGGAAGCCACGACACCGTATGTCGCGATCACAATGTCATACTTCGAGAGGATGTACGGGTTGCGTTCGCGACCGGGTCCATGATAGACGCAGTACGTCATGCTTCCAGGTTTGACGTGTTGGGCGATCTGGTCTTCCCAATTCTTCACCGTGCTGGTCGGGCATACGAGCAAGGTCGCGTTACTGTTGGCCAGCAGTACGTTTTGGTCGTCGCGAACAATCTTCTGCCTAGCAAATGCTGTGGCTTCTTCGACGGTACTGGCCACCAATGAAAGGGCTTGAAGCGTCTTTCCCAGGCCCATCACGTCCGCCAGAAGGCCACCGAGGACCTGGTCCGGCTCCTCTTTGACCGAAATACCGGTCACGACTTCGTGGTACGTCGTGCTACCGTGTTTTGATTGTTTGCGCCGCCACAGTGACGAGTTTTCCGACTCTTCAGCTCCAAACGTTCTGTGCCGCTCATGCATCAGCATGAAGGTGAGTGCCTGTTTTTGATGACTGAGCAGAGGTGTGGTGATTATGGTCGATGGAGGTTCGGTCTCAGCCAAAGGGGCTGCGGTATTGGCAAAGGAGTCAAACAGTTTGGAGACGGCTTGGGTCGCCTCTTCCAACGTGCGCGTGTCTGGCAGAATCCGCCCTGGGCCGCTGCGGACGGGCGGCGTAAGAGCATATCTCTGCGCATGGGGATTGACGATCGGCACTCCTGGCTCGGGCGCCATTGGTGGTCGGAGCCAGAAGTTGTGCTGTCCAAAATGCTTTCCAACCTTGTCCACGTCCCCTCGTCGTCCATACAGATTGACAACCATTTTCAGCTGTTCCGAACAGGGCTGGTGAGCCCATTCATCTGGCTTCTTTCGACGGTTCACTAGTCTTGATTGCGTCCGGAAACCCTTCAAGCCATCCATCGCAGGCGCCAGTGCGGCGGCGAAATCCGAGTCCACCTTCGCGAATGTTGTGTTCCAGGGATCTACCACATCAATGACCGTATCTTTGGAGGGTGTACGAACCAGAGTGCATTTCATCACAGGCCATTCATTCTCCCGATGAAGCAAGGATTCAGCTTTAGGCTTTGGGATGAGATATGCTGAAGCAGTGGTGGCAATGTGTCCGTAGCAGACCTCCTGATCGTCGACTGTCCGCGAGGCCACAATTTCGATATCATCGTCGGCGTCGTCGTCGTCATTTGTCAGATCCACCAGGTCGTTTTTGGTGGCGTCAGAGGCCTTTTCGGGATCCGGCCGCATATACTCACCCACGATGCCAGGCGTGGGGCGGTGTGAAAACGTGCTCGGCTTACTGAGTTTCTGCGATTCAGGTTCCGTACTCAATTTGAGCTTCTTGCGCGGGACATCGACTCGAGACTCAACACTGTAAATGCTCTCAAGCATAGATTTCGGACCACCATTCTCATGGTTGGGGTCTCGGGCCGGCGATGAACCTGGGTCCGGCTTTTGGACCATCGATTCAAGAGCTGCAGGCGCTCCCCTCAACGATGCGGAAGCCTTGTGTGCAGATCGGGGGCTGAGGAGAGAGCGGTGATCGTACAGTGAAGACGCTCTCACATGGCTCTGGTTAAGCTGCGAGGGAGTAGCCACCCCTTCAGTGTAAGGGAGGCGAGAAGGTTGAGAAGTTGCGACCCTGGAGTCGGTATCCGACGGAGCAGGGCTGTGGGCATGAGGTCTGACTGAAGCTGAATGAGCTGTCAGCACGATATTGCGGTCAAAGAAAGTTATCCTCGAAGGCGCGTCCAAGATCTCTTCGAAAATGAAAGCAAAATAGCCATATCATACATGACACTTACAGTCAGATTTAGTCGTTCTCTTCATCGACTTGGGATCAAGAAGCAAATGAGCGTTGCTCGACATGACTGGTCAAGGTCCAAATCACTGGCCTCATAGCATAAGTTCCTCAACAAGTGAATGAAAAGCTAGGAGTGAAGGAGTGGCGAATCATACTGGGGGACCGTCGCCGCCCTGGACGAAGGCAAGGCAAGGAAAGGAAAGGCAGGGCAGGGCAAGGCAAGCCCAGCAATCGAGAAGTGAGAAAGGGAAAGAGTCGGCTGCCGACAAGTCTAGAGAAGATCAAAGTGAGGTCGCGAGCTCGATGGCCGTGTGGGAGGGATGATATGAGCGAGACAGTCTTTAATCAGAACGATGGAGTCGTGGACTCGAACTTCGATGAATGTGGCGCTTGGACCACGTTCTTACCTTATCCTACGGGAGCCTTGCGCCAAGAGAATTCGCGTGCAGTGGCGCGCGAGGCTGACAGCCTCACGTGGCCTGTGGCCTGGGCTTAGGGGCTTAGGTCAGCGTGAAGGAGACCGTCACCACCGTTGGCGCCGTGACTAGAGTGAGAATTACGAATTACATAGGTCAAGGTGAAAGTGAAGCCCAGGTTGCACGCTTGGGGGACTGTCTCGACGCAAAGCAATGTACGGATAGTAGTCAATGTCATTTCCTCACCATTCAGAATCACTGTCACTGTGCTACCCCGACCATCGCTCAAAAAGCCAATTGCGCTGCCTGCTAAACGCTTGATCGTCCTGTATGCAGATAGGCATATCCGCCAACCAATTCTGCTGCCTCCTATATCGCAGATTCATATCGACCTCAGGCCTTGAGAGACACGGTTTACTCCTCAGGGGCGCGCGGGCCCACCATCCAATCCTCAAGCGCGAGCCAGTCACTCCATGCCCGTTCGGCGGCTTGGAGCTCGCCATCGGTGGGCTCGTGCAGAGGCCGCATGAATGGGACTGTTTCCAACGGTGGCATATCGTAGTCACGCTTGACCGACGCCCACCCCCCGCTCTTTGCCGCAAAAAGGTAGTTCCGCCGCTCCTGTTCTCGCTGTGGCCCGACGCCTGCCTGCCAATCGTCGCCAAAGAAACCGTGCAAGACCTGGGGTACGTCCATCCCTGTGACGACGAGCCGTCGTAGATACGGAACCAGAGACACGGCAAATGCTGCGGCCGCGGCCGACGCCTCGGACGAGGAAGCTCGCGAGACATCCCTGTCAAGCCGTGACTTCCCACCCCGAGGCCCCGCGGAGCCGAGCACCGGGTTGGGTTGTCTTTGAAAGGGTAACAGGATGTTTATGAAGGCAGCAAAGGCCTGCACCAGCGGTTCATGTTGGGCATGATCTATAAAGTAGCGTTGGCAGCTCTGGTATTTGGGGATCCAGGCGATGATGTCGAATTGAGGGCCTGGCGTTCGTTTGCCCCGGCTCGACCCCTCGGACGGGCTGCGGATACCAGTAAAGGAGGCGTCGCGCAGAGACGACCTCGACATGCCAAAATTGTCCTCGGACGAGGATGACGAAAATGCCATGGAGTTTAAGTTAGGCTGCGGATCGAAGGATATCGGAAGTATGCAGTTCAGATCTGCCGCCAGGTGATGAACCACGAGAGGAGACCATTAGGACAGAAGTTTGAGATTCTGCCAAACACATAACGAGGAGCACAACATCGCTGGTACAGTCCGGGGAGCCTCAGCAGGCGCTCATGCGATATCGCAGACTAGCGATGCGGTCGTTGAAGCGGTGAAGAGGCGGTCTCGACTGGGAGTACAGGTCTGTGCGAGGTGATGGATCTCGCCGGACCGTCTTCGTATTCGGCCTCAACCCGCAGGACAGAGGAGGTTGGCGACGCGAAGAGATTTCAGCCCAGGACGAGACAGCAGCGATGCTAGCAGTAAGAGCGTTGGGAGTGCTTCACCTGGGTAGCTGATGTTCTACTTGTGCTTCCAGCGGCTGGGAGAGCTGATCCGAGAGGCGTCGCCTGTACAGTGGTTGGGCTGAGCTCTGCTTGGACGGCGAAGTCTTTGGCGGGGGAGAAATTGAGGCTAAGGGGCTTAGGCTTACAGTACAGTAGGAGGCTGGCGCAGGCGCAGGCGCAGGCGCAGGTGCGGGTGCGGGCAAATCAGGTAAGGAACCGACAACCGTTGATACCTGATAGCTGACCCATCACGCCACCCCCGAACCTGACGAACTTCAAGAGTACTGTAATAGTAGTACTCTAGGTGCTCGGTGCTCGGTGCTCTGTACACGTCTACATACTAGACCTATCCCACACGACGACTCCCTTACAACTAGAACGCACCGCTCGCTGAGCCGCCCAGCCGCCTCAGCCGGCCCTGTTACCACGCCATGGCTCCGAACAGCTTCTCGGTATCTACTCGTATCCCGCTCTCCAATGGCCTGTCGATCCCGCAAATTCACCTCGGTGTCTATCTCATGAGCGGCCGAGAAGCCAAGTCGGCCGTCAAGTGGGCGCTCGAGGCCGGTTATCGAGGCATTGACAGCGCTCAGATGTACCGGAATGAAAAGGAATGTGGTCAGGCGATTCTGTCCTTCCTGGACGACAAGGCCAGCAACACGACAGGCTTGACCCGGGAAGATATCTTCTTCACCTCGAAATTGGCCTCCAATGCCAGCTACGAGGTTGCTCGCCGGTCCATCAAGCAGTCGGTGCAAACATCCGGCCTGGGCTACATCGACCTCTTTTTGTTGCACAGCCCCTACGGCGGGAAGAGTGCCCGGCTATCCAGCTGGAGGGCAGTCGAAGACGCCATCAAAGATGGCGAGGTCAAAATCGGCGGAGTCAGTAACTTCGGGGTGAAGCATCTGGACGAGCTGATGGCGTCCAAACCCCGTATTGTCCCGGCTGTCAATCAGATTGAAGTCCACCCCTTCAATACCAGAACCAACATCACCGACGCGTGTAGTCGATATGGCATTCTGGTTGAAGCATACGCACCACTTGCCAGGGCGCTTCGCATGAACCATCCGGCCATTGTCTCCCTCTCGAAAAAATACAACTGTACACCCGCCCAGTTACTGATCAGGTGGAGTCTCCAGCATGGATACATCCCCCTACCCAAGAGTGTATCCAAGGAGAGAATTCAGTCGAATGCAAACATCAACCACTTCGAGATCTCTGGTGAGGACCTAAAGGTACTGGATGGCCTGGACGAGTACTTGGTGACCGACTGGGACCCGGTGGACACAGACTAGATGTGGCCTACCTCGTTTTATAGGACCCCAAGCTGCTGAGTCAATCTTCCAATCTCAGGTCGCCTCAGACGTGACGAACAATTGACTCTGTATTGTTGCTGTATTGTTGGCGGCAGAACGTTGCAGAATCGCAGCTCAGAGGCTACAGAGGTAGACGTCGAATATGGTTGAGATGGAGCAAATGCGAAAAGATCAATCCCGAGTAGAGTCTTTGTTTCAGAAACCAGCCACCCAAGGCAATGCGATGGAACTTGCTAAACAGTAACATAAATCCACCCACGGGAATATGAGTATGACCACAAACATGAGGTACGTACATATACTGTACGGACTACGGATACCTATATGTTTGTACGGATACATACTTCCGCACCATAGCCCCAGGAAAACGGGCTAAGGGCTCCTTAGGCTAAGGTAAGGCCTTAGGCCCTGCAAAAGGCTGAGTCTAAGGGTTCGCCGATCGCTTCGAGCCATTTCCTACCTCGCTGTCCATGTCGCAAACACATCACGACTCCTCCTGGCTCGTCCAGACGGTCTTCCTGAGGACCTGATGTCCTTTCGCTTCTGCCACGATTCCATCCGCCTCCAGATGTAGGAGGGGGTCTCAATGATCACTCGCTAGCTTCACCACCGCATCTGCTTATCCTGGGCCTGACCCTGGCCTCCTCCCGACGAAACAGACCTCTGCCCTCTTTTCAGGCATTGTTGGCAATATACCCCTGCGATTTGTATATTGCTAGTCGGCGAGAGACGGCCACGTGGGACTCTGCTGGAGGCGGATGTACGGTTACAAGCCTGGTGGCTGCCACTGGAAGAACGTTGCCTCAACTTGCGAAAGACCTTCCATGCACACCATACTTCTGGAGTGACGCTCCCTGGGATACTTGGACCTACTCGATAAGTCGACTCCTCCCAACGCCGTTCAAATATCGGCATGGACTTCTCCTACTTCACGTCCGCCCCTCAGCCATACCAGTTCTTTGGATTGTCTCCATCTCCCTCCACAGCCCAGGATAACCAGCTGGCCGAGTTCCCGCTGGACCCATCGATGGTGAGTTCATGTTGGAGTCTCCAGCGCCGTTCTAACAACATTCCAGGGTCAGTACGACGCTGCCTTTGCCGCAGTTCAGCCGCGCTTCCATTATGACCCCTCTACATTCCTCGCGCAGCCGCATCCTACGTCCGCGCAGGAGCAGCCAAGCTTCTTTCGCGACTCGGTGACAACTGTACCTGAGATGGATATGAATAACCTCACCGCGCTGGATTTGGCCCCCGACGATCCGGCGCTAGGCAGGAGCAGCAGTGAAGAGAAAGACTCCACGACGACGACGCAACAAAGCAAAAGGAAGGAGCAAAATCGAGCAGCGTAGGTCGTACCTCACCCATGTGAAGAGCCAGACTCGCTGACGGTGGACTCTAGCCAGCGAGCGTTTCGAGAAAGAAAGGAGAGGCACCTCAAAGAGCTCGAAGCCAAGCTCAACCGCCTTCAGCACCAGTCTGTCGCCTTGAACGGTGAGAATGAACGGCTACGCCGCGAACTGGCGAGAATGGCGACCGAAAATGAGATCTTACGTGCGACGTCTGGCCCGGCCTCCAACGGTCCGACGCCGTTCTTGGAGCAGCCCGACGAATTGGTCGGGCCGCTGGGGTTTGTGCCCACCGACCGTCTTCATTCTAAGGATCATTCGCCTGCCGATAGCACCGGTTCTACGTTTGAGCCTGGTTCAAAGTATGCCCAGTTCGGCACGCCGCGAGCCATTCCCGTCGATCGCGAAACCGGCGATCAGCTGCTGGGTGCTGGAGCCACCTGGGACTATATTCAGGCGCATGAACTGTTCCGGAATGGGTTGGTCGACGTGGGCGACGTCTGTGAGCGCCTGAAGAAGATGGCGCGATGCGATGGACAAGGGCCCATCTTCTTGGAGAGTGATATCCGAAAAGCAATCGCCGAGAGTGCCGTCGCCGGCGGGCGAGATGAGCTGATCTGATCTAGGGTGGCGCTTTGCACGGAGGTGTATTAGTGTTTATGTCAAACTTGGAAAGCTGGTCACCTTTTCTCCAACCAAAGCCCCCTTTCGAGGCCGGCCCACGCGTTTCACAGTGAATACGCTGACGCCCAAATTCGTCTGGCTCCTCCACTGTCTAGAGAAGAGCTTCGCGTCCCTGTAAAGGTTTTGGAGATGCAGCATTGTCATCGTACATCGCACGAAGAATTCCCTTCCTGCTCAACTTTGAGAAGCAGCAAGAAGATCGTCAGAAGAAACAGCAGCAGCAACAGAAGCGTGCAGGGGAGGTGGCCACATCCCCAGCAACCAAGAGTGCGAGTTCTGGAACCATGACGATCACTTCCGAGAGCCGTGCGGTCACTGCTATCGACGATGAGACTGGAAATGAGGACGACGTGGACAGCGTGTTGGAAGACGCATTAATACCGAATTGGTACTCCTACAACCCGCTTTGTGGTCTTAGTGAGATTCGTGGGAAGAAGTCAGATCAGCGCCGAGGATGTCACCAAGGACTACCATCAAGTTGACCCGGGCACTGCCTCTTCACCAAAGACTAGCGATCAGGCTGAAATCACATGTCGACAGGAGGATACCTATCGACGTGGTATTCTGCCAGTCCCGATCGCCCGTTCGCGATATATATATAATGTCCGGTCTGCACTCTTTGCAGCCACTTCCTCGACGACCATTATTGCCTGTCAGATCCAGAACACATCAGGGGATGGGACGAGATCACGAAGATATGTTTCCCCGCCCCTCCGCGGATGCTGGCCGGTCTCTGTACGGCATGCTATAAGCAAGGCGCTTGGAGAGCAGATGACGAGTAAATGCCATTGTGTGGACATGAACCGCTCCGAGCAGTCTCTACAACAGTTGCGTGAAGGACAAGGAATGTGAAATCCGAGTTTGAATGGCAAAAGAAAGGCGAGGAAATATGTGTGCCCTCCGTTGGGGTGTATACAGTATATAGTACTGGATGAATGCATACCTGACGATAGCTAGGAGTGCGAGGGAAATTATTTTTTGAGTAATGTACGGAGGATATACGGCTGTGCTTTTGTCGTGGTATCTCAATCATTGATCTTCAATCTCATCACAGTCCAACCTGAAGTCCACGTCCAATGCCATGCTGTCGGCTTCTGCCGCTCTGTCTGGTGGACTGGTGGTCGTGGGTGTCCATAACTCATTCTTCATTCTCATCAAGGTTGTATGTTTTCTGCAGCTTTCATTCTGTATGTCCTGCTTGCGTCCAGTCCACATCAATTCGGACAGACAAACAGCGAAGCCGGGGATTATGACCCGTGCCGCAGCCTCTTGTTTCATTGGAGACACGTCCATCGCGACCTGGGGCTTTCATGCCCTTCCTTCCTCTCCTGCTGTTCCCGCTCATCAACGGCGACGGCGACGGCGACGGTCTTCGGCTCTGCAACTGCGTCTCTCGCCACCGGGTCTTGTTTCTCTTCTGCTTCCGTCTCGTCATCCTCAGACTCGGCTCCGTTCTCGCCGCACACGTTCATTCGGAACCGCCTCACACTGTTGCCGTCACAGTAGCCAGTGAAGAAGCCTTTCCTGGCAGTTTTGCACACACACCGTGGCACCAGTCGACGAAGGAAGCCGCGTACGCCGCTGTGTGCGCGGTCGATCTTCGCGTATTCTTTACGCCGGGTCGCATTCGAGGTCCACGAGATGACGGTTTCAAGTTGAGGGCGCGGTCGGGGATGGCCATGATGATGATGATGCACGGTGTATTTGCTGGTGTCGCTTTTCTTGCACTCTAAGTTGCTGGATGCACGCGTGCATGTGTCTTGGGACATGGACGTTCGCGGACTGATATCCAGTGTTGTCGCCGACTGAAACCCGCTCGGGATGGCGTAAGAGGAAGACGACGGAGCGGAGTATGTGGGTGGATATGCAGGTTCACTGGGACGACGCTGAGCTTGCGCCAGTCGAAGTTTGGCGTCGATGGTTTCACAGAGTTGCTGCACCGTGTGCTGAGCCATGCTATCTGAACACATGCTACTGGACGGTGGCACCGCATCGACCGATGTGTGGCGTGTGGCTGACCGTAAACTCGTGGTGCCTGGCCGAAGAGGCACTTCTCGACCAGAGACCAGCACTCCATCGAGCGACGAAAAGAGCTGGCAGCTCTGACGATGTAGCGTCACCGAATCCGTTCGGGATCGATTCTTCCTCGCAAAGCTGCTGGTCCTCCTCGACACAGAGACCGAACTTTGTCTTGATCGGGTAGAGGATGGTCTAGAGTTGATCTTGCCCTGTTGCTTGGTGTCCTCGGTGCCAACTTTGGGTCTCGATTCGTCCATTCTCGCTCGACATTGTCTTCTGTGTCTTGTGGACACGGGTGGAGTTGCCTGTGCGTTCCAGCATTTGGAAGATTGTCTCGTAACGCTCGAAATGGCAGAATGGAATGACTCGGCGTCGGAGTCTTCAGTTGGAACGTCCCTGGGGATGGAAGTCATGCCGTTTTCACTGATGTCTGGTCCCGCAGACAGCTTCGTTCGGATTCCAGGACTGCGAAACTTTGTCACAACCAACCAGGAGCCATTACAAGTCAAGCATTGAGCAGAAACAGGAAACTTGGGAAGGGCTCCCGAGCTTCATCACTCCCGATCTATATTAGATCCTGGAAGGGATCAGTCAACGTCCGATTGTCAAGCGGTTTGAAACACAATTCCGAGGGAAAGAAAGAGATGGGACGAAGCCCTAACCCGAAAGTGGGAAGACGGTCAAAATATCATGCTAAAGGGCGTCAACAATATTGTTCTAGGAAGGTTGGGGTCATGGGGTGGGCGTCTGCAGTCCTAGATTGGATGAGAGCAGGCTGTCGATGCAGCAGGAGGCGCTAGACAAAGGACCATGAAATCGCATAAGAGCGGTAACCCGGCACCAACGTCCGATATTGCCCAGTCATTGCAAGCACATGCGATCGAGGCTGTGCTGGCACAGACGGAGGGTCGAGTCTTGAGACATCGACGGCGGTGAAACCAAAGAAGGAGCGGAGGATGTTGGTACGCGAGTGACTCGATTCGTGGTGGCGTGGCAGCCAAGTGGTGCGGGCGCCGGGCGATAGCAGTTGGGCTCGTACACCGCCCAGGAGCGCCAATCAGCTTGTTGTAGGATGGCAATGAAGCGAGGACCCTAAAAGACCTAGCAGTTGGCCGTTGTTCAGATGACCAGATGCAGCCTGGCCGCATTCTGGCCAGATCCGCAAAGCACGCCATTGTGGTATGTTCCGTAACCACGATGCTCAACTCCCAGAAGACGCTGTCGTCCAGTGTCCACTGCCACTGATGACCTCGACTCGAAGGGGTCGGCGTGGAAACTCTTCTTGCCTATGGAGTGGTGAGAGCATTGAGAATATTGTCAGGCTGTTCCCCTGTGTGTATCCGTACACACAGCCAGCCGCCATTTGCTGAGGGAGCACAGTCGAAGCGAACGGGCCGGCTGCGGAAGCATCTGTGCCGGTCACCTGCCGGCATTGACCTGGTGATCCCAGTCACCTGTCGGCTTGGTCTCCTCTACGCAATTTGCACCTTGTCGAGATTGAGGGTGCCACGATGAAGCTTCCACGCCCACAAGATTACAAACAGCAACACGTCGAAAAAGCTGAAGACTAGGCTGCCTCCAAATACGAAAGAGTGATAGGTCCAGGCGTCCTTCGCATTCAAATGTCCGACCTGACATACGATGGCCCAAGGTAGGACGTAGCAGATGTTTGAAACGAGTGACTGGTATAGATACCATCGAGGGACAGTGGCCAACAAAATGGTGGCCAGCTGGGTTGACAGCGCATAGAAGATATAGCACCAGTCGATGGTTTGCCACATGTGTGCCGTAATGCTGCCCACCGTGTCCGAACCGGAGATATATCGTGCGAACGGCCGGCACCCAAATAACGACAGGAAGATGCAAAGAGGGACTTCAATCAGCAGAGCGACGGCTGCCGACGGCAGTGCAGGAGTTGCAATACCTAGGACCAAGAGGTCAGGTCAATCTTACGATCGGACTATCAAACGTACCTCGCATCTGATTTCTGCTGGCTTTGGCTTTTCGAAGCTCGCCACCAACCTCGTTTCGCCATCGACCCCATGCATGACCGGTAAAGGTCAGGGCCGTTGCCTCGAGTGTCTGGACCGGAACCATGACCAGTCCCCATCGGATGGTGTTGAACACGCCCCAGGCCGTGGCATAATTGGCCCCCATGGATACGATGTTGGCTACTAACCAGAGATATAGCGCATTGCGGACAGCGGATTCGACAATTGGAGGGATGCCAGGTCTCAGGAAGACCAGGAGAGCTTTGACGCTGGGATGTGGCACGTCTTCAAGGCCATGGGCCCGCCGTAGCTTGAACGCGATGAAGAGGAAAAGGGCGAGCCCGATAAGGCGGCGGCGAAATCGCAGCCCAGTCGAATCCCGGCTTGAGTGTTGACTGAGGGGGTGAAGTTGCCGATGTGGAAACGTGAGATGAGCAGCAAATCGAGGAGGATGTTGACGATGAATCGGACGATACTGATGGTGAATGGCACATCCGGGAGGTCCAGGGCTCGTGTAGCATTTGTGACCGCAGCTTCAATGGCACCGCTGAACACCGAAAACGAGCTGATGCGAACGTAGGTCAAACTTGCTTGACGCACCTCGACGGGGACAAAGCTGGCGGCGAACTCTTTGGCGGCCCCAAGGATGATCAAGCTGACCCCCAAGCCAAGCAGACTCTGAAACAGAATCAACGTCTGTGCAAGTCCTATCCGAGACGACAGTGACCGAGACGATTTGTCGCCAATGATGACCCAAGCCGCTCGGGGCAGCCCTTCATTGATCACCTCCGCCACCACCCCGATATAGGTGTAGGAGTCGACGGTGACCACCATTGTAGAGTCGATGTTAGCCACCCACAGTTTGGATAGCGTGCCATAGAGGGCCGGGAGAACGAACGCGAGGAAGTTGAACAGGATGGCACCGCAGAACCTGTATCAAGTCAGGATGCTTTCTTTCAGCCTGGCCGTCCCGTGCACGGCTGAGTGACTGACCTGTCCCGTCTCCAGATGTGACCCCGAGCAGACTGCCCCTCAGTGTTCTCGGTATTCTCGACGTTGAGGGCCGGTTCAGTGGTCTCGACGATATCTTTGGAAGACAACATCGTGTATTTGTAGGAGGTGCGTAAGAGCCTGCGCAGCATCTTGAGGAGAGCCATCTGTGATCAACCACCACAAGCACATGCATAACAACGCCAATATTCGACGCTCTCAGGCCAAGGCGGGGGGTGCATTCGTAGGTTACACGACATCCGTAATGGATAGGATTCGTGGCATCGTGGCCTCAAGCGAGGGCGTCTAGGACCTGAGAGGCCAACCAAGGGCTTAGGAGGCTTAGGGGCTTGTTCTCCTTCCCAAGCGCAACGCTGGCCGCAAGGGGTCCCCGGCTTCAAGGGTCGCTCTGCTCGAAGCGACGCACTCGTGGACTGAGATGCAGCGTCCGAAAAAGGGAAGAAGACGAGCCGTGGGGAGAGACGGTGCGAAGGAGCAGACAGCCTGCGATACCCTGGACACTCTCCTTGCCGGGTTACGTTACGCGGTAGAATCAATGTGCAGATGAAGAAGTTACGGGAGAGATGTAGTATGTCTCTGGATTGGCCTCGGACCACTTTCTAGCCTCTTCTTTGGAGATGTGAAATCTCATGTCCGCCGCCGGATTTTGTATCGTGCCGTGCTTCCGCTATGCAGTTGCTGTCAATTCATACCGCCTGCGCCTCGAGCCATGCTGCGCCGCACATCCCGGCATCCAAAGGACAAGTTGGTCCGCATCAGGCGTGCCAGACCGGCCCAGTTCGCGGTGTCATGCTATGCTATCTCCTTCCAGCCTCACGCAGCAATGCAAATGTCTTTCACCTTGCAAGTGAACCCTGGAACCTGGAACCTGGAACCTCGAATCCCGAATTATTATGATCGCAGTTGACCCCCGCCCTAGTAGCTAATGGTTATTCCAAGCAGTCCACGCGCCGTCGCATGCTCACACAGAAAGATCTGGGATCCGTCAGAAGATGCCAAATTTCTTCTTCTTTTCGCCTTCTGGATGTCTCAAAGTCAGTGATGTCGTGTCGCCGGCGGTCATGGAGGAAGGTTGCTCACCCTGAGGCCCTTTGTTCCCCGAACTTTTGCTGGTGGTGAGTGTTCCTGTCTTTGCGGATGCCGCCGTGACAGGATCGGCGCCCGCACCTGCAGCGCGAATGGCAGTGATGCGGTGTTTGGCTCTTTCTTCACCTTGCTCAGCGGCTCGAACGTACCAGACGTTGGCCTCAAGCGGGTCACGACGGCACCCAATGCCCATTTCCGTGAAATACCCAACAGTATATTGTGCCTTTGCCGCTCCCTCCTCTGCAGCCTTTTTGGCCCATTCGTAGGCTTCGCTCTCGTCCTTATCCAACACGCCCGGGACACCCACCATGTACCAGGCACACAAGGCCAGTTGTGACAGCGCATGTCCACGTTCTGCAGCTCCTGTGTAGAAGTGGATGCTCAACGCCGGATCCTTGGGACAGTTTAATTCGCCAAACTCGTAGGCTCGGCCCATCCTGTAGTTGGCTTCGACGTGTCCCAGATCAGCAGCTTTGGTGTACAGCTGCGCGGCGTACGCTTCATCTTTGAACACGTCTGGACCATAGCCTGTCTCGTGGAGACAGCCCAGATCGTAGGGGGCTTGGTTGTACTGAAAATCGGCTGACTCTGCCGCCCGCTTCAGCCATCTCACGCCCTCGCGATATCGCTTCGTCAGTCCCATGTCGCCCGTGAGACAAGCCCGGCCCAGTCGAAGCATGGCACCAGGATGATTTTTGCTGGCCGCGTGTTGGTAGAATTGCACAGCTTTCGCTGCATCTACCCGGCAACCCCAGCCAAACTCGTAACACAAGGCCGTACGGTACCCCGCCTCGGCGTGACCATGTTTGGATGCGGCCAGGAAAAGGGGGAATGCTCGATCCCAATCTTCTTTACCTTTACTGAACAAACCAGACGCATACCCGTCTGCCAGATAGTATTGGGCAAAGGGGTATGAACGATCAGCTAGCTTCTGCAATATGTGCTTGGCCTCTTTCAAAAGATCGTCTCGAACGGACGTGTGTGACTTCCCAGATGCCGCCGAGGCGGCGTCCCCGTCTCCCTCCAGCCCTTCCTCCTGCGCGGCGCTGATCATGAAGACCGCAAATTCATACTGCACAGCCGGGTCGTTCGTCTTCTTGACATTGGCTCGATACATGTCCAGGGTTTTGCGCGTCGATAACAAGGACGCATTGTTGCCGACTACGGTGCGAAGGCCCGAGTTCACCAGATTCTCTGCCCCACTCGGAGCCGGTTGAGGATAGGGAATGTTCAAGAGATCGACATATGACAACGGTCGGGTGTCAGGCGATCTGGATCCCCGGGAGACTGGCCGGGCAGGGGACAGACTGGGGGAGTAAGTTCGTCCGCGGAATTCAGAGGTGCTGGAAAATCCAGAGTCGGGTCGTCGCAGGTTTTGACCATAGACGCTATTTCGCGAACTATCCGCCGCCCCGGAACCGTCGGTAGCAATCGTCAGCCTAGAAGCTCGCCTGTCCAGTGCCCTCACGTCGGGGTCTTCGAGCGACTGGTGGTGGTACCGCAGTGGTTCGAAGCTCTCTGAAGACGTATTCGCCACGGCATCCACGGCAGAGGTGGATACATGGCGCATGGATTTCTGTTGGAAGGGCGTCAGTTCGAGCCCCTCTCGAGGAGTGAGGTTTTCTGAAGCGACCCTTCTATGTTCGACGAGGGTCTGTCCGTCTCCCGGTTGCCGTCGACGCATGGCCTGGGGGTCGGGGGACAATCTGGAAGGGTCTTGTTGCCGAGAAGGCTGAGGCGTCAAAGTTCGATTCGGCGCAACAGGGTCAGACGTCCTCGACATGGCTGTCTCGGGTGGACTGATCTGAACTCCTGCCTTTCCATACGCCTCCTCTCCAGGTCCGCTGTCCGCCGGAGACATGGAAATGGAAGGGTTGCTCACATGGCTTGACTGCGGGGGTTTCTGCCGATAGGCGGGCGGTTGTGCATTTCCTTTCTCTTCCATGGGCTCAATTATGTGCGGGCTGTCTGTCCGAAGAGGGGGGGAGTAGATGGGCGGAGGAGGAGTCGGTTGGAGATGAGGACTGGCAACTTCAGCCATCTCGAAACAGTCGGGACAGAGGCGAGGTGCTCTAGACTGCAGACATTTGAGGCTCGAGTGAAGTGTCGCTAGAGCAAAGTTGAAGTTGAGGTAGCGGTGCGTGGGGAAACGTCCAGATGGCTCGGCGGAATGGTTGGATTGCAGACAGGATCGAATTTGATACTGGAATGTATCTAGCCGTCCGCGGCAAAGTCAAGCGGTGGTTTTGGAGGCCCCAGATATGGGGTTTCCGAAAAGAATGCTGTGGCGTCCCGGCGTTGACTTCGTTGGACAGAAAACGACTGTACGTACGTACAAATAGTCCTTGATCTTAAAGGCCTTGAAGAACGAGTGGTAGTCGCTGGAACGAGAAACAGATGGCTCCAACGATGCTAGTCAGCAGGATTGACAGGACGGCACCAGGCAGCACCGGTCAATCCGCACGTTTGGAAGGATTGCAAAATCAGTGGAAGCAGCGGTTGGTAAAGTCGTAGCGGTGGTGGGTGGAATGGGATGAGATGGAATGGGTAAAGGGAGCAGAGGAAGGCGACAGACACTACGGCCAGACAGGGTTGGTCCCCACACTTGATGGCTGACGTCCTCCTTTTTGCACACTGCGCTGCGCCGCGCTGCAAGTGATGTTTCTTTGAGAGAATGCGGCTAAAATAGACGCTGTGCTCTTCTTTGACTTTTCGTTAGACAAAGAAGTGCCTTTGACAACCCAACGTCAGGCTTTGTTGTGTGTGGAACGGAGCAATAGGGGTGCGGCGGATGGTCAAGTGACAGGCCTGAGGTGGTGTCACTGCACGTAAGGTAGTTACGAGTAACATACCTCACCATAGGCGCAGCCGCGTGGATCGAGTGCACAAAATCTATAACCGACTACATATACTCTGGACACAGGACTTAACTCCAAGGGGTACTAGTAACTGTATCCCGTATATACGTACTCTGGCACCGGGCAAGGCTGGATGCGCGTCCAAGGAGCCCTGGATCATCCAAGCCGGTCGTAGGAGGCTTAGGGGCTTAGGGGCCACGGGTCCCGCCGAGACCTGTTGGCCCGGGCACCCATTGGCGCTGGGACTAGCACCAGAAGAGCACCTCAGGCACCAACAAGCCCAATTTTTGAGCATCTTTTCGTACTTTAGGAGCCGGAGGGCGGAGGGCTTCGGCAGCCAAAGCCAGAAGCAGGCAGCATGTTTCACCCGCCCACACACGCTGCAGATGCTGATGGAAGAACACTGCTCATTGCCCGAGAGGATATTAGGACATTATTAGGATATTAAGATGTTGGAGTGGCCCTTCTCCAATGCAGGTTGTCATGCTGGGAAGGATCCCGACACACACGTCAGCCTCATGACCGCGACTACCTGAAGCACCCGTTACTGTGGTGGTTGTTACTAGGTTAGCTACCTACAGGTAGGTACGTACCTACCTACCTGGTAGTAATTATTACGTATTCAACACCGGTTGACCACACTCCGCCGACTTCTGGGCTGCTATGTGAGACCAGAGGTCGAACCTGCCGGGTAGGAACTTCTCTGAGATGCACCGCGCAGTTCAACGGGGATCCTGCGTTCGGTGCTGTGAGGAACCTGTTGTCAGTGCGCCACACTCTACGCTCTACCAGCAGATCCGACCGCTTCCAGTCCAGAGCAATGACCAGCATGTTGATAGTTCCGGGAGGGAAGCTTCGAGACGAGCAGCCGGGAGTGCGGGTGCTTCCTAAATTTATTATTATTATTATTATTGACTGGCGAGCCTAGGCCTGCTACATATACCTATTACCTATTATGTACGTCCAGTATCCGTACATAATTAGTAGATACTGGCAGGGCAACCATTTCGCCCGGAGATAAGATTTCTCGCTCCCGGTGACAGTTAAAAGCATCAACCGTGGAAAGAGTGTGAAGGGACATACTGTATCCGTATAGAGTACAGAAACAGGCCAGCAACATACCTACCTACCTAGTACCTGGCCGAGCTACCGTACTGGAGTGTCTCGTAGTTAGAATCGGCACCAGGAGTACTCTGTACTCTGTCCTCTGTAGATGTACTCCGTATGATACGGAGTAACATCTAAACACATAGAGTTCATGCTCCATCTTTTTCCAGAGTCTTGCGCAGGTGGCACTGTGGCTCAGCCAGTGCCGGTCTCAGTTCTCCTGACCGATCTTCTCCGCCCACCACTGTGGTTGGTCGCCCGATCCCGCCAGCAACCAACAAACGAGAACCACTGCAACTGCAACTGCAACTGCAACTGCATCGAATCCTGGCGACGCAGCATCTTGCCTCCCTGCCTTCTCTATGTCATTTTTGCCCTGACGCTCAATCATCACTCTCTGTTTTGTATCTTGAGTATATCCCACGGGCTGTCTAGGATACTCTCGTCGTTCATTCGTCTCCGGCAGACTCGGGGCGCCGTGCTGCCTTGGGAAATAAACAAACCTCGACCTTCGTTTCAGTCGTCCAAACAACCCAACAGGTTCCTGTCCGATCCTTCATATTCTCTACTCGTGAGCGGTCGACACACCGAGTCCTCGGCTTCGTCTTCAAACTGTCTTGCAACTTCGAGGCAAGTCGGACTCTCGACCTTCAAGGCGGCGCAGGCGCTGGCCTTCAGATCCACTCGCCAGGCACAACCGTTGAAAGATTTTATGTTGGAGGATTGTCATATCTAGCCAAGTGTATGTGCTGTGGTGACAATGCCATTGTTGATGGCAGATCTTGCCCCCACTAACATTCCTTCTCCTGTAGCATCATGGCCGAACCGCGTAGGCCCCGGCCTACCACTTCGCCGACGCGGGACAAGTCACATTCACCATACAGGAACTCACCCTCTCGGCGGCTGAGGGACATTGAGACCGGTTACAACCCCATCCGCGGCGCCGATCCTTATCCTCCCTCCCCCGGGTCCAAGACTGCAGACTGGGAACCCATCATGTCTAATCCTATGACCCAGAGCGAACTCGGTCGCAAAAAATCCCTCATCCGCCCCGAACGCAATCGAATTGATCGCGACCACCCCAATTACTACTACCGCAAACATGCCCAGAATATGGAGGTCTTGCCTTCCACCACCGGTAATGACCCCGTGGTGGAGGAACTGGCTGAGGCGCGCACCGTGAGCTCCGAAAGCGCGCATCTGGATACTGTCGTTGACCATGAAACTGGCAGCCATCCGCTCAAGGCTCGTAGGCCTGGGAAGTTGGAGCCGGTGGGCAAGAAGCGACATCCACGGAAACTGGTGAGAAAGGACACACGAAATCTGACCGAAGAAGAAAAGAAGCGACAGAAAGAACTGGAGCAGATGAAGCCCCCGAGTGTATGGAACATCTACTGTGCCATCATCACATTTTGGGCTCCGGACTGCATTCTCCAATGCTTCGGCATGCCTGCAAGGGCTCAAAGAAGGGCGTGGAGAGAAAAGGTCGGACTGATCAGCATCATCCTCCTCATTGCCGCCTTTGTCGGCTTCTTGACTTTTGGCTTTACCCAAGCAGTGTGCCCCGCCCCCGGCCTCCGGCTCAAGATCAATCACGTCGATCGGGGATACATGATATTCCACGGAGGCGCGTATAACCTCGATGGTTCAATGCATCCAGCAGCCTTGGGTGTCCCGCTAGACAGTAACGTTCTCTACGACCTCCCCCACAAGTACGGCGGCCAAGACGGAAGCTTCATGTTTCAAAAGGTCAATGGCGCTTGCAAGGACCTCATCACACTGGCCGAAGGATCTGACGTCCCTACCAACGCCGACGGCGACCTCGCGTGGTATTTTCCTTGCACGGCATTCAATCAGGACGGCTCCTCGCCCGTCAACCTGACCACTCCGTACTACCTGGGCTATGCCTGCCACACCACGGCCAAGTCGCGGAACACTTTCTACAACCTCAGAAGGGCTGGGGACGTGTATTTCACCTGGGATGACGTGAAGAACAAAAGCCGCAATCTCGTCGTGTACTCGGGCTCGGTGGTCGACCTGGACCTTCTAAAGTGGTTCAACAAAAGCCAAGTTGCGTGGCCTCAGCAGTTTGATGAATTGCGAGAAAACGAGCAAATCCATGGCATGGACATCACTCACGTCTTGCAGTCGTCTGCGGATCGAAAAGTCGGCCAATGTCTGACGCAGATCGCCAAGGTCGGCTCCATTGATACGGAGAGCGTTGGGTGCATCGCCTCCAAGGTGGTCCTGTACGTCTCCTTGGTCTTCATCCTCGCCATTGTGTTGGCGAAATTTTTCCTCGCGCTGGCATTCCAGTGGTTTCTGGCTCGGAAGTTCGCCGCAGCCAAAACCTCGCAGACCTCTGATCCAAAGAAGAGAGCGAAACAAATCGAAGACTGGACCGATGACATCTACAAGCCTGCTCCAAAAATCACCGACCCTGCCACCACCGTTGCTGGATCCGATGGACGAACCAGCAAGCGCGGCAGCATGCTATTTCCCCAAACGTCTCGGTTCACCAGTCCCTACGCCGTCGACCGAAGGAGTAGTCGACCTCCCCCGACGACGATGACGACGAGCCAATCGTCGAACGCGAAACTGATCCAGTCCGGGGCCAGCAACCTGTACAAGTCCGGCTACAACAGCAGTCAGAATACATTGGATTTGCCTTCTAGGATGAGCGTCGGCGCTAGCAGGTCCAGCCTCCTCCTGTCCGGACACGAAACCCGGTATTCTGCAGTCATGGACAATCTCGATCCCAATGGCCCCGTGGGATTTATCCACGAGAATGTCGTCCCGCAGCCTCCTCCAGAATGGCAGCCTTTTGGGTATCCCCTCGCCCACGTCATCTGCCTGGTCACTGCGTATTCCGAAGGTGAAGACGGAATCCGCACCACGCTAGACTCGATCGCGACGACCGACTATCCCAACAGCCACAAGGCGATCCTCGTGGTTTGTGACGGGATGATCAAGGGCAAAGGTGAAACGCAATCCACCCCTGACATCGTGCTCGGCATGATGGGAGATTTTGTCATCCTGCCCGAAGACGTCGAAGCTTTTTCGTACGTGGCCGTGTCGAGCGGCGCCAAGCGGCACAACATGGCCAAGGTGTATGCCGGCTTCTACGACTATGGCCCGAAGTCGAGGATCGACCCGACCAAGCAACAGCGAGTGCCGATGATGCTGGTGGTCAAGTGCGGGACGCCCGACGAAGCCATCAACAGCAAGCCTGGCAATCGAGGCAAACGAGACAGTCAGATCATTCTCATGTCCTTTTTGCAAAAGGTCATGTTCGACGAAAGAATGACGGAACTGGAATACGAAATGTTTAATGGACTGTGGAAGGTGACCGGCATGTCCCCCGACTTCTACGAGATGGTCCTCATGGTGGACGCCGACACCAAGGTTTTCCCGGACAGTTTGACTCACATGGTTTCCGCCATGGTCCAAGATCCAGAGGTCATGGGTCTGTGTGGCGAAACCAAGATCGCCAACAAAAATGCCTCTTGGGTGTCCCGAATCCAGGTGTTTGAATATTTCATCTCGCACCATCTGTCCAAGTCCTTCGAATCGGTCTTTGGCGGAGTCACCTGTCTTCCTGGATGCTTCTGCATGTACCGGATCAAGTCACCTAAAGGTGGTCAGAACTACTGGGTACCCATCTTGGCCAATCCCGACATTGTTGAGCACTACTCGGAGAACGTGGTTGACACGCTGCACAAGAAAAATCTGCTGCTTCTGGGCGAGGACAGATATCTGTCGACCCTCATGCTCAAGACGTTCCCGAAGCGCAAGCAAGTGTTTGTGCCTCAGGCCGTGTGCAAGACCACGGTTCCCGACGAGTTCAAAGTTTTGCTGTCGCAACGTCGAAGGTGGATCAACAGCACTGTCCACAACCTGATGGAGCTTGTGCTGGTGCGCGACCTTTGCGGGACATTCTGCTTCAGCATGCAATTTGTGGTCTTTATCGAACTCATCGGCACCCTGGTTCTGCCCGCCGCCATCGCCTTCACCTGCTACTTGATCATCATTTCCATTGTCAAGAAGCCTGTTCCCGTCATCCCGCTCGTGCTGCTGGCCCTGATTCTTGGCCTCCCGGCAGTCCTGATCGTCTTGACTGCTCACCGTTGGTCATACATTCTCTGGATGGTGATCTACCTGGGTTCCCTCCCGATTTGGAACTTTGTCCTGCCGACATATGCGTTCTGGAAGTTTGATGATTTCAGTTGGGGTGACACACGAAAGTTGGCCGGAGAGAAGACCAAGAAGGCCGGTCTCGAATACGAGGGCGAGTTTGATAGCAGCAAGATCACCATGAAACGGTGGGGCGATTTTGAACGGGGTGAGTATTGTCGTCCTCGGCCTGACATGCGAGCATCTCCTGACTAACGGCTGGTAGAACGACGAGCGCAGGCGAATGGGAACGGGAGTGTGTGGCGCCAACAGTCCACCCGTCCACCGAGCGGTTATGCTTCGTCCCACGGCTTTGAACCCTACCGCGACGAATGAGCTTGACGCCTAATGATACAACCAGAACTAGACGACGCTGTTGCTGTTCCTTTCACATGCGGCGGTACGTAAGATGGTATGACCACATGATGAGACCAGGATGGGGTTGAAAAAGCTTGCATTTCACAAACACATCTGGCGGCGGTGTAAACCTAGTT